GATCACAAACGAGAGAAAGTCACTCACTCACCTCTCTGACCGCTTCCGCATGTAGATCAAGAAACATCTGGATTGATGGGATAGACGTAGTTAGGTATGCAGTAGCGCGGGCTTCACCCGTAGCACGGGGAGTCGCGGTGGTACCTGGGACTGTTGCTACATTGCACAGCTTATTGCGGAGAAAGATCGAGATGTGAATTGGAATTTCGCATGGCCCCAACTGTAAGGGATGCCCAACATCCATATGTATTATGTCTTGAGGCGCCCATTCGAGTCCCTATGGCCCCCTTTGTGGACGATGGAGATATGGAGATATGGATATGTTGGTCCCTCCGTGCAGTCGTTCACTCTTTAGAGTGCGCCACTTTTGCTAACGGTTACTATAAGGCGATACCTAATCGGGTTCTAAGTGAAGCGGACTTGGACAACTTCATCCCTGTTCATCCGTGCTTAGGCTGTCCGGCGCTTAGAAGAAGGAAATGTGCCGGGGTCGTGGCAAATCACAGCCAATGGCAACTTTAGAAAGTCCCAATTATTTTCTAGCACACCTCATCTGTCTTGTCCAACCAGCCCTCTATATTCGGGTTGCTTAACGCTGGGCATTCGGTGGGGGACCATTCTGGGCTTCGTGGGATTTGGGACTTTCACACACAGGCAACACACGCGGAGCTATTATTAGTGATAGAGAAGGGCATTGTAATAGGTGGCACTAGGTCGGTGTCTCTTTGCTGTGTGAAGTCCCGAGAAACAAATCACATCGTGGCGTTGCTCTCCATTATCACAGCGTATCACTGTATCTCCTGCATAGGTCTGGTTGCGATCCGGGGCTATACTACACCATATACTATACCGGTATACCCCGTACATATACGTTCCGCAGGCGCCCACGCTGTACTTTCATCCGTTTCCTCTCTCCTTTGCGACGTCAAACCTGTCCCTCGACTGCTCACAGCGAGGCTATTTCCTTTTAGTATTCGCATATCTCGTATACCCCCTTTGGTTTAGACGGAGAGGAAGATAATCGTAAGGCCGGCAACGGCAACATATACCAAAAAGCGCATATTTTTGCATTTTTCCCTTTTCTATTTTTCAAAATGGTAAGCTTATTAGTTCCCGGCTGTAGTCATCTCATCTCTACCCCGGATTTACCCGCATCTTAAGCAGCAGTAGCTGACTCTCGTTGCTGTAGAATACGCTGTCGCTCAGAACAAGCGAGCGATCGCATAGAGAAATGCGCCAGAAAAATCAATTACACGACCCTTTCTTCGGTCTAAAAGGATACGATCCGCGCCCGACTTCAGTAGCGACTGAATTTGTAGATACCGATTGGGATGAAGAAGACGATATCGTTAGCGAAATAGAAGATGATGATCCAGACTCACCACGAATAAGTCTAAATTCGGTAAGCCCACGAAAACCCCAACCCGATATATCGCTTGGTGGCGTTCGCTACTAACCCAATTACTAGTCGGGCCAGCCCAGTTTTACAACAGTATCGTCATACGATGAAATACAAACGCCTAGGTCGAGCAGAGCTCGGAACGCGTTTCCGTTTAGCTTCGACTCGTCGAAGCCGGTGGAGGGACCGAGAGGACCGCATCTATTCCGAGCCTCCATGACAACGTCATTGAACTCATTTGAATACCAAGAAGCTCTTAGCCTATCGCCAATAACACCCAAGACAGCCAAACCATTGGAAGCGGATCATCGGTTTGCTCTTACTTACGAACCACCGCCACCTCGATCTCGGAACAGCCCGTTCCAGTTCACGCACGAGAAATTAGACCCGGGTAACCTAGCAATGTGGACGCCGGAGAAGGTGGCGCAATGGATGCTCAATGCTGGCATTGAAGTTTCAATTGCCGAGAAATTCGTCGAAAACGACATCAACGGGGCTATCTTAATTACGTTGAAGTTCGAGGATCTACGAGAATTGAATATCCAATCTTTCGGAGTTCGGACTAAAGTATGGGAAGAGATACACGTCCTACGGGATAGCAAAGCAGCGGCAGCTGTCGCGGCAGCTACTGCTGCTGCTGCTGCTACAGTATCTTCGCCTAGACTCGATACCCCGATAGAAGAGGAGGAAAGCAAGGAAGTGAGGAGGGAACGGAGAAGAGAACAGAGACCGGAAGATGGGAGTGGGGAGCATCGTAGCCGAAGTGTCAAGCGTTCCAAGAGCCTCAAGCGAAGCCACAGCAAGAAAAAGCCTTCCCACGAAGATATCATCTCACCCTTAGAATCGGTATCTATCGTCGGAATCGAGCAGATGATGCCGAAGCCACATCACTGCTCGAAAGGCGAAAACTGCTCCAAGTACAGGAGACAGCAACGGATGATCGAGGCCTTCAAGAAAGACCACCCGTTTGTAGATGTCGAGCAGGGCGGCATTATCATGGTCGCCGGGGACCCAGGAAACCCAGAGACCGCACCGGCTATTAACCGTCCCTCATCCACTGAGGCGTTACGGCCTATGTCTGATGCCGTACCCTCAGTAGTCGCGTCGTCGGACGTTCTCGGTCCCGGCATGCCCCCTTTCCAGTACCTGCAGGAAGCCGCTCTTCGTAATCTTCAGACACGAGATCCCCTAGACAATGTCCGTCAGTTCCTCGATTTCCAACACCAGGACGACGGTGCATGCTCCAGCGAAGTTCCGCCTACGCCTCCCTTCGAGATATTGCCGCGAGGGCCTCACGAGGGCTTGCGTGCTCTGCCTAAGCTTTCTATCCCGGGACAACAACAGCAACAGCAGCCGCAGCCATCTCAGCGCCAATCACAACAGTTACGTGTTGACGCCAATCGGACACCGCAGCCTTCTCAGTACCACTACCCGCAACGGATGGACAGGGCCGAGGCTCTATCCCCCGATCTACAAAACGCCCCTTGCCGATTCGGCACTCCCTTCTCAGACATGGACGTGCCGTTAACGGCCGTACAACTAGGTCCCGTCGCCCGAGACGCTTCTCAATCCGTCCCACCTGACATGAACTACCGCGCGGGCCCCACAGCCCAAGGACCGCGATCCCAATCCCGAGCTTCGCGGCGCCCATCCCTAGCGCCCGTAGAGGAAGACTCAATCACCACTCCTATCGGCCGCATCGCCCCCCGATTCCCTCACCACTCCATCTCCCCCAAATCCTCCTCTCCCCCCAAAGTCCCCGCCCGTCCTCAACAACCTCTCCAAGCTCCTCCCCGCGCCCAATACCCCTGGTCACCCACCTCATCGCGCAGCGGCGCCTTCGAGCGCGCCCTCCCACCTCTACACACCTCGTCCGTCGGCGGCATCGCCGGCCCCAGATCGCCACCCGTCGTCAAGGACGCCGAGGGCATCACCTACCAGGGCCCGGTGAAGAAGCGCAAGACGCGGATGCTGCGACACGAATGGCACGACCAATACGCGACGCTAAAAGGCACGCGTCTGGCCCTGCACCGGGACGCCGCGACGCGGTCCCGCGCGCTCGAATACATCGACATCGACGACTACGCCATCGCGTGCTCGTCGCTGTCCACGGGGTCCAAGCTGAACGCCGCCTTCAAAGCCATGAACATCAGCCGGTCGAAGCACGGGCGCAGCCCCTCGGCCGCGGACTCGGACTCGGTCGCCGCGTTCAGCTTCCAGCTGATACCGCAGGACAACGTGTCCAAGGGGAGCGGCGGGATGATGGGCGCGCGGCTGCGCAAGCGCGAGAGCCAGAGCATCGGGTCCGGCCCATTGATGCCTGTTGCTGGCCCCGGGTTCGAGGGCGCGGCTAATGGGACCGGGAAGACGCATCATTTCGCGGTGCGCAGCCGGGACGAGAGGATTGATTGGATGCGCGAGCTTATGCTTGCTAAAGCGCTGAGGCAGAAGGGCGAGGGGTTTGAGGTTAGCGTTAATGGGAATATGATCTAGGTTAGACAGTCATGTTTACAATGGCTGTCTATCCCTCTATATCCCTCTACCCATCCTTCTACCCACTCACTCACTCACTCACCGACCATCTTTTTCCATATATTTTCTTTCTCTTCTTTTTTTTCTACTACGTTTCAACCACTTCCCACTTCCTATATATGCACCTCCCTCAAACCGAGGCTGTGGTAGCTAGCTGGATGTCGCAGAAGTTACGTTTGGCATTGCTTTACATTGCTTTGCATTGCTTCCCTCGCTCCTTGTCTTACCTATATAGGGGCACACAGCCCAACCCGGATCTAGCGAATAGTTGGATTTTGACGATATGATGACGAATGGCAAATATTGGTACGGTAATTGGTGACGAAAGACGACGAAAGACGAAAGACGAAAGACGAGGGCTGCGATAGCAATGGCAGGGTTGATGGTTGATGATATCCAGGCGTTAGCCGTTTGCGAGCGAGCACGCACTTACTTTTTTATTTGATTTTCTTCTTGTCCGCTTCGACAGCTGATACCTGATTTCAGGCGTACGAATGTGGGGATTTGAACGGGTATTTTTGCCTTTTTTTGTTTTACTTTTTTATTCCTTGTAGTCGACAGATAAGTACGGCTATGGGTTCTTGAGATACCAACAACACGCTCCCTATTTGTTATGTTTGTTAGGTTATCATTAAATTAGGGTAGTTTTGAAAAATTGCGGGAAAAGGAAGATTGATAAATAAAACAAATACGTTCATAATTCACATTTTTCTTATAGACTTGGTGATTGTTAAATAATCTGCTATGGGATATTATCCAAGCGCCCAGTGTTCCAACTTATCTTAGACCACAAAAGGATATTCCCCGAGCGTTTGGCAGTATTATATATTTATTCATACCTCATTGCACTTTACCAAGAGGGGGATGTCATGAAACTTATCGTTTAAACGCTGATCATCCACTACCTTTTTGAAGACGTACTATGTACATACCTTGTGGTAATATCATGTACATTTTGAGTGTATAGCACATGGCCCTCCCTTAGTTATAAAAGGTGTTTTTAGTATCATACAAGTTGAACTGCCTGGGAGCGAAAGTCTCCACCTTGTTCATATCGAATTATTCCTCATCATGTCTTGGGCTCGGGCCTATTGATGCTTGCTGCACTCTCGACATTGGTCCAGTTGATGACATTCCACCAGTTCTCAACGAACTGCCTCTTTCCTCCTACGCCACCGGCACCGATACCGTAATCTCGTAGCCACACATGTTCCCACGTATTTAGACATAAGAGAGGGATGACGTCGGTGCCACCCGGCGCGGTCTGGTTGTAGGGTACAAATCTGGCACCAGTGTCTCCGCCGGCCGCCGTCTGGCTGCGTTCTACAAAGCTCTTGGCCGGACTATTTGCACTAATGGGCTGTGTGTTCATGTCGAGACCCTGGCGGCGCCAGTGCGCTGCCGTATACGGGCTCCCCGCCAAGTAAGTCGTCAGAATGCGCAATTCGGTCGACTGCGCATTCTTGACCAACCACACGAATCCGGGCCCAAACATGGCCATTGCTGTGACAAGAAATTCGCGACGGAGTGTTTTGATCGAACTGAATTGCTTTGATAGCTCGTACCTTAATAGGTGGGGGATTTTTTCTTCGTCGGGAATGTCTTTAGGCACATTATCAGTATTTTCTTATTTTCTTCTCTCCTATACTGTCTTCATGACTTACCCTGTTCCTGTGATTGCAGGTCGGTGCGGAGATTCTTGAAGAAGAAATGGTTGTTATGTGCCATGGATGCATAGTTAAAGATAGGTGCTTGTGAAGGCTCTCGCGCGGCTGACTTAAGGATGGTTAGGACTTCCTGGTGTTCATAATCGGTACCTAATCCTAGTATTAGCTCTCAATGCTTTGCTTTTTAATCGGTTTAAATAAACGCAATGGCGACTGTTGAGTATTTTGCTTCACGCAATACCGAAATAGCGACTAAGAATTAAATATTCTCTAGCTGCCCAATGTTTATGATTTTATCAACATACCAGCCGTTAAAGCATTGAGTCTTTCTACGACAAGTTGCTGGTATTGAGTCCATGCGAAATCAAAACCTCCTGGAGATAGTAACTCGGGGACTCCCTCTTCTGGCTTGACATTTAGAGTGGGAACTTGATGTATTGAACGGGATGATGGTACTGGACGCCATAACCGACTCGCCCTCGGTATCCGTAATCTAGGTCGTAGCATGGTGGTTGTGAAATAGGATACCTTAATATCGAAACAGGTATAAGAGACTATTTCATAGCTCCCGTCACTTTTTTTCCTGGCGTAGCGGGCGCGAGCAACGAAGTGCGCTGCATGTTGATTGGTTAAAATAAATTCGGCAGGGGAACATTGAATTCCCCGTGCGGACCCTATCTTATCGCTATACATGAGACGTGCGATCACTATAACTTACCGTACCGTAGCCTTCATATAGAACTTGACCAATTTCTAGAATAAGAAAAAAAAGCAGAAGAAACAAAAATCTTGTAATGACCATAGTATTTATCTATCAGCTTCAAGGGCTCTAAAAAAAATGCAAAACTATTTTATAGGCCAGCATCAGATCTACCAATACTGCTAGTTACGAGGTATCATAGGTTTTATTTCGACTCTTCGCTTCCACCCTCTTTCAACTTCAACTGTTCTGCCTTCGCCGCGAGCGCAGCTGCACGCTTAGCCGGGTCGCCCTTGTCCTTTTGCTTCTTCACTTTTTGCTGCTTTTCTTCTGACGGGTAAGCTAGCTCTGCAATCTTCTGCCATTCCTCTGATGCCTCGAACTCGCTCCTGATGGGGTCTAAGAGCTCGTTCAGCGCTTTCGTCAAGGCAGCTTTAAGAAGCTGAGGAGTGAGCTGTATAGAGGTTAGTATTGTGCAGAGATATCACACTAATGGGGGGTTCATTTACTATGTCTGCCTCGTAATCTGCCTTTAATTTTTCAATGTCGTCGTAGATAAGGGGCTCTCCTTCTCTTCTCTCGACTGTAAAGTGAGGCTTTCCTCCAGTCTTTATAGCTACCACCCGGAAAATAACATGCTCTACGAAGGCCACAACACCGTTGCCTTCAACCTTCTTAGGTACACACACGGCCTTTTTCAACTTCTTGGACACCGCGTCGGGGGAATCTAGCAAATCGATCTTAGAATCCGGTTCGCTGGAGCTCATCTTTTGTGCCTCTCCTAAACCAGGCACCATTGAGTGCATCAGATGCGCCCTGACCTTGTAACCGATCTTTGGTAGGTTCTCCAGAGCAAACGTGAAGATTTTGCGTTGATCCAGACCACCGAGTTGTGCGTCAACGCCAAGGTACTCCTCGTCGAGTGCTTGCATCAGGGGGTAGGTCAGACCACCTAAATACGGATCGATAGTCTGCTTGACGACTTCGGCACCAGCCTTCTGCGCAACCGATATCCTAGTCATACCCTCCAACTTGAATCGATCCATTGTGTAATTCTCGCTCTTTTGGTAGGAACTTCCCTTGACGAATTCTAGCTTTGTGATGTCTACGCCTACAGCTTTTAGTAAACTCTTTACGATATATTCGTAGTACTTGAGTCTTTGCTCAATTAGTTCGAGCGGGGCCTTCATGTTGTCGAGATAGGCATGTAAGTCGGCAAGGAGGATCTTGACATGACATCCGGCGTGGAGAAGTTCTGCGATCTTTACCATTGCCACGAAGTAGCCGCAGTGAGGCCGTCCTGTCGTGGCCGTTCCCCAGTAGACTTTGAGGTCTCGTTTCTGATTAAGGATAACATCTTCGATGATTTCGGGATTGAGAACTTCGGTCAGGCCGACCTTGATCAAGGCAATCGATTCCTCGGGAGTCATATTTGAGAAGGAGAGTTATGCGAAGTCGATATGATTTGCGAAATAACGTAAGGGACGCTTTCTCCCGTCTTCACACTTTTTTTTGGTCTATCAAATGTACATATTTTAGTAAACGTGTATTTATTTTTGAGTCAGAGGGGTTAGGAGGGGCACCGATTCAGGGACATGTGGGGCAGTACCTAGTCCCGCCGGAGATATCGGTATTTAAATTTAGCTAGATTCAATCGCACCTTGTACCGATGTATCTATGTCTAAAAGAGATACATCTGGAAGTTAATTGAGCGACCTCCAATATAGACAAAACAAAACAACTCTGTTGAATGCTACTCATATCACATGAATTTCATTGTCTGGTTTAAGGAGACATATTTTGGTAAGTTTTAGTAAATTTCGTATATTCTCAATTTATTTCAGTATCCTCTTGCGTACAATACACTCGAATATACCTAACGGATTAACTCAATAACGCCGTAGAATGCATCACCCCCTTATGCAAGATGTACCTAGGTAGCTAAGCCGCCCCTGGGCACCCCCAACAAAAATGATATACCCGCCAATTTGGCCGTCCGAACGCCTGTAAATACAACCAGATTCCCCAACTTTAAATGCCTCCGTAACTTAAAACAACACATCTCAAATTGAATTCATTCTTCCAATAGTCCTAAGGTATCAAGTTCCGTCTTCACTAGTCGTTCAAACTCCTCGCGATCGATTCCTGACGCACGAGACAACATGAATAAGCTTTTAATGCTTCGAGATACATGTTGCTTAACGCCGAAATCATTCTGCTCTTGTTTCGCTGCTGCCGCCTCAAGTTTCTCAACCGAAGCGTTCGATCCGGTACTTGAAGCAGGTCTCGGATAAGGATGAACTATGCTTGGGTCGTCACCACTTCTCGAGTGTACAGAAGGTGACTTCGGCCTAGGGGCAAGTGTCCATGCACCCTGGGTTTCGTTGATTTCTATTTCCTCCTCGTCGCTGCCGTTGCTTGGCCTAGTGCCTAAACCTAGAGGCGGTGCTATCTCATAATTTGCTTCCTCGTCTGGGTCATGATTGTCCATAGCTGGCTGGACATCGTCATACTGAGCATAGTAGTCTTCCTCAGCTGTTGTACTGACGCCACGAGTAGATTGTGGAGCAGGTGACCTTTTAACAGCAGGAGTTCTCGCAGGTGTCGCGTCATATCTTGCCCAGTAATCATCATCGTCGTCGTCGTCGTCGTCCATAACAGGAGCAGTTTGGCTACTTGTAAGGCCGCTGCTCTGGGCTGGTCTCGTCTTGGACTCATTAAACTGCCTATCGGCTTCGCTAATGTCCGAAACGCCACTAAATGATAAAAACGGAGACGGCTTCTCGGCTACATTGACTTCGCCAACTTTCCAACCGTCGCCTGCAGGATCTCCAATGCAATAAACCAGGCGGAAAGTTAATCCGATATCTTTAAGTAACACGAGCGCTTGTAGAGTCTCTTCGTCCACCCTCCGGTAGCGGATTTCGGTGTCATACTCCCAATCGACTTCAACCTCGCCAGATACGGGATGGGGTTGTAACCGATCGCCCTGGGCGATTTCTGTCAATTTAGGAACATTTCCTGGTTCGTAACATAGTAGCCGAATCCACGGTTCGGAGCTAGCTGATGATAAAAGTTGAACTCGTTGCCTAAGAATCGGAGAGAGAAGTGGAAGAGAGTTTTCTGAAGGTTGGGCTGACAAGGCGGCGGCTGGTAGTGTGGGTAACAGAGGTCCTAAGACTTGTTGAACGTCCGGTTGTTTGACTGTTGAAGCTGCCATGATTTCTCCAGAGGTTCTGGTATCGTTCCGTGTGCTGTGGTGAGAGTTCACGAGTCGAAAATAGGCGTTGCTGGAGCTTCTTATTTGAGGTCCTCGAATAAGTGGACAGTGGACAGTGGACAGTGGTCAGTGGAGCTTATCACATGCAACGAGGGCTTGTCAGACGTTCCTTCAGAGGCTGACGTCCTATTTTGGTTACGCGAGCTACGCTAGTCAACGGTATATTGTTTCAGTGTCAAGGGACAGAAAAAGTAAGTCGTATAAAAACGTAGAAGAGAATTTTGTAATATAAGAGAAAGAAAAAAGGATAGATGACGAGACAGACTCGAAGGAAGAAAGAGGCAATCGCAAGGAGTCTGTTATGTACGTTGCAGAACTTCAAAGGGAACCAATGATTTTAGAGAGTTAGAAAGTCCCACTCTAAATCTGGGGAGAGGACGAATGGGAGGCATAAGCTCGGGCGGGCGGAAGCTTATTCAATTTAGCGAATTAGGCCTGTTAATAAGTAAACTTGCCTTATGTTAGGTCGAATTTTAGTGGTCGAATACTCCTAGTCGATAGAAGTACATACCTATGTACATGTCTAGTGGGGCTTGGCCCTGAATTAAAATGAAGTATGAGCAAGTCCAGATATAGTCGCAAATATCACGGTCATATCGGCCCCGCGATGGACGTAATTATGCATCTAGACACCTTTTCTTTAATGATACGTTGAATTGGAACTGGGGACATTAAAATGCTCAAACTAGGCTCCGAATCGATGATGTTTGATTCACATTTACACGTAGTATATAGCCCTGTCATACCACCTAAAATATTTGTCGATCCTACCATTGCAACCTATTGTAGGTTATTGCAGAACATTGCAGTGCATTGCAGGTAAGCTATAGCAGCATATATATTGGCATTGTAACACGTGATAACTCGTAATTGTAAGAAGTTGTAAAAGTCCTACCAATTTACGTCACTTCTTTGGAGTCAAGCACTATTTAGCCCATTGAATTTTTGGATCGGCTTTAGAAATCTCCAAATTTCCGATGGAAAGCGTCATCTTGCGGCTTGACGCAGTAGCTGAGTATTTCAAGTGCAACCTAAGTTTTTTTTAAGACCGCGGGATAACTTTGGCTACTGACATCCAGTTGGCGATGGATACATACATGTACACCTATTTGCTGATGGTCGTATGTTCATTCGTGCATCTGTACATACCAAGGTAGTGTTCACAAGATCGTCCGTAATTAATCGGCCGAGCTAGTTGACGGTCCTCTTAGCTTATATCGGCATCATCACGCGTCTCAATTAACCCCCGTAGCCCTTGTTCGCCGGACGGCAAGTGGCTACGGCACGTGCTGCATTTTTTTTTTTTTCGGATTCTACACCTTACACTATATCATCCCACAGTACAACAAATCTCCATAACTCGCGCGGGGGTCTCCTAAGCCGCACCCGGGAATTTCTAACGCATGTTAAATCTCGCGGGTTAGAAAACATCCTAGCATTATTTCCCGAGTTTATACCCTAGTCCCGGGTAGGGCCGTTGCGGATGTATGTCGAAATCTGGCCCACGCCTCAAGGATGAGGTACGTAGCTTTGGCCCTGGAGGCACAATATGCACATACCTTAGGTACATATGAGACAAAGGAGTAAAAAAAACTGACACTTGTCTTGCCATTACTAAAGGGCTCACGACTCCAAGTCGTAACCGCCGGGGCTACAGCCGGTTTAATATCCCGGTTTGTGGTTGCGCCCCTCGACGTTGTCAAGATCCGCCTGCAATTGCAATCGCACTCGCTCTCGGACCCCCGAACTCATCTCGACCTTCGCGGCTCTCCTATCTATAAGGGCACTATCGGCACATTCCGTCATATCGTCGCTAATGAAGGCATCACCGCCCTGTGGAAGGGCAATGTGCCCGCTGAGTTGATGTACGTGGCGTACGCCTCCATCCAATTCACTACCTACCGGTCCACGACGCAGCTACTACGCACTTTTTATGGAGATGTCCGCCGGCTCCCCCAGTCCGTCGAGTCGTTTGTCAGCGGTGCTGCGGCCGGCGCAGCAGCCACCGCGGCTACGTACCCGTTGGACTTGCTACGCACGCGGTTCGCGGCCCAGGGCAACGACCGCGTGTACATGTCGCTACGGCGGGCGATAGCTGACATAGCGCGAGATGAGGGCGCGCCTGGATTTTTCCGTGGACTGGCACCTGCGTTAGCGCAGATCGTACCGTTCATGGGACTCTTCTTCGCCGTGTACGAGGGCGCGCGGCTACCGCTGGGACAAGTTGATGCGCTGCCTTGGGGCACGGGAGATGCCACGGCTGGAGTCATCGCGAGTGTCGTGGCGAAAACGGGCGTGTTCCCCCTCGACCTCGTGCGCAAGCGTATCCAAGTCCAGGGCCCCACGCGGAGCCGCTACGTCCACAAGAATATTCCCGAGTACGCCGGTACGGTAAGCACCATACGCCGGATTCTAGAGAGAGAAGGGGTTAGGGGCCTGTATAGAGGATTACCGGTTAGTTTGCTTAAGGCAGCTCCTGCGAGCGCTGTCACGATGTGGACGTATGAACGGACTTTGAATTCCCTAGTTAAGAAAGCGGAGCGTAATGTTGAGTTGTAAAGATAGGATAGACACAGGTGGCTGCGTTTGGCGTAGGTATACATTAGCGGATCCCATGACGGCGTTGAATAAAATCAGGATAGGGTTGCGGAGAGCAACTTGTAGAATAGATCATGCGTTGGTTTACAAAGCCAACCCTTTTATACATATATTGGTTCGTTTATGATCAAAATCATTGTTTGAGGATGAACTACCTAGACTAAAATCTTATGCAAAATAGAGAAATGGGAAGTGTATATAGCAACAACTTATGTACTTTCAATTACACGTCCAATAGTAGTTGGTATCCTTCCTGGCCTCGAACAAAAGCAAATTTTGTGTCTATTCGTCTAAAGTACAAGGTAGTATTCTCTTCGAAAAGACCCCCCTTCTATCTATTTACCCTGCTTTACCCAGCTCTCGACAATATCGCGGGTGTTGCCCACCTTCTCATCGACGTAGTTCTTCCCGACGTCGACGTGGACTCTGGCGAAGCGCCAGGCGTCTTGGATGCCTTGTCTCGTCTTGAGATGGGCATCGGCTACGGCGGGGAATCGGCGCTCGTAGCGCCATAGCAGGTCTGACACGTTTGTCATGGTAACGGGGAGAAGCAACCAGCCGGCGCCGACGCCGAAGGCTAGGGGTAGCGAGGCCCGCAGGATGATATTGCGGTTCCTTGTGATGATGCTACCCGTCATGGATGCCACAAGCACGTATACTAGTCCCGGCATCAATTTCTCGCCAGTCTCCCGCGCCGGCGCCAGCGATGCGATAGTCTCGGTGAAGGACTGTTCCAGGTGGAATGCCGAGTCGATGGCGCCGTTTACGGCATCCTCCGTAGCTGTAGCATATCGGTATAGGAATAGACGGGCTTTGCCGACCTCTACGGCTAACCGGTCGGTCGGCGTCGGACTGTGATGTTTTTGCTCTGAATGTTCGACTAATGTCGTTGACGATGAGAAGGACGCTTCTGATATAGTATCTGAGGCTGGTGATGGGACTGGCGTATTGGTGGCTTTCTGGGAGAGGAAGGTCTCGTAGTCGTCGTATATAGGTTTCTTAGAAGACTGTCGAGGTATGAATTAATAAAGCGGCTCGTTCATATTAGTATATATAGGAGAGTAGCCGTACGTGGTCGTGTGAGGGTGCTTCAGCCAGCGCAACCGAGGGAAATAAAGCTCCTCCGGCAAGAGTCGCAGCCATGAAAGGCGCAGCGACACGCTATAGTTTTAATGTTCATTAGTATTTTAATAGCTTGATTAAATATTTTAAAGGGAATCTTACCCGTCGCAGCAGCACTCTCGCAGCCATGTTGCGCTCAATTGGGGTTGGCAATGCTTCGAGTTATTAAAACTTGGAAGCTTTTTTATGAGAATATTGGACTGCAACAAATGATGTACGTACAAATCGGCATGTAGGTACCTTTTTTTTACGCGGCGGGTTCCGGGTCGGGCCCTCGGCGAAATTTTGGTTTGTACGCAGGTACGTAATTGCGAACCGTCAATTTCCGTGCGGCTGCTTCATTCCAGCAATTGCACTTAAACAATAAATTATTATTTGTATATTTCATATTCCTTTCATTCTCTTTTTGTAAATAGGTGGTTTATTACTTGAGACTTTGCTTTGGGTTCAAAGTTTCTAACTAATAATGTTCTATACGTCATGATAAAGACTATTCGCTCAGGTCTGTGGACCTGCTCAAGATGTCTCCGACAAGCCTCACAAGCTTCTCAAGCTTCTCGAATTTCTCGAATTTCTCGAGTCCGAGACCAAAGACGGTGGCTCTCTTCTGCGCCCGGAGCTGCTCAGATCGATACCTCACAAATACCAGTCGACCATTCTCCTACCAATCTAAAACATGACGATGCACTGTTGCGCCAGATCTTCGATTCTCCACCTACCTTTAAAGACTTTGCCAAACCCTTCTTCAAAATCGCGAGTCGTGAGAATGTTGGCTTGTTTAGAAACAAATATCTAACGTCACCACAAGGCTTCCTCACATTTGCAGATATCACGATTAAGAGGGCTCAGAAGCTCGTTCACAAGGTGCTCAATGCGTCGACGTTGGAGGAATATAAGGCGGTCGTGAGAGACTTAGATAGACTGAGCGATCTACTATGTCGAGTCCTAGATGTTTCGGATTTCGTGCGGGTAACCCATCCCGACGAGAAGACCCAAGCAGCTGCGTCGCAGGCATGGTCGCTAGTGTACCAGTACATGAACCAGTTGAACACCGCGACGGGTTTAAGTGATCAGCTAGGGAAAGCTCTCGCTAATCCAGAGGTCATGGCCAGCTGGAACGAGGAGGAACAGACGGTTGCGAAATTACTACAACAGGATTTCATGAAGTCTGCAATACACCTCCCACAAGGGTCGCGGGATCAATTTGTCGACCTATCGCAGCAGATTAGCGAACTAGGGTCGTATTTCGTCCAAGACATGCAACCCGAACAGAGATTCCTCGAATTCCCCAGCAGCAAATTATATGGAATGAACCCGCAGATGGCCCGGAGGTATACCCGTGGAGGCGTTATCCGGCTGCCGACGTTGTCGCCTGAAGCAACAGTGGCACTGAGAAGCGTGCATGACGAGGATACGAGAAAGGCAATCTACTATGCAACTCGAACAGCCTCCGGCAGGTCGATCCAAATCCTAGAGGCTTTGCTACGATCGCGAGCCGAACTTGCAAAGCTATCAGGGTTTGAAAGTTATAGCCAGATGGCTTTGCACGATAAGATGATGGCCAAAACACCCGAGTCGGTTCATCAATTCCTTCTAGCTCTATCTAATCGCAATGCGCCGCTTGTTGAAGAAGAAATTGCAGCCCTCCTTCGAGAGAAGAGAAAAGCGCAGAACTCTACAGCAACTGAGATCCAACCATGGGACAGAGACTATTATATGGAGAATATTCGTTCATCTATGAGGTCCCGACGACGTAGTGATGATTTTCTGTCGTCTTATTTCTCACTCGGGACTGTCATGCAGGGCTTATCGAGATTATTTACTCGTTTATATGGAATTAGGCTCGTTCCCCATGACACCCTCCCGGGAGAGACCTGGCATCCTGACGTGAGGCGGTTGGATGTCGTGTCTGATACTGATGGACATGTCGCGGTCCTATATTGCGATCTTTTCTTTAGGGATGATAAATCTCCTAACCCAGCACATTTCACAGTACGTTGCTCTAGAGAGATTTCAGAAGCTGAAATCCAAGAAGTAGCAGAACGAGATGCAGCTGGTGTCGAAGGACTACCCAAATTTGAGTCTCCTATTGACGCGGCAAATGATGGGATGCATGTGTCTCGCCAATCCGGCTCTATAAAGCAATTGCCGACGATCGCACTAGTTTGCGATTTTGAAGAGACCAAAGGGCGTGGGCCTGCCCTCTTAGATTACTATCAGATGGAAACGCTCTTCCATGAGATGGGTCATGCTATCCACTCAATTCTAGCCCGGACTTCTTTGCAAAATGTAGCCGGAACTCGATGCGCGACTGACCTAGCAGAGCTGCCATCTACTCTAATGGAACATTTCTGTGCAGACCCCTCTGTTCTCGGGCTGTTCGCACGACATCACGTCACAGACGAACCATTACCCTTTGATATGGTCGTGGAGAAATTAAACATATCTAGGAGATTTGAGGCATCTGACAGAGAGAACCAGATTATACTCGCCATGCTAGACCAGCAGTATCACTCATCCCTACCGAATGATAGCACATTTGATTCTACGGAGATCTATTTAGACCTCCAAAGAAAATTTGGGAAGCTCCCATCGGATCCACCAGGAACCAGATGGCAAGGCTTTTTTGGCCATCTGTTCGGCTACGGCAGCACTTATTATAGCTATCTCTTCGATCAGGTCCTCTCTAAGCGCGTGTGGCAGGTTGTCTTCTCAGCGGGCCAGAACGGGGCTGCACTCGATCGAGCGAACGGCGAGAGGCTAAAGGAGAATCTACTCAAGTGGGGAGGAAGCCGGGATCCCTGGCGGTGTTTATCAGATGCGCTACAAGATGAGCGTCTAGTAGACGGAGACGAAAAGGCTATGAGGCTCGTAGGAACGTGGGTAAATAAGGACGATGTCCACAGTTAGCGTGGAAGCATGCTATATATACCCTTGCCATGACCGATGACACATATATACTAAAGCCAGTACCCCTTTACAGCCAATATTCAACACGAAGGCTCCTAGGAAAGATTCTTCTTTCATATTTGAGATCTGTGGTGGATCTTATAGAACTGTGGACTACATAAATTATAGTGAAGGCTACAGACTTGGCCGTATAGCCGTAGATTACATAGAGTCGAATAAAAATAGTTAAACGATCAACCACACATATGAGTCGTCTCAAGCCTTTCTGTAGAGTGTTTTATTAGTAATGCTTTGTGAACTCTCATACCACTCTTTATAGCGGCATAAATGAAATAATGCACTTTACCTCCAATTTTTAGGGTATCTCAAGCCATTTGCTACCTTCTAGAACGTCTCTTCATATTACAAACACGCAGGTACATGTTAGTCTATGAAAACTGCTAGAGCAGCGCCTGCACGCTTCACCCCTTCTACTAAGTCTATTGGAGGCTAAATGAGGTTGTGGAAAGACGGGTTCTAACCGATGGTGTGTCTTTCGGAAGCTTGGGAGGGGATAGGATAAAATAAGGAAGGGGATGTTTAACTGTAGACAGTATGAAGAGGCAGCTACGGGCTTAATGAGGAGAAAGTGACTTATACTTAGGTCGTTTTACATACTAAAGGTACTTCGTCGCTTCTCTCGAGGATACAATGGTAAGCATAAGGGGTTGGCCTTTACTACCTCATACGCGTACTTACCCACACCTCTTGCCATTTACACCAGTTGCTCTTACTCCCAAGTCAATTAGGAAGTCTAGTAGGCAGGTATCTAAGCATTTGAATCTTTTGTTTTATCTCTCGGGGCAGATCTCCATTACATCTTCACATCAACAACAAACATCAGTTTTGCAAAGGACCATCAAGTTACTATCATCATCACTGCTAATACTACCATTTTTGGCTTAAGAGCTTCATTTTACTGTGAACATTCATACGAGGACTCCAGATTTATTTCTGTCAAGGTAATTATCCAAAGAAGACACTAATTCAATCCGCAAATAGCTAAACCATAGACATAGATCATCAACGCCAGTCCTCTACATTGTTCTAGAGCCTTTGTTATCTCTATGTAAGTAAACTACTACTCAAACAAGTACGTTGCTAAACTTACACTTCACAGATACGAATAACACACTATACACTACATCAGTAATAGAGAAATGGCACCTTACATATACTCAGGTGTCCTCGGCCTCGCCATGCTGCTGGCCACAGCTCCCCTTGCGGTGGCACGTCAATCCCAACCCACATGCTTGCCCATGCCAGTGGTCCCCGGAAACACCACCATTTCAACCCACACTACCAACAACACCCTAATCGTCGAGGCTGACGCACCCAATCCCACACCCAGCGACTCTCCTCGCCCGGAGCTAAGAATCATCGACGAGGATCCCGTCTACAAATACGTGGGGTGCTGGTCTGAGGTTACCCTTTTAAACCCTGACGTACATGCTCTCGATGGTCCCTTCTTGGTGGCACCCGGCCTCATGAATGTCCACGTGTGCGTAGATTTCTGCCGCCGCGCCTCTAACAAGCACAACCAGAACCAGACTGGTTACCACTATGCCGGCCTTGAGTTTGCCTACCAGTGCTGGTGTGGTGACAACCTCTCGAAGCACAGCTACCACTTGATTGATGACGTCTGTGATCTTCCTGTACGTATAATTTGAAATTAGCTTCCTTCATTTCTTACCCTTATCCCATCTTTCTCCTGGACACCAATGGTGTCACGATTTTCTCCATATTATTCGAGCTCATTGAACCCCGTCTGGGAACACACCCGAATCTACTACGCTGGTTACTTGACCTCTCGCTTTGTAGAGCACTTACTAATATTCATCGTTGTAGTGTGATGGTGCAAACACGACTGTATGTGGTGGACATCTCGCTATGACACTATATAACATTACGGAAAAGAAGACTCCTGGAGATAACAATGGATTCGGCGGAAACGGGAGTAATGCTGGAACCGGCAACCAGCCAGAAGCACCCCATGATCAAGCGGCACTACAAGCCGTGGGAGTGGGTATTCTCGTGCTGGCTGTGACTTTTGCCTTGGGCTGGGGTTGCTTGTAAGGAGTGAGATTAAAATGAAATTGACGAGTGAGGATATATATGTGTGGATGAATGACTAAGTTTGAGATCGGGTGTTACTATTTGATTTCTTTACACTCTTTAGATCAGAGTCAGCGTTTGTCATAGCGTCATCTCGCAAGGAGGCGTTACGCATTGTTGTCTACTGAGTTAATCGTCGCGGGGGAAGTTGGCGGCTCATACCTCTAGATATAGGTATAGTTGGGCGTGAGAGCTGTTTGGTCAGCTGAAGTACATGAAAATCGGAGATGAAACTGAATAGTAGTAAATAGGTGGCATTCGTTGTTTGAAAAGCGTTATCAAGTCTAAATACACCGCTTCGATGATAGAGCACTCGTTTTTTTTATAACAATTCTACGTGTTCTAAGCTTTCTATCATGTCGTTCATAGTAATGTATATAAATAGGGTCATATTCGGCGTCATTTAATAATCCTAACTCATATATCCAACGGCCCTAACCCCCTCTCCCGCACCGCATTTTGTACTTCCATCTTAACCCGCCCTACGACCTCACGCCACGTCTCCTTCCCACGATACTCCATCTCCTTGCCTCCATCCCCACCGCTGTCTTCTACTAGATAATCCAACCACCGGACCAGCTTAGCCGCCTTATCCATATCCTTCTCCTCTAGCACGACGCGGACCAAGTACTTCTCCAATATCTCGGCGTCCCGCCTATGAGGACCCTCGTCCCGCGTCTCCCGGTGCCACACGTTGAGCATGTCGCGGATCTCGGGCAGCGTGGTAAGTCCGTTGGATGTGAAGCCGACTTTAGGCGGGCGTGGGTTAAAGCGTAGGCGTGTCTGGCCGTTTGGTAGGGCTGCGGGCTCTTGTTCTCCATTGCCATTGCCATTGCCGATATCTGAGGTCCTCTTGTTTTGGTTTAGTTTTGATAGGTCTAAGCCGGCGCGCTGTGCACGCCGACGGCGTTGGTGGTCGGCGATGACTTCTTGGCGTACTTCCTCCGGTAGTTCGGCGAGGAATTCCGGGTCTAGATCTTCGACGTCGTTGGGGTCGGGCTGGGGTGGTTTGGCGATTGTGGTTTGGACGATTTTGGCGCTAGCATCGGCTTGTCTCTCGCGGGCGCGGGCGAAGAGGTTGGGTACGCGGCGTTTGGTTGGTGTTCTTTGTCTAGGGGGTTGGATGATGCGGTCTCGGCGAGGGGACTGGGGGAGCGAGGTTTGTTGTCTGCTTCGTGGTCGGTATTGTTCTAGGATTTCGGCTTTCATGTCGTCTGGTAGGGCGTTGAATACCTCGGGGTCGATCTCGGGAGGGATGCCATCTACGAGTGCTGGGCTTTGAGTCCTCGATTTGACGGCTGGTGTCTCGTCGCGAGGTTCCGGGATAGCTCGACGGCCTTGCTCCATAAGCCGGCTTCGAATATCCGGGGGTAACTCGGCGATGACTGCGGGGTCCGGGTTGGATGGCATGATGAATTGGGTTCCGCTGATGTTTAAGGGGGTATTCGCTTTAGCATCTACCTTGTTTGCTTGAGATAGCGCGAATGCTGGATGGCGTTCTGGCTTCGGTTTTCGTGGAGTTAAGGGACTCTCTGTAATCGGGTCTTGCGGCTCGCCTCGACCTTGCCTTGAACTGGCCTCTTCTGCACCATTGCCATCTTGGATTGGCTCAAGGGTTGGCTTTTTGCTTAAACCAGGAGTACGAAAAGCACCGAAAGTCAGCTTCTTTTGGCTCCCGTCAGGTCCTGACAACGAAGTCTTGATTGGCTCGAGTTTGGTCAACTGTACGCCCAAACCGCGAAGGTCACCCGGGCTAAATTTATAGGAACGGAGGATCGAAACGGCTTCTTTACCTAACACTTGATAGTCGTGGGTGGCAACACCAAACATGACGCTTTTGTTGAAGGTATCACATTTGCCATGTCCTAAATGTTTTGGCGGATCAAGAGGAGCGTCAAATGAACGTCGCATGATCTTCATCGTAAGCTGTTTGCCCTTGACCTGCTCGTTTAGAAGACGTTTCTCCAATTCTTTACATAAATTAAACACGAACTCCTCGGCCTCTTCCTGGCTGATGAATCGTATTCCCCAATTGACTTCAGCTGAGACTGACTTGCGAATTGGTTGTTCGCCGACCTCCGTTCGGTCGATACCCCGAGCATATTCCCACAATTTTTCACCTGTCTTCGGACCAAGGGTATTGATTAGGCGTTCTCTGGAGGTTTGCCGGACATCGCTCACCAATTTAACACCGATCTCTTCTAGTTTCCCAGCGATGCTGTAAGCGACTCCAGGTAAATCATCAACTTTCAAGTCGCCGAGGAACTCCATTATCTCTTCTGGTTTGATCTGGTATTGGCCTGCGGGCTTGGCTTTCCGAAGCGCGACTTTTGCTAACAGAATGTTCCCTCCGATTCCAACTGAAACAGCACACCCGGTCTTCTCCTTGACTTGTTCTCTTAAGGCTGAGGCTATCTGGTCCGCCTTTTCCTGTTCCCTCCATATACTGCCCTCGTCGACTCCGGAACCATCTGAGCCAACTGCAGATAGGAGAACGGAGGTGATATCTACAAGAGCCTCGTCGATACTGACACTCTGCACAACACCGCCAACTTCTAGAATGCATTCGTAGAACGATTTGCTGGCTTGTTCGTACGCTGGAAAATCATATGGTAGTACTTTGAGCTCGGGACATAATTCCTTAGCCCGCTTCATCCACATGCCATTTTTCACGCCGTATTTCCTCGCTGGATAGTTGCAGCTGGCAATTTCCGAGCCAGATCCTGTTCCGTGTGCAACAACAGCAGGTTTATCAATGAATTCGGGTGCGCTTTTCAGCGAAACTGCACAGAAAAAGCTGTCGAAGTCAACGTGCATTACGTAGCGCCTCGCACCGGCCTTCCTTTTTGTCGGCTTTTTCTGTGAACCTTTCTCAGCGGCGAGCCTCTGCATCCTAGACTTTAACTCGGCTTTCCAGGTAGATAGATGGTGCAGCCTACTTTCAGAGTAATACTGCTGGATGAAATCTGGATTTGCTGTGGAAGATTTCCTCATGCGCGGATCTTGCAGAAGCAATGCATTATGCTCCTCAGAAGTCATCGCTTTTTGCTCGTCAACTGATGGGCCGGGTTGAATATCATCTTCGACGTCGTTCTTGACTTGTTCATCAGGCTCCTTAGTTGCCTGTGGTGCTGTAGATTCTGGGTATTCGACTAGCATCACCGAGTCTTCGTCCATCTCATCGGAAATGTTCGGCGAGTATTGCGGTCCTTGCAATACACCCGACGGCGTCGTGGGCTCAACAGTCTTATTATCATAGGCATATTTGAGAGCTGACCCTGGTCGGCTAGGTGAGATGTCTCCGAGGTGCTTTCCGTCAATAGACTGTGCAATACCTTTAAGCTGACTGTTGTAGAAACTATTCTCGGTTTGCTCCCGATATCCTGCCAGGGGTGATTGTGGACTGGATTGTGTGGATATTCCAGTCCCACTTAGTTTCAATGTCTTCTGCCTGGGGCTCTCATCTATCACTCGGTAATCTGACCACGGTAAAAGCTTTCCAGCTTTGATAGAATCTGTAACCCACGCAGGCTTCACCATTCTATACTTGCTAAAGTCGACCATCTTTTTTGGTGGTAGGCTGGATGCGATGATGTGAGTTGCCATGGTCTTGGAGTCCAAATACTGGAGAAAGCCAGCGCCATGTTGGACCAGATCACGATGAAGGACTTGGAGTGGCGGCTGCGTGTAGCCTATAACGTGCGCGACAACTCCCTTAAATATTTGAGGCTTGTCTGTCGACGAAGCTCTCAATTCGGAGTCAAGATTTTGTAATTTGATTTTCTTGCGGCGAAAGTAATCTCCAAAACCGCCAAAGGCGCTAGACTCATATTCCTCGCCCGCTTCATCTGAAAAGGTATGGTCTTCTATGCGCTTTCGCACAGCATTTGAGTTAGCATCTAAACGACTCCCCATATTGACGGGGTCTTGAAGTTGATCTCAAATAATGAGATGCCTGATTTCCATAAAATAATCTACTCGATGGCCTGTGGCGATCTTTCGATGAGAGGTCATCTTGTAATTGACGGGGTCTTAGCTGTATTGAGCATAAGACAAGATGAAGTTGACTTAATCCGGATTTCTGGCGACACCGAAAATTACGAAGAGAAATTGAAAAGTTTATGAATATCAACTTGTCAGCTTGTTTAATCTCATTCTTCACCGACAAACGTGTAATTGATAAACGCGTGGCAGAGCGACGCTGATTAATGAGACGCGGGTAAACGTCACGTCATCCCGTGACATAATTGTAGGCAATGATTCTATTAAGTGGATGCATTAAGTGAATATAGTTGTAAGTAAGCCGATATGTACTTATTGAAGCGTATAAGTACCTATCTTGGATGTTCGCATGTAAGCAGAGACGACACTATAAAAAAGGACTCTAGATAGGGGTAGTCTACGCATAGGTACCTAGGACTGAACTATCTATTGTGTTAAATAAAAAGTTGAAGTACCTACCTACCTAGTTATACATCTGTGTTATATATATAAATTCTTCGCTCACCTTGAAAAGTCAATACCAACAACACGGAAACACCGGCTATCTGCATTAATATCAAGTATGGATGCACCCTACGAACTTATCTACTATACTGGCGTCCCCGGTCGCGGAGAACATGTTCGACTGATACTCGAGGAAGCTGGTGTCTCATATAAGGACACTTCATCTCTCCCTATCGACAAATGTCGAGAGGTTGTCACAGCTTACCTTGCTCCCGACTATAAAGGCGAACGAGGAAATCCGCCTTACTACGCCCCGCCTCTTTTCAAGCACGGTGACCTTGTTATATCTCAAACTAGTAATATCCTTATGTATCTTGGTCCTAGGCTCGGACTTTCGGGATCACGAGAGAATGATATCTATCGGGTGAATGCGCTTGCTCTAACTGCACTTGACGGTCTGAGTAACGAAGTTCACGATTCCCACCATCCGATTGCCGTAGAACTATATTACGAAGACCAGAAGGAGGAAAGTTTGAGACGAAGTAAAGAATGGATTAAGAACCGCCTACCTAAGCATCTTGGGTACTGGCAGAAAGTGCTAGAAAGCGACGAATTCGGTCCAGGCCCATGGCTCTTGGGGAATACGTTCACCTACGCCGACTTAGTGTTGTTCCAGGTAAGTTACCCCTACTTCTTATACTGATTCCGTATGTACTTGAGGTTCTATCATGACTTCTTCATGTGGCATCCTCACTGTTGGATCTTTGGCTGTCGACTAATCGAAAACATGAAACAGTGCATCGATGGCGTCCAGTTCGCCTTTCCAAAAGCTATGAACCAGGCTAAAGAATCCGGCAAATATGACCGGGTCTTCCGGCTATGGGAGGCGGTCAAGGGTCGACCAAACGTCGCCGCATACCTCGCTAGCGATAGAAGACAGAAGTACGATTGGGGCATCTACCGATACTATCCGGACAATGATGTCCTTGCCGAGTAGTTTAGGGGTCTAGAGCAAGAACAATACAAAATACAGGATACTAAAATGTTTAAAAGAAGGGGCTGTAAAATATGAATAATAAACTCTACAACATACCTATTAATTCATAAGAACCTTAGCTTTAGGTAGCTACTGGTTCGTTTTGAATTAGGTACTCTGTGGTTAAATGCATATTCGACATGTTTTTAACGGACTGGGTACACCAATGAGGTCTGCACTAGCCACACTTATAGGTACCCGGTTATTTCAGTTCTTTGTCTTTTCTACATAACTTCACATGTGCATATGCGAATTCTTATTACGTACCTGGTCATTGTCTCATTGTCGATATTTCCCGACTCTTTTAACTTGAAGGCAGGATTGAACTTCAGAGCGAAGCTGGTTGATTTCGCGTTGGCAAACTACCTTCAATATAAATCATATTATATCATTGCGACGATGAACAACGAACAGTTCCGTCGCCTTGTTTCTACAAGTACCCCTAAGCCATCACCGAATAGCAATGGCGCATCACCAGGCGCAGCCACTCCTCGAGGAGCATCGCTCGGATCTAGACAGAAGTCAAGCATTCCTATGACGCCGTGAGTCTACTATCCCTCAACTTTCATTGCATACGTTATTAACTAATCCAGTCGCTCAGTTGGCCTTCATAATAAATCCGATTTCGCACGACAATTAGCAGAACGCAACCATGGCGGCGACAAACAACCAAAAAAATTCAAGTCATATAATCCCAAGGGTAGCAAATTAGCAGAGGGATATGTAGACCGCTCTCAGAACAGAACTTCGGAAGAGGAGGATGAACGAGCAGCGCGAATAAAAGCACTAGAAGAATCCCTCAAGAAGGAAGAGATCGACCAAGAGACTTTCGACAGACTCAGGAGTCAAATTGCCGGTGGTGATTTATCTAGCACTCACTTAGTAAAAGGCCTCGACTTCAAACTCCTCGAACGAGTACGAAAGGGCGAAAATGTTTATAGCGATAGCGGCGAGAAGGAAGAGGAATCCGAGCCGGAAGAAGACATCGATGAAGAGCTGGACCAATTAGAAGAAAAAGAAGTTGCGGCGGTCGCAAGAGAGAAAGCAGCAAAAAAAGGACAACTATCGACAGCACCACTAAATCCATCGAAGAAACGAACGAGAGACCAGATCCTAGCCGAGATGAAGGCAGCAAGAGAAGCAGCAAAGGCCAAAGAGGATACGGGTCTAGGATCGAAGTTCAAGAAGATTGGCGCGAAGACTCCCGGAATGAGAATAGAGCGAGATAGTAAAGGCAGAGAAGTATTAATAGTGGTGGACGAAGATGGCCACGAGAAGCGAAAAGTTCGCAAGATTCAGGCAACAGCTGAAACGTCATCGAAAGATACAGATATGATGATGCCTGATAAGAATGCAAAACCTCTCGGCATGGAAGTTCCAGAGCAGTACAGGAAACAGGCCGAAGAATCAGATGATGAAGATATCAACATCTTTGATGATGTTGGTGACGACTACGATCCTCTTGCTGGGCTAGAAGAGGAAGACTCCGAAGACGATGAGTCCGCCGCGAAGAAGCCACAACCATCCGACATAAGCCAGGAAGATAAGGTTGCCATGCCTCCTCCACCACGGCCAGCTACTACAACAGAGTCACGGAATTACTTTAAGGATTCCAAGACCAAATTGGTGTCATCTGAGTCGCTTAAGGCACCGTCTATGTCTGATCCGGCAATACAAGCAGCCCTCAAGAAGGCAGCATCTCTAAATCCTATATCCAAGTCGACAGAAGAGGAAGACAAGGAAGCAAGTGCTAAAGCGGAACGTCTAAAGAAGATGCTGCAGAATAACGATCGCGACGCAGAAGATATGGATATGGGCTTTGGTACAAGTAGATTTGAGGACGAAGAAGACTTTGAAGAGCAGAAGGTCAAATTTTCAGAATGGGGACGGGAGGGTGACGATGAGGGTCATGGTGGAGGCGGTCCTAAACGTAAGAGAGGGCCCAAGAAGCGAAAGGGGGATGCCAATAATGCAGCGGATGTGTTACGAGTCATCGAGAAACGGCGAGCCGCTGAATGATTACTTAGTAAAGGATGATGCTATAGTAGTTTGACACTTGGCTTATTAAAGCTAGGTACGAATAGTAATAATCAATACCAAAAGAATAAGAAGTATTTAGACTATTGTGATAGAATTGAGTGTAAAAGAACTATGGTTATGGTGTGAACAACAATTCCCACGGCCGGCTATCTATCACCTATCCAAACTCGAGTCCCACAGACCAAAAAATGCGTATTTCCGTCCCTTTTCCACTTTTCCGTGACCGACATTCGTCTTTATTTAGCATGAACATAAAACCAAATCTTGTCAACCGGCCAAAATACCTATAAGTTAGTTCTTTAACTTAATCGTCTAACCTTAGGTACCTAATCTAACCTATAACCATTCTACCTTCCAACGAGTACTACCAAATTATAATATTAAATATGCCGGAACCTGTCCCACTTTGGCTGGATTGCGATCCGGGCCACGACGTGAGTTCTATTTCATCCACCCTTTTGTCTTTATCCAACCAATCAATCGCCGGGCTATTTCTCAAGCGAGACTTCGTTTCCCCGGGGCCGCCACCCCGCTGCATCCCTGGTTACCGCCGGTTCGGCGTTGGAGTAGTCCTGCGTCAGACGGGCGTCGGCTCCGCGCGAGATTTGCGCCCGACGCTGTAATACCGGTGTGCCTCATCATATTTTACTTTATTGTGTATAGAATATCTCTTTCTATCTATATGTCAGGTACCTTATATAGAGACTAGTACACATATTACATCAACTACCTAAAGTACATACTCTAACCTCACCACCTCAGGACGTCTTCGCCATCCTCCTAGCAGCCTACCACCCCGGCATCCGGCTCCTAGGTCTCAGCACCGTCCACGGCAACGCGCCCCTAGACAACACCACTAACAACGCGCGCTCGGCCCTCGCCGCCATCGGCAAGCACCACGACGTCCGGGTATACCCCGGCGCCGCGCGCGCCCTCCAGCGCCCCCCCGTCCACGCCGTCGACATCCACGGCGAGACCGGGCTCGACGGTACGGACCTGCTGCCGCCGCCGCCTCCGATGCCCGCCGCACAGCAGGCCGAGGGTCCCGTCTCTGCCGTCGACGCTATGGCCCAGGCGCTGCGGGGGTGCGCCCCGGGCACGGCGTGGATCGCGGCGACCGGCGCGCTGACGAATGTCGCGGAGCTGTTTGCCGCGCACCCGGACCTAGTCGCGCGGATCAAGGGGCTGACGATCATGGGGGGTAGTGTGGGGGGTGGGTTTACGCCGGCGGTGATGGGCGTTGTGGACGGGGTGCCGCGCGTGGGGAATTACACGCAGTGGGCTGAGTTCAACGTGTTGATCGACCCCGAGGCTGCGGCTGCGTTGTTCAAGGACCCCGTGTTGGCGACGAAGATTACGCTTGTCCCGCTAGATCTAACGCATCTTGTGCTGGCGACGAAGGATGTTCAGGATGTGTTGCTGTATGGATCGGCTTCTGAGGATGGGGATGGAGCTGGTGTGCGTGAGGGGAGGGGGAAGTCGGATTTGAGGGTTATGTTGTTAGAGTTGTTGAATTTCTTTGCTGGTACTTATCGGTGAGTGGTTTCTTATACGTCGTCTTTCTTTCTTTGTTATTTATCTTCGGTATGGATGTACTAACTATGATATGTCTGCTCTCCAGCGAGGTGTTCGGCATCATAGAAGGCCCGCCTCTACACGACCCGCTGGCGGTAGCGGCCGTGCTAGAAGGCACCGAGTACGAGATCCCGTTCTACGACTACGACCCCAAGAGTCCTGAGGGGCCAAATCGACGGGAGCGCTTCGCAGTCGAGGTCGTAACCGAAGGTACGCTTGAGGATGCTAGAGAGCGTGGCGCGCAGACCGGCCGTACCATTGCCACATTATTGCCCCCTGGTAGTGAGGGCGTCCGGATACCGCGCGGCCTAGACATCCCGCTTTTCTGGAAGGTCATCGAGGAGTGTTGTGAGAGGGCCGACGAGGCGAACAAGAAGATCCTGGCTACTAAGCCTGCAAACTGATTGGTGACTAAATAGATCGGGGTATAAAGCTTTAGGAGAGAGTGACAGCAGAACTGATCGATAGACTGGCAATGAGTTCATGACATAAATTACCTCGGTAGACATCCATAGCATTTGTATACATTGGACGCATAAGATAGCTTACTATCTGCTTTAAAATACTCGTAGAATGAATAAACCAACAGTCCTGTTGACATTATTCTATGAAAAAACTCTCCAGAGTTCCCCGTTTCGTCACAATTATAATACACACTATTGCTAGCCAAATGACACTTCTAGTCAAACTCCTGGAATCCCCCTGATGTACACTATCCATACCCTATCCTACCAACGCCTTGTTCAGTCATCGCCCGTAAGATCAATAACATCGATATACTTGTGCTTCTCTCCAGTAATAGGGTTAGGAATCCTTTGTGTCGGTCTCGACGGTGTGCTACTGCTACCGCCACCCACTGGACTCGAAACGCCATGATCGCGCCGCGTCGATGGTGATGATCTATTTTGTGCTGTTCGCTTGCGTGCGCTTTCACTGATGCTTCGGCTAACGTCGAGCATAGATCGTTTCGGCGTCGGCCGTGGCCGCGGCGCGGGCCTGGCTGACCCTGCGGCAACAGCGGTGGATAATGTTACCGGCGGTCGAGGCGGCATATTATATAGATTCGACGTTGTTAAGGACGAGTTTGGGTTGCGGGCACGCGAGGTGGCATGCATTAATTCGATTTGCTGTAGATGGGCTTGTTTGGTACTGCATACGACAGGTTGTGGTTGTTGACGTTTGAGCATTTTCATGCTCATGATGTCGTCGTACTGGTCTCCTAGTACGGTTCGTAGCATCTCTTGATCAAAGGTCTCGAATAAGAATTCTGCGTGGAGCCGTCGCGTCCACCAGACATTCATGGCTGCTTCGAACTGCGCGCCCAAACTCCATTTGCAGTCATGACAAGAGCATGGAGGCGCCGGCTGTTCCAGGACGTAGTTCATCACGTAGGCTTTGAAGAAACTCTGGTATATTTGCATCCAGTATGGAACCGAGAGAAGGACCCTACGTTTCTCGAAGACTATAAACAGCCCATGGAGAAGCGGTATCCAAAATAGGTCTAATTCTTCCCCCTTGACTCTATCCGCTTGAGCGACTATCTTCTGAGCGAGCAAGGTAAGGTGTTTTTGAAGCTTGAGTTCGACAAGGGTAGAAATGAACCTTAGAAATGACTTGTAGGTCACGTACTGAGGGCCAGAAGTGTTTCTAGAGCCATTTACGCCTATGTCGGAGGGAATTTCCGCAGCAGTGAGGGCGTCCAACTCGAGCTTGTTAATTGCTGCTAGTGCTATACGCTCATAAACAGCACGTATGTCGTCCTTGGGAATCTGAGAGTATTTCAAGTCGAACGATTGGAGGAAGCCAATAATAAAGGCTGTTAAACTACTACAATCTTCCAGCACAGGTACCACACTAATTGGATCAGCATCAGCCCCGAAATGTGTTAGCAATGGTACTTACACCGTCTTCAAGTATTCAAACCCCAAACAATAAAAAGAGAGGTTAAAAAGGGCTTTTCCGTCTTCCTCTTGGAGCTTTACCCTTCGGCAAGCTTGCAAGCACTCGTTGATTGTTCGAGAGGCAAGGTTTCGTAACCCCTCATTCTCTTCTAGATCTACATTAACATTGCATAAAGCCGTCCATCGTTTGTGAATTGTAGGTTGAAGGTTGAAGGCGTATAGAAATCTGTATGTAGTTAGTTTTTCCATCAACCAATAGCTTTATGTGTAACCTCACACTTTCTCAAAGGTATCGCTAGAGATGGCCGATTTATCATATTCTTGCCCTAACCAAGCGAAGAATTCAGTCGGGGGAGGTTCTTTATATTCTGTCATGATTAATCTAAACAAGCTATGGTTCTCGTTCTGAACAGAGAGTTGAAGGACTTTCAAACTATGATCTGGGTCAAGCTTTTCTCTGAAATAGGTTGGTTTGACGTTAATGTTGAAAATTTCGTATAGTTGGTTTAGTCTCGCAGCTTTTCTTGAAGAGCTTGTGTACTGGTCAATTAAGAAATCACAAACGTATCGGAAATCCATAATTCTTAGACAGTCCATGAAATGAAACTTATATGAAGTAATGAATGGGACTGTCCCTTCGCAAGGAACAATAACCAATGTCTAAGAATGTAATTAATAATTGAATAGGCTTTAGTATGCTGTATCGGTATGATGTTGACTTACTGATGTAAGATACCGAGATGTTTGTTGAGGTCCCTACCACTTCGTTAGTTTCATTACCAGCCAGTAGGATTTAACGAGGCATACAGCTAAGCCCACGTATCCTTCGTACTTTTCGTCCCAAGGCGTGCCAGTAACGGAATTCTCCTGCAAAATGCACTCTTCATCAAGTTTCAAATTCGAGGCTAGTACTCTTCCTTCAACGTCGACCATCCCCGTCAACATATAGGACACATCACAGAACTCATCGGTTGTATCACAATCAACATCCTCCTGTTCCTCTTCTTCCTCGTCGTCATGGTCGCAATAACAACCCATGTCCCAATCCGGACGACGTCTGTCCTCGATAATACGAGTCTCTTTTTTTTCTAAAGTGGCCAAAAAGACATCGAAGTCCAAATCGGTACACATGGTCCGAAGACATCTAACTCGCTCACGGTCCGCTTCTTTGAGCCCTTGGTACGATACTCCTCCGCAATAATCGGTATAATTGACATCAAACGCATAGCAAAGAGGCAAAGGTTTCCTCGAACCATTACTGACTTCTTGTGACCACGACTCGAGGGCCGCACGAAGCGCCTTGTTCTCAAGACGACTGGCTGCTGTTGGCAATGCAGCCGTTGGGTCTATCGCAAGCTTATAAACCAGAACCCAGTTGTACCCGCTCTTGACGGGTAAGACCTCATAAGAGGCGTCGGAAAACCTTAGCAAGAAAGTCATTAAGACTATGTTCAAGTGATATAGTGATGTACAACATACCAAAAAGCGCACGCCATATCATGCCGCGAAGTAGGTAATAGCTTTGAAGCGCCGCGGTAGTTGACAACCACGTCCCCACCTTCGTGATGTGAAGGAAGATTGATGACGAGCGTCCCAAATACCCCAGGGATCTTCTCAGTACTACATGCCGATGAGTTCTTATGACCGGTCAATTCTTAAAAGGGTGGTGCTTACTCCGGAGCGGTCTTAGACATAGCACCCTGTTCATATAAAAGCATTTTGTGCAACTCCGCAGAAATAGGGGAAGTAATGTTCAACTTTCTAGCGACGTAAACTAGAGCCTTGTTCAAGTAGGTTTGCCATGCTGGCGCTCTTATCTTGAATTGATCCGGATTGAGTTCCCATATGTTTGGTACCGGCGTGTCAACAATTGTCTCGTTACTGTTTTCATAGGGGGCTTGATGCGACTTGGCAGCAATTTGTTTTGCCTGAGTTTCCGAAAGAGGATTATCAATCATTCCAACATCCTGCACGAATATATATGGATTGAGAGTATTGATTCGAGTCATGGATGCGAAGCTGGCCTTTTTATGAATTGATTCAAGCGCCTTGAGCAAGTCTGACTCCTTGAATGGCTTGTCCGGAAGACCGATATGGTCTTCTACGTTTGGCTCCATTTTGTACGGACCAGGCATTTCAGTATATCGGGTACCACCAAGAGATTTTCTGTAATACGAGACATCGACGTCGACGATCCCAAGGCTTCATCATTAAAACGCGTTAAAATAGTAATTATACGACGCTAAAAACGCGACTTTGTCGTGTTTTACACAGACCATGCTTAAAGTGGAGATTTCGGCCGGGGGCCTCACTAATACGATAGGCACCGTGTAACCGTGTAACTGTGTAACTATCCCGGCTTACAAGCCCCTTTTCCTCCGTAATTCTCGTCACACATGATATCTAAATAGGTACATAACACAACCTAGTAAATATTCAACTAAAAGCCAAATAACTCCATTTTAAATGCAAGCCACCAACTTCATCTCCTCGCCGGTCGCTCATCAGCAAATTCATCATCCCTGAGTTGTTTGCGCTTCAGTCCAGCATACATCAGGGGTTGCGGGACAGCATATGGTTCAATTATTATCAAGTCCGGTTGTGGGTACTCTGAGTAAGGTGGTTCGATTCCAGTAATGTTATAATAATCCCTCCCTAATATAAGCAGCAAACTCCTCTGGTTGAGAGTTGCGAGTTGTTGTCTGACATTTTCCACTCGTTTAACCCAGCTGGACTTGATTAATCTCTGGTTAGATGTTTGTCTTTGTTCAACCTGAGTAGGGATCGGCTCTTCCATGACAATATATCGGGTCCAAAACGACTGGATGATAATTCGTATCAGCGTTGAGAATGTAGGATCTTCAACCGATATTGATCGACTTTCTAGAATATCCATGAAACCGCCGGCGAAAGGTACGTAAAGGTCTGCAAATTCGAGCAAGTCAATTCTTTCGCTTTGCTCCACCAACCTCTTTGCCAGGTTACGCAAATCACTTTCCATACCGAGGTCAAATAGAAGTTTGCACATATTGAGTAATGTGTCACTAGTGACCGGCGGAGGAGGCGGTGCGATTGTATTCCGATTGGGCTGCTTATGATCTCCTCTCCGAGACGCTCTTTGTTGTTGCCAACGTTGGAATCCTTGTTCGCTAATGAAGCGAACCACGTCAAGTCGCACGATTAGAGACTTGATAGTATCTTTTAGAAACCCAAAAGAGTCGGAGACTTCCAACCTACCTTGGCGAGCACTGACATATAATTGCCAACTAAAACCCAGCGCGAAGGCGACGTTATCGCACCTATTAGAAATCAGGGGGGCCAGTCTACTTCATGTTAGATATACACGAGTGACTATTTATGGAATGAAGCCTACTTATTCAACAGCCAGTCATAATCCCGGTGATTACAGGCAATAAGAACAAGAGTTTCGCCATCCTGTTCATAGAGCGTAGAAGTATAGCAAAGTTGGACCATCTTGTCCAACATATTTAGAACAAGTTCCCGTAGTTCTTTTGGCGTCCCATTACAGGCAGCGTTTAAGGTTAAAATGTACCTATACTGATCACCAAGGGTTTGCTGTGCTAAAACAGAACGGTCGAAACTATAGCTGTTAGTAATGACCCAGACGACGAGAACGAAAGAACTAACGCCGGCCTCAGTGCAGTGAGTGATAGCTCTGACCCTTGAAGCTTCACTGCGATCCACGAGAAAAATTGAGGCGAAAGATTGACTTCGATATTATTACAAACTAGCTCAAAAAGGCCGCGATCCTGAAAAACAAGTGCTACTTGGAGGACTTTGGCGATAGTAGGTTCAGGGAGTTCCATCTTAAGGCGCGTCTTCGCTTTCTGCTGCGAGAACAAATACCCGCATAGATCAGCTAACGTCTCAAAATACATGCCGTCACTTGCCGGGACGTTGCATCTTGATGAGAAATATTCTAGGAGATCAGCTATGGGGTTCACATCGCCAGCCTCTAAGAAGTTACTCAGAACAATAGTTGACATCGCGGCTTGAGGAATTATAAGTAGAGCCTTGCAGATATGTTAGTTAAAATCTCTTGTATTACGCCATTACTAGGCGAGACTAACCGATGATCGATAATATCGGCAGAGTCCACATAACTGCGAAGGTTAGCTATCTGAAAGCATAGAACTTGGGAGGGTCGGGACTAACGGCAGGGTGGATGGGTTCATCATAGCCTTCGGGGAGATCGTCTTCCTCGTCAGGCTCACAGTCAATAAAAGTATCACCTTGGAGAATTAAATCGGATTTTATGTCTAAACTATGCGGTTTTCGATTGCCATAGACATCGAAGGCTAATTTTAACGACCATTCTACAACCGCAATATCCTGGGCTCCATGTTGTAGAGTGTCCTCTTCGCTTTTTTCAAGCCCAATGCCCATGAAGTCAGTTTCGGCGCCTATCTCTCGCTTCTCTATTTGGGCGATGAAGACATGGAAATAATATTGAGGCTCGAGACTTTGCAGGCAGCAGAAGCGGGTCAAGTCGGGAGGTGTCAAGCTGTTAATAGAGATATCCGTGCTCGATGAGTCTTGAAGTACATAGAGTAAGGGAGTAGCTAGTTGATTAGACATCCATTTCTGAATCGCGCTTTCAAGCTCATTGGAGTTATTGGATGAGTTGTTATTATTCAACGGAAGGGCTTCGAGGGCGTTAAGCATTTCTATCTTAAACCCGGCAGTACGGACATCGCTATGAGACGTCGCCATGACACCGAAATATTTAAGTTGCCGTGGTACTTGAACGTTTAGATGTAGTGATTTGATCTGTAGCTGAATACATAGGTGACGGTTTAAGTTTCATGGCAGCTTATATATGATGGACCTTAAGAGATCAATATTTCCTATAATCTGTATGTTAAGTACATAGTAAAGGTGCCGCGACGCGCGTGTGTATTAGATTGTGTATTAGATTTAAGCTAGGGTCTAAAAGAATTTGAGCTCTTAGATAAATAAGTGTCTGCTAATATGAATATCCGTCTAATGAGGAGTTAGGTAACATCCGTCATACAGTGTGATTGAATTTTCAGCCTTACCAGATCCCACACACCAATTTAGGTGCATTTCTCATCCTGTTATTTTTTCTCACTATTTTCCCCTTAGCTTCTGCCTCTTTATTTTTCTTACGCAAGTGGTAGCACAAGCGTCAGGTATATAATAAATAATAACGTCAAAAAAACTCATCGGCAACCAACCAATGAAAGGTGGTATAGTATAATGGCCAGTACAACACGTTGTGGATGTTTCTACAAGTGTTCCGTGTAGATCTGGGTTCGATTCCCAGTACCGCCACATTATTTTTATTTATTTTTTCTATCTTTGTTTGCTACAAGGTCATGCAGAAGTTGTTTTTACTTGTTCAGTCAGGTTTACAGTTGCCTATTGGCATATACGTTAGGTACCTAGGTACTCTCTAAGTACTTACTGAACATCAACAACGAGGGGTCTCGCTACGCACTTACACATGATACCAACTTAAACAGTCTCTCTACCTTATTCTTCTCTAGACCTTAAGACTATCTACTCCCCAGAGTTTCCGGCGGATATAAGAAGCATGGTCGGATGAGGGCGGTGGATAGCCGTTCCCAAGAACTTGGCTGATGTCATATCGCTTGTCTTTTTCGCGATGAATTACCTGCACTTGCATATGGCGATAAGTTGTAAAGGTCAGTATGAAGCCACTTACGAAAGAGTACTGAAATATTGGCTGCTTGTCTACATATCTGCTTGTCTGCTTGTCTGCTTGTCTGCTTGTCTGCTTGTCTGCATGAATTTCTTGTAAATTGTGTCTTATTCTGGAACAATTATATCAACACCCCTTTTCGGAATCTTATTCCTTATTACATATGAATTTCAGCTAATAAGATCATGAAATACTACAGTTTTCAGCCTGATAAGACGTTGGTTTTAGTTACACAGCAGAAATCAAGAAACGACACGATAATTTCCAATATACACACGAACATGCTACGGAAGTAGGATCATGAATGGAAACACATGGGCCGAGTAGAAATGGAATAGTTGATAACTTCAAGATGTATAAAGTCACGGATCCATACACAGATAGGACTCAGTAAACCAAGAAACCAGACCCAAGACGAGCCTCCCCCCCTATTTGAACAGTTTTCTGCTCAGAGTGTCTTCTTCTATGCCCCTTTTCTCTAAGGTCATTCTACCTTATACTATACAACAACCATGCATGTCTACGTTGGGAAACTCAACTGGTACGAATACGCAAAAGATGAATGCATAACAATTGTCTTCCCCGCTGGCTTCGCTCTCAAGGACCCTATTTGCGCATATTGGCAATGGTCGATCAGCGCTGCTGGAGTTTCGAAGGAAAACCACATTCAGAATGGCTCCATCACTGGCGTGACCAGCACAACTAACGAGTATGGCGTGCGGTCCGAATCCGGTTACTATTCTTTCCAAGGATACGTTTCAGCCGATTTTAAATCTTTAACTCTGACTATGACAGACCCGAACGGCAAACATGCCTCGGTCAAGTTATCGTTACGCTATGGTGATACTATGAGAATCCCATCTACCTCAGTCTTCACTGGGAAACTCGATTGGCTTACATACAGCATAAATGAGATGGCAACACTGATAATCCCTAGAGACATCGCCAATGACCAGTCTGTAATTCTCAGCCGCCAATGGACTGTGGATCATAATGGTACTCACAAGGGGAATGATGTCCTTAGTACCGTCATGAGGGCTGTGAAAGTGGATGACGACGGCAATATAACGGCAGAATTTGGTGATGGCTACTACACATATAATTTCACAATCCTCAAATCCAATGGCAGCATGTTACTAGAAATGACCAACGTGGAGGGAGTTGTCGACCCTAAAGCCCCGTACAGCTTGGCGCAGACAGATTTCAGAGACCTCGGCGTGAAGAAGATAAGTATTCTCTCCCAAATCCCCCCCACGCACCAACTGACAGTCCATGCAAGCATTAATTGTGCGCTATGGGACAGGAACCGACGATGGGATCTTTAAGGTGCAGGATATGCTTATAAACTATCTCGGATTCTCTAGCAACGACGTGGAGATCTTATACTTCGATATCGACCCGCCCAGTGGGCCAAAGAAGTGCACTCTTGGACAAGATCCGCCGACTATAGCCAACTTCAAGTCGAAATTCACGGAGCTATGTACAAGCGCCGTAGCCGGCGATGTGAGTTTCTTATATGTCGATGCACGTAACACTACATACCCCGATGAAGATGGGTCCAGTACGCGAGATGATGATGAAGGTTGGTTTCTAGCTGCAAATGACGACGGAACTTCTAAAGGAATCCTGACCGACGTCTGGTTGGCCGGTACTATTAGCAAGGTGAGCTTCCTTAATCTTGGGTTTTATTCATAGCTCATCATTTGGGACACTCAGAATCTTAAGAAGGGCGTCAACCTCACCATCACAACCTCCTCATCCATAGGCAGCACTCAGCTGGATACGCTCCAGGCGGTACCAGGGATCCTCCTCACGGGTTGCCACGAAACTCAATTCAACATCAAGGCACTCAACGGTAAAGATCCATGGATAGTCGCCGTAACCTCGGTTATAAAGGATAACGTCCGTCGTCGACGTGGTGTGCCAACGTACTTGACACTCTTCAACGAGGCCAAGAACTTCATCCGCGCCCAACTTGCCAATAAGCAGCTTGCTGAGAACTATGAAGGCCCAAGTCCTTCAGAATGGGACCCAGTTCCGGGACGCCAAGCGGATAATACGAGCAACCAAGATCCGCAGTTGACGTTCTATCAGGACTTTTTTGACCTGAGTGAGGAGAGGTTTCTGCTCCCATTTCAAGCGCCAGGCAACGAGGAAGCTGAGGGGCAGGCGGTTAGGTTTCCAAGAGATGAATACCCACGCGAAGAGCTATAAGTACCTGCTGAACGATATGTAGCAATGCTCAAAGGTAGAATCCTTCATACGCTCCCTTATGTAGATGGCATAACTAGCAGGACGAAGACAAGATTGTGGAATGCGAGACTGTCGCGATTTGATGTTTTGATACAAGATATCTGGGACTTGACTACTCTTAAGACACTCATTATCAAGGACATAAAGTTTGTATATTTGACTTTAGGTATACAATTGAAGTATCGTAAGAGGTACTCAATGTGTACCTATACTGGAAACCTTTTATCCATCCTTAGTGGGCGACCGGACTTTTGAGAGAAAGAGATTCAAGCATGGCTAAGGGTTATTAGTAGTAGAAAACTAGCCCCTATTCCGGGCCTAGATGAATGAAATACTTCTTCTAACTTCCTATTCTCAACAGAAAGGATAAGTGTTATCCCAACCCATACCGTTATTAGATCATCTACGTCAACGATCTTCCAACTCTATTAGTAGTAGTCTAGTAGTCTAGTGTTAAATAAGCCACTCATGCAACAGCGGAGGCATGTTATTACGTCTTGCTCGCAAAGCCCCCCGTGCCTGCGCTACATATATCGCCACCTCCACTCGAGAGCTCACGTCTTCTTCTCCAACCTTCAAACGCATTTCAAATCCAAAGGCTACGGCAAGCCACCAAGTACTACGGGAAACTCAACACGTCAGTTAGTCGTCGAGTTGATGTCAACCATGATCCTTCAATCCTATACGTGGAGATCTTCTCACCGGCCTCTCTCTTATTCGTATAAATAAATTGGGGCGTTTGGAGTTAGTTGACCGGGCGCTTTTCGAATTCCGTGAAACCACCCCTATTTGTAGAATTTAAACATTAAGATGTTTTTTATGGTAGTAGCATCGGGAACCAGCAGGATGAATATATTAATATCGCGATTTGATACAGCTTGTAATTACATTAAGGGGTCGACAGAAACATCCTTCAGCCATGGAATATCTTGTGTTGGGAAACGTGCTGTCATATAATTTATACAATGCCCGAGTTTACGAGGGGTTATTGTGTCGAAATTTTTCCATGGCCGAATTAGGAAAAATATTTTCGCCCAAATAAGAAAAAGTAACTCAATGGGCAATGATTGACACGTACACAATTATGTAAACTCAGGCATATTATGCAGCCCGCAGGGCTGCCTCCTGTACTTACTTGGTGTTCTCCAAAATTGTTTTATTTCCCTATTGGTTCGGACACTGCCTTGATCACGAGTCTTCCGGCGGCTTTCTTATATTAAAGTAACTTGTATAAACAAGTAAGATAGTACATAGCCGTATATACATACTCACGAGATAATTACTGTATTCGTTTTCCTAGGTAATTATAATAATTCTAAAGCAATGACATTATATTCATTTGAATTGTTATGGGTTAGTTAATGTTGAAATAACTTTAATTTAGTCGATGTCTATTGAAGAGTAGTTAACGTATTACGAACTTGCTATACTCTAGCCATAAAGTTGACACACACCACCTTACAATAAACCCGTGTATTGCCTTATATGGTCAAGACATGTGTCTAGATTCAAATGCGTGATTTAACTCATCGAGATTAGTTCATAATGCTATATCCGAAAACAAAGGTAAGCCCGGATTTATTTTCTATGAATTGTGCTACTGGCATAATACTATAGATCTACAACATAAGCACCTATTATCGGACTTCGGTATCTATCTGACATGCATTAATCACTTGCATAAAGAAGATGCCTTAGCCTCAGCTACAGCGGTTTTCTCGATATGACTATCTGAGCTAGAGTGAGATATGACTATTCCTAACTTGGGTGTAACGTCGTAATAGGACTATGGACGAAAATGGGGAAAGCCTTTTTTGCTATACTAGTATGATGGTATTATACTATATAGGTATCTATATGTGTGACACGTAAGGGGATTATCGTCAACAGATCTGAATTACCACGATCCAGACTCCGAGATCTCACCTTAGAGATAATTGTATGTTAAATCGCATGATTAACGTTCTATCCAACCGCTTTATAAAAGGGAAATCTTAGAATGGATTCAATCCGAGTAAGCGGGTGTTGGGTTGCGACGGGGAACCACTCCGTTCCTACATGAGACTAAGTCCCATAAGAAGAAATACTCTTACACTATTGGCTCCATCTTGTCTGATCTGCTCTTCAAAATAATCGTAGGATCTCACTACTACGGAAACATAGATATCCACTCATATGATGAAGGCGCTCTGCGGCGGGATCCTGTTAACTCGGGGTATTGGTGGGAGAATTGGCTTATAGATGTTGTATGGTGGCAGTAGAAAACCCTGCATATATTAGACGTGACGCTCGCACTTTATTATGCGTGGACCTGCATCTTCGCATGTAACCCCTTTACCCGTCTAAAGATATCACCATGTCTTCTATCGCGCAGTCAGCCATTGCTAAGTTGAAGGATGCCGGCTTGGGCGATGTCTTACATGTCCCTGGCGAAGAGGCCTACCAAGCAAAGGAGGGGTCTTTGGCACCGTTCTCACAGCGATTAGGGCCCTGGGCTATCGTACAGCCCCGAAACACAGAAGAGGTCTCTAAGGCGTTAAAGGCTCTGGTTAGCACCGAGGGCCTTAAATTCGCTGTCCGAAGGTGAGTATCGAGTAGGCGACTATGAGTCCCATCGTCTTGTTACCAGTGTACCATCGAAAGAAGACGCTAATAAAATATCATCTGAACAGCGGAGGCCACATGTGGGTGGATAATAGTAACAACATCAAAGACGGTGTAACTATCGATCTCACTTTGCTGACGAAGCGAACTTACAACCCCGAAACAAAACTTGTGTCGCTTGAGCCTGGAAGTAGGTGGAAGGATGTCTACAGAGAGCTGGTGTCGCGTAAGTAGAGCTTATATAACCCCCGAGCGCATGAGCAAGATCTAACAGTATAATAGAGGGACTTCTGGTTGTCGGAGGTCGCGAGGCTGAGGTAGGTGTCGGTGGATTTTTGATCGGTGGTGGTATATCATTCTTCATCGCTAGCAAAGGATGGAGTTGTGGTAAGTGACCCCTTAGTAATTAGCATCTATGTGGAAGCTAGGTATAAGGGGTCGTATGAACGCTAACGCGGGTCTCAATAATTAGACACAATCGTCAACTACGAGGTTGTTCTAGCCGACGGCAGCATAGTCCAGGCGAACAAAACAACGAACCCGGACCTATACCTCGCGCTGAAGGGCGGCTCCTTCAACTTCGGTATAGTGACACGGTTCGACATGGAATCTATGGAAGCAAAGAAAATATGGTGTGGCATGGCCGTATACCCCAGAACCACCAGCGACCAAATCGTCGACACTTACGTCGACTTCGTAAGCAACCTAGCTGCCAACCCGGATGATTACGCCTTCCTATACTACTACCACGCGCCCCTAGTGAAGGACTACACGATAAGTATAAACGTGTCCGACGTCAACGGTGTCGAGAACCCGAAGCCCCTCCAGAAGTTCCTAACCCTCTCGAACCCTATCTCGAAACCCGAGGACTTCAAAGTCAAGACGCTGTATGAGAAGCTAGCGGACTACGTAGTCCCCTCGGCGAACTAGTAAGTCAAACATTCTTCAATTCCACCGCTATTCATTCCTTGGCTAACTAGCATCTCCAGCACCAACTGGGAGGCCATCACCGTACAGGTCGACGCCAGCGTAATGCGCAAAGCAGCTACCGAGTACGAAGCCCTAATAGAAAAGTTCCGCAAGGCGATCCCCGACGACAACTTCAAAGCCCAAATGGTCACGCAGCCGGTCCTCAAGTCGTGGGCCGATATTTCCGCCGCCAAAGGTGGAAACGTGCTTGGAATCGAGAACCTGCCAGGCGACTGCGTCAACATCCTTATCGGGATAGAAGTCCAATCCCTCGAGCTGCGCGACCAAGTTGGCCGACCCGCGGTGAAAGCGCTGCTTGCCGCTGTCAAGTCCTTCGCTAAGTCGATCAACAAGGACGCCGACTGGCTCTACCTGAACTACTGCACGGATGACCAAGAGCCTTTCTCCACGTATGGCGCGGAGAACGTCAAGATAATAAAGGCCGCGGCGGCGAAGTATGATCCCAACAGGGTCTTCCAAGAGCGGGTACCTGGTGGATTCAAGATCTCCAAGGCGTGATAGAATAAAACCGCGTTTCTCGCACCAAGAGACATGAGTGAGCTTGTAAGGTCGAGTCTTGTAAAGGCCTATTCTTTTTTATTCAGCCATTGTGTGTATTGAACTGGGTACTGTCCATTATGTACAAGTGAAACAAGATGGGAGACAAGATCGCTAGGAAGTTAGGATCTTGAAAATAGAGGCATATACAATAAGACACTCAGCTAGTATAATACTATTACGACCGATTCTTCATGATTTCTTTCAAGATATCTAGGTTGTGTCGTGAACTAGACGTTAGGAAGAAGCAATTATAATTCCATATGATCTCCCATGCCTTCCTCCCGAAGTTTTCGCCCAAGTTCATCCTTCTCATCAACTTCTTCCTTGATTCGTTGTTCTACCTCATCCCTGATTGGACCAAGATCGGGCGGAATGGTAGAAAACTGCACGCTGGGTGCGGTTTCGACGAATCGCAGCTGCTCGGTGACGTGTTCTATGATATCGTCTAATTTCTTTTTGGGATTCTTATTCTGGCGAGGCTCACCCAATATCTGTTCTAGAGTGGGAAGGAGTGTATCGTGCCTAAAACGCTCGCGCCAAGGGGTGTGAAGGGGCAATTCTGTGGGGATAGTCTTATTGTGACCTATGGCGACAGCCGTCTCATATGCCCAAGCACGAGCGACGTTTCGAGGTGTATAACCTCCTCCTCCGAACATAAGAAGAGGAATATTTAGACTTTTGCAGTACTCGACACACGAGGCATGACCTTGAACAAGCAGATTGAATTTACCTAATCTGTCTCCAGCCAGAGAGTCTGCGCCGCATTGTAGAGCAATTGCACCGGGCCTGAATTTTTCTATACATCTAGAAATGATGCTCTTGAAAAGCCACTCGTACTGTTCATCCGTAATACCATCATTCAAGGGTACGTTAATAGCGTGGTGCGCCCCCGGGTTGTGCTCGCTCCTTGGACCATTGTCTTCTAAAGCGCCAGTGCCAGGAAAGAATACTTGGGGGTCGTACTTGTGGAAAGAGACCGTCATGACGCGGTCCGTAGAGAAGAATGCCTCTTCTACGCCGTCACCATGATGCACGTCAATATCGATATAGAGAACTCGGGGATGGATGCGCAATAATTGCAGTATACCAAGGACAATATCGTTGATATAACAGAATCCTGACGCTTCCGATTTTTTGGCGTGGTGTAGGCCTCCGCCCCAGGAGATGGCAATGTCGGACTGCCCCGTGCACAATTTTCTCGCGGCATCTAGCGAACCACCGGCAGACATGGAACAATAGTCGTATAATCCCTCGAAAAGTGGGCAATCACTACCTCCCAAATTAAACTTGAGATCAGGACTAGCATTGTCAACGTCTAACGGTAGTGGCTGGGGAGCAACTGAGGCAAGGAATTCGACGTAATCGTTTGTGTGGAATGCCGTAAGCTCCTCATATGTGGCCGCGCGAGCGGTATAGTTTTCCATGGCAAAATTCATACCATAGGATGAGACCAAACTCTTGGTGAGAGTCAGTCGCCAAGGCTTCATTGGATGTGTTTGGCCAAAGTGATGCCTCTCCATTTCGGGGTTATAATGGAAGGACACTGTGTAGCCTTTCGGCTTTGTGATGCCATATTCATGAGCGAAACGTTTGATCTTGTTAAGATAAGCTGCATTCTCAAGGTCGCTTGGCCGATCTAAAGGTTTATTAAATTTCTTTACCACAGGCCCGTCAACGTCGACCTTGTGAGGGAGGTAGTTGGGTTTCGGTAACCGTAACGAATAATGATTCGCCGGATCAACCTCCATCTTTAAGGCTGACGGATGAGATGTGGCTAATGAACAAGAATCTCTTATTATGCGAAGTAAAGGGTAGAGTCGATTGAATTTTTTGCTCCCTCAACTAGCGCTTGTAGGACGTTTGGTATCACTGCGCCTGGAGTTATGTGCGAGTTGCCTGTTGCTTGATACCGAAAATGAGACTCAAACTGGTAAGGTGAATCAGGTAATTAAGATGAATTAGGATGACACTAAGGGTTATCGTCGGCAAGCTTCATATAACGCGTTATAGAATGTTCATGAATCGTAGAAGGATAGAAATTGGATGGCTTAACCTATAATATAAAACCTGAGATTTGATGAGTTTAGGTTCGTTTTTTAATGAAGAAGTTATCTTCAATTGTCAAGAAGAAGATTGATGAAGGCGACTTTCATGACTGCCACCAAGGATACGGTAGCTGCCGATTTGCTCCACTATAAATGCACGAACCAACTAACATGCAAAATAAGGAACGCTAAGCTAGATCTGTAATAGATTGAATCGGTACCTGGATTAAAGTGACTTTCTTTAACGGTTCCCGATTTGCTTAGAGAACAAGGGATCACCTAACACAATAACCTTATCCTTCAAGGTTGACTGATGTAAATCACACCGTTTCGCACCGTTACAACTTGCTGAATCCATCCATCCATCCATCCATCCAATAATATATCTTATTATGGATTAGGTATAGGTATATGTACATCAAATAGGTAGTTAAGTAGGTACATTGTACATTTTAATAATTACGTAATAAGTCAAATTAGTTTAACATCTGTTGTCTCTTCCGTGTTTGTCAATGTTCACTTTTTAGACTTGAATTTTATTGATTGTACTAATTTACTCCCCACTCTAGGAACTTAGCAACCGTCTCTCGTGTTTGCGCCTGCCGGTGTATGGTGTACGGTGTACCGGTGCAAGCAATTCTTGTATCCAACTAATGAAGCAATCGAATAATTCCTTCCCACTTTACCTTAGGTATTCCTACCTAGCAACTTCCCAGCGACTTCCAAGCGACTTCTCAAATATTACACCACTCCTGCTGTTAGAAGGACCCTTTATATGATAATTCTCGGGACTGGTCAGGAAGGTGAGCCAGAGCTCAAAATTCACACAGATATCACAATTATGCGCATGTGATCCCAACTCACCTTAACCATTCGTATCTCTCTGCATTACGTTGCACTATCTTTCCCGGGACGTCGCCGCAACAAAAATATTAACGGGGGGCAAGAAAGAAGCTCAGATATTCGAGTACAAGAAGAGAAGAGAAGAGAATAATGAATTGAAAAAAGAATAACAAATAATAGGCGACGTCGCAATCATTCCCGGAATAAATAAACCTTACCACTCCTCTCTACCAATTTCCATTTTCCAATCTTCAGTTTCCTTTACACTCGCGCATATTGCTTGCTCTCTGAACACTCTCTCACAATCACCTACCCAAAGAGCGTGTCCCCGCTTAGAGGGCCAGGTTAACAACGATGCCTAGAGACGATCTCTCCATAGACTTCGTAAAGAAGATGGCGCCCTCGACCGAGGCGCAAGACCCTGCCGCCATCCTCGAAGACTTCATCCATCGAACTGCCAATCTACCCGAAGAGATTCGCTTCATCCAGGACGAGATCGCCGATAAAGATCGAACATATCAAGAGTGTGTTAAGACCATCGAAGAGAGCGACGCTAAGATCCAGCGCTGGATTCGTATGAACGGTAGCCACACGCCTTTCCCCCGCGAGCAGATGTTGCGCGAGACCATCCGCGAAAACTATACCCGAGCCGATAAACTTGCCGAAGAGAAGATTCACCTGGCTCAAAAAGCGCAGACGCTCTTTGACAAACATATTCGTCATCTCGACCTACAAATCAAACAGCTTAGCGACCGAAACGAACCTGGTTTTACCGACCCCGATGAGATACCCTCCGTTGTACGACCGAGCGCTGCCAACAATAGCAACACCAGTCTTCGGGTGCTAGCGGTTTCGACGGCCAGTAACACACCTCTTAACCCTATCACTAACAATGCGACTCCGAACGGATCGAGAGCTACCAACCCCCAGATCCGGACCACTCAGTCGCAAGCCCACATCTCCAGCTCGGCACCTACTTCTCCCGCCGCAAGTATAATCATGAACAGCCGCAACCAGCGCGAGTCCTCTGCCGGACCGTGAGTAACCATTCAGAGTTCTTTACTCCCTTTGCAACATATTTATTACCAGGACTCCTTTCCTCTCCAACTACAGCTCTTCTTCCTCTTTAGAATATGGCACCCAAAACTCCTAATCAACTACCATATTACATATAAACAATAAACAACCAATACTAACTAGATATAGTGGAGGCGGTGCTCCCAAGAGAGGTCCACGAATAAATTCCGGTCTAGGCAGTCTGCCAACAGCATCGAGTGGATTAGCTCGTCATTCTTCTCTCGGACCAGGAACGCCTAAGGCAGGGACACCGGGGGCATCGAGAGCAGGCAGTGCTGGTCCTCGAGCCAGTTCAAAGGCTGGGAGCGTAGGTATCGGACGGAAAGGTACACCATCTGCTGGAGTTAGTCGAAAAAAGCCTCCGAATTCGAAGTCGACGTTATCGCGTGTTAAACGAGCGGGTATGTCCAAGGGGTCACCGGTATCAACAGCAGACAGCGAGCTATCAGATGCAGAATCAGTGCGGTCGTCGCGTGCTGGGTCTCGAGCCGGCAGCGGTACACCGGTGCCTCGTCCGCATCACCATCATCACCGCAAACACTCACACCTCGACAGAGACGAGGATATGCCAGATAGAGGATCGGTATCGGCAGGGTCGGGAGGATCAGATGACGAGGAGGATGAGGAAGGGAAGAAGTACTGCTTGTGCCAGCATGTATCGTACGGCGATATGGTTGCTTGTGACAATCCGGCATGTCCCTACGAATGGTTCCACTGGACCTGCGTTGGCCTCAAGTCCGAACCAGAAGGCCGTTGGTACTGTCCGTCGTGCACCGAGAACATGAAAAAGAAGGGGAAATAGAATGTGATCCGAGTCTATGCGACTGGACTATATATATTACTTCTAATGCATATACATAGGTACCATTAAATTCAACCCAACGCAAATCGAACCTAGCAAAGATTGGATGGAATATGCCAGGTTATGTCAGGTTTTGTCTAACGTATTGGACCGTTTGCATCCTTCAACCTACCAAATAACTAAACTTGGCACATCCTAGACTCAAAGCACTAATAACTTCCATGATTATTAAATCCAAAATATCTTGACTCCGCGCTTGGTTGAATTTCTTCACTTTGACCTATTGATGAGATGATTAGCCATACGTTCTTCGGTTTAACCCCCCCTAGAAATAAAAAAGATGCTTAGAGTAATAACTTACATTCAGAGCACTGGGCAAAAATCACATTGCTTCAACATCACTTTCTGACCATCGCAATGCTATGTTTTAATTAGACAGTCAGATTCTCCTTGTCCGTACTAGTTCTAAGTTGATTGCTAACCGTACGCCAAAAGGCGTCAGAACCCAGGTGCTCCCGAGCCGTCCACTAAAGGCCCAACGTGCCCAACAGTTTGAATAGGAGGAATATGTAAAGCAAATTAAATAACCGAGCAAGTATTGATGCCAAGCCTGTTTAACCACTATACTCTTCAGTTAGATACGCATAGTCTTCGGAAGTCACGTCCCAAAAACTCAAGCTGTTATTAAAGTCATATGCCAACAAGTATGTCATACAGCTCAATTCTATAAATTATCTCGTCAACTTTGCTATTACGAAAGCATATAATAATCACAGCGTACCGCCAAACATCAAATACACAACGGCACGATAGTCTACAAATAATAGGTACTGTACTGCATGTGTGCATATCCTTTATTTCATTATGTTCCCGGCGTCTACATAACGCGCCTATGAATCCTGCCATGAATCATTCATTTTCCACGTCCCTGCTGCCATACTACTGCTGCAACACTGTCATCTCTATATGTCATACGACTTCCTATAATTCCCGACACGACCAGTAAGGGGGAACGAAATCATCGCAACCGCATCTCTTGGCGAAACGCGCGCATTATAATACGTAGAAACGTACGCACAAAAGGGTGACGAAACGCTTATCAGCATAGAAAGCAGAAAGTCCCAAAAGTACGTGAAGAAAAGGGGTCCATCCACAGATTAGTGCTCCAACAGACGTAAGCTACCCTCAACGACAACGTTCTCCAAGATCGATCCCGGAGGAATATCGATCGTAGAGCCTTCTGTTGCGACGATGATGACAGTTCCTTTCAGTTCCACGCCACGGTGTAAGTTGACATTGCCAGTAATTGTAAGATGGTCGAGTTCGATGATCTTGGGAATTGACGGGATGCGCTTCTGGAAGTCCGAGACCTTCTTGAAGTCGCTACCGAGCTTGATAAGCGGCGCGCCACCAAAGCGGCTGGGGCTCATTTGCAGTTGGCCATGCTTCACAGTGTACAGATCCGACTTGACGAGCATGAGATCTGAGCAGGTCTTGACAGGCAAGAATCGACGACGGGGTACGTTGACACCGTGAGCATTGTTGAAGTGGCGGATGGCAGCTCCGACAGCAGTCTCCAACTGAAGGATGGAGATGTCAGATTCGCCCTTCTTATCACCAGGAATGGTCTTGCCGTTGGGGATGATCTCCATCTCGAGCTCGTTATTCTCTACAACGCGCTTGATGGCCTTGGTGTTCATCCAGATGTTGTTAGTGTTGAAGTACTTGAACTTCTTAATCGACTTGAATTCGTTGGTGTGCTCCTTCGGGACCTGGGCAATTTCCAGCAGGCGCACAGATCCGTCGTAGTCGATGATAGTACCGCCCTTGACATCGGCCTTGGTCTTGTTGGTCAACTCCATAATGTATTCGGCATTCGTCTCGACCATGTGTTGTAGGATACGTAGATCCACGACGGCACCTAGGTTGTCGACGTTCGATAAGAAGATAATCTCGATACCGCGCTCGATGAGCTTATCAAGGAGGCCGGAGTTGTAGAGAGACTCGAATACGTCACCGTGTCCGGGAGGGTACCACTCGTTGATGGACGAGTCGAAGTTCTTGGGGACAGGTAGAAGCGAGTCCTTGTAGATTCTTGGGTATCGCGACTGGTTGAAGGTAAGGATATCGACATTGTGACCTTCGTACTTCTTGATGATGGCAGCGGTGTCGTCGTGGGTGTTGAAAGAGTTCATCAGGATGAAGGGGACGTTGGTGCTGTACGTTCGGTTCAAAAACTCGACTTGTCGTACGGACATGTCGAGGAAAGACATGCCGTCGCGGACTTCGATGACGGACTTGGGACCAACACAACCCATGGAGGTACCCAAGCCACCATTCAGCTTCAGAACAGCTAGCTTGTTGAGGAATTTGACAGACTCCGAGTTGGACAGGTCTTCGTAGTCAACAACCTGCCCCTGCGCAGGGGGGTTGATGCGATCCCAGTCACTAACCGGCCTATTGTTAGCTTGTTTCTTCTTAATCTAGGGACCACGACGAAACTTATACATACACAGAGTTGCCCTTGGCCTTGTCATTCAGGTATCGGCGGAAGAGAGCAAAGAAGTTGTCCATCTCAGTCTCAAACAGCTAGTCCCATGGGTTAGTTTAATATGTCTTAAGATGTGTGTTGTTATGGATACATACCTTCTTCTGCTCCGGGTCCTTGACGGTCTCGGCAAGTTCAGTCAGGGAATTGCGCATTTGCGCTGCGGCGACGTTGGTCGAAGCATTCTCGAAGGCCTTATCAATTGTTAGTAAGGTAGGCATGGTTGAGATGATGATTAAAAAAGAATTCCAATATAATTAAGTGACAAGGGTGGAGGGATGAAAACACAATAAATGCTCTGGTGTTTAAATAAGAATCACAAAATCAGTGAAAACGATGTAAAGACGATGTAGTGACTGGAAATAAGAATGGCTGTGACTTAGAGTCTGGTGTTTAAGGCACCGAACTTTCCAAGTTGCCAATGTAGAAAAAACTTTATCTTGCCATGCTATCTGAAGTTCTGATGGATACACGCGTGGATTCCTCGGGTTTCTTGGGCTCCTCGTCATGGTGAATAGGAAAGAATGAGAGCGATGCAGGTTCAGGTTGAGGTTGAGGTTGAAGTTCAGGTTCAGGTTTAGATTCAGGTTTAGGGGGTAACTCCCTTCTTCTCATAGATTTAAGGATCCGCGAACCCAGGGTACTATGGATTAATTCCAAAACAGATGAAGTTGCACTCACCATGTGCGATCGAGTCTTTCCGTGGTGTCGACCAGCGAACTCGCCGTCCGCTTCGTTCCCGCCGGGCTTTAGATGGGAAGGCAGCGCACTCTTAATTGCCTGAGCCATTCTGAATTTGTGTAGATTAAAGTAACTTTATGCTTGGGTATCTTTCTCAACAGATAGTTACTGAATCAGCAGTGAATAAGCTCCCAGTTCGCTATGGGCGTGTATATGAGAAAAATGTTTTTAAGGAGGAAAAAGGAGTTCAAGATTTATTTTAGTAACGGTTTTGGGATGACGATTGTGTCTAGACTTTTTGGGGGGGCAATGGCGGGGTAAATTTTGGTTGGTAGCGGAGCTTCGATAGCTACGGTAATTTTTGATACCTAAAAAAAGGGGGGGTTAGCTCACTTCTGCAGTTGTTAATGCACCATTGACGTAATGCAGACTAAATCAGAGCAAGCCACTTTCTGTCTTTCCCTGATTGCTTGCTTTAGTTGTTGCTTCGTGTACTTAATTTTTTTTTGGTTTTCAGTTGGGTTGTTCATTTCTGACCAATCCAACTATCTTGTTCATCTCCATTTTACCTCATCATTTGTCTTGTCTTGTCCCGGTTCCTATCCGGGAACACTAATGACAAAGCCAAATACACTTGTTGAAAGGACTCCCGAAGATCAAAACTTCCATATCGCAATGACTTGCTGGACGATGAATTATTTCTTCTCGTAACAAGGACGTGGCGGTTTTTCAAGCCTCGTCGTTCTGTGTCTTGCGTCCTCCGTTCTGTATCTCAGATCTGAGGCGCTCAATCACATGCTAGACTTGAGTGGGGAAAGACAGAAAAACATGCGATAACGTCGCAGCTATTAAATTGAAAAAGAGAAGATCATAAACATACCTGGCGAATATCCTGCACTCAACTATCTGCAATCTTGCCTGATCAGTGGAAGTGTGCGAAGAGGAAAGGAGGACCGGTCAAGTAACTGACGGGAGCATCTCGTCCCCTTTTATTTGGACTGGTTTCCTCCTAGCCGTCTTCACCCCCTTCACCCCCTTCACCCCTTGATGGGTTGCTCCAGGAAATTATCGGTTGCCCCATGGCCACGATGAAGCGGAGGTAAATTCGATATGCGGTGTACACTATGTATATCTCCCTTGTACTGTACAGTACTTGGCCGCGAATATTCGATTTACAAATGGATCACTTCTTCAAAAATGCCCCTTCAAACGGGCCGGGCTAGTCCTATTATGGTATTTGTGGACATGGGCTAGACCCTGCTAAGCTAGACGGTTAAAGATCCACTACCACGATGTTCACGTCGAACTTGGTGCCGTATCCCAGCCACGATACATACTTGGATGCCTTTGCTGGACGGAATACTGCAGTCTCTCTCTCCAATGTCGAGAGAAGGCCCGTCTCCCACCGTGACATACAGCACCATTCCATATTAGTCAAGTATATAGGTAGGGTATCAATACATTTTCAGGGCGTGCAGGCTTAAAGCGCTTCAAGGCTGAAAAAAGGTTATCCAAGAGATCTATCATATTTTACCGACATTCGTCTGACAACTATGGAGAGTGGGTCGGAAGTTCAAAATTTGGCTTGGGCTTGCATCCGCAGTGAAGTCTAGCCTGACCGGACTCCAATGTGGGTGGGTAGTATTTTCACCTACCTACTTCAGTGTCGTGGTTGGCGTTCAAGCCACCGATAAAAAAGTCTCTCCTTCTTAACCTAATCGATTTCTCTACATGATCTAGGGGGGTTATGACGGAAAGGCGGCTTTGTCGAGAATGCTTCTTAGACATCCCACTCTCAGACTACCTAAACAAGCCCCCAAGGTTCTAGTAACTAACAAATTGACGATATTATATCTCGCAATACTTAATAAATGCAACTTCCTCTCCACTATAGATCAATTAGCTCACCCAATACATGGCTTCATTTCAGACCAGCGGGAACTAATTGTGTACTAAGTTCTAGAGCAATCCACTTGATACTCGTTTAATAAAATTCTCATATTGGTTGGTCTAGGACAGCTTCCGCTATCGAAAGCCGGTGAAACGGTTCGCCGAAGGCCTCGATCAAATCAGGTCTCGGCAAAAGGCGGATTTTGTTGTCGATTTTGATTCCAGAATGATAGTTTATATTGATAGCTTTTGTAAGGTTATGATGTATGATGACGAGAGACTAACAACGGCTGCCACGTCAGTTTTGTAGCAAATAGATAATCGGGAGATTTCCACGTGGGGCATACGGTACAAGGGAAACTGGTTAATCAATGCAAGCAGGCCTTAATGTCTGACTTTATTCTTATATCCCTTAGGCTGGGCAGGATCGACATCTTCACGACTAAGACAAGAGCCGCATCTAGCTAACCTTAATTACTGTATCAACGCCTCAAAGCTTGAGTTGAGTTATTTAAAGAAAGTATAGATAGGTACAGCAAAACAACAGGTATAATATGGTAATTTAAATAGCATCTATGTAAAATACCCAGATAATACGCTAATACTACCTCATACTTCATATCTAGAATAATAGAGTATTACGAAAACCGATAATATAATGATAATAAAATATATATATTTCCAATCTAATAATACGTCAAGTAAACAATGCCGTGATAGCGTGTACAAGCCATGACACAGCACCTCTAGCGTTCACAGGGACAGAGTCAAGGATATCCATTTAACTCCACCTTTATCACATGTTATAGCTGATTGGTCAATGGTTTACGGTCAGCAGCCCCTGAGATTCTCGAATTCTAAACTGAATCGATACCAGGTCCCCGAGATTTCGTTGCACAGCGCTTGCCATGAATAACAACTATTGACAATATTTCCCTAAATCAGAATTTCTTGGTTGTACCTCCCAGCCACTTTTCGAGATTATCATCTATCATCTATCAGCTAGCCAGGACTATCATAATCGGCTATACCTACTCGCTTTTCGCCTATTCTCTCCAGGAGTAGAAACACCACCACTATCAAACGGTGGTATACTTCTCTACCTATACATTAGGTACATAAGGTACATAAGGTACATAAGGTACATAAGCATTAAAACTCGAGATGGGAAGCGTCGACGGTCTGCACTATTGGCAGGTTAACGTCCCTGAAAATGAACGGACGGAAGAGTGTCCGGAATTCCTCCGCAGCCTGAGCGTCAAGGATATCGGCATTATCGGCACTCCCGACTCGGAGTACACAGTGTCGACGTGGCCAGAGGTACAGAACATAGTAGCCGAGAACCGGTTAGGATCGTTTAGACGTATCCCCTCTGACCTGCGGCGGTACCTTGAGTACACATGGAAGTTGAAGAGAGACTACGGTAGCGTCATGAATTTCGTCTTAACACAGCGGCTGCACTGGGAGGCACCTGTGAAGTCTAGAGGCAAGCCATTCGAGTTTGAAGACGACATCAAGATCCTGTGGAACGACTGGCCATATGGAATTGATGATCGGATCGTTCATCTTGTTGTATGGACCAAGTTTGAACTACCTGAGGATCCCGTCACGACGGATCTGACTGACGAGGCTCGGGCCGAGATTGATGGATACGTGCAGAAGACGTTTGGATCTAGGGTCCCGAAAGATCGCGTAAGTGAGAATCGATACCCTTCCTCATTTTCTTGCTTCTTGGTTAGTCACGCTAACATGTTTGGGTAGTACATCTGGTTCAAGAATTGGAGGTCGCTGAAATCCGTCCAAGCCGTAGAGCATTTTCATGTCATGCTCTTCGATCCGGATCCCAAGTTTATCGATGAGATTACGAATGGCGACATCCCGTCTTGCCGCAAGGTCTGACGTGGCTTCGTCTGTTAGGCTTGCTCTTCATGATTGATGATATATGATAGAAACGGTGCATATTTTGTTTTCTATAGATTACCCAAAGACCCAAGAATCAACTAGTATAGATTCTATATGCCGGGCCGTATCCTTGTCTGCATTAGGGATCTCGCATCACCCGCATGAGTAGGAATCTATTCCCCGGGATACTCAAGCCGCTTGATGTTTCTAAAAGTCTAGGGTTCTGAATTGCCCTATTGTAGCTATGAATGAGGCTGTCCAAGTCCACGGAAACCTTCACTTATGTAGTTCCCCGTCTCGTTACGCCTCACTCAACACGCTCCCGCTTCAGGTTTGATATGATGTTCACGATGTTGAACCTCGTAATGAAAACACCAGCCATCTTAATAACATAAAACCACGTCACATAATACTTGTGTAGCTTCACTACTGCCAGGGGCCGCGTATAAGAGATCTCGATCTGAGATTAAGGCAGCCCTATCTGATCAGTCATATGGTAGTAATTTAACAGAATTCTGTCATTTCTACATGCGTAGTTATAGATTATGCCATATTTCGTCACATACACAGAAGCCTCTATACCGACTTTCTAGAAATTCATACCCCTCTGGCGGTTGATATCCGCTCGGGATCATGGGACGGTACGATTCAAACGACTGGGGGGTTACCATATGATGCAACTTCTCATTAAAAGTATCTAAAACAATAGGATGTACTCGAAGCCCCAAATATTTTCTTGGTACGGACAGTCGAGGTCCTACCGATGAGACAACACTATTCTAACCTGGGACTATGTTTGGAAATTCCAACACACATGTATCCTATAATGTTAGCATAGAAATGATGCTATACGTAATATCATAGAACTTACCATCCAAAACACTCCTTGTGTAGCAATATATCCATGTGCTACATATGCCAACATTTCATCTGAATAGCATATCCCTTGTCCCCCCAGGTAATATAATCACGACCCCATGGTAACTTCCACAGCAGGGAATTCCGCCGTAGGTATCGCAATCGGCTTCTCCAAGCAGACTTTAACCCGCCACCCTCGCTCCTTCATGGGCTTCGGGTCGTCGTTGATCCTGAAGTCTGATAATATCTTATTGGCGATGTGGGAAGCAAGTGCCTCCAGCGTCTCGAAAGATGATGATTCCATTGTCTAATCGGGGATATGTAAGCGGTGTCTAGGTATTTTTATGTAGTTGAAATATGATTCACTCAGCGGACTCACCTCTACGATAATACTCTCTAATTCAGTATGTATGTCCTCCGCAACATCGAACCTATCGATCTCAACGTCTGCGACGAGCATCTGCTTAGCCTTGCGCTCGTTCGGGTTGACGCCGATCAGCGTAGGGATGTGTAGCCCTTGGATGCGTAGAGTGCGCGAGTAAGACCGTAGGGGGTTCTTGTTAGTATCGCTCTTCTCTTTATCCTCTTCTGTTGGCATGTCTTCTCTGAAGCATGCTCTTGTAGTTAGACTGACACCGGCACCGAGAAGAGACGCCTTTGGCAGCTCTACGGTTAGTGAAAGCGAACGCAGGCGTGCTGCATGCAGGAACGGTAGCTGATCCAGCGGCAAAGCTACACGGCTCCCGTCTACAACGCGCCCTGTCATGCGCACCCATAGCAACTCTAAGACATCAGCGGTTCGCGGGGTAGTGACCTCGGCTTCATAGCCCGTGGCGGTTATCGTAGCTGCTGTTGTTCCCGCAGCGTCGGGTTTAGACCCTAAAAGCTCGAGACTGCCGAGTAGCGTCTTGCTCAGATTGCCGTAGTGCACGGTACCGGAGTCGAGCTTATCGGTATTCCCCGACGAAGACTCATTCACGGAGAATGGGTCCGCGAACGATACCTCGGAGGAGAGAAGCACCGGCTGTAATTTACCGGAGCGGCCCCAGGCATCTCGGCCGATGGGAATAGAGCTTCGCAGGTTCCGCACGCGGACCACGGCTACAGACTCACCGGCGTCGGCACGGGCGCGCCACGAACTCACGAGGGGAGCCGGCGGGTCTGTTTTATCATTGGTCGGGGGTCCTGGGGACATGTTGGAGTTAACTGTTGGTGATGTCTTCCAAAAGGACGACAGCATTGCTGGTTGGGCTTTACGATGACGCAGTGCGCGGGATGGTGGGGTTGTTCAGCTTCAGCTTTAGCTGAAAGGTGAGAATAGTTGGAACTTGAAGAATAATTATAATATCTTGGATATATGATATTATGCTTAGGCTTAGAAAAAACAAATAGGTGCCTCGTGAGGTCTTTGTCAAATACGGATTGTTTGAAGAAGAGTTTGAACGGATGGAATTGCGGAATAAAGGCAAACCTGAGTAAGATGATGTATTTTAGCTGTACATATGGGCCCCACTAATACAGTATATGTATTTCATTAATAGAGGGTAATTTGAGAGCTTCATTTCTATTCATTTACAACCGAGATATGTACCTAGGTTGACGATCAACATAATTTGAATAGATATGAAGCCTCTAGTAGGTTTGCTCCTTATGCAGATAACCTTTATTTGCGAGATTCTATAAAGCTAAACAATTCTTCATCATAACCCGACGCCATGTGAACTTGAAAAGGTATCAACATTTCCTACTTTCTCATCACATATACCTACTCACATATAACTACTACTATAATGAACAGGAATACTTTTCAACTAGCAATCTCAGACGGATCATACTTCATCGACCACGTCTTATGTTCCTCCGTCGCACCCCACTTACTAAGGTCGGCTGTTAGGACCTCAATATCGCGGAACCCGTGCCTCTTATATAGCGAGTGAGCTGCTGGGGAAGACTCGAGATATACAACAAGGTTGAGCCTTTTCGCCTCCTCGAGACCCCATTTAGTTAATATGCTACCAGCGCCCCGGCCCTGGTGTTTAGGATCGGTGTGGAGGAGCGAGAGGTCTTAGAGAAACGTGGTTAGTGAGTTATCGTACTAGAAGAATATCATCTAGTGAACTACAACCCCTCATCCCTTGTTTCATATTGCGCATGAAGAAAAGAAACGGCTCTTCTCCTTTGAGGTCAAGTACTTACAAACGCAGTGCTTATCGCCCCAGATACGCGATCTCAACTTCGCAAGGTCTCCAAATACAAGTTCGCATGCTTCAGCGTTGCAACCTGAGCCAAATGACCGAGGCGTTGGCTGTGGCGGCTTCTCGATGTAGATGTGCCACTTGGCGAAAGCAATCATCTGTTCGCCTTCGGGCAAATCCGTATCGACTACCTTGAGCCAGCGCACCGTAGGGTCCTTCTTGAGCTCGGCGGCTAGTTGAGCACCGCGCCCGGCTACTGCCTCCGGAGGGAACGGCCCCGGAAATAGAATCTGGCTGAACGGGTTCGGCCCATACGCTGCAGACTCAATCTCGGCTGCTCGGCGCGCGTCGGCTTCGGTGGCGGGTTGAAGTTCGAGAGGCATAGTTTACTGAAAGCTGATAATTAATGAAGCCTAAAAACTACTAATCCCAATCTAAGCTTGGGAAATAAGATGTGTTTATACTTTTAAATGAACTTAATCTAAGTAAAATATAAGTCAAGCTATCTTTAACTAACATTGAGTGCTGCTTTTTAATGCTTATGTTTATTGGAGTAACAAGCACGCCTTATCTTCGAGAAATACCTATCGTAAGGGCTACATGACTAGAAAGTCATGACCTAGTCTTGCGGCTGAAATAGGAAGAGAAGGATCGTATCTCGTATTGTGACTCAGTCGACGCGCGGGGGTGAATATGTATGTGTCGTATGCTATGAAGAGGTAGCTTGCCGGCGGAAAGCGGCGGAATCTATAAGTCGATGTTACCTATCTATAGAGCTATGTTAGATTTCCCCGATCCATAGGCTGTGATATAAATATAGACATTTCATCGAGATAGTAGATAATATTGAATCTTGTTCTACAGGGGAGCTTTCCGTGCGACGTAGAAGAGTTTATAGAAAGTTGATAATTGAGTGATATCATGTATTAGGTAGTTGTCACATATAGACTTAGAGCAGAGAAACATCTTCTGCCGATAGTAATACATAGTTCATATAGAAATTTATAGGTATTAATTATGCCTTTTTTTTCTTTTTCTTTCTAGTTAAATCAACTCTAACTTGTAATTCTCACCACCTGAAAAATATGATTGAAAAGTGCGACGAACACTGTACAATACCAAGTTTATACCTTTTAAGATCTGCATCTATCCGGACCCACCATACTTTCAATATTCCATCTAACAACACACCTCAAAGGAGACAAACAAGGAAGAAGATAACCTCACAGTACCTATCAAGATATCCAAGATGGTCACCCTCCCACCCGGCATAATCCTGAGCCCTCCGTCTCCATCCCGGGGCCGCTCTATTCTCGCATCGCAATTTTTCAGCCCGGGAGCCGTCATCGCCGTGTTTACTCACGGCGAAGGGGCACCTAGCATAGCTATCCCGGATAACCCACACCTAGCGCGGACTTGCCACTACTGCCTAGCCATAGCATCGGATCAGGATCTCAGATATATTTCCCCGGTCCGCGTGCGCGCGTGTACCGGCTGTCGCACAGTCTACTATTGCACCCCGGCATGTCAGAAGGCCGACTGGGCGCTCGCCCACGGCCGCGGCGAGTGCAAGGCTTTCCGACGGGTTCGGGCTCCTGACCCTGCAGAATCTCAAGAGGAGACCAATCCGGATCATAAGGTCTTACCGACACCTGTCCGGGCTCTAGTCCAGGTGCTTGTGCGCCCGGAAATGCAGGCCGCGGTCGTAGATATGGAAGGCCATGTCGAGACGGTGCGTACTACGGACCCGGATGTAGCGTGGGCTGGCATAGAGCTTCAAGCTCGCGCCGCGCTACATTACTTGAATCGGGAGATGAGCAAGAGTAATCTGGCCGAGGCCATGGAGATTGTGTGTAAGGTGAGTGAAGTCGGGGTTTACTACGATTGCTCTAGATAGTTCGGGCTATAAGTCTTCACCCTTTCTACTTCTGCTCCCACTACATCTACCTTTCTCGTTCCTAAAATTCTAATTCTAACGATCACCAGCTAAAAGTCAACTCCTTCAACCGACTCGATGCAGACATTAACCAAAGCGGGACATACTTCAATCCTGCGCTGGCCATGATAAACCATTCCTGCGTTCCGAACGCTTTCGTACAGTTCGTAGGGCGCAAGGCAATCCTGCACGCGTTTCGGGAGATAAGAGAGGGCGAAGAGATCGAAATATCATATATTGGTAAGCTCAACATCACCTAGTAAAATATCCTATTCTTATTATTAACCACTCATCTCATATCAGAATGCACACTTCATCGCTCGCACCGCCAACAAGCGCTACAAACACGGTATCACTTCACATGCCTCTGTCCCCGGTGCAAAGACAACCTAGACATCTACCAAGTCTGCCAGCGGTATCCGCATCTCGAGCTGAACACATTCAGTCTCGCCCCCGATCTAGACAAAATACGGCATCATCCTGCCAAAGAACACTTGAATAGTTCTCTACAGCAATACATCGAGGAGATATACCCGAATTGCACAGAATCGCTACAAGGCTTGACTTTGCCGGAGAAGTCCAAACAGCTCCGCCAGCGCTGGAAAACGTGCGAGCGACTTCGACAAGCCGAATTGTACGCTGTCGAGCCATTAACGCAAGTGATCGTCGACGCCAACATTTATTTCTGCGAACAGAGCAATTTTCAATACGCCTTAGCTGTGTCGTGTTTTCTTGCTTTAAACAGCGATCCGTATAGAGGGCCTATGCCCTTCTTCGGACCCAGGGTGAAGGGCATGTTCATGGTTGCGAAGCTCCTGGCTAACACAGCTTCGATGCCGCCTTCCGCGTCAAGCGACAGCACTAGGTCTCTATCAGCGAGGATCTCGCAAGCGCTAGGTAAGATGGACCAAGCTACTATGTGCCAGGCAATTCTAGCCATGGTTATCCATTATTGCCCGGCGGCTCACTCAGAGGAATGGCAAATATACCACCAAGCAAAAGACGTACTGGATGATCTGGAGAGTATACCGGGTCGAGAGACTGAAAATGCTTTGATAAACGCTTTTGTTGGAAATCTGAATAATTCGGAGGAGCCCCGTTTCTTCACCATAGCAGTCCTAAAGCCAATCCAAACGCTAGCCGGCTTTGCCCTGGAGGTTATGGATACTGAATTTGGCTCATAAAATAAAACAAACAAACAGAGTGTTATTATTGCAGGATGAAAACTACCTAATGCTATCGGAGACTTCATTCTGTGCTGACATGTTAGCACTGGCATCGCTTCAACTTAATAATCCTACTTTCTTCCTCCCCTAGCTCGCCCTTTAACCAATCTTGGTAATATCAGTGGTGAGTATTTTCACGAGTAGATTCTCCCGGGGGATCCGCGTCTTCAGGCAGAGACTGCTTGTGGGCCACTTCTTTTTTGAGGTTTTTCAGCTTTGCTCGTAGCAAATATGCCTCCTCGACACAACCCTTTGTTATCGAGATACATTCTTTTACAGCTCTACCAGTTCCGTCTATGTCTTCAGTCACGCATGCCAAGTCTTGTAGCGCGGGCCTGGTATCTGAAGTGGCTGTTTCTTGCTGTGGTGGTGGTTGCTCTGTGGTTGAGGTCGACATATGGCTGCTGCTGCTGCTGCTTAAAGCTGATCGTAGATCTGCGGTTATTTGCCTCGCGGAAGTAAGCTCTCGCTCAATACGGGTGGGTGTCAGGTTCATTTCACTGAACCCTCTATTCAACGAGACAATGCTATCCTGCATCATGTCGACATCCCTGTAATAGTTCCCTACGTACTGTTTCAACTCGTCAAGCTCCTTCACTCGCTTTGCGATATCTTCTTCGGTACACGGCAGTATGTTATTGATGGAACTAGAGTTGGATTGTTGACAATCTAAACTGTCAAGCCAAACTTGCAGATGATGAAGAGTTTGGCTTCGTCTCATTGGAAGGTCTATTCTACTCATGCCAGCGTACGTATTGGTCTCAGAGGACGAAGGTATGATTGGAGGAGTATTGAAACAAGAGCGCGGATCCTCTTGTATGCCGAGCGTCTTTTCGATGAGGGGCCAAACAATTGTACCGGTCTCTAGGTAGGTATCCTCTTCGCTGTCATTCGCAAGAACGAGTATAATTAGGGAAGTCAAGAAGAACATTTGACCACTATGGTAATCAGCAAGTGATGTCCAGGTAGGTAGGGATTGCACAAAAACCTACTCGCGTAGAACGTGGCTGTCCGGTACCACGACACACTTGAACCCAATCAGTGTCTGGCAAGTGAAGCATGACATATCTTGCACTTGGCTGTTTTACAATATATGTTAGTAGTATTACCTACATATTATCTATATATATATATTAATTATTTGAGGATTAAACATACCAATCCGCTAGCAATGTCTGTTCCTTTCCAAGCCGTATGGGACCTGTATATATGATAGCTGGGAAGCCTGCATACTCGATATAGATGTTCGAGGTGGGTTTAGTATAGGCAATGGGGCCGATATAATTTTCAAGTCTGATCCATTGATTGGGGAATGAATATAGAATTTGTCTGCATCGAGCACAATAGCAAACCACTTGGTCTAAAGGCTTCGACCAGTTTATGACATCCATGGTGAGGAAATATATTTTGGGGTTCTTTGAAATTTCATTCTTGAGACTTTGGTATTTCTATCAATGGTTTATATACCTATCTAAGGGGGAGGTCCTACCTACATTTTGGGGGCCTATTATTTTAAGTAGTTTATCATATTAGCACACGGACCGTTTTTGCTAGGCGTTTGGACTAAAGGTATACTTTTTCCAGGGAAAAAACAGTCATATGGCAATATTCGGATGAAAATAATGTTACGGTAGAGTTAAAAAGGGAGTACAAACTCGTCGAGTCGCCTTTCTCAACATTCTACTGAGGAAGACCGTGTTGGTTCTTGATAAAGGGGGGCTTTTCCCAACTAAAACTTCATAGTAGACAAAGCAATTGTAAAAGCAAAAATGCTTATATCATACCTATTAAACGGTAATAATCTGACCGACACAAGCCATAAAAGCCCAGACAATTCGCGTAACTATATACCTGAGGAAGGTAGGTACCTATCCCTGACGAAGAATATAGAAATGGGGTATCTCAGAATACCAATGCCAAACACGATCGTAGCTCGTAGCTCGTATCTCATATGCCGCCTCCCTATACCTATCGTACATGCCTAAGAAGTATCCCAAAAATACATTGTCCTTAAAAAAGAGTACAAGGGAGTTAGTTAGTTCATTTGACACCGATGAAACCAATGCCATTGCGCGCAACGCTGACTGCCTTCTTTAGCGCTTGATCCTCCCTGTCCGTCCACTTTACGCTTAGATCGTCCCAGTTACTGCCTGGCGTATTGTACTCTTTCTTGAACTGAGTTTGCATGGCCTGCAGGCGCGCCATCTCGCGCGGATCGCCGGAACCGCTGAACACGATGAAACCGGTACATGGTGGTAACGAGTCGTAGATGCGCTTGATTCGCTGGGTGAGGTTCTGAACACATATTTCGAGGGACATGTTGGACAGGTCGGGAGGCGGAAAGTCGCTCTTCCCATTCCACCACCCCTGGTATGCCTCTAACTCACGAAATCGTGCGAAAACAAAGTCAACGCCACCAAAAGGTATCTCTTCGCCGACGGGATCACCCCTCAGAGAGCGCATGATGGCTTCTGTCACCTCTTCGTCTGATTTGCACCCGATCGGGAACGTTGAAGCTGCCCCAGCACCCTTCATGGGGTCACCCCAATCAATCATGGCGCTCGTCTTTCCAACTTGGACTCCTCCTTTAGCCTCAACCCCACCGTTTGCACGATAAGCCTTTCCTGTTCTGGTTAACCGTCGGAATAGATTCTCACCCGACTCCTGGTTGCCCCAGGATTTTCCCTTTTCGCACTTCTGCTTCACAAGGTCTAAACATGCCTTTGCGTCTTCTATCGAGTCGTGCCCCATCATACCCTTCTGAATCTCACGCTTGAGGAATCGCTGCGATAAAAACTTGAGACTGTTTTTTAACGGGGGTCCTCGATTGTGTGGGAAGAGAATAGCAGTGTCAACAACAAACGGGTGAGTAAGTTGCAGTGCTTTCATATCTGATTCTAGGGAGTGTCCTATAAGGATTGTGCGGGGATGGAGGATTTGCAGAAGTTTAGCCTGTATATCTCTAAGTGTGGTGGTCACAGGGGCCAACATCTGTTCCGTGATGCCTGAAAAACGGGTGACATAGTCGAGGATTGGCTTGTCGGGTTTGACTAGTTCGTCGAGAACAATAGTTCCATCCCAACCTACAAGACTAATTCTCGTAAGAGAGAACTCTTCAGGCCCCGTTACACACATCTCACAGTCAAGAGCAAGAATTTCTCGGCCCGCCGTGACACTCCCTTGTTGGATTTCCTCTTCAGGAACATCACCATCTTCAAGATTCTCCACATTAGTATGAACCCATCCCTCTAGATCTTGAAAATTTTTGCGCCGCTCTGCCGGTATACAGGCAGGATGTAATATATACCCATTGGCTAGGAAGTCTTCTGGCATCGTTAGAAACTCGGTGATTCTTGTACGGTCGTCCTTCCAACCCTTTGGCTCCTTCGCAGGTTGGACGCCCCGTTGACTCTTCTCCTCTTTAGTCTTTTCAGTGGGCGCCGTGAGTATGGTGCCGAGTGGCGAGCGTATAGTGCCATATTTCTCGTTACCTGGTGTTCTGACAGGCCATAGGTGACTAAACATATCTGCGAAATCCTTCAAGATTTCAGGAAGCTCCTCCTTTTTTAGAAGTCGCGGATAATAGTCATCCGGAGATGTTAACACTCGGGGTCTTTGGTCCGAATTAAAGGGCTGGTCATTATACGTCGTAAAGTTGACATCCTGCTTGAACATAGCTTCTTCTAGTCCCGGTACCATAATCGCGACCATCTTTCGAAATTGCGGCCGTTGGGAGATTGCAACCCATTGAGGAGCTGCGCCTTCAGCGAATATGTAAAGGATAAGGTTTCGTAGCGAGTCGAGCGCGATCTTGGATTGGAGCTTGGCGTTGTGGTTGAACGTGATGGAAGGATAATTGGTCGATTGAGGCGCCGGAACCTTCTTTTCCTTGTTGTCCTTTTTCGACTTTTTAGACGAGCGCTTGCTTACAGTTTGCCATCCTTCGTCCGCCTCGTCATGGGGTCTAGAGCGTTTCAAGCTACTAGATTCGCTCTGGGTAGTACCAGTCGAAGTATCCTCGGGGAGGTCAGTGGGAATTTGCGGCGACGGAGCTTCGATACCGAAAACTTCAGCGGGATCAGATATTGATAAGGGTCCATCAATAGGCACTTCAAGCGAGTCAGGCAGAAGGCTTTCCACTGAATGCGCGACAGTATCGTCCATGGTCGCGCGTTGTTAACTTTCAGGCCAATTATAGCGAATTGGGATAGTTATAGAATTGGATACATTGAGAAATGGGAATGTTGTACGTAGAAGTTTTGCACTTGCAGGTTGCAGGCCAAGAATTAAGAAGGTGGAATTGGTCGTCGTCGCCCCACCTAGAGCTTCCCTATATGCATATGTACATAGACGTACTATGTGGGGGAGGCTGGGATTTGGCAATTACATACTATATATGTAGATTAACGACAACTCCCCACAATAGTCTCATTGGTTAAACTTAACTTGAGATATATTCACATGTAACAGGTAACTAATAGGTTAGTACCTAATTAATACCTAGGTATTATATTATAGGTACATTGTGAACTACACCGAGCATTATAGTAGTAGTGAATTATTAAAGATTTTTAACCTATATTTTTCTTCTTCTATATATACGGAATATGCATTTGGACATCATTACATATAAATACGGATATATTCGTATTTTGTTAGTGCTTCGTGTCACTCATATAATATATCTATGCTTCGAAACACTGGTCAAAGAAAAGCGGTCAAGGATGACCACATAAAACAATACATATCACAGCAGAAGACCTCAGCCCCGTCGAAGTGTTAGTATAATGATAGGTATCTACTATTAAACATGCGTGTTGACATATAGAGTTATAAATAGGTATATATTTAGCTGCGAATATCATACAAGTACAACCCGCCTTCTCCCTACCCGTCCGCCTATTTTTATATGCAGAATGCTTGTAGAATGCTCGTAAAATATTGACTCCTCCCTTCTTTTGAACGCCTGGCGATGCATAATTTCTATATTCTTTCAACTTGGGTATAATACTAGTCGTTGTAGTTTCATAACTTGCTCTTGATTGCTTCTGATTTTCCATCCTCAGAGACCACTACGACGATAACACAGATGTCATCGACTTTGCCGCCGTGCCAATTCTCTTGAGGATAATATTTTTGAACCTCTTTAGCAAATGGCCCGTCAACCCGCTGGTTCATGCTCGCCAGTTTAGCAGCCCCTGCAATTTCTACTGCTAGTGCGCTCTGGAGTGTCAACGGCCGCTGCGTCGAGTCTTCTGCCTGGGTATAGGGCAGCAAGTTGTTAGAGACAAGTATACCACCGTCACTTTCTTGCCAGGCGCCTAGTCCAATCATCAACCGGCTAACTATGCGAAGTATGTCTTGGTTAAATAGGTTGTCCCAGACTCCGTCGCTCGCGAAGACGAGTATATCGCCATGTTTCAGCGTGTGCTGTGTGACATCTGCATCTTTGGGATAGTCGCACAATTGTGCTCCACCGAATGCGGCGGCGCGCGCCAGCATGCTTGCCGGCACGATGGATAACTGATATGGTGTGTTAAAGGCATGCGTCTGCGGCTCCGAATAGCTATGTACAGCATTCAGACGCAAATGCACAAATCCCGAGTCACCTAGGTTAGCAACTTCTAGCTTGCCATCTTCACTCGCGATACCAATCGATGCTGTGCTACCCCCAGCATGAATGGATCCATCTTGACATACGTCATCATATCCTTTTTGCATTAGAGATCTGGCCGTCAAGGACGAACCAGTTGCATCTGACCTATGCTCATACGCTTCTGAGGCCATATAATCGCAGAAGCTGTGTGAGAAGTCGGCTGGGTCAACGCCACTATCTTCCCAGCCTCCAACACCGTCTGCAATGCCGAAGGCAACGGCATTTGTGTCGCCCACACGACTTATAAAGAAAGCATCTTGTCCACTAGCCGGGCGCTTCGATTTGTGACGCTTTTTCTGCGTCTGGATGCGATTATAGGGATTGAAATGGAAGACGTCGTTTGTCGGGTTGAACCTTTTATATTTGGCAGAAAACGAAGCGGCCGCATGGTATATGAATTTGTGCGTAGAGTCTGCTTTCGATTGCGTCTCTTGGGATCGAAGAATCGTTTGTGCAGAGAATGTTCGAGTGCGATAGGCTCGCTGTCGCAAGAGAGGCGATGACGGGACCGACAGTCTCAGTTGGTACTGAATATTTGTAATTAAAGGTCTAGATAATACTCCAGTATGTATCTTCGAGAGCATCGTGATTTAACTTGAAAAGGTGGCTTTCCATGGGTGGCCACAACCTGCGATACTATGTAAACTGCCTCATATCCTTCATTTAGATTTTATCTCTCTGCGATTCAATCCGCAACGTTCGATTTCCTACTTTGAACTGTGCTAGAGAAGCAAAGTAGTACCAGCTGGCAACAGCTGTTTACTACCTTGTTGTATCTATTATGTACCTCGGTACGGATGTCCCTTTCAAGATTGTCACCAGCTGTCTGATACTTGGCCAGCAACTGTCGGGTGATTTAAAGATGTATACATTATTATCTCATGGGTTTACTATTAGGTTTTACAGCCAAATATAATTCTAAAATGAAACAGAAAACTATCATATTGAAAATATTTCATTTCTATTTATAATCTACGTTTTTAAAAATTTTAGAATTTATTTTGAGAAAACTATATCCTATTGAAATAGTAAAGTAAAATAAAATACAAATGTTAAATAGGTGAGCAGTTGTTGCCAAGATTGGTCAAAGCTTGCTCCGGGGGGAGAGAGGAGAGGAGAGCTTCCTACCTACAACAATAATTGACTCCAGACCCAGGCGTGACCCCGACAGTAGGTAATTGAAAATTACCTACCTACCTAGGTATGCCTTAGGTACGTGCGGATTATTTGCATAAAAAGGAGGGGGAATGCTGATGCCTAAAATAAAACTTGAAATAAATAGTTGATCATTTGCACATCAATATCAATTTCATTTTTAAATCTCAACGTTATCACGTATAGTTAATACTTGGTTACTGCTTACCTTGGATACTTCTTTTAATGTTGATATGCTTATACAACATCTAACAATGCCTTCGCCGAACCTCACTACTATCCCCTTAGAAATACTGTTCCTAATCGTTTCATACCTCAACACACAAGACTTTACCGCTGTTCGCTTAGTCTGTAGACAACAGCATTCCGTGTAATTGCGCCAGTCATGGGCTCATCAGTTTAGGAACTTCCCAGATCTACAGGGAAGCCAAGGCCCTTGCCGCTCGTTTTTTCACCAACTAGTAGATGGACAAATGTAACCGAGACGTATTATTTACGCACATTCCTTTCATACGCAACGATACCAGAAATCAATCCGGAAGATGAAGAGATCAATACCTAGATAGCCTAAGTGCCGATCTTTTTAACGAGGACGTTCTCTAATTATATCTAGGTATATAACTTAACGACTTAACGACTATAGGGATCATCTCTCCGGCGGTTGGTAGGGGTTTCGTATCGTACCTGTAATATGCGTTAGTGTTTAAAGAATTCGAACAAGGTCATGCGAGTTTAGTTGAGAGTGCTAGGGCGGTGGAAATAAATTCAGTTCATTTAAGGATGGAACATTTGCTCATTAACTATGGGTAGAATAGGTATACAATTTAGATAACTATAGGAAATAGGTTTGCAGTCTGCAGCACTGAGTGAGATTCTTCTCCAGTCGGTACTAACCCTAGGGGCTAGCTTACATGCATGAATATCAAATACGTCTTCGATCATTGGCTTACTTAGGCTAATGTACGTAGAGGTATGTCACAATGCACGATGCGATTCAGTGTGGGTTAAGCTTATTGGTCCTCCTAAGAATTTATCGGACAAGTGGCTCAATAGACGGCGCTAGATCTAAGAACGGTAAGTATTCACATGTAGAGGTCGGATCGGAATTAGTAACGGCCCGCATGAGTTGATTAATTGAAAGCATGTGATTGGCGGGAACCTTTCATACCAATAGCCGAGGGCAAACCGGGTCGGGTGGAAAGTTCGATGATGGAAGAACTTCAATTCCTCTTTTGCCACTATTCCTGTAACAACTTCTAATTGAATAATTGCTAGGCCGGTTGATTCTCTTTTTAGTTTCAATATATTGTCCTAGATTTTGGTCCTCTTATACCTTGGCTCACCTAATTGCCAATAACGACGGCAAGAAAAAAAGAGAATCAACCAGCTAAACCAGCAAAAACCGCTCTCCCGAATTTGCCCGCAATGGCAGCTCTCCGCTCTACCTCGTCACGGCTGTTCGCCGCTGCCGCCTCGTCGCGGTCCGCTGTGCTCCCGTCCGTATTCGTGCGATCGATGGCCTCAGTAGGTGGCGCCACCGTTGAGGCGAATCCGAAAAGCAGCACAGACTCCCGCTTGAAGTCGTTCCAAATCTACCGATGGAACCCTGACACGCCGACCGAGAAGCCGAGGATGCAGACGTACACGCTGGATCTAAACAAGACGGGACCCATGGTGCTCGATGCCCTAGTCAGGATCAAGAACGAGCTAGACCCCACGTTGACCTTCCGCAGAAGTTGCCGAGAAGGTATCTGTGGTAGCTGTGCGATGAACATCAACGGGACGAATACCTTGGCTTGCTTGTGTAAGTCGTCTTGGCGACGCAGAAGAGCAACACAACATTGCGGCTAACACGGTGCTCATAGGCCGCATTCCCACGGACACTAGCGCTGAGATGAAGATCTATCCACTACCCCACACATACGTAGTCAAGGACCTCGTCCCAGACTTGACGCATTTCTACAAGCAGTACAAATCGATCAAGCCTTATCTACAACGGGATACTCCCGCCCCAGATGTACGACACCAATCCACCGAGATTATCTCTCTTTGTCGCTTATACTGACTGTGTTGATTGCGTAGGGCAAGGAATACCGACAGAGCAAAGCTGAGCGCCGAAAGTTAGACGGTCTATACGAGTGCATCCTGTGCGCGTGTTGCTCAACATCGTGCCCCTCATACTGGTGGAACTCTGAGGAGTACCTAGGACCCGCCATCCTCTTACAGTCATACCGCTGGCTAGCCGACTCTCGTGACGAACGCAAGGCAGAGCGCAAGGCAGCGCTCGACAACTCGATGAGCCTATACCGGTGCCACACTATTCTCAACTGCACGCGAACCTGCCCCAAGGGCCTGAACCCGGGTCTAGCGATCGCCGAGATCAAGAAGGAGATGAGCTTCTAAGCTAAGCTAAGCTAAGCGAGGTGTAGAGAAGTACAAAACGGCATGAGTTCTAATAGACGACGAGATGAGCTGCGGACTAGGGCTAGGGCTGGGCTGGGGATGAAGTCGGAAAAGCGAGGAGAGAGACAACTGTATAAAGCTGGGTGACGGGATATGTATGCTAAGGAGGCTCTTCCGTCCGGCGGTGGCGGCGGCGGTTTTATAACGTCTTTAGCCGTGTTCCTTTTGTCTGCGAGCATGGTTGGAGTTGTGAGTCTCGTTTCATTGGCCTAGCAACAATAACCAACTATGATATCAAATATACTATTTGCTTATGTTACGCATGCAGGTGCTACGGATTAGTGATGCCTGTTCGATGCTCATGTGTGTTCGTCTTATAGTTTATCATAAGCGGTGCCTGCGGCGTGGACTCCACAATATCAAATCATCCCAACAGCTTTTTATTAACTCTCTCTTAGATCTCAACTAATTTCTCAACAATATCCGATTGTTTTTGCCCCAAGTCACTAGCACCACCCACTTTCTCTTCCGCGGCGTCTTCTTTCCGCAGCTCAACCTCCGTCGACGCCCTATCATCATCACCACCACCACTTTTCCCATCTAACCCCTTCGCCTTTCCTGCTCCCGCTCCCGCTCCCGCGCTCTTCTTCCCCCTTTTCTCTACCCTCTCCTTCTCCCTATACCGCAACACACCACCACCACCTCCACCACTGGCGAACCCGCCCGGCCCGAAAGCCATATTCACCGCGGTCGTATACCACGCCGGGTGGTGCGCGAGCCCGACGTCGCGCAGCCCCGCGGCCGTCGTCGGCATCTCATGCGCGTACCGGCATTGCGCGCCCCAGCGGCAGGTGCCGCGGTGGCACCAGTGCTTGCAGTATGTGCTTGAGGGGCTGCCGTTGGTGTGGTGGCTGTGGCTGCGGCTGCTGGGTCGGTGGTGGGGTTTGGTGCGGGTGGTGGATGGGGGTAACCAGGATGGGAGGAAGTGAGCGGGGGCAAGGGCGGGGGCGGGGATGAAGGGGTATGGGTTTGTGGGGGGTGTGCTGCTTGCTACAGCTGGTGAGGCGAATCTTGGATGTTGGCTTCCAGTTGTGGTATTAGTGCTGTTAGGTCTAGTTTTGGCTGGTTTGGTATGGGGGTTGCTGATGCTAGTGGCTTGGGTATTGGGACCACTGGGGCTAGGAGAGGATTCCGAGATTGGATCTACCCGCGAACTTGCTGTTGATCCCTCCTCTGCCGACGTCAACGTTGTCGATGATGAGGCGGAGGGGGAAGTGGATATTATGGGAGTGTCGATAGGCATTAGTCCGCTATCATTCGTACTCTGCACTCGGTCCCGTAGGGTGTGATAGTCCTCCTGGTGAGCAGTCGGAGTTGCTTGGAGGTCATTATGCATATACACCTGGTAGAACTTGGGATTTCTGATCGCGGTTCCTAGGTTGCGGAGACCAACGGTCTGCTCAACGCTTAGCTCGCGCGGTATCCCGAATAAGTCCAACCATTCAGGTAGTTGGTCTACGGCGATGAGGGGCACGATAGGTCCGGGTGTGGTTACTGTGCCCGACGCGGTGTGCTTTGTCGTTCCTGGGCGGACGATGAAGTAATGAGGTAGTGGTATTTGGTTCTGCGTTGGTCGGGGACTAGGAGTAGAGTTGGAACTGTAAACTTGCCGCTGGCTGCCAGCTCCTGTTCTCCCGACGTATTGGTTGTTATTCGTGTTAGCCATAATTCTGTCGGGTTGCAGATAATAAGTCATGCTCTAGATCTCCGAAGTATGGGTCTAACTTGAACGATGAGAGTATCCTAAGTTAGTGTAGGTTGTTTAGTTCAAGTTACGTATATGTGTATAGATATGATTCTATAATAGCCACGTAGTTGGCCCTGGGACAAACTTATGGTGAGTCGTTTGGGCAGATATCCGTTTCGTTTGCTAGGGCCGCAAGGACTATCCGTTTGTATAATTCATACAGTTAGGCTAACAAAGATGGAAACTGGTTAGACATTATGAATGAAATGCTGCAAGCTATTGTAACTTGTCTCAGTGTCTTCACTAACTCTCCGGGAGATTTCCTGGGGTTTGGGTTATACTATTAAGCTAACTAGCCCTTCATGTTGACTTGAATAGTCTATTTAGCTTTATTATACCAATGGACTAATATCTACCTAAAGTATCCTTTATCACCGGGCCTCAACCCTGATTTTTACATCCAAGCCGTCGACACAAAACCCAAGCTGCCGGGGCCCGTCTTGCAGCTCTGCCTCTCGCTTGACCCACTTACCGGTCTTTATGTCCGTTTGAGAGCCCTCCCCTGTATCTACAGTTTCTCCCACTTCTCCCACTTCCCCTTTCTCATGTTCTTCCTCTTCATCACTGCTGTCTTCAACTTCGTCATCGAATCCTGCAACCGGATCCCATTCCCCAGTCTCCCAAATCAGGCGTATGCCAAGCGGATTTAACCCAAACAGCTTACCAGCAATCCCCTTCACAGCGTATATATCAAAGCTCTTAGGGATCCTAGTTGTTCGTTCTACGATCTCGCCCCCTTTATCTTTGGAGTGGAAGGTGAAGTGTACTATAACCAGTCTAGCTTCTAGAAAAGCGGGATTGATCTCTTTTTGTCTATTAACGACCGGTGGGCCATATAGCTCACATAATTCTGCATAGCGTCTGTGCTGCTTGATGATTTCGGCTTCCTTGTTTTCCGGGACACTGGCTAGATGCTTTCCGATGCGGCCCAAGTAGAACATCTCTGCGTCCTGGCGGTCGGTGTTCGATATCGTACCAAAGTTTAGTATCTTGAGATTTGCTAGACGACCAACGATGAACATGTATGCTTCTTCCGTGATTACCTTAGACTGGATAGAGAATTCGGGATCTGGGTTGTCATATATAGGGTTATGCGAGAAGCGGAGGGATATCAAGCCTGGGAAACATGTTGGTAAGGCGTCGACGAATGCCCATGATGATACTTGGTTATATGAGACATCTAGGTACTTCAGAGTTCCTGAAAATACTGGTAGAGTTTCGGATGGATCCTGGGTGATGCTAGTGATGAAGTTTCCTTTGAGGTGAAGATTGCGAAGTGACGCCAATCCGGCCAGGCTAGCAACACTAGAGATGGTGGTGAAATTATTGAATTCCAAATCCACAGAAGTCAAGGTAGAAGATAGTGTCGATAACTGAGTCTCCGGCAAAAAGAATAATTGGTTCGCACTGGAAGCGAGGGATGAGAGTATCTTAAACTTGGTTGCAATATGACATATCTCCTCCCAGCTCATGAGAGTATCATCTAAAGCCAAGTCTTTGATGTTTCGCAAGGAATTCTCTGCATTCTCAAGAACTTTATCATTCAATATGTCTTGAAATCGATTTCCACTATCCTGCAATTAGCGACCTAATGCAATATTGTCCATGATCTATGGACTTACTTCAAACGTAAACTTCGTAGAGCAGGCAACTCGGAACAGATAGCCACGACGGCTCCCACGTTCTGAAATAGGTTCCGGCTGAGGTCCAACTCGGTTATCTTGGGGAATGTCTCACCAATGGGACCGTCACCCTCTAAATAAGCCGTTGCGATACGTGCACCATCGACGATGACGGCCCTTAGTTCAGATAACTGCGCCTGCTTGCGTTGTATCTTTTCGAACCCAACTTCTTCTGCTATCTTGTTTGAAAACATGATGGCAGTCGTCTTCTCCAGCTCGGAGGCGTACTTCTCAGTTACCGCTCTCACGAAGCTCTGCAGTTTCTCTGTGGGCCGTGTCGGCCGTACGAAAGACGCGGCCGTCGCTGATTTAGAGAGGCCTCCTCATCATTAGATTTCTATAATTTATTTTAAATGATTAGGATAAGTACTCACAAGTGAAATATCTCACTCCTTTATGAGAACCGTCATGTTTCCCCCGAGTTGGGTCGTCCCATTCGACGCCAAGCCAACTACCGGATGTGCCACTGACTTCGCCGACATATCGAACTGTACAAATAGCGCCGTCGTAAGACAATCTGTCGCCGACCTTTGGGGTTGTAGTCATCGTTATAGTATTTCGCTATAATAACATTGAAAAATTGTGTCTACAAGAAGCAAATTATATAATCTGGCTGGCAATGTAGAAATAATATATGGAGAGTTAGATCAGGCAACAATTTTATTTGTTACTAAGAAACTGTTACGGCGTCACAGGGGATATTGTTACCTACACACTACTAAGTTCTACCCTGGAATGCCTTTCAAGTTGGAGAAATAATATTGCAACAGCTAATCGCTATATCCTCATTTTACATATCCACAATTAACATATTTTATGGCTTAAAATCATTGCTAATACAAAATTCCGTTCATAGCTTGCTCTTGGATTCTCCCACAACCTTCATCAACGCTCTCCCGTTACTCAAACAGACCTTTCCACCCGCGACCTTAACTAAAAATCTAATCTCTTCCCATTCTCCTTTCACCTGGCCAGTCCTCCATACGGATGTGACTATCTTATCTCCAGGGCGCACAGGGCTTGCGAACCGGGCCTGGAACTCTTTAATATTAGCCGGGTCGCTGCCACCCAACTTCTGTAGTAGACCGTGACAGGCCGAGTTAAACGAATATAAACCGTGAATGATGACACCACCAAATCCCATCTTCTTGCCCGGCTCCGGGTGCGCATGGAGTGGGTTGTAGTCGCCATTCAACCGATACAGCAGGGGTGTCTGCGCATTGGTCTGGTTCTCGAACTCGACATCCGGCTTCTTGTCCTTTGGTGGAGGGAAGTTCTCGGTTGCGGGGCCCTTAGGACCACCCCAGTTACCCTGTGCTACATAGAATGAGCTGCCGATGGCGCGCGTGTAGACTTCACCTGTCGCAACGTCTACCAGGTCCTGCTGAATCTCGACGACTGAGCCTGGTCGACCCTTGTCGTATACACCAAGGACTTTGGTCCGGAGCTCGAACTTTCTGCCAACCGATGTAGTAGGGAGGGGTTTGAGGAATTGGACAAGTCGCTGGCCGTCAACAACTCGTCGCGCATCGAAGTCGGGCACACCTGGGATCTTAACTGCCTTCTCCGCGGCATAGAAGTCAATAACCTCTTGCTGGTTCTTTTTGAAAGCTATATATTGTTAATCGCGTATATTTCAATCGATTCGTAGGGCAATTCTTACGGAGGATGACCGGGTAGGTCGGGAACACCGAGAAATTAGGATCGAGCTCCTATTAGACTGTTAGAAATATACTATGGATAGTAATAGCATATATAAACAAGGGGAAACTAACGTAGAGAAAGTGAAGTTCGTCGGAAGTACAGCCTATAGTGTTGGCAAACAACAAGACATCGCGCTTTGTCCACGATACCTCGGTAGGAGGATATTCAAACCCGGCTCCTGGACTGCTCATTTTCGGTTTCACTTGAGGTTAAAGTGCGTCTGGTTGGAATTGGGAATGTAAATGGATGTTGTATAGATTTACGAGTAAAGAGTTATATGTAGGAGTGAATAGGTGTATACTGAAAGAGTGGCTAATGGGTTCTTGAAGCTTGAACGCGACAAAGATGATGGGCAACTATCCGGTATTAGGAACGAAAGTCCCACATGATCTAACGATTCGAACCGAGGTTCAATGGCTACCTGCAGATGAACTTGGCTGGTTTAGGTCTAGAACTGATTGATAAGATATCGGTACTTTAATCCCGGTATATATATACAGTAGTTCGATACATAGAATCTAATCTGTGCATTATGACATCAAGTATACATTACATAGGTATGTAGGTAGTAGGTGGGTACTTTATACTTTCATCTCAAGCTTGAGGTATTGAGAGCTCTAAACTTCAAGCTTCAAGCTTCAAGCTAAACCCAGCAATAGCAACAACAGCAGCAAACCTTTCCTAAGTACCAATCAATATGCAACCTATGCTTAGCAGTCAACAGTCAGCAGTCTAGCAGGTAGGCATCAAACGTTTCTAGGGTTGCTTCGAAAGTAAATAGGTAAGCAGACCATTTCATTCTTCTTGAGGAACATGGTACTATATTCGACGCATCTCTGATTCATCTCCATTATTTCTTCTAAGAGCTTCTATGCCTCGTTCATAGATTTGTCAATGATAGTGGATTCTGCTTCAAACCAAGATTTGACATTTCGGTTGGCAAATGTTGACCCGCATATCGACACTGACAAGAATCACGACTCACTGACAACATCCCGCTCTGGAAGTAATTCAAGGCTTAATACTGTGCTGTCTTTAACCTCCAGAGAGCTCCGGAACTCGTCAACGAAGACCGAAAAGCTTATCCTAAAACATAATAAGCTCAACAAGGGACTCTTACGTGAGGACGTGAGGACGTGAGGACGAGAAGCCGCAGCTCAGCCCAGAAGACCAGCTGTCGAAAGAAAAGCTACTACAGGGACAAAGAAATTTAAGAAAGAAAGCACGCCAACACGTTAAGAGACTTTCTCACCTCAAAAAATTGTATGGGAAGGACCACGCTTCTAAGCAAGAACAACACTTGTACGATACTATTCAACAACTAGAATCTAGGCTCAATAAGCACCTTAGACCACCACTAGTATCCCAGGGAAATCGTAGGTTGAAGACCATTAGTGAGAGAAACACAAACAAGATGAATTCCGACGAAGAATTATCTATGCCATTGCCATGCTCGGAGGCTACCGATCAGTCTAACAATTTCCCCCAATATCCGACATTAAGCAGCTATTATGCCAAGCGTGCTTCCGTAAGTGAGGAAGTATGTGGTGAAAAGAGGAAGTCAGAGGACAACGACGGTGCATCAGGCAAGAAGCGTAAGCAAGGCACTTCGAACGAAGTTGGTTTCTCGGCAGGCCTTCTGGCGAATGAGACGCGGAAGGAGAATGTTGATTGGTTTGACGAGGGCACTTAGGAGATGCCGTTAGTCCCGACCATGTCTAGCGAAAAGAAATATGATTATCAGGAAGCTGGTAATGCACTATCGTCAAACCCCTTTAGTCAATCCAATGGTCACAAGTCATCCGACAAAGGCAAAGGCAAGATGAAAGCTGAACCTCAAGAACAACAGTCAGGCGCAAGTTGCGGGTACCAGCAATCATACCCGGCAGTGAATAGCACCACAGCTAACGCATCAGCTTCTTCTACTCAGGTTGCCCAGGCTGTTGACCTAGAGAAACTTGAACAAAGACGTCGGCTAGATGAGATCGTCAAGGATCACATTGATGACTTTGGCATTGTTTATGACCGCCCCGGCCCTGAGATTCCTGGAGATTCTCCCGATGGCTCGTGGATGATGGCCGGCGGGCTCGTAACTGACCCCCTTCAGGTTCAGGTTAGTTCTTCACCCCTCTAATAGTTTTGTATTGGTTCTAATATTAGCACTCTATAGGGATTGTGGGACGTTAGGATGTCTACTTCAAGCCTTTCGTCGTCAGGAGAAGATAACAACAATGATGAACGCAAAGTCGCAAGTCAAGAAATCTCTAGCTTAGCGGAAGCTTCAACTTTCCAGGGCGATAACCGTGCTACGCTACCTAATGACATACACAACACTGTAAAGACTTCGTCTTTCGACCCATCCACCGCGGCTTCCCCGCCAATGCCGAATACTATGCAAGCCTGGGGACGCCAGTCTAGCAATCCCGCCCATCCTACTCAGATCAGAGGTTCTTTGCCCCCTCAGTACTTTGATCGAGTCACGCCCACGACATTCCGCGGCGATTCTCAAATGGACGGTCCGGCCCAGGAAGAGGCCGATATAGACGGAGACGACTATTACGTGCGTCCCGGAGCAGTTAGCATGAAACGACCCCGATCAGCAGCATCCATCTCTACGTCGCAGCCTTAGGCAGGTCCTGTTAACGGAAATCCTTTTGGAACCCCGACGTCATACTCCACGGCCCAGCCGCAATCGCAGACTCAATCGGGCCTCCGACCGGCCTCACCTCCCATTCCGCAGCCCATTGACGATCTTGTTGTTCTTGTCGGTGTCCCGGGAGTCGGCGTACCCGGCACGTCGTCTTCTCGCCACTGCCAGGGACGATGTATCAACCGAGAGTTCAGTCTCGCCGAGGCCCTTGCAAGGGATCGTATGGTCTTAGATAGGGAGGAGGAATTGTGGACTATGATGATGGGGTTTTAAGACTTTTTGTTGATGCGTTTAGGGATTGTTTATTCGTTGGTCATGATATTCGGAGGTTTTTTTTTTTTTTTTTGCAAGGAGTTGGACTCGCTGAAGGTAGATTCTCGTTATTTTAGGGATGGCGGTTTTGTACACCACTTCTTTCTAATAACCTGAGTTTCTATAGGTAGTAGTCATCTTCGCACTCGTCGGCGCGATGTTAGTGTATGTTAGTGTAATGTAGTACGATGCTGCAGGTAGCCCTTGATTAGCCACAACGCTGGCCTTGATAGGTTAATTAAGTACATCCTGCCCATCAATACGTCCACCATGGAGTTGACCATTTACTTCCGTAGGTAGTTTAGCTCATGTGGGATTCATGTAAATAAACGCTTCATATAAGCATGATATTCCAGTTCGCATTAAACGAGGGGGGTTTAAATCAATCTCACAATTTCTTGTATTCTATTAGAATTGTTTTAACTAGTAACTATTTGTAGGTATAGTTAACTTATATATCCTGATCAATTTAAGTCTTAAGCTACGTTCTGTTTATAATCCAAGACTTTACGCTCTATGAATTGCATGCAAAGCGAAACAGACCTCCTGCTAATCCGGTCAGAAGAAATAATACGAAAGGCAACTGAGGTCAAATTCAGGGTATCCAAGTTATTAGTCCAGCCAAGCCCACGTCTTCAACAACTTGCCCGGCCGAGTCACCTCCATCTCAGCTCATAACGCTAATACCTACGTAACCACAACCAAAGGCTCCTTACGCCAAGCCAGACCCCCCCCTCCCCCCCAAAGAAAACCACGCAAGCCTCCCAAGAGGACGATCAGGTCGCCTTCTCCCTCGGCTCGAAGATAATCTCCACCGGCCCTGGCTGTGCCGTGATCTGGTCTTTCATCTCGCGCCACATGGTCATCGGGTCGTAGCCCGGTGCAAATTTAAGATGAAAATCCCGGACTAGGCCCGCGGCGAAGAGCCGGAGCTCCGCGTAGGCGATGGGCTTGCCGACGCATTGCCGACCGCCGGTCGAGAAGGGCCCGAAGGCGCGCTTGTCGAGGATCAGCTCGGGGCGCGAGTACCACCGCTCCGGGATGAAGTCGTTGGGGTGGGCGAAGGCGGATTCCACTGGTTAGGTAGGGATATTAGCTGTTATTGTGGAGAGATAAATTGAATGTGTGTATTAGGAATTTAGTACTTACTTCGCATGATGACATATTTGGGCGCCGTGACTTTGGTGTAAGGGGGGATTAGGACGTCGTCGACCATCAACCCATCTGGTCCGGTTATTCTTGCGGCACCGGTCATAGCGGGTGGTACGAGCCGCAATGTCTCTTGGATGAAGCCCTCGAGGTGAGGCAGGGAGGCAAGAGCATTAGGGTCCCTCGTGTCTACACCTTGAGTCTCTTCGTATATTTTCTTGGCGTGCTCGGGATACCGCGCAAGGAACCAACATGAAGCGATTAGAGCGGCTCGGGTGGTATCACTATGATAGTTAAGGGCGTGTTAGTATATGTGCTAGTAACGATGATACAGCGTCAAGAGGGAGAATAGGGGTTATGGTTGACTCACCTGCCTGCGACTACAGCTGTGACTGCTGTTCCGTGAAGATAAAGATCGCGTTCCTCTATGGTATGGAATCTATGAAGTTTTTGATACTCGTCGATGAAGTGGGTTGCCATGTCCGCCTGGTCTATATTATCGCCCTCCTATATCATACTACCGTTAGTATGGTATTATTCTTCAGTAAGAAGAAACTTACATTTATACGTTGCTTCATTCGACTTTCGCAGAATGCAACCATCTTAAACCAGTCCTGAACTCGATGCCAGAAAGGGGCTAAGGAGAAGATCATGTGTGCGAGCCAAGTTACATCATTGATAGGCCCGACCAGCTCGAAAGCACGGTCTCGGTGATCGAAAAATGGATGCCAGGCCTGGGTCTTAACGAGTTTCCAGTCCTGGTTGAATAATATGTCTCCAACTACGTCGAAAGTGAACCGAGATACTTGTTCATCTATGTGGACTGGCCGAGTACCGCCAAATCCACGGAAACATTCGCATAGCTCCTGCACATGTTGAGAAATGCGTGGGTTAAACGAATTCATGGCTGGATAACGTGTTAATAGAGTCTTTGAAGCAAGTTAGACCTTTTCAGGTGAGGGTCCCCTTACTTTTCCCAGAGATCGCTTGCACCCAGGCCCTACGACCATCTTTGTGCTCCTGTTCACTCCGAGTGAAGACAGCAGAGCTCCTCGGCTTCAAGATATCATACCAAATGTCCTTAGTAGTAGAAGTTCCCCACCCATCAAGCAGCCTAAACGCAGCTGGGTGTACAATGGTAACTTCATTGGGGCCTATTTGAAATACTCAGCATATATGAAACATTGAGATCAATCGACGTTGGTGTAAAAATAGGGGTATAAACCTACCCGTTCGTATGATACTTCCATACTTCTCATGCAGCTCTTTCAACCACAAGTGGTTTGTCGAGTGTCGAATCTTGAATACGTGCCATAGCTTAGTGACAGCAGCAAGCTTTGGTCCCGGGAACTTAGACAGGCGGTGGAAGAACAAGCGATAAATTGTCATGCTAGTAAACATAGCAGTGAAATATGACGCCGCTATAATAGAGGCCTGCCGAAAAGCTTCTCCAATGGAAACGAAGCCCCAGGCTTGGTATACAAGACCTGCCGTGCCTAGCCATAGTAGCAAGTGGACAGCTACGATCTGTGGAATATAAAGATGCCATTCGCCGCGGATGAAGACGCCATTGTGAGCGAAGAGCCCAGCAATGGCGGCGAGAAGTATCGGGTAAAGCATCAGAATAGATTGTTCGACAACAACAGCAACAATAACAACAACATAGAATAATTAAACGATAGCTGCGAGCTTCTCATACAGCTAGCTAGCTACCTAGGCGAAGCTACTCTATTGAGCTGCTTAGTATCATGTACCGGGTATGGCACATATGAGATAATGATTACGGTAGTTAAAGGAACGAGACACTATGTACGAGCATGCATGGGCACAATTAATACTATCACTTTTACTGGCTGTAGTCCTAAAACGGTGATGAAGCGGTGCCTAAACCCTGTTTTTTCTCTACGACTGTTATAAGAAAATACCAGGTAGGCATATATTTATTTCGACGTGGTGACACAGGTACCGTACCCTTTCAATACATACAGCGCTCACTTTGCCCATGAAGACATAACCGACCTGTTAGAACAGATATGCGGGACTTACACGCCCACCTAACGTAAGACCTAAGCCTTAAGGTATGATTTCGGACTACGACGACGGCCCGATTGGCCGCAGCATCTCTTCTAATGGGGATATGGCATCTCCATTCTAGGATAGACGATACATATAAAAAGAAACGTATCGTATCGAAAGGGTATCCCCACAATAGAGTATTATCGTGATCTGGTATATACATAGTGTATTGACAGGGGAAAATGTGGTGATAGTGGGGGATATGACAATCCTGCTAAACTCACACCCTGTGCGGCACAAAAAGGTACCTAGGTTAGGTAGTTAGGGACCTAGGGTTGTGTAGATGCTACAGCCGACGTCACATCCGAATACTTCAATGCTACTCACATTATTCAAAAAACTCGGTTTGCCCACATATAATTATAAGCACGTGTACGGAAGCGTCGTATGCAAGACGATAGAACATGAGGAATCTTTGTCGATGCTACCCTAAGGTGAAGATGTAATCTGTAGCGTAGCTATTGGAGGGTTACGCTGCCCCTGTTTCCGATGATTTGGAACCAACATGCGCATCCCAGCCGCCGAAGATAATATATAGAGGTATATATGTATATAAGTCGTCTCGAAGGATTCAAGTTTCCAAGTTTCAACATGGGATATTCTTAATCCGGTTATACTACCTTCTCAACATGGACAAAAATATGAGATATATGCAAGGGGTCAAATCCAAACGAGTATAGCCTAGTGACGAATTAGGCTTATAATCGCCGCTAACTTCGCCTCCCGTTCGCAATACCGGCGGGAATCGGCAGGTCTAGCGAAATTCTACGGATTTGAGAGCGCTTAGATCAAAACGGCTTCTATGCCAAGGACATATACCGAGGATTCAAGTTACCTATGTATTTGCTAAAATCCTTAGCAACAATTAGCTCGGTCCTGCGGCAATGGTGTTCATTAACTTCTTTAGGCATCCATAATGCATCACATGTTTAAGTTGACGTCTTTCTACATAGTATATACAAGAATGAAACCACATGTTGCTGTGGGGGGTCCCTTTTTATCCCATATTCTCCTCATAATAAACACCCTTCTGACAGATACATCGGTTAGTGGAATCTAATATGATATGCTCCCCCCCGCCGCCTGTATGCATATAGTAGACCCCCCGTAATAAAATATAATGTTACATCAAAGATAGTAAATGAAGATGTTAGTTGAATAGTGGCACGGGTCACCACTACCTAACCTTGCATAGCCGGCCATCCTGTCGTATCTCCCAATACTCACTTCCTACGGCTGTTTGACCGTAGAACGTGTCATTCGGATCATACTTCCTCTTGATAGATAAGAGCTTATCATAATTGCTACCGTAGAACACCTGCTGGAAGTTAGACTGACCAAAGTCAGCCTCATTCAGGTACGCAGCGCCGTTGGGGGTTATGGCAGAGAGCCTCGGGACCATCGAGTTCCTGATAAGTTCCTGATCTGCCATGTTGGCGCTATTATCCAGATGATTGTAATAGCTGTTGGCGCCAAGAGTTAGTAATATGTATATAGACCAGGGGTGGCAACCGGGATGAGACTTACGTGCCGAAGACAGAACTAAAAGCCGCAGAACGCCAGACAGGATTTACGGAGTTCGGAGAACTCGGCGTGCGGTTGACATTGACTGAAAGTCCTGACAGGATTGCGCCTTCATCAACAACGAACTTCAACGCGTCGATGAGCGTCGCTACAGAGTCATTCGATAATAGCGAGCGTGGGATCAGACGACCACCAATATTAGCCTGAGTCACATTTGGCTCCGCACTCATAGAATGGAAGCTATCAAGGAAGTTGGGGAAGTCCTTAACAGCATACTCTGTCGATAATGTTAGTCCAATTAAGAAATCCTGTAGGCATAGATAGATTAAAAGGGGAACTCACGATAAGGTAATTTCACTCTCTCTAGCTGGTCGATAGTAGGTTGCAGCAAGGCTGTCAATTGCTTAGAATCTAAGTTCGGGGCCGTTACAGACTGGATTGTGAAGCTCGCGTTCGAGAGCATCCAGATACACACGGCACCAGCATCGGTGATCTTAGTTAAGCTTCCGAGGAAGACTGTAAAGCTATCCCAGAATGCTTCTGATGTAGTTTCGAGATTGAATGTAAGGTTGCCGACAGAAACAATATCAAAATCTGGATGAGCTTTAATAGTTAAGGACAACACAGCTGCGTATGTGCCACCCCCACCTCCTGAAAGAGCCCAATATAAATCCGAGTTTTCATAAGGGGTAGCGATCAAGTGTTTCCCGGTAGAGGTTACAACCTCCCACTCAAGCGTCTGGTCAGCGGCAAGTCCCAATGTAGATACGAGGGGCCCATGGCCACCACCCTGTGAATATCCGCCAGCTAACCCGACAGTTGAGGAGTCACCGCCCACAACTACGAGGCCGTTCGCATGTGCTACACGCTGAGCCTCGCCGTTCTGCACTCCGGCACCAACCTTGATTGCCTTGCCTATAGTTGCTGTTAGGTATTTGTTCATATTTAATTTGGTATGATAGTTGAGCCCTTACCAGTGTAATGCTGAGAGGAGTAGTCGCTAACTGTGATATCCTTTAAGTGGTGTGTCCAGATAGCTAAACCACCGGCACCGGTCGACTTGCCGAAGTAATCATGACCGGTATTACGGATGACGAAACGGATATTGTGCTGCTGCGCAAAAGCAATTGTCGATTGATAGTCTTGAGCCGAAGAGGCGTTTACAGCATACTGGATTAAGGAGCCAACTACACATTGGGCGTCAGGTGGTGTAAAGGGGTCGCAGCTCATATTGGCGAAAAAGGGCGCCATAGGGGATGATGAGCTCTCATAGTGAGTAACAGGGTAGTCCCATACCGATATGAGCTTTGCGCACGCGTCAGCATCGTATCGTCCAAACCCGCTATTATGGCAAACGCTAGCCAGAGGAATTGTCGTAACTAGTTTGCCATTGATCGTCTTGTTGAATTGGCTCCATTCTGACCTGGATGGCCAGCAAGCGTCGCCTGGGAAGCACCGACATTTCGAGCTGTTCACAGAAGCCTCAGCATCGCGAAGTAGGACTGAGTTTGAGGAGTGTGGTTGGAGGGCTAATGCCGCCGCCGCGTAGGCGGAATACAGCAGAGGTAACACTGAGCGAAAGATCATCGCTCTGAAATGTGTCTCTAGTGTTACCGTACTTTATCTTGCCAAGTCGAACCTAATGCCCGCAGAGTACGGAAGCACATGTGCATGTAGGTGAGACAGGCAATGTGAGCTTAAGAGCGATTCACAGGGAAAATCTAGACTCTTCGCGGTTCACTCGGATCCGATCTCTACGTGAGATGCATGAGCTGACGGGCAAACAACCCGGGAAGGTAATTTAATTACGGATTTTGGACATCTTCCTTGGTGACAAAGCAGACAGAGTGGCACAGCAGAGCTGCGTGTCTCTCTCTCTCTCGGACATGATAACATTTATTCCCGCACAAATCAAGATACGATGCCCAGAAGTTGAGTGTTCAAGGGACTTGAAATCTTGGTAGAGATATGAGCGGGGGACGGAGTTGAAATTCCCCTGGAAAATTCCCCTTAGCTTCGGGTGCATTAAGCTTTACGATGTGGTGGGAAAATGTAACTTGGAAGGTACCTTGGGTAGCATATTGCGAATGAGATACTACCTATAGGTAGCTGCTCCGATGCTTTACCGAGTTTCATAAACCACGTGCACCTCCAACCAGGCAGGTGCATATGTACATACCTAGGTACCTACCAGGTACCTACTCCCCTAGTTCATGGCCCTATATATGGCCCCCACTCCGATTCTGTGATCCAAGGTTCCCAATCTGACAGTTCCAGAAAATCAACCAACGAGATATTGATTTGACACACTTATTCATCGTAATTCGTCACTCGTTTACTACCAAATCCTGCAGTGTAACCCTATTCTAAGCCACCGTCAGCAATCTGCAGTTGGCAACTACATACATATAAACCTTGTTTGATACAGGTCTCTGGGATGAGAGATAGTAGCGCGACGCTAAGTGGAGATGTTTAACTAAATATGGCTAGCAGGTAGCTTTACGTATAAATTTGTATATAATAGTACTGAATATTAATACTTTTCGAACTGAAAGGCTGCTCCTGAATATCAATATATGGGTTTGGATAAAAAATTAAGTATAAAAAGTTGATCTTTCTATTAAAGTTTTGTACTTTACGTATAAATTTATATGTAAGGCTACCTGCTAGCCATATTTAGTTAAAAATCTCCACTTAGCGCCGCGCTACTATCTCTCATCCCAGAGACCTGTATTTAAGACGTAACTACCAAAATTACACTATATACGCGATCGCTATTGATAGCCCAATAGTATAAAACTTGGACTAAAAAAAGGCTAGTTTACGGTAGATTTTTTATCTAGTTCCAACTAGTGTATGTATGCAGCCACGAGGTTGGTAGGGACCACAGTATCCATGCCCCGGCCCGCATCCTACATCCTTTAACGGTATGTGACCTTCTTAACCGTTACATCAACTGCCGGTCATCGCAATCACAGGTAAGGAAAACAGAGTTATCGTCCACAAACACCACCACTTCCACGTTTGAGAATCCTCCGTCGGTGTTCGCTTAAGCAGAACCCTAGCGATAACTACAATTCCAATTATGCCTGGTAAAGCGAACGCCGGTAGACCGAGGTGCCAGAACCTAGTGCAAACGAGGGACCAGAGTGCCACGAAGAAGGCAATGGATGTTCTCGAAAACCACTCTCCTATGAACAGAACCACCGTTCGGCGTCCTCGCGTCTTGTCCCCCGCTTGGTCCTTCAGGTCTTGAACTTGCATCGTGGTCAGAATGACACCGCTAATTATGGCTACCCATATAAACGCTTCTCGACTGATGTCATTGCCAATAGCAATCTTCAGCGAGGCGCTGTGAGCAACCCCATACGCAACAGCGATAATCAGGTCTCGGACGATCTCGTCACCGCCTCTCAAATCATTGTAGAGGTAACTCAAAATAGGTACCATAACACCTTGCTCCCAGACTCCCAAGCTGTAATTGAGCCATAGTGAGATTGGGATGAAAAGAAGCAAAGCCCTCCGGGTCTGTTCCGGGGTAACTTTCCCGGTCGGTATGGGCCGCCACGGCTTATTTAGAAGATCCTCCTGAATCGATTCTGCTGAGCGCTGGTTGCCGAGGTCGAAAACTAGTACATTATACCAGTTAAACGCGATGACGATGGGAAATCGTTGGAGAACTTCAAGAGCCGTAGGCGGCCCGCTTGATCCTACAGTAGCAAATGCAGGTACAAGAGCACCCAGAATCCCAAAGGTCGAATTCGGGATGACGAACGTGGCAAAGTTGCTCCGTGTGAACTCCCATACAAGGTAGGGTACAACATAAAACCACCCAAAGTCGTCGTGTGCAATGGTCGAAGTTGGCTTCAGTTCGGCCTCTGAAACCGGCGTTGTATCACTTTTCAAGGCGTCTTCCATAACTCCTCACTCGAGCGCTTAAGTCAATATCAAAAACACTACAGAAATTGAGACAGAAGAGTGTGGTCGGCCTGCTTTAACGGGTTTCTTAGACGATTTCTTCCAATTTAACATGCGTTGGGAATCCCTTCCTTCGATAACCTTTTTGAGACGATACCATGTGCTGGAGTAGCATTGCTACCGTTACGAGAATACTACCCCTCCTAACTCACTCGTTCGGAAGTAGAAGACTGCCTGCGGAAGGATTCTACTTGGTGATTGGCGGACGGTATCACGACCCTATTGGGTATTGCGAACGTTGCATCACATAAGAACTATTCCTTGACCTTGGTCCAACAGCTCCGCCTCTTAGATACCTGAAATATACATACATACATCAGCAACTCCACAATGCTGCAGAGCCACCATGAGATGTGCCGGCCATCTGACCACCAATCTACATGTAGTGCAGCGGTCTTGGTCTTGATATACTTACCCCCCATAAGACCGCAGTTGGTCTACTGGTGCTGACCTGAAATCAAAGGAATCAGCGCTAAAACAACAATTGTGTATGTCTTGATTGCCGCCTCCCCGTAAGGTGTATATGGTGATCTTTTATGTCTTTTCTCTGAAAATAAGCGTTCTGCCTACTTTTCTCCAAGTCGGGCTCGTTGGGTGTCGTCGAATCTGTATCATACCGAGCCCCTCAATCGTACACACCTTGTGCCACGGCGCCGTGGCGTTTGAATATTACCGAATATCACCACTATTTGGTCCTCACTGAATAGTATTCAAAATGCCAGGCCGGGACCCACGAGGCGAGACGCTTCTAAGATGGATGATAGCGTTTACCGTTATCGTCGGTGTAATTCTACTGCTGCGTCTATGGGCAGCTAGGTTGATGAGACGATCGTTCTACCTCGACGACTTATTTGTGCTTATCGCTTTTGTAAGTAATCTCCCTATGCGTTTGAATTTCTGTCCCATCGCCACCGTACGCCAAATTCTAAACGATGCGGCGAATAGGCAAGCACAATTACGTTCGAAGGCGTTGCCGTCTGGGCTATTGACAACGGCGCCGGTAAACCTCAAGCCGATCTCACTCCTGAGGAACTTGCCATACAGGCCAAGGTATGACCCAATTACAATAAACTCTCTAATATCTCCACTTGCTAACAAGGTGAGTTAGATTCTCGTACTTCCCTCTTCCATTGCGTGGCTCGTAGGGACTGTCGCTATCAAATTCTCCGTGCTATGGCTTTACACGAGAATCTTCTCGACGCGGTCGTTTAAGAACTGGTCATACTCTCTCATGGCGCTGGTCGCATGCTACTTTGTCGCTTTTCTCGCCGTTTTCATGACCATCTGCAAGCCCATCGATCAACTGTGGAATCCGGTACCGTGGGGCTCATGCCGAGACACGTCAGACCAAGAGTTCACCTCGATCAGCTTTAATTTAGTAGTGGATCTAGCGATCTTCGTATTGCCTATGCCTTGGCTTTGGGGGCTGAAAATGCCTCTACGTAACAAGATTGCTATTAGCGTTATGTTTAGCATTGGTCTTGTGTAAGTTCATACCTAAGACATATTCTAACGAGTCCATCGCCATTAACATGCAATAGAACTATTGGCGTCATGTGCTGGCGACTAGCCGCAACGAAGGACTCGATCGCGCACCCCGACGCATCGTACCATACCACAGACATTGCGCTCATCAGCTTGCTCGAGCTGTGGCTAGGCATGATTGTTGCTAGCATACCAACTCTAGCGCCGCTACTTCAGAGATACGTGAAGCCGGTTATTACCAAAGTTACGATGCACTCATCTGGCTCGCGGTACCCGCAAAACCAGTACAAATTAAGCAATTACAAGGAGAGTCATAGTAGCCGGAGATACAAGAACATCGATACCACCAACAGTCAGTACGATGTCAAGATATACGCAAATGACTTGCAAGGGTCGACCCAAGGTCTGGCGATCACGACGGAGTGTACTCACGACCCTGTGATAGAGCCCCCAAGAGATATTCCCACTCCTGGCCAGATACATGTTCGGAGGGATATTGAATCACAAAATTGGTAAAGGGGGTTATGTTTTTTTAAGTAAAAAGTGTTGATGTATATTATGGCTATTACGAAATAAACATTATGATAACGTTTGTCTATGTGCGATATAATTGTCTATGAGAGATTTACCCAACTTGAAGTCTCGACGAAGGATTCTTAGCGCCGGTATAGTGATATTATAGATAATAAATCACCTACGATATCACGTATATGCTTTTAATATATCATGACTAACAACTGCGTAATTGCCTAATTGTTCATAATTGTATTTATTTACCTTTCCTATTTGCTAATTACTAATTACCTCTAAATACTATATATTAATAGTGTAGTATTTAATCCGGTCGGGCTAGTTTCCCAGTGGTCAGATTTGTCATTCTCATCCGGAGTTAATGCAGCCCAGTGGCTGCGCAAAGAAATACCACTACATGTATGCATCTTTCGTTCCATGGCGCTACTACGTCAGCGACATCCCACTTATACTTACAGCTAACACGGCGCGCCCCGCACCCAACGGCCTCCGAAGTTATGATTATGAAGCCAAAGTCCCGGCGGTTAGTTCTATATCCCCGAGAAATGTATAATAGGATATGTACCTTTTTTTTTACGTAGGACTTGCCCATTACATATAGCTTACGTAAATATAATATATCTACATATCATATAATACGATAGATAACCCCTTGGGCCTTTAGATATCGAACTCGTTCTAGGTTTCCGTAACTTGCCGCTTTGTCCTCCTTCAACACTAACGCAAAATATTGAAAGAATGGCTGCTCCTGTACCATCCCCGACGCCAACTTGGCACAATGATACCTACGCAGCTATCTCCCCGAAGCGGCCTGAACTTAGTGCTGCGGGGAAGACTGTCGTGATTACCGGCGCTGTGAGCTTTAGCCTGACTTAGTTTTTTATTCCGCCATCTAATATTTATAGGGGGGTGGCGTCGGCCGCGAAACTGCGCTCGCATTTGCTGAAGCTGGAGCTTCTTGCATCGTACTTCTGGGCCGCACTGAGGAGACCATCAAGACGGCGGCTTCTGCGCTTCCTAGTTCCGTCTCGGCTCAGACCTTTGCGGTGGATATTACTCAAGAAGATGCGCTCCAGCGAGTCGCGACTGAAGTCGGAACGTGGGATATCCTCATCCATACCGCTGGTTATATCTCTACTCCGGGCCCCATCGCTTCCTCGGATACCAACGAGTGGTGGCAAAGCTTCGAGGTAAGACGAGCTACATACATGGCCTCGCATCTCCATAGCAAACCTACCTAGGTACCTACCTATGTACTAACACTCGCTAGACAAATGCCAAAGGCACATTCCTCAGCATCAAGACCTTCTTGCCCACGGCGAATAAGACACATGCTACCATCCTAGCCCTCAATACCGGCACCATTGCGCTCCCCAGCGTGGTCCTGCCCGGCCTGTCCGCCTACATGGCGTCGAAGCTCGCCGAGACTAAGATCATCGAGTTCTTAGCCGCGGAGCAACCGAATATCTTCGCAGCGACGGTGCACCCTGGTCTGATCGAGTCGGATATCTTCCGGAAGAGCGGCGCGAAGGCTGAGGCTGTGCCTTTGGATAAACGTAAGTTGAGTTCCTAGTTGAAGTTTATCGCCAACTTTGCTTTCTACGTTGTCTTGTTATAAATCTATGTTGCTAACGAATGAATTATTCGACTTAGCCCAACTCCCAGCCCATTTTCTGGTATGGTTATCCAGCCCCGAAGCCAGCTTCCTGAAGGGCCGCGCTGTGTGGGCTAATTGGGATGTGGACGAGTTAAAGGGACAGGCTAAAGCTATAGAGTCGGGGATACAATTTACGAGTGGTATTAATGGCTGGCCGTTCTCTGCTGCGTAAATGGGTAGGTTGGCCATATGCTACTAAAGACTAAGAGTTATTTGTTTGCTTCAGGGATTGATAAGAACAACAGTTCTGCTCGTGCACTACGAAGATACTTTAAGATAAAAGATGATCCCGTAGACTTATCAAAGTAGCAGGTAACTAATGAATTATGAAACCTAAATCCTGGTATTTTATTTGTTTATTTATTTATTTATTTCGGAAAGTCTACGTAAGAATACCTGAACAATAATATCAAAAAGCGATCCATTGATGTTGGACGCCTACGACTTATAAGTTAAACGGGTGTAAGCGGGACATTGTAGCTATTGCAAACAGCATCCTAACACCGGTTTTACATGCTTAAATCCGTAATAATAAAAAATAATACTAACAGGTAGGTACCTAAACTAAATACGAATAAATATTAGCACTTAGGTATGATACAGTGATAATATTTGATATTCCGAAAATAATAGTAATGCATATTCCTAGAATATCACAGCGGATTACGACCCCATCCCTTAGCTGCACCTGCACGTTTCCCCTCTTTCAGTGGGAAGCACAAGACCCCTGCTATCCTTAGGTACCTCCTTAGGTACCTCCCTAGGTACATACTGAATTACCAAGCACAGATTACAGAAGAACAGCAGGTACGAGAGGGTGAACGTATACTGCATAATCCCCAGTACTACATAAATAAATGTACCTAAGGTACTTTAGGGAGCAGATATGTAAACCATAAACCATACTATTTTGCTCGTTATTTCAGTCGTGGTCGGTTCACTCGGATTTACTATATGCTTTCTTGCAACCCGATTTATTAAACTTCGCCATATCGTGTAGAAATTATGGCATCCGAAAGCTTCGACTTTATTATCGTCGGCGGAGGACTGGCGGGTCTCGTATTAGCATCTCGGTTGTCAGAGGATCCCGCTGTCCAGGTCCTTGTTATCGAGGCAGGTGAAGATCAGACAGCTGACCCTCGAGTTAACGTCCCTGCTATGTGGCCTACTTTACTTAATACTCCTTCTGCATATAGTTTCAGGACCGTGCCTCAGGTATGTGCTCTATCATCATCCGTGTCATGCTTTCTAATGTGTTAGTAGAAAGAACTCGAAAATCGAGAGATTTGGTTCCCCCTAGGTCGTTTGCTTGGGGGATCCAGCGCACTAAATGGCATGGCCTTCAGTATAACCTCGAAAGCTAACGTCGATGCTTGGGAAGCTCTAGGAAACCCGGGGTGGGGTTGGTCGAGCTTCTCCGAGTCCTTAAAAAAGGCGTATAGCTTGCCTTCGGAAGGGGCAGACGCTAAAGGCCCGGTCCAACTTGCTATCCCCGACGAAGACACTGAGTGGCCACGAGTTTGGAGAGAAACGCTTACTGCACTCGGCTTCCCAGTAACCGATGACCCGTTTTCTGGGCAACTTTCCGGTGGCCTGATCGTCACAGATTCTTTACATCCTGCTACAAAACAGAGGAGCTACGTCGGAAATGCATACCTCGAGGCTGCACAACCTAGGAGCAATCTCACTATCTGGACCAAGGCCCTGACGGAGAAGATCATATTCGACAAGTCAGATATTCCCATAGCTACCGGTGTCCAAGTTAATAAAGATGGGGAAACGAAAATCGTGGGAGCTCGTAAAGAGGTTATAATCTCAGCGGGCACGATCAACTCGCCCAAGGTATTGGAGCTTTCGGGTATCGGCGATGCGAAACTCCTACAGTCGCTTGGCATCGATGTTGTAGTTGACAACCCAAACGTTGGAGAAAACCTTCAAAATCACCCCTTGATCACTTTGAGCTTCGAGACTCAAGGACAAGCAGGCTTTGAGACCATAGACAAGCTTGCCAGGCAAGACCAGGCAGCCCTGGGTGCCGCGATGGAAGCCTATGCAAAACAGAAGGGTCCTTTGGCCAAGAGCAACTCAAATATAGCTGCACAGCTCCCATTTCCAGGGGTAACGAGTGAACAGGGGAAACAAGAACTTGAGAAAGTCTTGCAAGGTGCAAGCTCCACGGTTCCCGACAAACCTACATCGCTTGCAGAAGCCCACGAATCATTTGTTCGGTCCATACTTGCATCACCTACCGAGGCATCCGGATGCTACCTCGCGATCCCCGGTTACGCAGGATCCAGCGGCGACGGGACGATGGCCGGCCCGCCTCCTGGAGACGAGAGTTGGTTAAGTTTCGTGCTGCTCCTAGCACACCCGCTCTCGCGCGGCTCCGTACACATCACTAAAGCTTCCGCCGACTCATCAGCCCTAGCCATCGACCCCAAATACTTCAGTCATCCCCTCGATCTCGAGGTGTTCGCGCGTCACCTACAATTTGTAGAGAAATTCGCCCAGACCGAACCGCTGGCTAGCGCGCTCAAGCTGGATGGTAGACGCACGCCGACAGCACCACCGCTGGGCAGCTTTGCGGACTTGGACAAGGTTAAGGAGTATATACACAAGACGGCGGTTGGGGCGCATCATTTTACAGGCACGTGTGCCATGGCCCCGCGAGAGCTGGGGGGTGTTGTTGATGCGCAGTTGCGCGTGTATGGGACTCAGAACTTACGTGTCTGCGATGCGAGCATCATTCCCATTACGCCTCGCACGAATCCGCAGGCTACGGTTTATGGCGTCGCAGAGCATGGGGCTCAGATTATAAAGGCGACCTCGTGAGAGCTATTAATTCGGTGGATCAAGTTGCTTATAAGAAGCCGGTGTTTTAGTTGAAAGACTATTAGAGTCTCATCGTGGGAAGCTTATTTGGACGAAGGCATCAAAGACGCAACATATATGGTGTGAAGCTATAGTTGAGCGATGCTACGATAATAAATCAACATCGAGGTTTGATCTCACAAAGACGAGCAATTGACTCTTGTCGAAGATAATAGGTCTGCCCCTGAATATAGCTCTTTGTTTCTTTTTTCAGCGGAGTGAATTAACGGAGCTTCCGAGCGCTTGGGTCCCCTAGTAGCCTACCCCTTAGCAGCTTAGAGACTCCAGAATTTATTCGTTTAACCAATGGAAGCCATGGAATAGTAATAGCCCCATGGGCCATCCCCATTGAGTCCACTAAGTCCACTATTTGGAGTCGCGGGGTCGCTAACTTATACCTACTTAGGGGATGCCGATTGAGCTCCGGGTTGCCGCGGGTTAAATACACCCGAGAGCTGTCAAAGCTGGAGCTGGCTTTCTCAATTCCAATATTTTCAACTAAACAAAGAAAAAAACAAATTCGTGTGAGCATTTTGGATATTATCCTTTGCTATGTTATGAAGATGGCAGAGAGGCTCATTAGCGCCGAGGAAGGTAAGATAAACCTACTAATACCTCTACTCTTAGCACTTATACCTTTATGTTCCCTCGGCTATTGTAGTTGGCTAACTATTGTATGTGCGGCTTCTCAGTCGTGAAGCATACCACGCCCGAGAGTTGTTGGGTGGTGTTGTACGGGAATGTCTATGATGTAACCGAGTTCCTACCGTCGCACCCCGGCGGTTCCAAGATCATCTTACAGCTCGCCGGTCGAGATGCGACGGACGAGTACGATCCCATACACCCTCCGGGTACACTAGAGGAAAATCTTAAGCCTGAGGCTAAATTGGGTCGAATTGACCCTCAGACTATAGTCCAGGCCAGCAAACCAGCTGCTAAGGAGGAAAATAAGGATGTAGAAGGTCCGCCACCTATGGAGAGTCTACTAAATCTCAATGAGATAGAGGAGGTTGCTACGAAACGTATGCCTGAAAAAGCATGGGCCTATTATTATTCTTCCAGCGATGACACAATTTCCAAGTCTTTTAACAATGCTGTTTATAAGGACATCCTACTGCGGCCACGAGTCTTCATCGACTGTACTAAATGTGATTCTTCTACGACTTTGCTAGGACACAAGGTCGACATACCGATATTCGTCGCACCAGCCGCGATGGCCCGATTAGGCCATCCCGACGGTGAAGCCGGCATTGCTCGGGCCTGTAGCCGATTCAACGCTCTCCAAGTGATCTCGAACAACGCCTCCATGACGCCTGAGCAAATCGTCGCAGACGCAATACCAGGGCAGATTTTCGGCTGGCAGCTGTACGTGCAGAACGACCGGGCCAAGAGCGAAGCCATGCTAGCCCGCATCAACCGCATGTCCGACAAGTTCAAGTTCATCTGTCTGACGCTAGACGCGCCGGTCCCCGGCAAGCGCGAGCTCGACGAGAAGCAAAACTTCAAAAACGCCGTCAAGGTCGCCTCCGGGGTCAAGACCTCGGACGAGCCCAACCGGCCTGGCGGCGGCGGCGTGGGACAGCAGCTCTTCTTCGGCACGGCGTCGGATCTCACGTGGAAGATCACGCTGCCGTGGTTGGCGAAACACACGGATTTGCCGATCGTGCTGAAGGGTATACAAACCCACGAGGACGCGTTCCTCGCGGCGAAGTATGCGCCCCAGGTCAAGGCTGTTATACTGTCGAATCATGGTGGGCGCGCGCTGGATACCGCGCCGCCTGCTGTGCATACCCTGCTGGAGATCCGCAAGCACTGTCCGCAGGTGTTTGATCAGATTGAGGTTTGGGTTGATGGCGGTATTAAGCGCGGGACTGATGTGGTTAAGGCGCTATGTCTGGGTGCTCGGGGTGTAGGAATTGGCCGGCCTGCTCTATTCGGGCTCGGAGCTGGGGGACAGAAGGGTGTTGAAAGGACGTTGGAGAGTGAGTATATTCTTTTAACGAGGTGTCTGGCTTGTTGTTTGCGTTGAACTTGACTAACAACGTGATATAAACAGTTCTCAAGGCGGAGACAGAGACATGCATGAGGTTGCTTGGTGTAGAGAAAGTGAGCGACCTAAGTCCGAGACATGTAAGTACTTCCCACCTTCATAGAAGACCGAAGCTAGCTGACATATTCCGTGTAGATCAACTCTAGGAAAGTTGAGAGGGATATCTTTGACGGGGATGCGGGACTAGAGACGTTCGGCTTGTGGGATAAAGTCAAGTCTAGGCTATGAGTTACTGCCGATCTTGGTATATATAGCGTAGATTAGAGAAGGATATATACCGTGTAAGCTTGGCAATAGTTCTACTCTTAGATAAAATTATGTAGCATAGCGATAGCGATAGGTCTTTATGGAATACGATATTATACACTATATACTCTAACACTAAATGAACTTTGTCGAGGTTCCATGGTGTTAAACGCTTTCTAACTTTATTCAGCTCGTATATACTTTACCACTATATTAAGAGGTAGATATTGTAGATTTCCACCTCCTATAAGGTTTACCTACCATGCCTTGTCTCTAATACTTCCATAGAATAAATGGCTCTTGGACGCCTCTGGAATACGTAGCATTCAGATTTATGCGGAATAGGAAGGACGCCCTATTATTCCCAAAGTACACATTTAGGAGCAATTAGCTTCGAGACGAGGAAAATCACTATTGGAAAAACTGGCTAGGGGGGGGGTTAACGTTTAGATATATCAAATATATTGTCTAAATAAAAGTAATATGAGAGCAGGGAGCAACCACATTTAACTAATATAGTCAAACAATACAAATCCATATAGCTTTCTCCTGATAATCACGAGTCCACAGTGTAACTTATTTGTGCCTCCACTTTACTCACGATCCGTGGCCGTGCTTGATTTATATAGAGTTCCAGTAATTGAAACCTGACCAAGACTCTCCGGGTCTTGGACGTGGTCCTCGGGCAGCGGTGTATCAGCAAACAGGGCAAAACTATGTTCTTGCGGATAACGGGCCCCAGGACACGAGGCATTTTCGACGAGGGTCCGGATCCGCGCAACCTCGTCTGTCGAGAGCGAGATCGACGCAGCTGCACAGTTCTCCTCCAACGACGCAACTTTCGTAGTCCTAGGAACCGCGCAGTTTTATTAGAAATACTCTTCTAAGCTTCGATGGGAGATGCCAGACGAGCACGTCTCACTTACCCCGGAATCGGGAAGATGTCGTCGCCCTGGCTAAGCAGCCACGCGAGCGCTAGTTGGGCGGCCGTATGCCCCTTTTCAGCCGCGATTGTCTTCAGCTCTTCAACCACAGCCATGTTCTTGGGGAAATTCTCCGCCGAGAAGCGCGGGTAGTGGCGTCGGACGTCCTGAGCTTCGAAGTCGGCTGGGCTCTTGATTCGGTCGCTGAGGAGGCCGCGCGAGAGGGGCGAGTAAGCTACGACGGCGACGCCGAGCTCCCGGCATGTGGCGAGGAGGTTGGTTTGGGTGTCCTCGATGTCGGTTGTGAATGGACTGTATTCGACCTGGGATGTAAGTTAGCCGGTTTTTTTTTTGGCTTGGGTATTGTTAAATAGGGAATAGGGGTACGGTTCGTACTTGTACAGCGCTGATCGGGTGCACGGCATGAGCACGCCTTAATGTCGCTGCCGATACCTCGCAGAGACCTAGGTAGCGGATTTTCCCTTGCCTTTTCGATTATATTAGCTTTAGTAGATCTTCCACCCTTTATAAGTCTTCTACAAGAAAGTAAGGGTGGAGTAGAGTAGGGATATGGTGAATGTAGGTATGATAAAATAGACGTACTCCTTCATCTTGATCATCTCAGTTATGATATGCTCAATCGGGGTACTGCCATCCAACCGGTGCGGGTACCACAGATCGATGTAGTCGACGCCTAGACGCTTTAAGCTCTTGTCGCACGCCTCGTGGACATACGCCGCATCACCGCGGAAGGCGAAACCCGCTTCTCCTAGTAGTATACCGCCGAATTTGGTAGCAAGGAAGATATCAGAACGCTTGCCAGTCTTGGCGAACCATTTCCCTATTAGATCTTCTGAATCTCCCTAGTATACGTGTACATTAGTCCTGCAGGCAAGCATACGCGAGCATCTTTACCCGATATTGGTTAATATATGGGCAAATACTTACGTAGAAGTCGCTAGTATCCCAGAAAGTTTCTCCGATGGAGTGGGCGTGGTCAAGTAGTCCAAGCCTCTGCTCATCGGGTACGGGTTTGCCATAACTCATCGAGAGGCCCATAGTACCGAAGCCTATGCGAGGGACTAGAGGACCGCCCTTTCCTAATTGACGAGAGGGAAGATGTGACATGGTTAGGTGTTTACTTAGATATTAATACTTGATTGTATATTGAGTTATGTTGCTGATTAGCTTTTGAGCAAGATAGTTCGACGATATAAAAGAGTAGATGTGATATTTACAGCTAGACACAGTTCACACTTATAGGAAGACGAGGCCAACATTAAATATAGGAGAGGCTATAGTAACTCTTTACTATATGTCTGTCTTCCGCATGTGTCGTGCATAATCCGCTCCGCGTATACAGACGGGGGGCGGAATTGGCGGACTGCGGAGTTGTGGCAAACCCATGTCTTCGACTATTCTAAGAGCCTCCCGCTTGTCTCATAGCAAAACATTTTCATCTCGTCGACACCGAAAGATCTATGGATACAGAAGTTAGTCACTGATAAAGGAAGTGGAATAACTCGATAAACTCACAATGTGAGGAAAGCAAGCGCAAAGTCATCCACATCGTCTCCTTTTCCAGTCCGCAAAAATTCATCGAAGTAAAAGGCCGATATGATCCACATGGGCTTCTCTTTCCATGCCCTGTGAAATTCTAAGGGGTTCGTAGCGGCCCATAGGTATCTCGATAAGGTCCACCGGTGGACGTATTGCCAATCCCCAAGATCAGCTACATCTATATATCAGAATCCAGTAGTTAGGTAGATTTAGCATGCTGATGTCCTTACTAAGTATCTTCTGTCCTTTCAATAAACCCCAAAAGTGAGCAAGAGCAGCACATATCATATAAGTTCTTCTAACGCTCTCTGCGAACAACCAACGCTGGACAATGTGTCAGTGACCACGATGGTTTCAAAGGGCAATTTGTTTACACCTACTTCCCAAGACTCGGGTGGCTTATTACGGATCTCAGCAACATCTAGTTCAGCGAAATCTTCGAGGTTATCTCTTATCTTGCGCAACTCCCCATTCCAGGCTTCTAATAACGGTACATCTTCATCGGCTTGTTGCCCTAGAGTAGTGTTTCCATCAAGCATACGAATAGTTTGATAAACAAGTAGAGCATGGACTCTCGCAAGCTTTTCCCGCGGCGTTAATGATGTACCGCTAACCGTTATTTTAAGATTATGGACGTTCTCGTAAAGAACTCTAAGGACAAAGCCACGGTTTGCCTCGGTCTGGTTCGTGTAGAGAACACACATCGAGAACGCCTGTAGTATACAAGGTGGCGTGTCAGTTAGATATAAGTGACGATGCATATATATAGTGGAGTTATCCCGAGCAATTGTTTTATGAAAGTTCTTGAATGTTTTCATCGCGTAAGCAATTCTAGTTGAAGGGTCCTCAAGTTGCCACGGAGCATAATCGTCCTACTAATGTAAGTCCTAAGAGAGTGAAAAAATGCTTCTTACTAAAACTTACGCATACAGCTGCCACCCTAGAATAGTCTTCAGAGGATAGGATTTTACTCTTTGGAATTGATGCTATCTGTGTATCTTGCCTCGAGAAATCGGGTAGCCCGGATAAGTCGCCAAATCCGTGCCCATCCATTGAATCCAATAGAGACTCAAACGTACTATCGAGGTGAATAGTTTCATCAGGAGAAATATCTACGTCAATGCCCATAGTAGTAGTAGGAACGCTGCCGTCATCTAGTACAAAACTGTCACCGTAGGACGTGGACGGAGGACCGTTGAAAGAGTCTAGACTTGTTGGAACACCCGCAGAGTTACTGTACGACTGCGTGTCCGACTGTTGCCCGTAGATACAGAGACGCTTCTTCTTGGTGCAATTAGCACAAGTTGGGACCCGCTGGTCACAGCGTCGCTTGCTCCTCACACAGGCATTACAGCTCTTCTGCCTAGATGAACCTCCGCGCGGAGCCATGGATTCCGCTTTGGGAGGAAGACGCGCTAGCTGTGGGAATATTTGCAATATATCGTAAAGACGACTTTCTCGGCCACGAGTAAACGGTATTTACAGCAGGTAAGATTGGTCTGAACGTAATTAGATAGAAGCTAAAGCTAAAGCTAAAATCGGTCTGCGGAGGATGACGTGTGAAGTCCGCAAGTCCGCCGCCGAGTCCTTCCAACTCCGCAATTTCACATCTCGGGGATCCACCGTTTTATTGTCCCCGGGTTCAACAACGGAGCAAGATTGAATTCGAAATGCTTTTGGACTTCACTATCGTGTCTGACGTAGGCACGTCCCCCAAATCTCAAATCCATTTAAACGCCACCCTCGGCCTAATCTTGTTAGGCAAACTCATAATTGAATTGTTGCCAAGAAATATAAAGCCCATATTCATTGTGGATAGTGTCATTTCCTATCGGGATCACTAATCATGTAATCAGTAAGGGCGTTTTTATATCTTCTAGATTGACCCTAAATATGCATAGTGACCATGCTTGGTTATTGGTATCATAGATTGGCGTTATTTCTCACGTGTACTACTACGAAGATGGCTTTAAAAGGTACCTATGAACGTCCAAGCCGTAGTTCTGAGTGACCTGACCGCTGTGGCGGACACGAGGCTAGCTGCAGATGCACAGCTATCACCAATCACACAGTTGGTAACACTTTGTGGGTTTCTCGGATATGTTGCAAAAGCGCCATCGACCCCTGAAACCGTTACACCAGATTCGTCCCGAGAGCCACGGCACTGGTACTACGAAAAAGTGTCATGATTCTAGTAAGGCGCATGTGTTTCAGTAACTAGGTAGAGAGCAACTCTTTTAGGGGATTGGCTCTCTAAAGGAAGTGTGCTAATATGAGACATGAGCTATGCTACGCGAGGGATGCCAGAATATGATATTCCACTAACTGGCAAGTATAGTATACCAAGTAAAAAAAAGAAACCCTTTCTCGTGCTAGATTTAGCCCCAAACATTCAGCGCCGAGCAAGCTCGGATATGTCTATGTCTACTCGGTCGCGAAATCCTGCCTATTCAAGATCTAGATTCGGCCGTCAAGCGGTAACGGGAGACCGCTTCAGACGGAAAGCGGCAGTGCTTAAGCAAACCGACAAGCTTTTATTTCCAGAGCGTGACATCCGCGCCCGAGACAGACGGGTCTCAACGTGTGATACTTCGGGTTATCGCATCAGATCGCGCTACCTCTCTCGGAATCTAGAAACGTGGTATACTGCGTACAGATTATGCCGTGTCTCCAAGTCGACGTCTTACATGTTACCCCGATCGTTGGAAAGGGGAATATGTCCTATTAGAGAGACAAATTGGGGAGAGCGCATGCGATAGGTAGACGGTCTCGCCAGCATCTTCCCCGTGAGGCGGGCTCGTGTTACGCACCGCCTCTCAGTGCTACGGGAGGACTGAGACACCAGGATTGGGGTCGATAACAATACCTTAGGTAGGTAGTTCCATATTGCTCAATAAACTCATACGTACCTCTTAATCTAATCTAACCTAGAATTCTCATCGGCATAGCTAGGAGGTAGCTAGTATGAGCAACAAAAGTATCTCAACGTGTCCTGAAGGTCCTTGTTCTTCTAGGGTCATACGTTTAGCGAGACGGGATGGTGCTAGTGCACGCTGACATCGAAACTATTGGCCTAGCTGTGTAATGAAAGCCTGCGATTCACACTAATCGGGAGCCCCTGGCGCTGACTATTGATAGGTAACACTTACTATGTGATCGATCTTAGAATGAATATGTTGTGTGTTGTGTAGCGGAATGATTATTCCCTAGAAGATAATTTAGAGGCCTCTTAAGCCATGTTTCTCTGATACTGGTTTTGAGCCTCCAAGCCATTAGAGAAAGTTTAATAGATCCCAGTCACACGTGTGAACGAACCTTTGAGAAGCCTTGCTATGAGGTAAGTAGTCGTTGTTAAATTTATTTTGGTATCCGGTGAGCCCGTATACTAGGTAGGTGAACAGGGACGAAGCTGACGCCAGGACGGGTTCGGCCGAGTTAGGATTTAAACCATTAAGCTCGCAGAATGCCCATAAGCCCCCATTTACGTGTGTAGTTTATTCGAAGGATCAAGCTCACCCGCAGATATGGTATTACTAACCATGGTCTCGGGCGCATAGGCTGACCATTCAGAGGCTGGCTTTCTTCCCATACGCACGTACGTCGAACCTCTAGGCTGGCGTCACAAACGGGATAGCCTCCGACGGGAGTGGCGCGCCGATCTGTGGGCATTCCTTCGGCGATATCTCACAGACCGAGATCATACTATTCGAAGGATATCACCGAAGAGCTGAACATCTACAATTTTGGATCCCTTGATGTTTGATATTCACGTGAAACATGAAGACCAAAAAACTGAGAGCTGGGTTAAGGTAAGAAAAAGGTAGTTTGTTAGTTATGATCCGCCTTGATGGAATGGTGACACCGAAAGGAATCGGCTCGGATTAGGCGAGGGTGGATGCTCCTTCAGGGGACCTTCCGCGGGCGGCGTCTAACTGTTAACGGTCAGAGAAGCGTAGCTATTTTTGAAGCCTGTTCGTAAAGGACGAATTGAGTTTAGGATTCCGTTAACCTACTATTAGTGTATTAACCTATGTGATGCCGTTTGTATAGGAGGTAAGGTATGCGGTGAACCCCATGTGATTGATAGCGAGGGATAACGAGGCTATTGAAGGGCCAAAGCGTTAATATCGTATTATGTAGTAATAATTAAAGATGTGGCTGACTTCATGGACGCCCGACTATCTTATACTATCTTCTAATGTAGTATCTTATTTCCTGTCGCACGGTTTAATTCCGTCAAGATGTTTCCGAGCACTGTGTGTATCTTCATCTGTAAGGCTGGATCTCTCTAAACCCCACAAGGTCGGCGCATGCATAATGACCATCTATTATATACCAGTCTCGTGCGAAGAATGAATCACGTACATAGTTAAGAGGGAACTGCCCGGGTAAAGGTTACATCTGCCCATCTAGATCTGCCCCGTCTGCTGATCAAATTACAACTGTCAAAAGTAAAATCCGCAATTAAAGAGGCAGGGGAGTTTAACAGATAACGCATACTTTTTTTTCCCGTATTCGATAGTTTGTTGGTTCGGCGGACAGTTCGTAGTTTTTGCGCGAACGGCTAGACATGCCGAAGTGAAAAATAAGGTATTACAGAAATAGCATTAGATAGTTAGGTTTCGTATGGCCGTCTCATTCTGACGCTACAGAAATCCGTCACATCAACAAGGAAATCTTGTTGGTTGGATGTGCTATTTATCCTTTACCTACTGGGTAGCCCGGGTAGATATGGAGCCGCTGGATGTCACCATCTTAAAAAGGTGAATTTACTTGAAGGTATATTATGTAAATAGTTGATACTGCGTAGTACTAACGGAACCCTCCTCCTTTATGAGCGTTGCATACTTACTCAACATACGTGCATTGCAGATAATCGGTTCAAGGTCTCGGTAGTTATGGCATATCATGTTCGTGAATACTGCTGACTCTTGAGTAATTGACAATATCCTGTAAAATCTTCTTGGCATACTTACACGTATAGTAAGCAGAAAGGGGTTAATAGCCTGCCTATAGGTGTAGCGCGTGGAGTGCATATGGCTTTGTACGTACGTAGATACCGTACGTAGGTAGTAGCAAGTACACGTGTAGCACGAGGCAGATTCTGTAAGCAGTAGATGCTGGTACACTACATAGGTACGCTCTTAGGTATGTGATTGACCGAGAGGACCTAATCGCTCGGGTACCTACTTACCTACATAGGTCCGTCATAGGAGTAAGGAGGCACAGCAGTACTATAGTAATCCAGCAGCCCAGCCTAGCCCAGCAGCTTGTTACTATGTACGTATGAATTTAGCAGGACAAGGGATTGAAAAGGACTTGGTAAGGGACTTGAACCACGGGCCAGCATGAGGCTTGTCTTTTAATATCAGATCTGGGTGCTAATCGAATAATGGCTCGGTCAAAAAAGGACGGGGAACGGCCGAGCCAGGACTTGGATCTTACTCCCGAAATGATGAGAACCACCGAAGAACCCTGGTAATTCCTAGCCTTACTACTAGCGGACGATACCTGGCAACCCTTGGCACTAGGCAGGGAATCCAGGATGGCGGAGACGCTAGCTAAAGGAAAATTCCTTTTAAGTGTATGAGGAACGTGGCATGCCGCATGCCGCGTCCACACTCGCACGAAGTTTGGGGGGCAAGGGATGGGGAAGCCTGCCAGTTTCCTGCAAGTCTGCGAGCCTGAAGGGGGTCATCATGAGAGAAATTTTAGGAGGGGTGGTAAGGTGGTAACCACGATCACCGTTATCCGCCTTGCAGACACACAAGAACCTTGACCTACTTATAATTGGTACCGAATCTTCATACCTACATGAAAAATTCTGACTGGTCCAACGTTGACGGCACGTCCTGTAGGCTATCACATAGGCCAGTTTATGTTTGAAGTGCCGTCCGCCCCCAGATTATGTTCCCCGTCTCTATTTTAAACATTGAAACGCAACTTTACATATATCGTGATTGAAGACCATCTTTGCCGTGTTTCTATCGTAGAGGGTTCAATCTTACGGCTAGAGAGATCGGAGAGCGAGGAGATGATAGGATTGCAAATGACTTGGACAATGTGGAACGCCATCAACCACGTGGGCATTTGCCTACGTACATTAGGCATTAGGTACATAAGGACCTTAGTTCGAATCTATACACCTATGTGTAGATGATACTTAACTTGTACACTGCATTAAACATGCATTATACTGTATAAAGCGGAGAAAAATGTCTTAGTAAAGCCCTCCGCCCCCCTATGTATACATCACACGTACGAAGCTGTCTCGAGTCGTACGAGTTTCTAAAGATCCAATTCGTCAACTGTAAAAAAGCTCTGGGTAAGGTTGGTAACATCTCACCCAAACTTTTGTATGCGGCGCGGATATTCTACATATGAGACAGGCATACCTCATGCCCTTCCTAGTGGTGACCCGGATACTGTGTCTGTTTACTAAAATTCTATATTACTCCCCCCCAAAATAATAACAATAAAACCCTCGCAGCACACCGGAAAGTGAGTTATGATAAATATCATCACACCGGCCTAATAACAAGCGGCAAGTCAAATTGCGTGTGTCCTCTCCGTATGTTTGTGTGCGACGCGTGTTGCGCATCCTTGGCCAAGCCCGTCCATAGGTCTCCTAGTCCCAAAGATGTAAGTAAGATGCAAGACGTCCATAAAAGGTAATAAAGGCCATTACCGTTATCTCCTCAACTTCGGTAGACGATGATGACTATAGCACTATATTTCGGATATGAGGAGACGGGGTGTAACACATATCCTGTATATGACCCCCTATGATTTGTCAAAGATGTGCGAGAATTACGTTTATCGACGAAGACCTCTCATTCTCATTATGTTGATCTGACTCAGATTGACTTGAGCTTTTCCGTCTATAGGTACGCAAGATGGATGACGCGGTTCAACGAAAAGGTCCTCGAGGCTATAGGTCATACACTATAGCCGAAGATGATAAATAAACGCCTAACTAAGTACCTACCCAAGTTAAACGTCGGCCCGGCTCCTTAGATTAGATGAGAAGGAAGCGCTGGTATACCCGAGACATCAGATTTAAGATTTAAGCCTTTTGCACATATGAAGTTGATGCGTCTAGCATCTTTACGCTTGGATACATCCCTTTGAGACGAAGCGCAACCTTCTAGCAAACAAGTTACACATTGTTAGAGTTATGTAGGATGCCGCCACCAATTTTTGGAATTGTGCTGTTAGGCATTTTTGTCATCGTATGTTGACTGGAACTAGCCCGTCTGTTCTACGCGATGATAAGGATAGTCAATAGTCAAAACGGCGGAAAAGCTAGGTTTGTACATAGCCAGATACCTATGTAGGTCTAGTAGCATAAGTTAGATCTCAAGTATAGAGGTACGGCGCGAGGACAGCGGCACGGAGATCTCTATGTACTACTAGGTATAGGTATGGAATGCCATGTTATGTATACATAGGTATGTAGAGCGGCCCCCGCGACTTAGACGATCAACCATAAAATCTTGACAGGTCCGTCGGAAAGCTATCCGCTGGGAACGCACCCCGCATAATCGATAGGATCCATTGCATAACACTCGCAGTATTGGGCTTAGCCTTTGGCCAAGCCAAGCTGCTGATTTGGGCATTTGTCGATACGCCCTCACGTGGCGGCGGGAGGATCGTAACCAGCCAAGCAGGCAAGGTATCGTATCGTAAGAAAGATCCAGTTATAAACCATACATCGTCATATAAACCTACTGCGGCGGATCCTACCGAGTTCAACAGCGCATACACTACATAGTTAAGCAGCCACATATATAAATCTTTAGGTGTAGGTGTTAGCTGCATTTCGGGACTTACTCCTTTTCAGGGACACCGACAGTAACGTACCCTTCCATGGTGCTTCGCATCCTAGGCTAATCTATGATCTCAATTCTACATACCTACATAATACCACTATACATACTTCGTATAGTAGTTCCTGGTTTCTATAGTCGTGGTAGCAGTAGCAAATAGTATAACTAGAGTCTTACCGGTCTTTGAGATATTTGCCACGTACAAAACAGTTCGCTCTGCTTTACATATTTAGGATATCATCGGCTTTAATATAAACTGTTGGGAAATAGTCGAATAAAGGTTATTGTGTACTTTGACTCATAAATGCCTGCTTTAGTACGATATGGCGAGTAAGTAAGTATAAAAAATATTGTTCTTAGTCCTTACTACTTGACGTTTTTGGATTGTGATACCCATGCCTTTCTTTTAAAGCCTTTTGTACGGATATGCTTTATATGCTTTGTATGGGAACCCTAACAAAAAGCCTCCCGTGTACGACATCGCAATCCATGTTATATTATTTACCAACAAGGCCGTTATCCGGTATTTGACTACAATCGGCTCTAGCACGAGCCATTTAACAATCCGTGCTTTAAACAGGGAGTTGACCTGGAACTCCTCTCTTAATGCCTTTCAGGGTCGCTCCGATTGCCTGAGCTCAACCGCACAGGCCAAAAACAGACCACCAGTTCCCTGGACTCGGGCGACAGAACCAAGCTTTGTTAAAACGCCTCGATTTGTTGAAACCATGTTGCTTCGTATCTTATGACGGGGGCAGTATATAATATATAGGTACCTAACATACCTAGAACCGAGTTTTCAAACCCCCCTTGCGTGTCAAAAAAAAAAAAAAAGAATTGAACTTTCTGACTTAACTCCAAAAAAAGAAAGAAGGAAAAAAAAGATAGCGTCATAGAATAAGATTCTCTCTATTTGCGGTTCGTGCCCAGAACTGGACTTTTGCAACTTTTGCTGCCGCTCGATCCTATCCAAAGTTGATCGTAGCATTATATAAGGCCTACCTAATCCGGAACCTTTCTTCGTCGATTTTAGTTGGGGTTAGGAGGTAGTACACTATACGCTACACGTTTGAGTACCTAACCTAACATTACTCTGCTCCCTCTGCGTGTTGATTGAGGTACATATATGCTGCATAGTACATCTTGTATGCGGAAGCCGCAAGCGTACATATCTGTTGGTACCTCTACATAGTATAAACGTGTTGCATCATGTACCTAGCCTATACATATAGGTATTCCGCTACGTCTGCATTGGTGTGGATGCCATATGGGATGGCGTATATAGTACAATAGTATCTACATAGGTAAGTGTATAGTTAACTTTAGTCACTTTCGACTGCGGCCACGGGGCGCTCCCATGTCGTACTCCACCATCCATGCACATGTGCATAGGCAATCCCTGCTCAACTTCCCTCACGTGTTCCCGGTACATGGCTAGCCACGAGGAAAAAGAAACGACGGGCGGCGCATTAGTGACACGCTAGCGTAGAATCTATAGCACAGCATGTACCCTATACTCTCGGTCGGGGTATCCTTCGCTAGCAATATTCCTGGAAATAGCCATGCGACAAATCCTTAGCCAGAGGGGCCCAGCTGCATCGTCTCATCGTCTAAACGCCATGGACAAACCTTCCTACATACCACGCTACACTAAGCGTACATACATCCGTCTGGTACATGCAAGTTCATACATCTGTCAGATATTTGGATATACTATCTATAACGTACATTGATGTGTGTGGCTTTGCTCGTGCTGCTTCTTATATGCAAGTTGACCCTACATCTCGAGACTTGAGATGTATCTGCATAGGGTAGGTATCTATATATGTACCTATCTCATACCTCTTACATTTATAGTACACGCTTACATACATACACTATATACATATGTGTAGACAACTTACATGGAGGTAGCGTGCTAAGTATGCATTAGGAAATACATAGGAATGGCCATCCTCTCGGCTCTTTTTTTTGACCTGCCATTTCTCTCTTGCAGTTCCTCCACAGCACAACACGCGCAGGGCCTCCCTCCTTCGATCCCAGCAAGGGGGGGATCCTCTTTTTTTTTCCCATCCTCCATTTTCATTTGGGCTTTCAATTCTCTGAGAAAGCGCTTCCCCCGTCCCCGTCCCTCCTCCTTCAAGAGGGAACTACCCCCCGTTACACGGCACTACCTAGGTACATAGGTACAATTGAAAGATACGTACATTATCTTTCTTTGTATGTACACTTTGTATGTACAAGAGCCCTTGTGCTGACGGGAACTACTCTACTCGAGCTGGGGGGGTTCTTTATCCTCTCTTTACTCTTGGGACATATTCATCCATAACTTGTCAAAATCTCCTCTTTACCTCTTTTTTACTAACTATATTCTTCCCAACCCTTAAGTTTAAACGCCCAATAGTCGTTTCTGATGCGCATCGTCATTTTGTGGTAGTGCTGTATTCGCGTGCCGGGACCAACGACACGTTCCTGACGCTTCCTGACCTGTCGTTCTACATAGTTCCCTGTCGGCTTTACTTATCATTACTTGTTACTACTACTCGCTACTATATTTTACTTCTTTTAACTACCATTAACTACTACTACTACTACTACTACTTCTACTAGCTAGTTTCTTTCCCGCTTTCCGACTTCCGCTCTCTGCTTTTTCTTCTCTTCTCTTTCTCATCAAAGCATCAAGCATCAAGTCACAAGCTCGAGCTCGAGCTTTTATCGGACTAGTTGCGCTTAATTACGATTGGTTATTTAGCGTCAATGCTGATCAGACCCCGTTCACCAATGTAAACCGATGTCGAGCGCTGCCGCGTCCCAAGTCTATCCGTCCGTCTGTTAATTTAGTTCGGGCGACTTTAGTCTAAAATTCCAACTTATACCGCGACGTCGCACCCGCACGTCTTTGCGTCCTCATTAGGTGGCCCTAATGATCACCACTTACTAAACATCCCATTAAACCTACCCACTTAGCCCCTCGACAGTTGTTTTACCTTCTTCTCTCCCTTCATAGATATCCAATTCGAACTTCGCGAGCATGGCGGCAGATCAGTCTCGACCTGTGTCGCAGAAAATCCCAGCCGGGTTGGCTACAGTATTGAATGCCCCCGAGGATAATCGCGACTCAGCCTATTATTCAAGCACAGATGCGTCTAGCAAGCGTATGTAATTACTATACTATACCTCGAGCTGAAAGTTGAGTATCAGCATTGCTAATTACTAGGGTCCCTATAGATACTTCTGTGGTCTCGGGCATAGGTATCAATGTATATCACTCCGTCCATGACAAGACTCCTTCTCCGACCACCACGAACCTAGTCCCACAGCCAATAATAACTCCCGCGAGTAACATGAGCGTGGCGTCGATGGTGTCGCCGACGACACCAGGTAGTGGGCGCTTTGATCGGCCGCAGTCTTTCGATTCTATACCCGGTAGCATGTCTTTAGGTGCAGCAAGTGTCGGGCCGGATTCACGACGGGAAAGTGTTGATAGCAGAATTAACCAGGGGTTCGGCGATTTGAGATTGGGTGGTTCTCCTTACGCGAGTCAGAATCACTCTACGACTTCGTTTCATGGAAGTATGGTGCAGCAACGCAACTCCCGCGCGGGAATGGAGCATCTCGCGGTGCACAGGATATCTAATGGATACCAGCCCAATGTCGAACGCACACCTAACGATCAACATCTAAAAACAACTAAAACCGCACCGGCTATCACTGGTCCTGCCACAAGCACGATTGCTAGGGCAGCGGAACCAACGAAAGGCCAAGCTTGGGCATTTCCTGAGGAGGAGATTCAGCGCATGCCCTCTACGGTTGGTAACCATACATTTTTCGATTCCAGGAGGAGTAGTATTTCGGAATCGATTGCGAGTAGCCAATTTACGACCGAGTCACGGTTACCACCTGGGCAGCGCCGCCTGGACGATGGTATAGCCCCGGATTTCCAAACTATTCACCACCACACGCTTCAACACAAGCAACTCTCAGATCTTCATAGTGAAGAGTCTAGCCCGCACAGTGGCAATCAACCGTATAGTCGAACACCTGAGCTTCGGGAAAGTCACAAGCTAGCGGAACGGAAGCGGAGAACAGAGATGAAGGAATTGTTTGATCAACTTCGCGATTTGATGCCACAGGAACGAGGGTCGAAAGCATCCAAGTGGGAGATTCTAACGAAAGGTATGCCGCTATACAATTAAGAATTGATGCACATGCTAACTATTATTTAGCTATTGCCGAGCATCAGAAACAGGGCGAGGCTCTTAAGAGTATTACAAATCATTGCCAAACCGCTATGCAAGAAGCGGAAATGTTACGCCGTGAAATTGATAGGTTGCGCATGGAGAACGCGCAGCTTCGAGGAAGTATTCCAATACCACCAGGCCAAGGCCCGCCAAATACTGCAATGCCCTCACAGCCGTCTGCAGATCCCTACGGTCAGGACCTGTACGGCAGAGCCCCCCGCCCGGAGCTACCACCCTTACGAGCCTTGAGCAACAACATTCCTAACAATCCAGATTCCATGACAGGTGTCCAATATGATTCGCAAAGGCCACCTAATGGATATCGCCAAGATTCTCACCACCAAGATCCTCGCCAAGGTCGGTTCCAATAGCCGTAACTACTATCATTCATATTTCCTTTTGTTATTGTAAACATATCATATTGGGGAGCGGCAGCTATCAAAACTAGACTTGCAGCGCTTTTCATCGATACCCCGTATAAGCAAACGGCTATTCCCCGCCGATGAGCACCTCGGAACTTAAGGCGCGGATGAACTTGATACAGAGGATATCATATCGGAATAAGGATACTGCCTAGTTTTGCTATTTTGGCGTTGGTGGAACTGAGGCGGGTGGCTATTGGATCCCTTCAGACTCGCCGATGATATCAAGGTGTGGATTGATGCTAGTCATTCCTTATCTAATCACCTTGACCCTTAAATTGCTAGCCTTGAGGGATACTCTGCTTTCCACCTATAGAAAAGGGGGAAAAGTGCGGAATTTTATTTTCAAGCAGCGGACGGACGACCCGGCTGCAGATATCGACGATTAGCCGGTGCTTACTCGAGTGCCGGCCTTCGAGATATCATTCACGGTTTCACCGTTGCTCACGTTGAGCCTATTGGAGTGTATATACACATATACCCGCCGTTCTGTTGCTCGGCTAATTTTATGTTACGGATTTAAGGTGTTTAAATTCACGATTGGTGAATAGGTAGCTATGAGGATATATTTGGGTTGGGAATGGAGGGAAATAGTAGGAGAGGCTAAAAAAAAGGCTTTGGGGTTGTGGTGGGAGTTAGAATGGCGTGTAACGATCCTTTGAAACTGGGATCAACCTACCCAAGCAACACGGGTCAAATAGACCGTAGTTCAGACGGCGAAGATATGATAAAGCCTCATGTCTAAGATTTTATATCGGTCTTGAAATGAGTTTGATGGTATAATAACTGGCAGCTTATAACTCGTGTTTCTAGAACAGGCTTGCCTTTGTTATGATAGCCTAAGGCGACCCACGCTTAAGAAAGTCGACTTGTAATAGAATGAATATTACAAGTAGGTGGATTCGATTATACATGCAAGATTGAATCGGATCGCTTGCATTAATATTCAGCTTCAAGTTGAAATATTTGGATATAACTATCAATACTTTCAGTACCTAGGTACCTAGGTACTTGATTAAAGAAGATTATTTGGGTACTAGGGTACCTGACTAAGGCATTCAATTGTAGTGGCGTGCTCTAAAAGTTATGTGGATTCGGATAAGCAGATAAGGTACACACACTATGTGGGCATTCCCTTAGTGGAGCGAAATTTTTTTTCTTCAACAATTCAAAAGTTCTTTTAGAGGGTAACTTACAAGTTGAAATATTCCCTTACATCTTATAACTTCACATCTAAATTGTTCAGAGGGGTATTTCTTTGTTTCAAAGAATTCTATTTCTAAAATGTATGAACCTGGCCCTTTTTTATTAGAAACAAGAGATCAATTAGAGCTAACTGTTTGATTTAATAGGCATTCTCTTCGACGCGCAGCTGCTAGAGCAGCATGCTCTTCAACCTTTGCCGTCGCTGCCCCGCGCCAGCAGATTGCTTCTTTTGCCATGCAGATCTGCAAGGCGAATGCGCAGCCGGCTACTCTCATGCCTCTAGCTCGTTATTTCTCCCAGACATCGCGGGTGGCCCAAGATGAGAGTGAGCGGGCTGCTGTAGAAGAGGCTATCGAATCTGCTGGACAGACCGGGTCTACGGCCAACCAGGATCCAGAGGACCTTTCCAATAAGATCTTCGTCAGGAACCTTCCCTACGAGGCTACTGATGATCTTGTTAAGGAGGCGTTTGATAAGTATGGAGATATCGTAGATATCCGCATAGGCCGTGACCCCTCAGGCGCCAGTAAAGGGTACGTGGATGCATTGATTTATACAGTTCTTACCCTCCGATTATCGATTGTGTGTGTTAATAGGGTTTTAGCTACGGTTTCATTACCTTCTCAAACTCGGAGTCAGCAAGCCGCGCCATTGAGGAAGCAGACAACTCGTTTTGGCAGGGTCGTCGCCTCTTTGTTCAGCCCAGAACATCGCCTTCTGGTCCGCGAACTACAACAAAGATTCCGGAACAACCGACGTCGTCGCTATACATCGGTAACATCCCATACGAAACGTCCGATGCCGATCTGAACAACATCTTCCGGGATCTGGAAAATGTTGTTAATGTGCGCGTAGCCGTGGACCGCAACACTGGCTGGCCTCGCGGCTTCGCCCACGCTGATTTCAAGGACCTTGAGAGCGCACAAGCGGCATACGATAAGCTCCTGAACTTTAAGCTAGGAGAGCGAACTCTGCGCATTGACTACGCGAGCAGTCCGAAAACCGATCGACCTCGATCTACCCGAAACCGAGACCCGCGCAACTAGGCGGGTTTCAACAGGTGCGATGATTTTGCCTTGGGATTGATGGCTATCTTATATTCCAGAAGGCACTTGGTTGGACGATGGGTTATGTGACATGTGACCAGGAAGGTATCATGACAGATGAATCATGAGAGGTTCGAGGCGACATGGATCAGGCCTTACTAGCAGCTATTCATCAATTGAATGGAAAGCTATTGTATGTAACAACACAAAGTTCAACTTCTTTTAAGAAGAATTGCCTCTATCAAATATTGGTAGTTAGCACGAAACCGGGGTTTCATAGGAAAATGAATGTAAAACTTCTCTCTCTAATATTTGTTTACTTTATGTGAAATTGTAAATGTAACATGTTGTAGGTATTTTGCAACTCTCAATGAAGCTTTTCATGAAGTTAGCAGTATACTGTTTTTTTTTGCACGGGCCACTTATCACGCTAGGCTATTGTACAGTCAAATGGAAGGTTACCACGAAGCTTTTGGTGGGGCAAATCATTGACCTCGGCGGATGCCGTAGGTATTTGTAGGTGCAGGTGGCTGGCCTCTGGCTTTCCTCGGCATCTTGGGCCATTTAGGTACCATAATAAGGTAGGTACGCTACCGTTAGTGAGGTCACCTCGTTGTCAAACTGGCTTTGTAATAAAGTTTTACGATAAACCATTTCGCCCAAGTTCACCCATCTTTCATCTCTATGTGAATTAGGTATTCTTTCCTTTTCAAACTTCAATTTTAAAAAAAAATTAAATCATCTGGGTTAGGTGATCATCTATACTTTTTCCCTACTTCATATGATAAATCCCTAACCTAAGGTAGTGCACTAAGTTCCGCCAACACCTCCCGACATTGACTTGATTGTAGTAATCAGCATTGTTTACATCTTCTAAACCTTCCATTACTATCGCCCATTACTAAGGAGCTATCTATAGTACCCAAAAGTTCGGCGCATAGTTCCATCTGCAAATTCAATCCGTCAGATTGTACATAAATCCCCTTCCGACTTCCGATTTCCGACATGTCTTTCCTCGGTGGCGGGCCTGAGTGCTCCACGGCGGGCAACCCTCTCAGCCAGTTTGCAAAACATACTCAGGAAGACAACAGTCTGCAAAGAGATCGTATTAGAAATGGAACTCCTCAGGGTGGCATGGGCGGCTTTCGTAGTGCCGCACAACATGGTCCACAAGATGAGGTATGAATGCTGATCAATAGCTACCTACCACGAATGCACAAACTAATAGTACATATCCATAGATGATGAACGGCTTTCTGCAGCAGAATGGCCGGCTACCCGACATGCCGCTTGAGGGCATGAATCAGATACGATTAGATCACCCCGCACACGGTGTTCATCTACGAGCGAACTCGACTTCACCAGCATGGGCGAACGAATTCCAGCAGAACCCACAGGCAGCGATGGAATCCGCGTTCAAGGTCCCCCAGGGCACACAGTTCAGCCCCGAAGATTATGCCAAGTTTCAACAGATGACAAGTCAAGCGAATTCATCTCGAGCGAGTCCCATGCCTTCAGCCATGCAGTATCAAAACCCAATGATGGGAATGGGATCGATGAACGGCATGAATATGGGGATGGGCTACGGCATGAGTGGCATGCCCATGTACCGTCCTATGCCACAGCAACAGTTCTCGCCAGAATCGATTCAAGATAAGGGGAAAGGAAAGGAAAAGGTGGTAGAACTAGACGATCAACAATGGGAGGAGCAATTCAAGCAACTCGAGCTACAGGAGAAGGATGTTAAGGAAAAAGATGAGGCCGCCGCCCTTGAGCCCGAGCTCAACAAGCTAGACGAGCAGATCCTAGAGTCGGAAACGAACGAATTTGGAGACTTCGAGTCTATCTGGAGAGGCATCCGAGCAGAGGAGGCCGCCGCTAAGGAAGCTATCAACGAGGAAGAGTGGGTTGAGCAGTTAGGGGATCCTGACTGGGCCGATCGCTTTGGAGACTGGGGTATGCCCGGTGCCAATAGCAGGTTAATGGGTGACCCTGAAATAGAGAACTATCTCTTCGAAGAGGAGAATCTATTTAAGGACACCGCAAACCCATTTGAGGAGGGTATGCGAATCGTCGACGAGGGCGGCAATCTTTCATTAGCCTCTCTAGCTTTTGAGGCTGCTGTTCAAAAAGACCCGAAACACGTGGATGCGTGGGTCCAGCTCGGTATGGCTCAGGCGCAAAACGAGAAGGAGACGGCAGCTATTCGGGCATTAGAGCAAGCCAAGAACCTCGACCCGAATAATGCACCCGCACTCATGACCCTAGCGGTTTCCTATACGAACGAAGGCTATGATAGCATAGCTTACCGAACCCTAGAGCGATGGCTATCCACCAGATACCCTTCCGTCATCTCACCTGGCGACCTCTCCTCCGCGGCCGATATAGGTTTCACAGAACGCCAGCAGCTTCACGACCGGGTTACGCAACTCTTCATCAAGGCCGCACGGCTCAGCCCAGACGGCGAGCACATGGATCCGGATGTGCAAGTAGGTCTAGGCGTGCTATTCTACGGTGCTGAAGAGTACGACAAAGCCGTGGACTGCTTTTCGGCGGCGTTGGCGTCATCCGAGCTTGGGGCGTCTAACCGGCAAAACCAGGTGCACTTGTTGTGGAACCGTCTAGGAGCAACGCTGGCTAATAGCGGCAAGAGCGAGGACGCGATCGCGGCGTACGAGAAAGCCTTAACGCTGAAACCTAACTTCGTGCGCGCGCGGTACAACCTCGGTGTCAGCTGCATCAACATGGGGTGCCACGCCGAGGCCGCGGGCCACTTGCTGGCCGCGCTCAGCATGCACAAGACGGTGGAGAAGGAGGGCCGAGAAAAGGCCCGCGAACTCTTAGGCGGCGGTGTCAGCGACGCTCAGCTCGACGCAATGACCACCCAGAACCGGAGTACGAACTTGTACGACACTCTGCGCCGCGTCTTCACGCAGATGGGCCGCAGGGATCTTGCCGAGAAAGTTTTACCTGGTGTCGACCCCGAGTCGTTCCGTGGCGAGATCGACTTTTAAAGAGGCTATTTACGGTAGTAGGGGTTGTAGGCCGATAAATTTCGAGAATGAGGGGGCGAAATATGGTATAATGAAAAGTGAAGGAAAAGGGGGTTAGCGGTAGGGATAACGAAGTTGCATGACCTCGCGCGTTTTAAATGCTAGGAAACGCCAGCGTATTTTATATCGACGCCAAGGCCAGAATAGTTGACTGAGAAGGTTGTTGAGGTTTAGATGACCAGCCACCTACCAGACTATAGGATCTAATATGTGCCAAGTGTGGATTTACATCAGAAGACATTCGCTCTCGACGGGGTGTCTATTGCAAGCGTGTTGAAAACAGGATAGGGTAGGAATTTAGTATTAGTATATATGTGTTAAGCTCGTGGATTTTATAGGAATGACTGCCTAGGTTAAGTTATAGTTACTATCTATCGAGGCTTTTCAAAGACTTTTGTGTTCGCATTGGTGACGGTCTTACATGTCGAGGAACGGCGAGTTGATTATGTAGTTACATGCCTTTTTCTTATTAGTCATTCAGAATATTGACCTCATAAGTACGCCAAAACCCCCATTCCGGATATCAACAATGCATTTATTCTTACTGGACTAGTTTAACAATCAGTTGGGGGGTTGTTCTAGAAGAAGCTCATGTACCTATATAATTATCCTCTCCTAGAAATTTAAAGACAGTTTCATAAGAATGTCTCACACATTAGCTCCCCACTCATTCTAGAAGTGTGTTTATATACATCGTAAGATTAATATTTTGTTGGAACGTACACATGTCGTCTTCTTGAGCTAGCTAATCGTACTACGATCTACGTTACCCGGCAGATATGCTAGGAAAAGAAGAGCATGTGATACCAGTTGATGTCTCCATCTAATTACACACAAAGGATATACGTTCCAGTCCAAACAAGAATAAACCTAGGCACCACGACCATATACAAAGTACATCATAGATACAACATAGTAGCTGACTACGACGTTGACCGGGCTAGAAATTAACAAAGGGACGAAAAGACGTCCCTGTTGCCCTAAAACCAATGTATACTCACGTCGTTGGAAGTAACGCCCGAGTTTGAAACATAAACTTTAAGACATCATAATTACCTCGCATGCTTATTCTTCTATTGGGCCATGCGAGATCCCGCACCGAAGTCTTAGATCAGGTATGTAAGTGGAGAAGGATAGCCTTGGCAGACGTGTCTTTGACCTTAGTTTAACTGAACGATCTGAATTTCATTTAATACTAGCAGATGGATATTATCACGACTATGCGAAGGAGAGTACCTGTCGCTGAGAAGATTATACATTGATCTGGGATACTATACGTATACAACGGAAGTAGTCCCAAAACGCTTCATACGTCGAAATCCCTTTAATAGCAACAGCTCTTAAATCATATGTTCCCTTCCATTAAGCCTCAACTACCAGTATATGGCATTGTATGGGAGGCGAAAAGCGTATTTGTACAACGAAAACCCCCGGACCGGGAGAACCACGTTACTCTTGTTGAGTAGCGCGAGTTATATCATGCGCTTACACGAAAAGCGCACCAACTGCGAGAAGCATCGGGGCCACAAACGGAGCCACCGTCTGAGCGGCATTCGTGTTGGGCACGGCTGTCTCGGAGGTAGCAGACGAGGTCTTGGCAGCGGAAGAAGCTACAACTTGTTAGCTTACCAAATCTAATAGGGACATATTATGTTTGACTTACTGGAACTAGCATGTGTGCTAGACGAGGTGATAGAACCACTGCTGGTGCTGGTAGTGAAGCTGGAAGACCCAGACGACGTGCTAGAACTAGTAGGAGTCGAAGAAGTCTCACTGCTAGTGACGGTGGCGCTGCTAGAGGTAACAGTCGACGAGACAGCCGAGGACGTGCTAGTCTGCGAGGCTGTGGTGCTGACTGAACTGCTGCTAGCAGAGCCGCCGGAAATCTCAAACTGCTGGCTGTAGTTCACCTCGGTGCCGTCATTGATCTCGAGGGCGTAGGTGCCAGAAGGCAACGAGGAAGAAGGGACCCAAGTGTAACTCTCTCCAGTCTGGCCAGCTGTGTATCGTTAGCAATGGGTTCGGTGAGTGAGCTATCAAGTTTTTGTAAGACTTACAGGTGATCTCCGAGACGGTCTTGAGGTTGTCAGAGGGGCCATCCTTCAAGGTGAGAGAAACGGGGCCAGCAGCATCAGACCAGGTAACCTCGAAAGGCTTGCCAGCCTCGATGCCGTTGAAGTTGGTGTTAGTGATGGCGACCGCACTAACCCAGGCCGGGAGGGCGGCAAGGACGGTAGTGATGAAAGAGACCTTCATTTTGGCTCGTGGTAGGAAGTATTAAAGTATTTAAAGAGTGACGATATGATCTGTAGAAGGACGAGAACAAGATTAGCAGAGCTCCCACGTAACTGATGTTATCCGTAGAGACGTTAGATGATTTTTAAGTGGTTCAAGTCCCATAAACCGTAACCTTCCACTTGCCGATTGGGATCTTAAAAGATCGTTGCGACGTAGCGGGCCAACAGAGGTAGAAGTGGGTTGATTATCTGAGACTTCTCTCGCGGTTTATATAACATAAAACAAATCGCAAACTTACCGATGTTGTTGGAATTAGAAGATTGTACGCGAAAAGGTGACAAGAGAATGGGATTTGGATAATGAGCGTGTAAAGGTTGAAAAAGGAATGGAAGCTCAGGTGAGCAGTTGGCGCGAAGGAGAAAAGAGAAGGTTCTTGCCCAACTTGTGTGCGCCAACAGGCCAGGGAAAGTGCAAGGCCACGTCCCCGGGGAAATTGGCAATCGCAAAATACAAGATTGACTTGCGATAGCACACCAACTTTAGCAGCCAGGAACGGCTAAAATTCCATTTGACTAATCCCAATTTAGTTTAATCATGACAAACTTGCCTAGAAATATGCAATTAGGCAACCTTTCCAATCTTCACCAAGCCATGTGCCTTTCCTTTTCGAGAAAAGAGCTAATCTTGGTCGGGTGTTGCGTAGTATTATAGATCAATTCCAGCCAATTATCTCCGCCAACTAAGCCTAGGACTTTACGTAGACCCTGTCTGGGCCATTACTGCGGTTGCCCCAAATATTTGCCCTATTGCATCTTCACCTAGTACATATTTGAACCTGATCAGGTCTAGAAGACTTTCTTTCCAAGATTCTCTCATCCAACTTGAGGCATGACGAATATAATTACTTGTGCCGATTACATACCTAAGTCAACTCGAATTATATAAACACATGCAGTAAAAATGCTGCGTGTGCCAAGATTAGAGCATGACGTGCAGCCTTGGACACACAACCAGGGGCTTGTACGCTATTATGCGCCTATAAAAAATGTCATATGATTTCATTTAGCAGTGCTTACCAGCTTAGTATGTACTACCAGTCTTCTAAGATACTTTTTTAGAGCCTCTTTAGCTCATCAGAGTAGCTACATCTACATATGTAGGAAGGGCATTAAACATTACACATATCCCTTAACTCGTTATATTTAGGTTTCAAGCAGGAGTCTGCAAACATTGTCTATCCGACGAGGTCTGCTGATAAGGGGAAACTGCAGGCATTGAACAATGAAAATACAAAGTCCGGTTCGCGGCAGGATCTCGACCCGTGCAGCCGTGTAACCTAAAGCAGACGTGTGGGGCCGCGCAATCTCGCCAAATCCACGCTACATGTGTCTAGGCTGTCAGTCTTAGGTGATTAGTTCCTGCATTAAAGATCTAATTGGATCTAAATAACAGGGGCTCTCCCAGTCAGAGCCCTCCTTGCAGCTTCCCCAGGTATGCAATTTAGGGGGTTCTCCGTAACCATAACCCACCATAACCCACCACTCCCGAATCTGTAAATGACCTCAACATGCGTAGCATGATTTTTCTACAAGTCTGACGATTGAGACAAGGCTCAACTAAAACCTAATCAATAATATCCTGGGAGATTGTCTACACAAGATGTTTCATTTTTGGTGTATTGCCTTTCAGGAGACAACATGTTGTTGGCTACTTTGCCCTCCTTGATCATCCAGATATGACAAGAACAAGATGGTGCCTTACTAGTGCCGGCATTTGCATTGAAGATCATCTCAGTTCTAGGTTTGCTACCCACTTGCTGTGATCCCAGCAAGCAAAATCAGAAGATCGAGAAGTTGAAACATGATACCAGCCCTTATCCATTGACTCAACTATAAGGTTGCGGCTATGGAAGTCGATTCATGCATTAACCTCGATGGATAATTTCTAATGAGGAAACTGCAGTTTTGTGGTCCCAAGATACACTCTGGGTAGTCGAGCTAGGCGACTCGGATTAGAACTCAGATCTGACCCTTCCTAACGCTACAGTCTGTTGCTTTCACAGATTTATTCGGGGCCTTGAATAGCTATATACTTGATGTTTTAGGGAAGGCTACAACGAACAACACCGCGACGGACGCCTTCCGTCTCTTCTCGGAGCTCTTCAACGTTGACACCCATCTCTCGGGTCTTGGTGACGAAGTCGTCTAACGAGCCGCCCACACCGAAGTAAAGCTTCTTGGCACCAACTAGTGCTTCGGCGGTATTACCCTGCGCCTTCTCCTCTTTGAGTAAAGAGAATATAGTCTGCGTAAATGCACTGAGAGCAAAAGGGGAATAAATGGTCTCTGCGCCAAGTATAATTGTTCGCTGACCGGATTTGTCCCCTATTTTGGAAGTTTTATCGGAGTTCAAGAGATCAATAAACTCGGTAGACCAGGCGCCGGAAAAGAAAGAAAGAGAGATGTTGCGGGCCGTAAGGAATTCATCGAAGGCTTTGAGAACTTCTGGTGTCAGTTCTAGCTCCCCTTCTGATGAGAATGAATTTTCTAGCAGGGGCGAATCTGCTCGTTGATGAAGAGCCCAGCTTAAGACAAAGTTCGGCAGTGTTACGAGCTGTAGGACAGTTGGATTATAGTCGGCCAAGACTATGGAGAAAGCAGAGTTCTTCTCGGGAGCTCGAAGACTAAGGCTCCATTGGAAGAGCGCCAATGAGGGGAGAGCCGTGCCGCAACCGAGCTAGAAATGTCCAGTTGGTTATTTCTGCAGTATTTGTCGCTTACGACCGAGAAGACTTACCTCGATCAGCCTCGGGACCGTGTCCATGTCAGAAAGGAAGGATTTTGACAGCGAGAGGACCTTGACGAGATCCACACTGCTCTCCCAGGATTTAAATCCACCTTCGTAGACTCCGGTCTTCACATCATGATTGCCCAGTCCGGGCTCGGTATCACCTCCGTTATCTTCGGCCATAAGCTGGACTCGGACATCCCATAGCTCTCGGCGCGGGAGCTGAATATTCCCAGCACCGTCTAGATCGATATCCAAGATGCCATAAGCAATTTTTGACGGTAGCTGAGAAAGCATCTGGTGTAAGTCATGACTGGTGGGAGGGAGTAAAGGTTTTCCTGGCACGGGAAATGCGCTAGCCGACGCCTGCGGCTGCGCAGATGCGCTGACCTGTGGGCCTGCAGAGTTTGACTCTCCGTCATCCTCTATATCATCACCAGAAAATCCAAAAGAAAACTGTCCAGACATATCGAGATGGTACACGAGTTGGTTAAATCTCAGCCTCCTTATCATATATCTGATACTGTAGAGTGAGGCGAGTGGACGCTATCTAAGGTTTGAATATGTACAATTAAAAGTGCGTTTTTAGACCCTTGAAAACGAAATACAGGTAGGTGGATATGTACATGTACAATGCGTGCGATTAATTAGGGTACGGTACCTCTTGGGGCTGCTTGGCTAGATTTGGTGTACCTATAGGTACCTAAAGCTGGATAATGCGGGGATCTACAAACAGATCAAAACTCAATTTGAATCTTTTATGGTAATTCCGAGCTTATACTAGGTAGAGGTACCTTCACATTCTGAGCCGTATGTACGAATACTTTATGTATTATTTATTATGAGGTATCGTTTCTTACGTCAATATTTTTACACATATAGCTTTAAGCTCATCCTGATCATTGGTCAAACAACACAAACGGTCAACATCTCACACTAGATCACATCTTCTGCATTGCACATGTACCTCATATGCAGGTATGCATTCAAAAATTAGATTCTTCCAGGGACCTTGCTCCTTCAAACTTCCCATTGTGCTCGGCTGCTTCGGGGTATAGTTTGGTATTGGTAGATGCACGCCTCAGTGGGACAAATGTCTATCATTCCAAGTACAGTGCAGCACGGTTATGGGACACAGTTATAAGAACGTGGAAGCCCCTCCATGAACAATGGGCGATTGGCTGAAATACGATACCAACGTCCAGCCCCATTCATGATAATCATGATAACCATGATAACCAAGCAAGACGACCTATCAGGCAACTCTTCATTGGCTTCCTAGTTAAAGAACTTGGCATGTCGATGCTAGGGTTGCTTTCAATTCGTCTTATTTCGTCTCGACTATCGTGGCGAACCAGCTCCGTTACAATGGACTGCTTTATCATTCGTATCCCGGCAGGGGGGATGGCTGTAAATAAATATATGACAGCCCGAGTTAGAGACGCAAACATGAGCCATATACGCAATGTGATGAGTCGAGGGGGGCAACAAATAGATTGCATTTTGAACGGATAGCAGGCAGGCTGCTTTCCTAACATAGGAAACAACGAAAATAAAGCTTCCTTCTCTGGTGGTAGGCTGGGATACGCGGCTCCCTGTTACTCAATTTATTTGCCATTTCTAGAACTACAAGGTCTAGGTATAAGCTTTGGTTGGTCCTCCTACTAGTATCCGCTTTCAGCTAAGCCTTCCATCACGCCAAGGGTACTGGATAATACGATCTTGCCTCTACTAGTTGGTTTTAACCAAGGTTCAAGTTCAAGTATAAAGCTTGTGTGTCCTTAGACACGAGAATATGAGAGATATTACGAAACTACAGCGTCGGATTTCTCATATTCTTACCATCCCAAGCAGCATGACACGCCATAAAACCAACCGCAAAGATCCTCATGTGCCAGACCATGGTGAGAAGAGTATAAGCAGCACCAATGCTCCTGAGATCGTATCAAGGCCACCTTACACAATCCGAGAAGCACCCCTCGGAACCACCAAACATGTCAGGATCGTAGGTATAGGTGCGGGGGCCAGTGGCATAAATATGATACGGACCCTTAGGAGAAACATAGCCAACTACGAATTCGTCATCTACGAAAAGAACGAGAAAGTTGGGGGGACTTGGTTCGAGAATCGTTATCCGGGATGTAAATGTGACGTACCAAGTCATAACTATCAGTTCTCATGGCGCCCAAATCCCGAATGGTCTAATTTCTTCGCACCTGCTAAAGAGATCGAGCAATATCTAGACCGGATATGCGAAGAAGAAGGTATGTCAGACGTGATCAAGACTCGACACAAGGTCGTAGGTGCTTGGTGGAACGAAGACCGCGGGCTTTGGGACCTAAGCGTCGTAGACCTTGAGACCGGCCAGGAGTTTAGAGATAACGCCAACTTCCTCATTAATGCATCAGGCATACTAAAGTAAGATAGACCATCGACCATAGGGCACACCACCTGCGTAGAACGCACTACTAATCAAGATACTCCAGTAACTGGAGATGGCCAGACATTCCGGGGATAAATAACTTCAAGGGGAATTTAATACATACTGCCAGCTGGCCTAAAGATTTCGACTATACCAACAAGGCTGTTGCTTTGATTGGGAATGGCTCGTCGGGTATCCAGTTGCTACCTACAATCCAGCCAGGTCAGTCGACCCCTATTTTTCTCAGTACAATATAAATTGACCTCCAGTAGGTGTCAAGAAGCTATACCATTTCGTCCGTACTCCGACATGGATCATCCCCCCACGAATAATGTCGATGAAGGTGATGGGAGGGCCTGCTAAGGACATCCTTGGCGAGATAGAGCTTGACGAGAAGGAGAACTTTACGCAACGACAAATCGAGAAGTTCAAGTCGGATCCTGCCTTTTACCGTAAATTCATCAAGACAATCGAGAAAGATAGCAACGGCGCATTCGCACTCGTAAGGACATGCCTACTTCCGGTTCCTCGATAACATTATCATTGACATTTTCATATGCAGGTCGTGAACGGTAGCCCAGTACAGAAGTTTGCAACAAGTAAGGTTGTCGAGTATATGAAGGCAGCGCTAGGGGGCGACGAGAAGCTCTGCAAGGCCCTCATCCCCCAATTTCCTCTGGGGTGCCGCAGAATCACGCCAGCACCGGGGTATTTAGAAGCTCTCAGTGCCCCGAATGTAGAAGTCATCACGGAAGGGATCGCAGCAATTGTGCCGGAAGGCATTCAACTCGAGTCGGGAGAAGTAGTCAAGTTAGATGCCATAATTTGCGCCACAGGCTTCGATACTTCCTTCGTTCCACGGTTCCCCATCGTTGGCAGACATGGTAACGTCCAGGACGCGATGAAGACAGAGACACCGAAAGGCTATATGTCGTGCGCACTTGCTGGCGTACCCAACTACTTCAGTAAGTACTCAATCCACAATGACCCTGGCTTTGGTGTTGCGTACTTTATCCTAACATATTCTTAAAGCCTTCCTTGGTCCCAATGGGCCTATAGGTCACGGCAGCGTCTTCACCTTAAGCGAGCACATCGCTCGATACATCACTCGTATAATAGCCAAGTGCCAAAAAGAAGGCATAAAAGCAATCGTGCCGTCGGATGCAGCGGTAGATGACTACAGTCAACATGTAACGACTTTTATGCCTCGTACAGCATGGGCATCGCCAGGTAAATCTTGGTTCAAGGGCGGCACCGAAGACGGGCCTGTCACGGCTCTACATCCGGGAAGCCGTGTGCACTTCTTCCAAATGCTCGAACATTTCCGCGGCGAGGACTTCGACTACGTCTACGATAGCCCCGCGCACAATAGATTTCACTACTTGGGTAACGGATTCTCAGCTAGGGAGCTCGATCCTAACGTCGACTCAACGTGGTATTTAGAGGAGGCGGTTGATGGACCTGTATATACGTAAATCAGGTACTTAGGGCACGAGATGAAGTAGTAAAGAAGGCGAGTCTTGTGAGTATATAGATGCATACGCCTCTGGACCTGGTAAATAATGTGGATGCATATTACGAATTTCCTTCGACGAAACGAAATCAATGCATACGATTTACGAATATATCAGATACTTGTGTAAATGTATGAGTTCCTAACTCCATTCGTTATCATCATGGGTACTTTAACTAGTCCTTCTCCCCAATACGAACTCCATACCAGCTCGTAGTCATGTATCAGTCTTCACCTCGTGCTATTTTAAGCATACAAATTCACTAAATCAACGATGTTTCATATTTTCCCGAGGGTTTGGGCTACTATTGAGCGTCGAGGCCGATTCGATATTCTTTGGTCTTGGACCGATAGGTGTTGAGCGTTTGGATGCTCTGTTGACGCCGGCACTAAACTAGGGGCGCTTAAGTTTCTTCTCTTCTAGTTACACGATATGTTATGGTGGGGGTGGTTTTATATCTCGCAAACAAACAAATATACGGTCAAGTAAGGAATGGAATTGTTTGGTTGTGAGTTAATGCTTCATGTTTTTTTTTCTTATTATCCTGTAAGGGAGATCCGACTTGGATGGCTAGCTACCTAATTGCACTGCCTTCGTAGGCGTATAGATAAGTCCGTTAGTTGCCGTAGGTGGGGGGTTGCGGTCCGTTCCGAGCTGTTAATAACCTAAGTCCACGATGTTTATAAATATGGCGCTTTCGAACATCATAATATATGAACTAGAGGATGATTCATTTAGATCTTATCCTCCTACATGGAAATAATTTTGTCGAGTATAGTTTACTCCCGCTCTATTCGGGTATAATACCAAGGGATACAAGTAGAAGTAGAGGACTTCGGAAAAGCGATGAGGCTCTTCTCAACATCAACAGCCATTTAAAGTCCAATATGGATTAATACAGTGCCGCCTATGACCCCATATTCTCCTATATGTATTAAGTATACTATGCATCCATGCATTTACCAAAGGCAGAAGCTGAAAGAAGCCGGAATATTTCGTCCTCGGGAATCCAAGAAGGTCGCAATGCGGGCCGAGGAGGCTTCGAGCCCCCCTACCCACATCCTTCTCTACCCGTCCATTCATACCACTTTACGTACCGCTGTTCGACAGCCTCCACGCAAGGCTTTTTTCCAGGCGACCGTCAAACTGGGCCGCCCAACGCCCAATCGACCCTTAAGTGTCGCGTAGATTTACTCGTTGTGCACCAACGCTCGTAGGATCCCTGTAGGCGCTTAGCTGCCTATTGGATCGTTTGAGTCGTCCGCAGCTCGCCGGGCTGCCGTGTCTCTAGCACTGCCCTTTGTCCACATGATCTTGCTGTATGTATGTGTGTTATGTTCATGCAGCAGCAGCAGTCGGGCTGTGATGTGATGTGTCGTTTTATCTCGGCCGTAGCGCATGTTATACATATATCAACCGCATGCTGGTTGGCCTCACTTGCTATCATTTTTTGTTACTGTTCTTTTTTGGCATCAATTATACCCTTTTTCTTTTCGTGCTTTTGCTCCAGCCACTACAGCGGCGATAATTAATTATATTTACTTGGCTTCTACATTAATATTATAGATCTCTTTTCTCCTATCTTGGATAATAGACCCTTGCTCGTAGTATCGCGAGGCCCTAGCGAATTAGATCTGTGTAGAGCAATCCAGGGACAAAGGAATAAGAAAAGAAGGGGAAAACGCCATGTCTAAAAATGATGGCACGCCGGTAAATCTACTTGCGTTAGGTATATCCACTCACCTATACTCATGTGACTGGTCGTCCGATATTGTCTAAGCGTAGATAGCTAACATTTGTTTTAATGATAGACGGGGGAGGGATCCGCGGAATATGCGAACTCAGAGTCTTAGACGAGATCATGAAGCGAGTCCAAAAGGCGCAAAATCTAGCCTCCATACCGAGACCATGCGACTATTTTGATCTCATGGCGGGCACAAGCACTGGCGGGTAAGGAACCTAACTAGTTGCTATTCTTAGGGGAAAAAAGGCGTTGAGGAGAATACAAGATGTTAAACTAGTGGTATATATGATCGATCATTCCACTAACAAAGTATCGTGGGGATACAGGCTTGTCGCTATCCTGCTCTCGAGATTTAAGATGACCACGACGGATGCGATCGCGGCTTACTACGACTTCTCGGGGAGGATATTCTCGAAGAAGAATAGGAAGGGGTTGATGGGCAAACTGGTCGGCCATCCATTCTATGAGAAGCCTCTTGTGGATATTATTAAGGGCATGGTCGCTACCCATCAAATTGGAGAACTCATGATCGACCCGAAACCCGAAGCTCGATCTAAAGCTTTCGTCTGCTCGCAGCCCGCACATAGACAGGGGAAGGCCACTCGCTTTCGAACCTACGAACCACCACCCCTTCTGAAGACAGAAACTTCTCTACAAGTTCCTTCTCCGTCAGGCTCTTCGTCGTCCTCTTCCTTACATTCGTCATCGTCAAAGTCCGCTTCTCAGTCTTCAGCTTCTTCGACAGATGATTCTCTTGCGCTTGGATCACCCGAGCTTAAAAGAATGACATCTACGATGAGAGACCCGTGGAATGACTACAGGGACGTCCATATTTGGGAAGCCGCTCGCGCTACGACAGCCGCGCCGTCATACTTCGACCCGATGGTTCTGATCCGCGGGAACAACAGTAGAACCTTCATCGACGGAGCAATGGGCTGTAACAACCCGGCGAAAGAGGTAGTCGATGAAGCGGCGGCACTTTTCGGAACAGACTGCGTCCTAGGCTGTCTTATTAGCTTAGGAACTGGGTTCTCTGGCGAGGTAACGATTGGGGAGGCCGAGGGTGGAATAAAGAAAACTGTCGGCTTGATTAACAACCTCAAAAAGATAGCTACAAATACGGAAGAAGTACATGAGGATCTACGACGCCTAATAAGAGCCGACCTAGACACTTACTTTCGGTTTCAACTTCCTAGCGGAGCTGAGGAGATCCGCTTACACGAGTATAAGAAACTCGATGAGCTATCCCAGCTCATGCAGGTGTATATCGAAAAAGAGTCATCCGAGATTGATAAGGTTGTGCAGATCCTGATAGACAAGGCAAAGCCACGAGGGATCACCCTTGGCCAGATCGGTAAGCATTCGGTTACTCATTATTCGTGCCTCTGTAGAATTAAGCTGACCGCAAGCAATCAAAAGCTCAATCCGACCACGGCCAGATTGATCCGCCTAAGAAAGATATCCGTAGCCGACCACCTGTCAGCGAGTTCTTCGTCGGTAGACAAGATATCATTGATACGCTTGCCAAGGACCTCTGCCCAGATAAACTACGTCCGGATCGCCAGCGACGTCATCTCATATATGGTCAGCCTGGCGTCGGTAAGTCGCAGGTCGCTTCCAAATTTCTAGACGTTTATGGACACTGGTAAGAGTTGATACCGAACTCCTTGAGTAGAGGTTTCTGATGTATTTTCTTAGCTTTGACATGATACTATGGGTTGATGCGATGAGCAAAGAAACGATAGAGGCTGGGTTCAGGGAACTCACGAATTGCTCAGAATACGGTTATGCTGGCGACGGGTCACCAAGGTCTCTGCTGATGTGGCTGGAGAAGACAGAGCATTCATGGATCCTGGTCCTCGACGATGTGCGTGGAGACGTAAGCAAGCATGTGCCCAGTGGAAGCAACGGCGCCGTGCTCTTCACCAGCCAGAACAAATTCATCAAACCCGCTCAAAGGCAGTCAACCCTTGTGGACGTAATAAACGAAACAGACGCACTCGAACTGCTCCTATCCAGTGCACAACTCACCGAAGTTGATGAAAAAAGGCGCAGAGGGGCGGCAAGACTTGTACAATCCTTGGGTTATCTGCCCCTAGCTATTGAACAGGCGGCTGCCACGCTTCGGATGGAACAATGGGAAGTCACAGAGTACGAGGCCGAACTCGAGACCCAAAATAATGACTTACTAAAAAAACCAGATATTGATCATGGCTCATTCGTCCGCCGAGCTGTACATGCTTCATTCGACGTCACGTACAAGGTCCTCAATAAGCAAGCCCACGACGCTTCCGACGAGACAAAGGCCCAGGCCGCAAAATACGCGCTTCAGCTCTTGAACCTTTTTTGCTTCTACCATAACGAAGGCCTCATGGGAAGCATCCTCAAGAGGGCGGCCACTTATCGTCCAGATAATAGAAAGCAGGATGACTATGGGGTTGGCGCCGAGTCCTTTGCTGATCTGCTAGCTGTGGACGAGTCCGGGAAATGGATTGAACGTCGATGGCAGTTGGGCATAGACCTATTGATCGCCTATTCGCTAGTCAAAGTGACTAGAGATGACCAGGTTCAGAGACTGTACTCTATCCACGGTCTCGTACATAGTTGGGCGAGCCAGAGAATGCCTGAGTATATCCGCCGTGCGCGAGCCAAAGCTGCTAGAATACTTCTTTTCGATACGGTCCCCGAATCCCAACCTCCCCCCGACGAACTTTTATACAACGTAAAAATCCTCCCACACGCCCAGGCTGCTATGAAGAACACTGAGGAGATCGACCTAGATGACCGGGCACTGAAAGCGGACCAGTGCTATAAATTCGGATTGATATTGGATCTGGGAGGGTTTACCCAGGACGCCCTTTTTGCCTTGTCCGAGGCATTCGAAACCTATTGTTCTGAATACGGAGTGTTATCCGATAGAACACTAGAAGTCTCTCAGTTCTTGAGTCAAGTAGGAAAGCGTATGTATTATTTCGCAGAATCCTTTCGCAATGCGAAATATGTATACGAGGCGATGGTACTCAAACACGGTAAAGAACATATTGATACGATCCGTGCCCTTGGGAAAGCGGCAGCATTGATGACCGAGCTAGGGACGCTTGAACTCGCTGAAGGCATATTACGAGATATCCTCACGGTTCTCCCAGTACTATTCCCCGGTGAAGAGCAGTTAACGACCAAGACTGCCTTATCCATGGTTTTATACTACACGCAGCGAATGGGTCAAGCTAGGGATATGCTTGTCGACGTAGTGCAAGAATGCACAGAACGATTTGGTCCTTCTCACCCAAATACTCTCGCGAGCATGTCTAATTTGTCTATCGTTAAAATTAGATTGGCGAAATACGAAGAAGCAGAGGATTTAATCCAATGCGTTATGGAGGCGGAAAACAAACTTTTTGGGCCCGATTACTACGAGCGGGCCACTACTCTTCATAACCTCGCGACCGTGTACTTCCATCAAAAGAAATATTTGGAAGCACTGAAGCTATTTAGAGAGGCGAAATATCTGGATTGTGACGACAACAAATTGGGTCCCGTTAGACACTGGTATCACATCCAGGGCATAGCGCTAACAAAATACAAGCTGGGCGCTCGAGCTTCGGCCATTAAACTGATTAGTAACTGTTGTAGGATATTTGAAGTAGGGCTGAGTAATTTGCATATTTGTACAGCAATGGTTAAACTGCAGAGAGACGAGTGGATATGGGAAGAAGAAAATAACCTCCCCATCCAAACGGTACACGTCTTCGATATAGTACCAATGTTTCGATATTAGCAATAAAAAAGAATTGCCAGATATAATATCTGGCTTGGCTGATATCTAAAGGAGTCATGATATAAACCATGGTTGGTGAAATGTGAATGAAACTAGACGTATAATCCCGTCGCAAGGCGAACTAGTTAACCCATAACTTCGACAATCCAGTCGGCCTGAACAGTGCTGACTTTCTTCACATAACTCCTCTGTGTGAACACATGCTCTAGAAACATTATGGCTTCTCTTTTCTGTCCGTGTAAGACGCTTGATGGGTGTATAGCTACGACATGTTTCCCTTGTATTGTGACGTAGCTAGAGTCTGGCGCTAGTAAGGCACACTTCGTACCGAAGCCCTTCATGAAACATTTCAGCAACAATGTCGCTCTTTCGGGAGACATAGGTACAAACGGCTGAGGATCTGGTGGTGGTGTTTCTGTAAGCAATTTCTCCTTCAAGCATATACCGCGAAGTTGCTTTCGGATGTTGAGGGCTTGTTTCATATTCCGGATATTGACTTTCCGTTTCTTGCACCATTCAATTCGGTTGGCATTTTCCGCCGCATACCGCTGCATGGTAGTTAAGTATGTAAGAATATCACCTTCCCGACGGTACAATTCTTTACGATATTCTTCCACTTCTTCCCTTACTTCCTCCGACTGTAGTTGATGGAAAATATTCTCTCCTGATGTAATGCAAGCAATAATATCGATAACTTCGAGGAGACAGTCGTATTGAGGCTCGCTTGCCGCAAGAAGCACTCTCCCGTATGGCGCAGAAATCGGAAAAAGAGCTAACTTCCTCCCAATTTCCGTGATGGTGCCATCATCTGCAAGTGCGCCCAAGAAATGAAGATGTATCAGAGCTTTCTCTACCGACTCAAAATCTGGAAAGTCCATCAAGGGAAATGAAAAAATATCATTGATACCCCGCGCTTTCATCGTTAAGACGGCACTTAGAACATCGTTACGGAGTATTTCTGGCAAATCAGCTTCCTTGAGTGAGTCGTATGTTGTCGATGTATAAAGCCTGTAGCATTTTCCAGGTCCTTCACGACCAGCTCGGCCAGTCCGTTGTATCGCTGATGATTTTGAAATTGCCTTCGCCAGTAACGATTCCATGCCCAACTGTGAACGAAATTGTTTAACTTTGGCTTTTCCGCAATCGATTACATAACGGACGCCCGGAACGGTAACAGACGTCTCAGCAATATTGGTTGCTAAGACTATTTTTCTCGTAAAGCCCTTCTTAGCGGGTAGAAATGCATCCTGCTGCGCTTGGATCGAGAGCTGGCCATAAAGAGGGCAGACTAGTAGCTTTGGTACATCCGAAGCCAATGTCACATTGTACTCCTCGATGAGCCGTTGAGCGGATTCGATTTCTTCCTGGCCAGTAAGAAAAGCTAAGATATCACCGGGTAATGGCTCATGCAAATGGATATCGAATATCTGCTTTAGAAGGGTCTCCTGAATGTCCGTGACAGGCTTCTTTGTGTGCTTTATTTCTACTGGATATTGTCTTCCTTCAATTTGAAGTAGTTTAATGGCAGAGTTTGGGTTCTGAGGTTTGAAAAATGCTTGAATTCTCTCCACATCTGCCGTGGCGCTCATGATCACAACCTTGAGAGGTATACCTCCTCGCCCAGCTTTATCACTCAACAAGATTTGCTTTAAAAATCCAGCGATCAGGTCAACATCGACGCTTCTCTCGTGAATTTCATCAACAATAACTGCGCTATATTGACGTAGATTCGGATCTCGCAAGAGCTCTTGTAGAAGCATGCCTTCCGTGAGAAATTTGACTTTGGTGCCTTTTGGAATATTATGGTCAAACCGGACAGAATATCCGACGGAGCCCTCGCGCGACGCTCCCAGAGGTGTTCCCATCTCACGGGAAACCCTGTTAGCTAGAGTAGTTGCTGCAACTCGTCGCGGTTGGGTGATAGCAATCATTCCACCCACATTAACCGTATCAGATTGGATTCGAACTTTCTTCTTTCGACACCAAGCTTCATCACAAAGGAATTGTGGAACTTGAGTACTCTTGCCCGAACCAGTCTCGCCAACAATAAGTAACACATCGCTATCACCGTGAAGGCAAGCCCTGATCTCGTTCTGATGAGTCCATATCGGTAGGGCCTTGCGAGATTTTAATAATAACGGATCTCCACTGTTGGTGAACCGCTTATGTAGCGGTGTTTTTTGAGTCTGCGAACCAGCTTCCTTAACAGAATCATGATGAGGCTCCTTAGTTGTAACGGGCTCCTGAATTGATACTGGCTTCTCTGATGGTTTCTTCTCGGGAGCAAGATATGCACTTAGAGATATCGTCTTGTTCCCAATTTTTACAACCGACGCATCATCCGTAGCCTTCGTTTTGCGCCTTTTGGGTTTATGTTCGTCATTAGCCATTTTTAGTTGTGTTGCTGAGGTTGAAAATAATACTTTTCTTACTAAAAAGTCTAAAAAGTCTAAACAGATGCGTATGCTATGTAGCACTGTGTGTTAGTTACAGTATGTAATGGAAACTACGGTCACGTGGTAGTTACACAGTGTTAGAAACTTACCTACATGTATCAATCCAAATGGCATAATCACATTTTAGGTACGTAGGTACCTATCTAGCAACGCAGGACTTTGAGGTATTCAGATTGTTATGTAGTTGCGATGATTTGAACTGGTAACTAACATTATATGTCTGATACAGCTTGTCATAGAATGTTTAGATATTATTCTTCAATATTTAGGCCACTCTATATTGTGCTTTAAATACTACATAGTTGTTAGAATATGAAAAGTAGCAATGCCCGGGCGTCATTCCTCGCTACCATCCCTATGCCTCTTCTGAATCGCTTTCATGAGTTCATACAGCTGTCCCATCTGTTGGTCTGATAATTTCTATTAGTGAGATGGCCATTTGCCGAGATTCAAGATAGACAAACCACTCATTTTCTCAACTTTCTCAGGATCCAACTTTTCGCCAACCCATGACTTGCCTTCGATTTTCTGAGCGTAGAGTTGCCATTCCGTAAGGAACCCAATCTGAGCCGTAGTTGTTAGTTTCCGGATAAATTTATTAGACATGAGGCTCATACTAAATGCGCCGGATTATCGACATTCCTATGAGCACGAAACTCGGCCTTGATGTATTCATCGCCAATTAGACGCTCCTCATGTGGTAAGTGTTTCCGATGAGCTCTAAATAGGCGTCGATAAAGAGGAATCGGTGGTAATAATGCCATAGGCGCTGGCCTCAGGCCGTTTCCTGTGGCTGCTGTAGCCAATAGTCTCCATGAGGGTTGCATAGTGAATTCGATCTGATATTAAATCTGGATAGTAAAACCAGACTGTTGTAACTGGACAATGCGCCTCTGGATTGGGGCTATACAGTAGATCGTTGGTTTCATATGAGAGCCACACACTGTATACTAACACCATGTAAATTAAAATAAACTAAATCGAGGCATAATCGGAATAGTGAAGCATTAACATAGAATATAAGTAGGTAATCATTAGACTACCAAGCTTCTATATTGCGAGAACTACAATATAATACTGATCCTCAATATAGGCCCCGGAACAGAAACAGACTGTCATACAAACCTACTCGCAATTCTGAAGGGATACCGAAATTTTATCATTACTCTATACTACAAGCATACATCTTGATTCTGATGGATGATGCTTGGGGGGCGACTCTACTCCTAAGGCGTCAAGCTTAGGTGAAGATAAATACCATTGTATCCATCCCCACTGTAAACTAATAATATTGAAATATTGCCAATCCAACCATAATTTTGTCCAATGAGAGGATGCACAATATCACCAATGCCTCCAACGACAATCATCTGATGGTTTGGAGCCTGCGGGTGTGCACCACCGTTTCATCGCTTAGTTGATCGCTCTGTATAGTTGTTAGTCTTAGTCTTGTATATAGTATAACAACTAGTGCTCTTACCTTGCTACCGATCCTATCGATGGTCTTGTTCTGGGTATCGACTATATCGCTAATGTTGTGAGCAAGGTGATTGATTGAGGCGAGTCTCCGGGCCGTCAACTCCATGTTGTCATCAATTTCATCCTCTTGCGCATTCACCTCATCATCATCATCATCCTCAAATGCATACTTAGACCTCTCAGCAGCACTTTGTTTTTTCCAGACGTGATTGTTCGCACTGGCCTCTGCTTCTCTGAATGTAGCCTCCATACGTTGATTTCCCATATAGCCTTCCTTACGTGTTGTCTCACGTATCTCGCGCTCTGAACGATGCTCATCCAGGGCTTTTTGCTCTATCTCTCTTTGCCTCTTCGTAGCCGTGAAAGGATTCCCCACATGAACAGCAAACATGCTCCGGTTTAGACTCTTGAGCTTCTTGGTTGACTGCTCAGCTTCTCTACTTGCAAAGCTACCCTTGTCGATAAGGGTTTCAGTGTAGTTGAGACGTTCGGTCTGTCCACCAAGACGAGCAACGGTTTGCATTGCAACATCTAATGCTTGATCGGCAGTACGTGCAATATTCTGAGTCGTCCCTACTGTAGCTAACCTCTCTTCTTTTATCTGCCGTTTGATGTCGTCGACTTCAACTTCTTCTTGTTCTTCTGCTGTGAGTTCACGCTGCTCTCCATATCCACCATACTTATTGCCAGAGTCAATTCCCGATGCGCCAGAAGCTCCAGAGATATCTTGGCCATTGGGTTGGCGTTGATCATATCGCTCACGAGCCCCAGAGAAAAGTGCATCTCTGTTGGTGTCCGTATTATTGCTGTCAGTACGGCCAAGCCCACCGTAACCACCCGAACGAGCGCCGTAACCGTTCGAGTTACTATATTTATTTTCACCATAGCCTGATGGCGCCCCGTATTTGTTGTTGCTATAGCCACCACTAGAATACGATGGAGGTTGTGTAGTCGCGGGTGGGTTATTGCCATCATTGCGAGGTGGTGGAGCAGCGTAACCATTCTGAGGGGATGGTTTGCTAGGTAGACCATTAACTTGGGAATCGGGGAGACGCGCGCGAGCTTGTTGATAAGGTGTCATGTGGGCATATTTGTTGCTATCGTTTGTGTAAGGGTCATTCGCAGGTTGTGGTTGAGCATATGGGTTGTCGGATGGAGGCGCCGGAGAGCCCTTCTTCCCAAACAGGGCCGAACGATTTGCATCGTCATCGCCATCTGCATGCTTTCTTCCGAAGCCGAACTTCCTCATTTTAGCTGGAGATATATCGTGTTGCTTAAAACTTGATTAATTGGTGTGATGAGTTGATGAGACGGTTAGAAAGAAGGAGATCTGGCAGTTATAGAGGAGGCGATTTATGGGACTGAAGGCGGAGGATGTCTTAGGTTACGTTTCGAAAAGGAGGGTGCTAAAAGGGAGTAAGGAAAGCAGATCAGCTGTATCCAAAACAATTCGTCAGTTCCATGCCGCAGCAGTTATCTAGTGGGTGGAGTCTCCATATTTTTAAATATTTAGTAGGCGGTCAGGGGCGGTAAAGCTGTCAGCAATTGGGGTGGCAAGTGCTATTTAGCTGAAGAAATGTCTATTCTAAGTTTGGCTTTCGGCTGTTCGTATTGAGGTACATGTGTATTTACATGCGTCAATGTACATATACTTTCCATTAATGTTTAACTTATACTACTTGCTATACGTACCTCCTAACCTAAAATATATCTTCATTGCTCTCATACTATCTATTTTATCCATGCAGCCAGGTAGGCATTTAGGCATTACATGAATTAATGATCGTCTCCTGTTTAGCATGTGCGACGGATATCGTAGGTATCCGATGATTTGGTATGGTATATTTTTACTGTCCTTCTACTCCAGGTTTAGGTTTAAGTGGATTTCATTAAGGGGCTAAATATTGTGCCAGCAATGCGGCTGCGCGCAACACTAGACGTTTCCACTGGAGTGTTTGAGTGCTTGGATGCTTGAGTGCTTACCTCCTCTGACGTTGAAGAATTCCGGTTAGAAGGCCTACGACCATTGTTTAACCACTGTTTATGTAAATACATGCTTATATGTATAACTACATTTAAGTACCGATAACTACGTGGGAAAACTGTACAAAGTATTTAAATATTCATTTATGGAGATATATACCTAAAATATCTATGAAAACTGTGTTTGCTATATGTACCCCGGGTGAGTCAGATACTCAACACGAGCTTGTTGGCTGTTGCCAAAGAGCACTATATTAGTTGCACCCGACCTTTACATATTACCTTACATATTCCTACTTGGCCGGTCGAATTTATACCGATGAGTCTATCACCACTTACCACTTCACATAAGATATTTATCTAAAAACATACCACCAATAACTTATAGGTCATAATGGCTGGTCTAAAGTTGCATTAAGACCATTCTTCTATTGGAGAATATATTAAAAACTTATCGTACACATATTTGCGAGCTTTCTTAGCTCCAACTTATCGAAAATGATATCACAAATATATCCTCTTTATACACAGCGAATAGCGCAAGACCATGCAATAGAATCAATACAAAACTCCTCATAACGGCAAGCAGACTGTAAATCAAGGATCAAAGGGAAAGGGCTGTGCCTTTAAAAAGCGGTCATAGCTCCCGAAGACAAGGACTATATAACGCTGGAGTATAAACGGGGTTCGACCTCGCTGCTTATTCAGTTCACCGACTTACCAGTGTACATAATTCATCGGGTAACTAAAGTCGGCAATGGCTTCTATATTCACTTTCGATCATGATCCTCCACGGGTGCACTCACCCTGGCAGTCCGGACAGGACTCCGGAAAGAGGCCTCAAACTGAGCGTTCCGTAACAACCGGCGCTATCGTCGAGGCGGAACAGCTATCGGACCCTCACTTAGAGAGGCTCGAAGCAGAGCCGCAAGACGGTCCCATCGAATACAAGTTACACCTCTTGCTACGCCCTCGGAGGGTCTACAATAAAATGAGCACCACACTTAGAGTCTCGGGGTCTCAGCAGTCCAGACCACTACGAGAATCAAAGCATCCAAGACAAGGTAGTCTTCCTCTCGCCGCTTCAAATCAAACTAGGCAGAATCGCCTCCATCACTTAACTACTCAGCTACTTTGGAGATTGCAGCAGTCATCGCCCTATCATTCCAATGCGAGACGTGAACTTATACTACCGAGGTTACCTGAGGATATCGCCGATCTCGCAGCTCTGGAGAAACCCCAACAGCTTCTCCCAGGTCTAGAGGAGTCTAACGGAGCATTGTACGAAATAGGCGTGGCTGACGACGGGACATTCGTGGGGTTGACTAAAGATGAGATGGATGAGAGTATGACGACTCTAAAAGTCATGGCTGCTAGTCTAGGTTGCAGGGTCGAGGTTCAGCGTATGAAAGCTGTCGGGAACTGCGAATGGTTAGATAGCACCTCAGGATCGAGTGATCAGATTCACATCGCGGATCTTTGGGTGGCAGAAGCACTCGTCATGCCAGTAATGAATACCCAGAGTAATAGGGACGGTCAACAGAAAAGTCAACTGGACGTTACGGCTAGGAGAGGTGTCTCGGTTACCGAACAACTTCGGATTTCGCTCATTGGTCCGACAACTTCGGGTAAAACAACACTTCTGGGGACGCTCTCTAATGGTACATTAGATAATGGTCGAGGAAGTAGTCGAATCAACCTGTTGAGACATCGTCACGAAGTCGTATCCGGACGGACTAGCTCTATTGCCCAGGAACTTATCGGCTACGATGATCGGAAGATATTTAATTATAATGTCGACAATATCAACGAGTGGCCCGATATCCATGATCGTGCAGAGAGTGGTCGATTGGTCTTTTTGCTAGACTCTGCCGGACATCCTCGATACCAACGGACCACCCTCCGAGCTCTAGTTGGATGGGCTCCTCACTGGACCCTGCTGTGTATCCCTGCAAACGAAGACGGGAACCCCGCCTCTGGTGTTCACTCACTGTCTGGTGCAGATAGTGCTATAGGAGTTGGGATAGCATCAATGGATCTAGCCATGACGCATCTTGATTTATGTCTCAAACTAGCCATACCTCTTGCCATTCTTATAACCAAATCTGAGCTAGGGCAGCGTGCGCTACTAAAGGACAAGCTGAATATAGTATTCACCAAGGTCAAGGCTATGGGTAGGATGCCGAAGCTGCTTACCTCCACGGCACGCGATGAGGATAGCCTTACAGAGGTGTCCGAAAATGACATGCAGAAGGTCAAAGACGAAATAATTGATCCTATTGCCAAGTCTACTGACCCATTATCCATTGTTCCGATCATACTTACAAGCGCTGTCAAGGGTATAGGTATCGGATTGACGCATGCGTTATTAAGAAGCTTGCCGGTACCACCTTTACCAACGGCTCGAGACTTTGTCCCCCTTGCTTTGAATCCGGAGCAGCCAGCTGCTTTGTTTCATATTGACGAAGTTTTTGAAATGTCGTTGAGCCGTGCTCAAAGTACCGCATCGTCTACGTCGGGCGGGAGTGCGCCGGTAGTTACGGGATATCTACGATTTGGAAGGTTATCCATTGGCGATAGGGTTGTATTAGGTCCTTTCCCGGGGGAGGATGAAGATGCCGATGCTCTAGTGCCAAAAGACTACCCTTCACCTGGATATGGCCTATCGATTCCACATCCATCATCTGCAGAATTTGCCCGGCTCAGTTCTCGTCACACACTGTCTGCCTCTAAACTCGAGGGCGAATGGCGCCAAGCGACTATTGTAAATATCCGTGACCTGAGACTTCCGGTGCAAACAATCGAAGCAGGACAAGCAGGCTCTATCCAAGTAGTATTTAACGACCTTCCCGAGGAATCATCCGACATTAACACCACCCTTGAAACCCCAAGGATATCCAGTGCTCGGCTCCGCAAGGGACAGGTCCTAGCGGTGCCTAGTCAACACATGGTTGATACGGGTCTCTCACTCCAAGCTGCTTCTAGTTTGATAGCTTCTTTCAAAACATCGGATGTCAAGCTACTAACTGTCAATACTCTAGTGAACGCCTACGTGGGAATGGTACGTGCTGCTGTTCGTGTACTAGGTGTAAGGCGCCAAAAGTCCGATTTTAGTGCACAGAAAGTCGCGATGGAAGACAACGATGATGTGTTCAATATGAATGACCATATCGAACTTGAGCGTAGCAAGTCGGAAGCAGACCTAGACGAGTATCATGCGGAGTATCATGTCTCGTTAGAGTTCCTAAACAACAGAGAATGGATTGAACTAGGGTCCCAGATCGTTCTTGTAGAAGGATCATCTAAAGATAAGTTAGGGTTCGAGGGTTACGTCGGTCGGGTGATTGAAATTGGAGAATGAATAATAGACCTTATAGTAGTTCTCAAGGCCAACATTGGGATATCAAAACAGGGACGAGCGATAGCGACGTATTTAATATTATTTGAGATTATATCATTTAGTGCCTTAGGCTAATACATCACGAATGTTCATACGTAGTTGTATCGTACTACCAAACGCCAACCAATGCTCGCAGAAATATAACCGAACCATCCTAGTGCTGCTATGCTCTCACCAAACCGTAAAACAGCGTCCACGTCAATATGTATCCCGCAAGTCCGCCAAAGAGACCGCCCGTCCAGAATTCAAACTGAGTTCGGAAATATCTGCTCGTGTCGAAGAGGCCATGGCCTGCCTTTAGCGACGTAGGTGCGACGCGGATCGTGTAGAAGAGGACGGTAGTGAGGATGGTGAAGATGAAGTAGAATAGGAAACCATTGTAGGATTCAAGGCCGAGGATGCCGGCTGCGGCGCCGAAGATGGATGCAGTGAGGGTCTGGAGGTTGGATAGAGTCTGGGTGGGGGAGGGATTGTTAGTATTTTTGTTTAGCTAGGAGAGTTATGGGTTGCTGCGTTGAGATGCAAGCTGGATTATTGTGTGGATGGTTGGTAGACTGACCCTGGAGTTGTTGATGATGGACTCGGGCACAATGGGTGCGATTTGGAAATCTCGTTCGGTCGGCATGGCTGCGCTAGTTCTTAGTCTATCCTTGTCTTCCTGTTATTCCTTCTTGTCGCTCAAGTCCTGTCAAAGTTGGGCGTTCGTGATTTTGGTGTCGCAGTACGAAATACGTAATGTCGAAGTCGAAGATTTAGTGGAGACGCTGCCGGCGAATAGCATGAGGCTGCTAGCCCCGGGAAGGCGGTTCGTAGCGTCTCGCGGAATCTCGCAGGAGCATTATGTAAGCTGACTTACATGGCAGTAAATCTATTGAAGCCACCTTTAACCCATATTATTAAGGAATTATGAAGCTTCTATAGATTACAGCATTGGTAGGAAATTTCCAAATGCTTTTTCTAGCTAGGTAGTTATACTATTTTATGCTTGTTAATTCTATAGACTATATTCCGTGGTAAGTACTACTATCAACTATTCAAAGCCGTTTATAATCATATCTTGTTAAAGGTCGAGTAACCTAAGATACTTCCATGCGGAATGCAGATAAAAGAACCCTATTTCTAGAAGACTCTCAGTAGTGCGATTTGCTATGATAAACTTGGACCCATGGACAAATTCGAAACTCATTACGGGGTTTGCACGAGCGTCTAGTAAGTATATACTACAGATATGCGCTCGAGGCTGTGTAGAGCGGTAATTGAGATCCGCCTAATAAGATTTTGGGGATTCTCAGCCATTACGACAAGATCCCATGCGCAAGGTTACGTAAAAAGGACGTGAATTATCGTGGCCATACATATAAACTAGCTAGAAAAATAAGATACCGGAATTATAAAAACACTGCCTTCTAACGTTGTTGTACATAATTACCATTCTCATCGGAGGAACGAAAAGGATCGGGAAAGTCTACATATCGCATTGGTTGAATCAACAGGACTGTGGCGCTAGGCTTCGTCAACTTACATAGTAGGCGGAGCATGAGCAATCCTGCGGTGGGAAGCAAGCGAGAAGATGTCTTTTTAAAGGAGAATAGACTAAGACTATAATTGGGTGGCATCATTACTGGGTTACAAAAAGACAATTGTATTATTTGTTAATTTACATCATCTATTCGAAAGAAAGTTTATAGAAAATGATAACTTCGTCATGCATTTATATGTGTATACAAAAAGGACACGGCTCTCAGGCCTGTCCGAACAATAACAAAAAGTGGAAGTAAACCGCAAAAATACAATCAGTGACCCCAACCCGATTTGAACGGATAACCTTTCGATCTGGAGTCGAACGCGCTACCGTTGCGCCATGAGGCCGGATGATAAATTTTTTGCCAAAATATGATATATATCACCAACATTGGAGAGCTTAGCGAGACCATCCGAAAATCACCCTGGGGCTCCATAGTTTGTAGTGTAATTGGCTGCCTCTGAAAAAGATGGAATTGGTGCTCCTAAATTTACGCTTCCGTTAAATCATTGGTTCATACTGGACCGCAAACGTTTAGCTAAGGCTAACTGCAGGCGCTAGACATATGTAATGTACGTACGTACATCATATAATTCCGCTAGTTCTGCAGTTCTAGACGCTGCTCCTTCTATGACGAAACTGCACTGCACTGAACTGGATACTACGGATGTTGCTGGATACGGGGGGCTTCTATGGGGAAAGCTCAACCCCCTAGATGCCCTGGACGGCCTCTCGGACATTACTCACTGCGTATCCGTTTGGTACCCGCCTAGTATCCGCGTACTGCTAGGTATACATCTTAGCTACTTGCCTAATTAGATCATTATGCTACCTCTTTTAGGGATGTTAATCTAGAATGTTAATCTCATGTGTACATGCGAGTCAAATGAACAAAGCACTTGACAACCTCTTTTTCTATTAACCATTCCGTTCCTTTTTACCGTTTCTTTCACTGACATTGTTCCTTTGCAATCCCCTCATCTCTTACGTATTCCCTTAGATTCTACCTACCGTCTTTCTTTTTTTTAATTGAATCAAGTCTTACTATTTACAATACGACTAGGTGCATATTGAGTGAATCTCAGTCGTCTCGCGCCAGATGGACGCGATCCGTCGTGCGACACTTACAATTACATGGAGACTCACGTAGATGAGGGCACGCCTTTGAGCAACTACCTCGAGGGTATGTATGCCAATTCCGTGTTATACCTTGTTCCTTCAATTTCGTCGCTAGAGCAACCCTCCTTTGGCGGCCGAAATGCCCGGAGCTCCCACAGTCCTAATTATGGTTACAGGCACGGGGGAAAGAGAAGAACCTCAGTGGCAGGAATCCGACGACGAAAGGAACTATGATGCCTCACCATCGTCAAGCCCACCGCGAGAGTTCGCCCCGAGAGGGTTTGCCAAAGTTCGGAAGAGGTTTCGGGAGCATCTCCCTAGACCCCTGCGTATCGATTCCAATAATATCCCATCCCGTCTCAACTTAGACGACTTCCATAACCATGCCTCCCCTATATTCGATGTGTTACGGCTGTTAGTCGAAGCAGTAACTTCATCTATCGATCATGCTCGATCGATCGGTTTCCTTGAGCGGCTGCGCCTTGCAATCATACAGTCCCAACTTTTAGACAACCCCTTAGTATTAGGCTACCAAGCCTCGGAAGACCCTGCGCTATCGCAACCGGCTAGCGAACCAAACTTCCATGGGATTACAGTTTCCGGCGCCGTCGCCGCTATTGTGTTCGGCTTCGGTACGGCATTACTCGTCCGCTGGTTCTCGCTAGGAGGATTTATGCCAACATGGAGGGGGTCAATAGCTTTCGTTGTGGTAGTGTCTATAACGTCTCTAGTCGCAAGGGCATACGTACGAAGGCAGATTTTAAGAAATATTCAGAAGCAAGGATTATTAGAAGCCTCGACATTCTTCTCACTCTCCCGAGAGTATGACTGCGCAAATAGTGCAGGATTAAACTTCGTAATGGAAGTAGAATTAGTTGCCCGTGGATATCGACTGTAAGTCTATTTTGCACCTAAATGCTTAGCTTAACTGGCTAATCTATAAATAGGAGCACACCCATCCCCCCTATTAGTCGACTAGAGAATAATGGGCAAAACGTCAAGTGTCTTCAGCTTAGGAAAGCCCTCCGAAATAGCTTAACAGAAGTCATTTATAAATATTACCAAGTGGCCTTTACGATTTGGGCATTTGCGGAACAGACCGAACTGCTGCAGCTGCAATCCCAGTATCAGTTTACAGTTGCCGATGTGGTGGAAAGATTTCAGGTGTTTTCAAAAACCGACGCCCAGGACGCCGAGAAATTGCAACCTTTAAAAGATGCCGCATTCCTCTTCCACGATATTCGGAAAATGTTTCTAAGTGGTCTGCTTGCTCTTCATACCGTCGGCAACGACTCCGACCGACTTCGTTTTACGACTATATTAGAAGCATTCGAGGAACTAAATACGGTCACGAAGCAAGCTTATACGCGGGTGAGGGATATTCTGGCCGATAATGACTGTAAGTGAACTCTATGAATTTTCTTAACCGCTATTTTCTAATGGTGGAATTATAGTCCAAATTCCCAAAACTCCTCGGAGTCCTGAGACGCCTAGTCATGATCGATGGCGTCACCAAGTCCGCAGGTTAAATTCGATGACTATGAATATCCGCAGTGTGCAGGCTAAATTGCATCTTCTGCGTGAGGAGTCATCTAAGGCTTTGAACGAGGCTGATGATATTACCGATTTGGGGCCATTGTTCATGGCCCAGTACGAGTCAATTGGACAAGATCTACGGGATCTAATGGAAGCGTGGCAGACAGGAAAGGCTTCGCTAGCGTCTGGGATCGACAGAAATGAGAAACGCCTATCATCCATGGGCTCTACGCTTATGTCTCCCCTGAGTACGATGAGTGGACGGACCATAGCGGAAGAGGACGAAAATAGCCAGGACGAAGGCGTTGCCGACGCATACAAGAAGCTTACTGGTGGGTCTTCGCCACCATCAGAGCCGGAGCCGGAAGTATTTGAGGCTATCTCGATTCCTCGCCCAAAAAGTTTATTCACGCGGGAAGAGAGGATTATCAAGATGAGAGAGGACCGCAAATCTAAAGAAATTTCCAAGGCGAAGGCCGAAGCCCAAAGAGGCATGATGCGAGAGCTGCAAGGAGTATTAGAAAGGCAAACCGGACGTGGTCGAGTCTCTCTTTGAAAAATTTCGTTAATACTGTATCATTTCGACTAACAGCCCCAGCTGGGCCCAAGGCGCGGGTAACGATTAGATTATGAACTGGGTCATCGGTTGTAATATGGCGCATTTGGGATAGAGAGCGATCCGATTCGAAGTTGACTTCGTCCATGGCGTTTGCTTTAGTTGGTTTTGGGGGGGATTTACTGCATAAGAGAGCTGGTCATCCATACGATCTTTGCCTATAATGTCTTTTCTATGTTGCGAGTACATACACAAAAATCAGCCGCCTTAACTAGGCGTATACATAAAGTACATACATAATAAAACCTCAGTTGAGAAGACACGATGAAAACTATTTCGTACGACTACGTACGACAAGAGTGATAATTATCAGGGGTACATATAAAAAAAAAATTTAAAAGCTATGTCTCCTTAAAATGTACGGTGTACATCACAATGAGAGCTATGGCTGGCCCCATAAAGATGCCCTGTTCAATTGATTGGTTGATTGAATTCGTAGGTACATTGTATAAGTACCATCCATACCGCTGTTACCTGTATCAATGTGGGGCATTCGCGCGTCTGCCTTCAATTAAAGACGCGTTCAACCACTCAACGCGTCTCCGTTCCCCAGCTTATCCCACTAATTTCTAGAATTATATTTCTTGCCAAATATTCTTCAGCATAACCAAATTTAGGGTACCTTCTCGACAACAACCTCAGTTACGAACAATTCTTACGATAGTAATCACATACCGAGTCTTCCTTTTACCGATCTATATTCGTCACTTCCAGACACCCAACTTTATTAACACCCTATTTTATTATATTCTGTCTAAAATTAATCACCATGTTAGAGGCACGACTCGAGCAGGCCCAGATCCTGAAAAAGGTCTGTCTACCCAATTGTGTAGCTTTCCGCTATCAATCAAGCTGACAGATTATAGGTGGTTGATTCTATCAAGGATCTGGTGCAGGATTGTAACTTCGACTGCAATGACTCGGGTATCGCGCTGCAGGCCATGGACAACTCTCACGTCGCCCTTGTGTCGATGATGCTGAAGGCCGAAGGTTTCTCTCCTTACCGCTGCGACCGCAATATTGCCCTCGGTGTAAATCTCGTCTCCCTCACGAAAGTTCTACGTGCAGCACAGAACGAAGATATCCTCACATTAAAGGCTGAAGATGCGCCTGATTCCCTTAATCTCGTCTTCGAGAGCAGCGAGAACGACCGTATCAGCGAATACGACTTGAAGCTCATGGATATCGACCAGGAGCACTTGGGTATTCCCGAAACGGAGTATGCTGCGACTATCTCTATGCCCTCGTCTGAGTTCAGACGTATCTGCACGGATTTGATGGCTATGTCTGAATCTGGTAAGTGGCAGTTATGCTCTTCTCTCGATTAGAGTTACGTATTATAAAGAGAGTATAGCTAACACGTATAAGTGACGATCGATGCTACCAAGGACGGAGTCAAATTCTCCTGCAACGGTGATATCGGTAACGGTGCCGTTACGCTTCGAAGCCACCAGAACGTCGACAAGCCCGAACTCAACATCGATATTGAGCTCACCGAGCCGGTCGGCCTTACCTTCTCCCTCAAGTACCTAGTCAACTTCTGCAAAGCCCAAGCTCTATCCAGCACCGTCAAGATCTGCTTATCCAACGAGGTACCTCTTCTAGTGGAGTATGGATTGGCCGGCAGCAGTTACTTGAGGTTCTACCTCGCTCCCAAGGTATGTCACACTGCGACCCTTGATGCTATATCTGACGCATTACTAATGATGAACTTATAGATTGGTGACGAAGAGTAAGAAATTAAGCAAGACAGAAGCTAATGAGAATCACGAATATACCACGTCGATATTTAGAGGTGGTAGACTACCACGGGACTTGCGATGGAACTTCTCGTGGTCTACGAAATGGATACGAATGAATACCGCATGCAAAATGTCAATTGCATTATTAGTATAGGGCTTCTTGGACGGCATTGGCTTTAGATGCAGTATCAATCCATGGCTTGCGAGGCGATTAAAGGACGAGATAGGCAGATTAATGGGTTTTATAACCCTAATATAAATTCATTTTCTTACCCAACATGAAGCTACTATGTACATGGAAGTTATATAGCTCATATAGCTCGTGCTAGTATTTTGAAGTTACGATACTGAAATAGATTAGATGTACCTAACGTACACCATATCTGCAGGGAGCAACTCAAAGAAGTTTAGTGCGGGGCTATATCCGTCATGGCGGGGCACTTCGACAATCTTAGACTCAGCTTTTCAATGGTCACTTATCGGAAGAGAGTCATGCGCCTTATTGTCTTCGGCACTCGGCGGAGGTTATATTATCATCACGGCTTCCGTCTGGATCCTCCGCTCTTTCTCTGATGCTTACTTCTTTAAACGGCTTCGTGGAACATAACAAAATACTTGACTTTCTCTAATTCACTTATACACTCATACACTTACACAATTCACATCGTCACCTTCCTACCAACCGTCCGCATGAGTGCCGAACCACCGTTCGTCCCAGAGACGAGCGTCTTAGCCGTCGCCAGCCATGTAGGGAAAAGCCAATGCTTCTAGCAGTCAGTTTCCTATTTTCTAGTAGCTAATATCCCTCTTTGAAGGTTGTCTCAGGGTGAGAGTTTTAGATTTATACTACCAAGGTCGTCGACGACCCTTCCGTTAACACCAGATTTCCGTGGATAGGAACGTTGGCAATAAGATCGCCGTCTTTGCGCTACAGTCTATGGGCTGCGATGTCTCTGCTATGAATACCGTGCAGTTCAGTACGTACATACTTGTTAATCAGTATCTCAGAGCCGGGTATACCACGTTCTAACATGAGTATCAAACACAAAGGCAACCACACGGGTTACAAGCAATGGAAAGGCACGCGTGTGTCAGCGCAGGAGATCACAGATCTATGGGAAGGTCTCAAGCAGTCATATCTCGATAACTTCGACATGATGCTTTCGGGGTACGTTCCCGGGGCAGCCGCCGTCGAGGCAGTCGGAAACATCGGAAAGGAACTCAAGCACAAATCGAAGGCTCAGAAACCAGGAAGCTTCTTCTGGGTGCTAGATCCGGTCATGGGTGACAATGGCCGCCTATATGTCGCAGAGGATGTAGTGCCTGCGTATAAGAACCTGATACAATATGCCGACCTTATCTTACCCAATCAGTTCGAAGCTGAGTAAGTCCATTGCTTTCATATGTACATTCCTTTCCTAGGTAGACAGATGAAGATCTCGGTAAATTCTGGTCTAGGAAGTGGCAGTTAAGGAAAGAGTGGGAGTATGTTAGCTAACGAGCCTCCTTTTCGGTAGACTCCTTTCTGGCGTAAAGATTACCGATTTTGCCTCTCTTGAGAATGCGATTCGAGTTCTACACCAAGACTTCGGCGTCCCTCACATCGTTATCACATCCGTGTCCTTACCGTCCGCAAACTCATCTCCTTCTACGGAGACAACCCGCACCATGTCAGTCGTGGGTTCGACCATGACTTCGGACCGACAGCCCCGGCTCTTCAGGATCACGTTTCCAGTGTTTGAGTGCTACTTCAGCGGAACAGGAGACATGTTCGCGGCACTGATGGTAGCCCGCATGCGCGAGGCGGTAACCAACTACGACAAGCAGAGCAATGGGGATGGAAACGGTCCCCTAGTGGAAAAGCTCTCGTGGCTTAGTCCCGACGACGCTGATGCTCAGGACCTACCGCTCGCGAGGGCAGCAGAGAAGGTCCTGGCTAGTATGCACGAGGTTTTAGATCGTACATGTGCGAGCTTAACAGCAGAGATGGCAGAGAAGCAGAAAGACAAAAATCTAGACGAGAAGGCACTACATCTTATAAAGTCGAGGGCTTCGGAGCTGAAACTCGCGAGAAATCTGGGGAGTCTACGTAATCCGAAGGTGGAATACCGCGCGGAAAAGGTGTAAATAAACTTGGATGCTGTATTGAGAAAAGGGACCAGGCTAGATTTGTGACATATGGGCATTAGGCTACCTATACCACATTATAGAATAGAAATGTGACTAGATATCACTAGAAGTAGGATTGAGTATGGTTGTGCTGTATAAGATCCTTTATCTGGTTTGAAAAGGCAGCTCTTAGAATGTTTGTAGAATTTATATTCATTTCCTTCATATCTCATCTTCTATACATGGATGAGCTAGAATCCCTTTCCCCTTGAAAAGAGTCTACCTTAGGTACATATATATGCTCCATCTACTTGGCTGGCTAATCAGTTGACCAACGAACCTGACCAGATTACCGGTAGTCGTCTACCAGTGCCGTCTAAGTTTTCATAAACCCATCGTATATCATACCAGACACTCCATATTCCAAGCCTAAGCGACAACCCCCCCTAATTCGTCCCCGTGCTTCCAAACCCGCCCGCCCCACGCACGCTCTCCTCCAGCTCCTGCACCTCGAGCACTTCGGGCGTATAAATCCTCTCCACGACGAGCTGGGCGACCCGGTCCCCCTCGGCGACGGCGAAATCCGCATCCGAGTGGTTGAATAGTAGAACCTTGACCTGGCCCCGGTAGTCGGCGTCGATGACGCCGGCGCCCGTGTCGATGAAATGCTTGGCTGCTAGGCCGGACCGCGGGGCTATGCGGCCGTAGGTGCCGGCGGGCACGGCGATGGCTATGTCGGTGTCGACTAGGGCTTTGCCGCGAGAGGGGATGGTCGTCGGGTGTGCGGCGTACAGGTCATAGCCGGCGGAGAAGGGACTCCCGCGCGTGGGCAGTTTGGCGGCGGGGGAGAGTTTTTTGATTAGGAGGGGGGGAGATTGGTCGAGGTTGGGGACGGGGATGGGGGGTTGGGGTGTGGTGGTGGTGGTGTTGTCGGAGGAAGACATTGCTTCAGTAGTGTTGTCAGTGTTGCTAGTAGTTGTAGTTGAGGGAGTGGTCTTGACTCTTTTTGCGGGTGGTGAGGTTGGTGGTGATGTTACAGATGCAGTAGTGGTCATAGTCTTGGGACTTAAATCAAGTAAATAGTCTAGAAGGGGAAGTCTATACAATGTTTGTTTGAACTGTGCAAGTAATTTGGCAATTGGGTTTGTGGGAATCGGGTTGTAGCAGTTGCGGTGAAGAAAGATTTACACTGCAGCGGAAAGTGGGATATACTTCTATACCATACATTAGGTACATAGCGTTGGGACGCGGGTGCGGCGACGCGTTGAGGGGCGTTTAGGGAAGAAGGTTGATGCTAATTGGCCAATGGCTAGACGGCGTACGGAATACTGTATTGGATGCCAAGAATTGCATATATGCACCCTACGCTAGGTACCTAAAAGGAGGTACCTAATCTACCTCGTAGATGTTGTCAACCGTGATATATCATTCCGCCATCTTGGAATCGTAGATACATCACAAATGAGAAAACGCGAAGGTGCATTGTTCTAAAACTGTCTTCGATGTTCGTGTACATAGAATAATGGTACTTAGGAGGTAGTCCTTAAAACGCCACGTAAATTGATCTTAGGTCGCTCTTTTTTGAACCGAGTAATTGAACTCAAACCCCCCTGATCTTTAGATATTGACCCTAATTGTAGAAAACACATATCCTAGTCTGGTTTGATAGCTACATGTATATACCAGTCTATGCGGTGTTTTGCACTTGTATGTACGTGAGTAAATCATGAAACCGGAGGCGAAAGCTTGAGCACGTTTTATTCATCCAAGTCTTTACCAAAGTCGATTAGCCGGAGCTTCGTAGAGTCTCTAGGGTGAAACTGCGCAACTTTAGACCTGACTAGGAACCTTGCAGCTGCCGTCTCCCTAGGGAGCTGGACATAGGCAGCTGAACTATCGCCGTCAGATTGTGCTAAGGCGTTGAGTAGTTCCTCTGTTAAAGTGCGCATCTCCTCACCCGCGGCCGCAGCTTCATCCCGGCTGCCCGCCTTAGCTCTCTCTGTTGGCTCCCCATCCTCTCGTATACCCCATATCTCGTCGATGCGTCTCTGTCGTTTGTCCTCATCTGGATTCTCCTTTGCCTTTTTCAGTTTGCCCTGAGAGCTAAATCCTGCAGCAAGATCAGACCCATCGATATCCATGATATCGCCAACAACAGGGCCTCCAAGCTCTTCAGCGGCAAGCATTCCCGCAAGATGCTCGTCGATAAACTTTCTCAGCGCTTTGAGAAGCCTGGAGGTTTCCTTGTCGTAGTACTTTTTCTTTTGCTTCAGTTCGTTTATCCGTTCTGCAGCTATGTCCTCCGGTCCCATCTCCATTCGGCTTTCCAAGCCATCTCGCAATGATTGTATGCGATTGCGCAAACTTTGCGAAAGGGCTTTCTGATCTTCGAGGTTAGACTTCTCTACCTCGAGTCGTCGCTTGGTCTTCTCAACCGAGTCTTTATGAGAGGCTAAATAGGCCTTTGTCTCCTCCACAGTCTGGTGGGTTTTGCGGAGTGCTAGAAGAGCGGGCAATAAAGATTCCGGAAACGGAAGGAATGGTGTTTGCGATGCCAGCTCATCATAAGCTAGTTTCATGATATCCAACGACGCTGTTGGGGGATAAGACTGGCTTGTGCCATGCGCACTTGGAGTAGCGCGCAGCTCGTTTAGCGCGACTTCATGCTCCCTGACTCTCTCCTGAAGCTCCCGTACCGTAGCTTGGAGATGGGAGGTGTGAAACAAATCCAAGTCGTCGCTAAGACGCGCTCCGCTATCCATTTCTTCGTCGTAATATCTAATGATTTAGGATTTAGGATGCCAAGACAAACCCTCTAATAAATCGGAAAACGATACTTGCAGCAGGATAAAATGCGGTTGATGTCTTGCAGCTTGCAGTTCGTAATAGACGTGTGTATGTATATTTCCATATTGCAGAAAATATGCAGCTAGTACCTCGTAGTGTCTAGCAAAGACTGGAGCATGGGTTCAAGGGGATGCCAAGAAATGCAACGCAGGTCAAGTGCCGATGGATCTGCGGCACAAACAATCCTGAAGCAGCTCTTATTGATTAACCCTACGGAATAATTCTAACGAATACCTAATGTATACGCGTAACCTAGTATATTAGTATAGTATCTTAGACCAAGCTTCTTAAAGTAGGTAGTAATAACTATACAATTAATATTAATTCGTTCTTTTATATAATTGTTAGGTTTAAACTTCCGAGATGATAGTACCTAGATAAAATAAAATAAAACTACACACTGAAAGAAATTAACACTTCCTGGTGTACACCGTGTGTTGTACGACATAACATACGTACATACATATGTGTGTACAGTAGCAGAACGAGATAGCCGGAATGAGACTGGAAGAGCATACGAATATACTTTATTAATGTACAAGAAAATTGGCCAACAAACACGATAATAAAAAGTACACTATATACATGTATACATAGAGGTATAGACGAGGCTGGCGAACACCATATTAGGTAAGGAGACTCACCGTAATAGCATAGCAGAGTGCAAAACAGGAGCTGAATTCGAAAACGCACAGTGGCACTAGATGGCACTAGAGCCAATTAGGTGGGAATCCATGACGCTTGGACGTTACCTCCCTAAGATTTTGTGTGGAGGAGCCCCATTAGTTACCTAGGTACATAGGTATGTACATAAGGTAAGTACCTTTTTGCAAAAGCAGCAAAAGCAACCGTGCCCACTGTAAGTTAGATCTTTCTTGCATTCGAGTAAGACAACCTTTATGTAGACAACCTCCAACCTACAACACGCATCTCGCCTCCTTCAATTCAATCTTTATCCTCTCTCCCCCCCCCTTTCCGTCCTTCTTCACAAGTCGTATCACCCCTTATCGCCTGCGTTGCGAACTTAGCACTGCACCAATTTTTTTCTGCCCCTTCCCCCCCCCTTCTATTACTATATTTTACGTTTAATTCCCCAATCGTCCCGCCTTCTTCCCCCTTGTTGAGGCTTGTTGAGGTAGTTTCGCAATCAAGTTTCTCTTAAAAAGAGACAACGGGGTTCTGTCGCTTATAAAAGCCTCCTTTACTGCACCTATCCGCAGTAAAAAGTGATTTTTATAATCGCTTTGGCGCATCTTAGTTCGCCTCGAGACGCCAAACGCGACGCGGGTCGACCTGTCCTCCACCGCCCTATCAAAGGTATTACCTGCTGGAGAGGCAGTTTCTTCTTAGAAAAGGTTCAGGCATAAGAAAGCATAAGAAAAGGAAATCGGCATCGAGATATCTGCCTAAGGTGTTTCCTATTTGACGGAGTAAAAGGTTTGAGAACTGACTACGTCTCTCTGATCCTGCCACTTCTTTCCAATCCACCACTCCTACTTCGTCTACTTCGTCCGTCCTTCCATACTCTACCGCCGACTTGATCACCACATACTCGTCTTGGTCAAGCTAGCAATCCTCTACCTCCATCAAATCGCCCTCAGCTACCGTCAGGTCATCACCATTCTCGTCCTACCAATATTCCGCCTTGCAACACGAGCGTCCAGGTCCCAGCCGGATCTTTCATATCACTCTTCTCGTTGTCCCTGTCGTCACCTAACCTGACGACTCCGATCTCGTTCCATCATCGACCCTACCTTTCAAGTCCGACCTGACCTCTAGATCCCGCATACAAACATTCATCAACTTGAGGGTACTTGAGCCATATCACGTTCCGAACCACTACACCTGCACGTTTTCCTTCGAAAACCCTCAAGGTGTAGATAAAAAAAGAACGATAATTCAATATCAATTCGACCGTCTAAACGGCCTACCGTAGCGTCCGCTCAAGAGTGAACAAGTTCATAGAACAATATGTCTGCCTCGCCTTCTCACCCTACTAATCCGGCTAAACGCCCTCTAGAGGATGCTTCCTCTCCTTCCCGGGGCATTGATCAACCCGAAGCCAAACGGCCTGCCCTTGACAAAGTTATCAACAATGGAGATAATGACAAGGATATTGAGCTTCCTGAGAGCAATGGTGATGGCGTCTCGGTACCTACTGCAACTAATGGCACAGCCAAGCCCGAGGATACCAATCAGGACAAGGCTGAGATCAAAGACGACCAAGGCGATACTGTCGTACCTGATGTTGAGGAAGCCAAGTCTGCCGTAGACGCCGCAGTTTCTGGCCCTACAGGCGTGTCCGGTGCCGCCGCGACCAACACTCACGATGAGACTACATGGATTCATATCCGTGCTGTCATCTCCAGCCCTGAAGCCGCTACCATTATTGGTAAAGGTGGCGAAAACGTTTCTAATATCCGGAAGCTATCTAGTGCCAAGTGTACCGTCAGTGATTACCAGAAGGGCGCTGTAGAACGAATACTTACTGTTAGCGGAGCTGTTGAGGCTGTGGCCAAGGTATTTAACCAACCGCTAATCTTATAACATGTCTAGACCCCAGCTAACATCACCTTTAGGCGTTCGGTTTGATTATCCGAACCTTAAATAACGAGCCTCTAACGGAGAAATCCAACGCTCAGTCCAAGACATATCCTCTTCGACTGCTTATACCTCATGTACTTATTGGGTCCATTATCGGGAAGGGCGGTGCCCGCATTCGTGAGATCCAAGATGCTTCAGGAGCGCGGCTCAATGCCTCTGACTCGTGCCTACCGCTATCTAGCGAGCGTTCCCTCGTAGTCATGGGCGTAGCTGACGCTGTTCATATTGCTACTTATTATGTAGGAAGCACGCTCCTCCAGCAACTTAACGAACGCTTCGGCGGCCCCGCCGCGTCGGCCTATGCCACCCGGAGTGGTGGTCCCACCGGCGTCGTGCCCGGAGGAATGCAAGTGGTTCCGTACTGCCCTCAACCCGCTGGCGGCAACTTTGGTCATCGCGAAAACTACGGTCGACGACCCGATCCTCGAGCCCATCACATGCCGCCGGCGCCGTATACGCAACCCTACCACCCGCATGCGGCCACGCCGCAACCTAACCCGAGTGTGCCGATGCACTACGCACCCCAGGCAGCCGGATATGGTGCCGCACCGCACATGCCGCCTCACCACGCCCCTCATGTGGGTGGCCCCCATCCTCACGGCGGTCCTCCAGCTCAGCCAATGCACGGTGCTGCTATCGCAGGAGCGCCAATGACTCAACAGATCTACATTCCCAACGATATGGTTGGTGCCATCATTGGTAAGGGTGGTCAAAAAATCAATGAGATTCGAACAATTAGCGGCAGCGTGATTAAGATCAACGAGCCGCAAGATAATAGTAATGAGCGGCTAGTAACAATCACGGGAACCGAAGAATGTAACAGGATGGCACTATACATGCTCTATTCTCGACTGGGTGAGACACCTAAAGCACCACGCGGCCGCGCGTAACAACCGTCAACAGCACTAATCATAACCATGGCGAGCAGAGAGCGAAAAGCACCGTATCTAACGAATAAAATTATCCCGCCGGCTCTCAGCATCGTTTTCGAGTTTTTCTTGTCGCGGGGGGCATTTTGTGTTTCAGCACATCGCATTCATTGTTATCTAGTTCAGAATCTCTTTGATGCATCGCCCCGGGGAGGAGGAGGGTCACAGGAGAAGGTGGCGTACATGGCTGGGTTGCTGGTAGCTTCATGTGGTTTTTAGGTAGTTGGGCAATCAGATCTTGGTCTTAAAAGCGGTAGTTCCGCTTGATAGCGGCAGGCAAACGGACGTTGGCGAGACGATAAGCTGTTTCGTCTCATACGATCTCTGCGCCTTTACTGGCAGATAACAAATACATGTTCTTCGAATGGCTATCCAGTCGTCCTAATTCTCATGTGCCTTGTTACCCCTTAATACCGTTGTCATCGTGAGTCCATGAGTTCTATATGAACGGCGTGGTGGTAGTATATGTTAACCTGGTTACGTTTAGTAGAAAGTGTACCAGTTCCATATCCGTCTTTGCAAATGATTACTACCAGTCTTATTATTATTGTATGAAGACGCCTTGTTGTTTAGAGGTTTGGTCACGCATAAGATTGAATACGCATAGACATAGACAAGTAAGTGCTGGCTAGCTAACCAGTAAGGAAAACGTCAAAACGATATGACGATTAGTACTTTCGGTGTATTATAGTCTGCTCATCTCAACTTGTCCTTCATGTAAAACTTGTCTAACATATCACATATCACATGCTCATGATCCAGTTCGGAATTCGGAAAATTTCATTGATGATCGTAACAGGTTATTATCTGCTAATCATAGCACCTATGAGACTTCTTAGATAAGATGCTATAGCCACACCAACAACACAAAAAACATCGCAAAGGCTTTCGAGGAGAAGTAATCCTAGGAGTTGGTTTGTCTAGACTGACGGGTAAGCTGTTTGGTTACTGGGAATTAACTCACTCGTACGGATTGGTAGATAATGAATAACTTTGCAGCTGGATATGTCATGTATCCCTTTCCTTAGAATACCTGCAAGATGATAAGTAGGTCAAACCCGCCTGTCTTTATAACTCGCCACCTAATCCTGGAATAAATTGCGGCCGTAGTTAGCCGTTCTTTACGAATCCCCAACCGCCATCGCGTGGATGGACTGTTATTGGGTTCTCACGCGCACACGCGAACGATTTGTCATGTAGCTTTCCCTTTCTTAACCTAAAATCAACTTGTAAATCTACTCATTGATAAATCCTCGTCCCCTAAAAGCGACTACACTAAGTATATGTATATTGGCCTAGTTAGCATAAAAAGTTACCATTAGACACTCATTGGGTTAGCTGCTACGTGAACGAGTAATAGGATCTTAAGATATATCAATCCAAGACCTGTTACTTACGCCTTGTACGTTATATACCTCCAGTAGGTCTAGCAGAAATGAATACCTACCTACCCTATCTTAGGTACCTAGTTAGGATAAACTTCTTATGAAGCTGAGGCCGAGGATAGGTTTACAAGGACTGGATGCTATACAGTACCGGTCTACCCAAGGAACTTAATCGATGCTTGATAAAGTAGTATGCACCGTTCGTACGTAAGTTTATATAATGCGAATTGTGGCACGTTATGTTAATTGTGATGGGTATGGATGAACCGATATCGAGTACCTAGGTCGGTTTCGAATAGAGATGATGCTTTCTTTTATAAGGGAGAGGAAATAGTGTATCGGCGTCCTGCTGGGTTGTGGCTTAGAAAAAGACATACACTACCGTTACTGCTGTCTGTACCTTGTAGCACCCAACCAGCTTAGAGAGTGGTTGGAGGGGTTTTATGCCGTAAGCAAACATGTAGTTAGCGTAGAAAGGAGTATATATAGTATAATTGAAATGATCATATAGAAACATGCTACTCTCCCCCTTCTGGAGATATTACACGAGGTGTAAGAGGGGGTAGTCGGGGATAAACTCTGTGATACATGACATATCTCTCGCCTTGTATTTATTGTTACATACTCGAAGTAACAATATAAGACGTGATATACCTAACAAAGACTTTCTCAGGTATGTAAGTAAGACGAACTCGCATAGGTATTTTTCTAGTAAACCAACATCCTATACTATCTACAGGTGCTAATTGGGCAACGCATCACACGTCAGTAAGACTGGCAATACTACAAGGCAAAGAACGATAAATCTTCGCACATTACTTAGATAGGTAGTTTACATGATTCTTCCTCGGGACGCACGAGCCTTCATCGTCGGACATTATATACAGAAAATTTTAAAACCTCCCTCCCTTACATCTCGGTTCTCCTCAGCCCTACGCCACCACACATGGAAAGTGTACATACGTTCTAGACTCCCATGCATCTCGCTAACCGCCTTGTTCCCCTAAACAGCCAGCCAGCCAGCCAACAGTAGAAGGCGGTCAGCGCTAGAAGACATTTGCATTTGTGCGGCTGGCAGGGGGCGCGCAGCGAAGGATTTTTCTGGCTTGCTGAGTGAAATTGAATTGGATTGAATGTAGGACCATGCGATCAATCAAATATTGTTCGCTTACATGGTATTTTAGCCCAGTTTAGCAGCCGTCTTAAGCGGTGTCGCACGCGGACAGGCAAACCTATTTAAATCATACTATTATTTATTCGTCTCACGTTGTACTTTTACAGGTTTGTTTTACGATTGTGTATCGATAGGTAGTATTAAATATTAGTCTACCTAGAGTATACCTATATATATATATGTGTGTACTTGTGGAAAGCTGACAGCAACCAACAAACAAACCCCAAATTGAGATGTCATTCCCGACATCTCCATTATATCAGAGTGGAGTTGGATTCGATGACGTGAACGGCAATGTCACGCAGGTATTAGGTACCCAATTTACGAAATTTGCAGTGCGTATGGACCTAATAGTGTATAAGCAATGGGTCCTATGTGATGCAAAGTCATCAACTAATTTAGTATACTATGTATAGGTATGTATATGGGTCGAGCCAAGAAAGCCTCACGCAGCCTTACGATGTTACGATAAATGAATGAATGAATGATCTTCTGTCGAGTCGTGTAGAGAAATTAAATGGAAAAAAAGAGGCTGTTAAGCTACCAAGGGCCACAATGTAACAAGAAGAATACGGCGTGTAACGTAGACTGTTAAAAGCCGAAGTTGCTTCGGCCCCTTTTCCCTTTTCCCTTTTACATAGTAACAAGTTAGCCGATCTCCCGTTAAAGCATAGAAGACCTAGTCGGACGATTCGCCGAAAGTCCTAAGCTGGTTGGGTAATTAATTATAATAGTACATATGCAGTATGCGGTATGGGTAGAACCTTTTATTAGGTAGAATTATTATTTTATTATTATGGTATTATGGTACAATGCATACAAGGTATTACCTAATAGCCGCTATACCAGCCTAAGGCTTCAAAGCCGTGCTGCATTGTGCCTGGCCCTACCTACCTAACCTAAGCTACTGCAGGAAGTCGCCTTCCTAGATGAGCCGACGGGCGCCAGGAATAATTGCCTACGGTCCGCGCAATCCTTTTTGTTAATTTATTAAATAAGTTTGTTTCAAGCGCCAAGTTTATGTGTTAGTGAAATTGAGTCTTTAAAGTTGTCTACGTACGTTAGGTACATACTAAGGTATATACTAATCTATACTTAGAAAAGTTAAGCAATTATTTAAATCTTAACTCAGCCTTAGACTTCGAAGTAATAGTAGTATCGAATGCATGCGCATAGCAAATGGTCATAACCAGCGCTGCATCGTGACTGCGTGACCGCGCCTCGCTCCAATTACTCGATCCAAGTTATTTACGGGTTATTAAAATGGGCGATGCTACCACCAAACAGCCCAGATCCCAGGGGTTCGAAAAGCAGGCTTTTTGCATGCCCCTTTCGCTAATTCGTTAGGGTCTTCCTTCGCGAGGGTCTTGTAATTTACCCTTTCAAGAACCCATGTAACACATTGACCAGTCAAATCGACGCGAGTTGGACGAGATGGACTTTACATAGGGGCAGGTGGGCTGCCTTAAAGTGGAGAAGAAGTTCAGGTGAAGTCCAGTAAAGAAATCTTGGCAGACGGATATCCATGTAGTTTTAGGCAGCTGGAATGTATCTTTGCTTGTTTATTTTGCCTGTAAGATACCTGTCGCGTCATTAGTGAGACACGAAGAGATCTAGCCCACGAACATGGCACGCCCCCGTCTACTAGGGGATCGCCTAGGGGACATACCATGCATGACTGGACTGACTGCCAGGTCTGTCAGGCACATTTGCTGATTTACTGTGGTATGGGGTTAGAAGACCTCATTTTTACTGGTTCTAAGTGGTTCGGTGGAGAGGATTTAACCAAGTTAGAAGCAGGGTATCGCGCTGCGAGCTGTGCCTCTCTCAGTTGTCCCCAGTTGCCCCCAGTTGTACCTGGACGATCCCTGGTCAGTCCCTCTTAGTCAACTGAATATCGTCCACCATTTTATCTCACGCCCTCCTGCCCTTTTTCTTCTTTTCTTCTTCCTACATCCAGCCGCAAACTTCCAAGTCGTCTTCAGACTCCCACACTCATTTTTAATATTCGCAGCTCAGCCTAGCTCGCGTCAGCCCAACGGCAACTTTCACTCTTTTATCAACCTGCTCCCTTCTCGGTACTCGTGGTTTTTAGTAATTCCAACTCTCTTCACCAATATAATCAAGATGCGTTCTACTACTTTCGCCTCTGCCTTGGCCTTTGCCGCCTCGGCCTTCGCCCAGACTCCTGGTTACGCCGTTCTCACCTCTCCTGCTGAGGGTCAACAGGTCGCCTCTGGCAAGACCTTCACCATCAAGTGGGAGGCCGGTCAGTACACTGGCCCTGCTACCATCACCCTTCTCGGTGGTGAGACTCCTACCACTCTCACTCCTGGCCCCGTCCTCGCAAGTAAGTAAACAACGCTGGTATTGAAATTGGTAATTAGTATTGACAAGCAATTTAGCTGTTGACGTTTCCGAGGGTACCTTCTCCTGGACTGTTGACTGTGCGCTTGGCACCGACAAGACCTACGGTATCAAGATCGCCTCCGTCGCCAACTCTGCGACTTTCCAGTACAGCTTCCCATTCGCCATCGCTGGCCCATCGTGCAACACTGTCGAGAGCAGCAGCAGCTCGGTCGCTTCTAGCAGCTCTGCTGGTGGCTACCCCACCGAGGGCTACCCTACTCAGGCTTACCCTACCTTGACCAGCAGCTCCGTCATCAGCTCTGCCAGCAGCTCTGCTCCCCCCTCTTACCCTACTGCTACCGTTTCCAGCAGCAGCAGCAGCAGCGTCGTCGTTAGCAACACCACCAGCGCTAGCAGCACCAAGGTCCCGACCTACCCTACCGTGATCCCCTCCGGTAACCTGTCCACCACTGCTCAGGTTCCCACCTACGTCCCCACGACCATCATCACCAGCTCCAGCTACGCTGTTGTGACCCCTGCCCCTAGTGCCAGCGCCACCACCTCAGCTCCCGTCACCATCCCCACTGCTGGTGCTAGCAACGTTGCTGCTGGCTCGCTGGCTTTGGTCGGTGGTCTTGCCTTCGCCCTCTTCGGCATGTAAGGCGGAATCGCATCTGTTTTCCGTTCGCGATGACGTTTTTAATAAATTTGGTTGTTTTGCCGGCGAGAGCAAGGGATTGGAACTAATGAACTAATTGACTACATACCGAGATACCTTTCTGAGTGGCATCGGCTGTTAATGTGGGCATGTTGGATGCGATGGATATCGTAATACTACCAAATATGTCTATAGACAGTCTGCTATATCTGAATATACCCATAAAAACTCATTGCTTTTGTTCCTGTGCGCACGTGATGTCGAGTTAAGAATTGCCTGTTTTGATATCAAACATGCATTAATTCGAACAATATGTAGTTGATACCCGATTATGGATTGTGACTAAATTATTGAAGTTGAGATAAATAGCATCGACGTTGTCTAAAGTTCAAGTTTAAGTTTCGAACCAAGTCCATAAGTTTTTACCTAATCCTGCCCGTCGATGTCATATCCACGTGGTGCGGCGCCCTGTGTAACAACATTACAACCGATTAAGGTTATCGCACTGCATCTACAACCCGGAGTGCGTTGCGCCCAATCGCCGTCCCTACAGCGCATCTCCCGAATCGGGAAGCCGACAACGACGATCGTGAATGTTACATTTCACAACCGAGTTGAGATGTGATATCTCCTCGGATATCTCCATTCCCCATCTCGCTTGCTTTTGCCACATACATAGTAGGTACATATGAGATGAGATGAATGGATGGATGGATGGATGAGTTGAGACGGCTCGGCGGGGGGGAGCGGCTTCGTTTGCTTGTTTCTGCTTTATTGGCGCGGATACGGGGGATGGGCGCATCCCACGGTCGTCGGCTTTTAATAGCCTACTACTTCTTAGGGAACTTAACTGCCGTACCGGTATTTTGAAACGGGTGTTTGGCATGGAGTCTACAATAGCCTACCTTTAACCTAATTTTTTTTTTTATCTTGAAACTCTGACTGCTGACTTCTGACTTCTGATATTTGGGATGAGTACAATTTTTTGTATGAATTTTATAGATTTATTTTATAGTAACTATGCGGCACGTGAAAGGGAATCCTAAGCCACGAACATATTCATATTGTGAATTATAAAAAGAATAAAAAAAATATCGACAAGGAATACTCCTAGTCAATAGATTTCCCTAATATTATACGACATAAAGTCCACTCAACAAATAGGTTCATGATCGGCATCACCTCGTATACGATAATAACCACCACATACTCCGTACACCGCAGTTTAAACAAAATAAATATTCATTCGTAAATTTCATATTATTTTGGGATCTACACTTCATACCCTGCTCTACCCTATACTATACTATACTATCTAAGCTCATTTCCATTTTTCAGTAGTGTAGTCCTAGCTAGCATCCATCTATTCCATCCCAGTTAATTCCTTATTTATCCGACTGACAAACTACCTAGATACGGGTATATACCGAAACACGTGCGCCCCAACGCCAGTCCAGCTTCCCCGTGCGTTGGGATCGTTTCAAATCTGCAAATAACCTCAAACGCCAAGATTTCGTTTCCAGAGATACTTTTATGTGGTAGTTAGTATCTAGTGCGTGCCAAGTAATCAGCGCCCGCCAACCTGTCCCTTCGGTACGGGCTGGACCCAGCATAACCCGAGATTGAGCGCGATAGTAACCACCCCGATGACCCAGAAGGCGGTAGCGTAGTCGGTCCCGCCGCCCGTGAACCGAAATATGATGGCAAAAATGACACCCCCGAGGTTACCTCCCGCGCCCGTGGTCCCGGAGACAACGCCGTTGGCATGCGGATGCACATGCGGTACGAGGGCAAAGTTAGCCCCGTTGCCCGCTTCCAGGAATAGCGCGGCTAGCGCTACAAGTCCGACCATAGCAGATAGATTATGCGGATTAACCTGGCCTATCACGACGAGTGCGGCGCCGGATATGCATCCGCACACCACGATCCAGATTTTCTTGGCCCAGACGCTACGGCCCGAGGCCTGGTATAAGACGTCTGCGGCGACGCCGCCGAGGGGCCGGGTAACCACGTTTAAAAAGCCGAACATGGCAGACCAGTTTGCGGCGTTGGTCTGGCCTAGCTGTGGGAAGTTCTTCACGTAGTATGACCCGAGTATGGCGTTGATGGCGAGTTCTCCGCCGAACGAGCACATGTATGTCAAAATGTGGAAGGCGGTCTGTGGGGAAAACGTCACCCTTGAGATCATGCTCCATGTCGGCTTTTGCACGACTTCGCCTTTGGCTACTCCTATCATTTCACCTCGCGACATGACGGCCTCATGATCCCAGTTGGCGTGTTTTTGAGGCTTCTTGGAGTCCCTCTCGACCTCGTGAATGCTGTTCCCGTTGCTAGAGCAGGCCTTGTCCGTAACATTGCCTGGGACGTCGATTATACTATCTGTCGGGCCAGGAGCCGCGTTGACGCCGTGAGAGGCCAAGTTCTGCTCAGCGTGGAGATGTCGCTCAGACCATTTGCCGGTTGGTGTATCGGGACACAGGAGTAACATAGATACGCCGGTAGCAACCGTGATTACGAGGGGAACGATGAAGGTAAGACGCCACGCCACGCCATCCGAGTAGCCTCGAGCCACGAAAGAGTCAAAGACGGCCGGCATGATGAAGTAGGTGATTCCACCGCCGGCGTTACCCCAACCTCCAGTCAGGGCATTGGCGGTACCAACAACATTTTTGTCGAAGAATCCTGTCGACCAGACCTGGCAAGGCACGAAAGACCCGCCAAGGATACCTATGAAGAAACGGCTCACGTAGAGGCCTTGGGCATTGTGGACGAGAGGGGCTAATCCGAGAGGGATCGACCCGACCAGGAGTGTACCGGCGAAAACCCAACGAGGCCCGAACCGATCGCAAGCAGGACCAGCCGCGAATCGAATCAATAATCTCCAATACGTCAGCTCGGAAAGGGAACCATAAAACCAAAGTAGTTATAAAACACATACGTAGCACACAACGAGACGATGTTGGAATTGGCAACCTCGGCTGAGGTAAGATGAAGGTTGGCTTTAATGGTATGCGTCAACTACGAAATTCGCAGATTGTCAGTTGCTCGCCTCCTTTAACATAGACTTTCCTAGAAGATCGAGATACTAACTAGTGGTGGAAACGTATACCACGCCCAAAAGGCAACCATAAATCCCCACCAGGAGAAAAAGAATACACGCCCGTAGACATTAAAGACATTTAAAACGGGGACAGAGCGGGCCTTGCGGTTAATTGGGTCCACTTCTGGGGCGGTCCAGAGGTAAGACAGCTTCATCTTGAGTGTTGTAAGCCTAAGCCCTGAGAAATCTTACTCTTGTAATTCGTAGACCCTCACAAAGGGGCTGACCGGTTGGTTTTCAACACGAAGTTTATAGCGATGGTGATTGCTGACTGGTATAAACAGTAATTTGGTGGGTTGAAAGGGGCAACGTATATATTCCTCTGATCGAATAGCATATACTCCTAGATTAGTGAATGGACTTCCTGTGTAACTGAGCATCTCCGGCCGAGTCGTCTCTGAAGCGGGTCTTGAGTAACGGACCCCACCCCAAGACTTCACGAGAGTTTTCCGCGGAAGGTTCTCCTGACAGATAAACTTATGATGTGCCGAGCGGAAACGTTTGATCCAAGTGCTAAGGAGATAGCGTGTTAGAATCGTCCAATAACCGTTGAGATGATTAGTTCTATAGCGCCAAGGAGGCTCCTTTCTATCGATGATGTAAAAGAAAAGGCAGCTACAGCTAAGAGGCTAAGACCTGGTCTTGACCGGTCTGATAAGATATAAGCTCCTGAAGATTGGTGATATTTTTACTAAAACGTAGTTATTAGCGTATTCCTGATGACCAACAGGGCTTCATCTGCCTAGCCGCACTATTCTCGACGTACATCGATAGTACCAGTGGCTTACTGGCGGAGATGCGAAGCAGGTAGCCGGAGATATTACACGAAGTCGTGATGTTCTTGAATGTTTTGTCGAATATACACGCTTCCGACTCGAGTTGATAAAGCCTCTGCTCTGACCTCATCAAGTGAGCCTCGTTTACTAATGGTAAACTCGACAACCCAGATAACTACCAAATAAAAAAGAGTGACATTCGAAGGCCAGCTTTGCCTTTCCGGTATTACAAATTGGTCCGGGCACGCACCTGGAAGAGAGCTTCTGACAGCGAATCAGACATGACATAAAAGCGATAAGTTCCCGTCGTAAAAGCAAATAAGCACGCGGATATTCGCACACGCCCAGATGACTAGTCAGGGGTACGACAGGCGACGCCAATGCAAATGCCTTCTTATCTTATCTGAAGGCGTCTAGGATCGACGATGGTAGGGCTAAGCCTTATTAGATGATGATTTCGCCCAGCCCAGAGATAAGGATGAGGGCCGTCAGTGGCCTAAGAGTTCAGGATAGACCACCGTATACGATCTCCGCGGGAACGTGGCTTGTGTTAGTTCCGGGTTGCAGATTTCTCGAAAGATCAATCCGGGGTAGGAATGTATCTTCATACGCAATGCATATAGTGCAACCAGTCCCTTGGTCGCTCAGAATCCGAGACGTTGGACGAGCCCAAACGACTGGCGCGTTGAGATGCAATTATCCTTGCAAAATGTCAACTTGTCAGCATTTATGTTAGACAAGGAGGGTGTAATTACCACCCTACGAGCGTGGTATGGGACTCACTTGGTCGAATAACTACCTAAGGTAGCTAAGGTAGATAAATAAATGGAGATGAAACCCCAGATATTGATCAAAATGACTCGATGCTAAGATGTTAGTAATTATGAAGTGTAGGTAGGTACCTTTACGGTGGACTATTAGTCCAACTGTGCCAAAATCAAGAAAATGGGTGGGAGCTGTCCAAAAAGGGTAATTTAATAAGCAACGCTAGGTGCACAGTATCCCGAAATACCTGAGATATAAGACTTTTTATATTATTTATTATTATTTTTATTATATATATACATAATACGATATATATTCAAATAACTTCATGAATATAACGTTTCAAGTATTATGATTGGTATCATTTTATAGCCTTAATTAATGCGAAAATAACAATCCAAGTTGCATGTTTATAAGATACGTATTGGATAGTCTATCCGTTGTTGAAATACCTATCTATAGCATTTTTAAGGTGGTGGTCTTGAAGGGTATCACGTATTATCCTCTCGACACAACACCTAGTCACTTGATATTAATACTAGTACAATATACCAGTTTGAAGACATATAAGGATGCAACTTGGATCATTATTTTCGCATTAATTGAAGCTATAAAATGATACCAATTATAATTTTTAAAATAGGATATTCGCGAAGTTATTACAGTGTATAAGTTGTATCCTGTATATTTACGTATTTGTATATATTTAAGGTTAAAGTAAAGGTTGAATCTTATTGGTTATTATTTCTAGTTCGTGGGGAAAGGGAAAGTAGCCTGCAATGTATTGAATAATGCTTATATTTTTTAATATCTTTACGAATTCAAGGTCAAGTTATATAAGACCTAGGTTGAAATTTTTGTCTTTTTTTAATAAAAATACCAATACCAATTTTAAGTAATTCGAACGTATATTAGTAGAGTTATCCCCATATATTACCTTATGAATTGTGTATATAGTAGAAATAGCCGAACTTATACTGTAATCTTAATGTTACTATTACCTTATTTGATATAGTGCGTCTGACTTTTTTGATTTTGGCACAGTTGGACTAATAGTCCACCGTAACCTTAGGTAGGTTTTCGATTTCGATTAGCGACATTTGTCGCTGAATAGATAGGGAGAGCTCCACCAAATTGGATACCTATCCCCTGTCTCCTTTGTCCCCCACGTACCCGGGGCTGGTACATACATACAGCTTTGATGTGCATATACATACATATGATGAAATCCCAAGCTTGCTTTATCCAGCCTTACCATCAGGAGTGACAAATCATACCTCAGCCTTACGAATGTTTACTCGGTTAACCAAACTACGACCTTTGTATCAATGTAACGGTATTTTTAATCGCGTGGATGAATATTGGTGGTTGACGACTGGATGCGTTTATTATATGTGGCGTAGACGGACAATTATTTACTTTTGAGATTTCCGATATTAAATATCCTCTCATTTTAAACCCATTATCCGGAATCAGAGGGTTCATACCTAGGTAGATCAGTATCGGATACGCCAGAAAGAAAGGAACATATAAATAAGGGTATTCATGCGAAGTACCTAAACCTGCCAACTATATGATGCATATGTGCCATCATATTAGTGTTTTAAACTAGGCTAGGGCTTGTAAATAATGATGTTTAAGAGAACGCTGCGCGTTGTGTTTTAGGATTTGCGTCTTAGCATAGGTTTCAGTGTTTCCTACGATAAAATCATCAAGTGGTTTAAACATTCTACACCTAAACTTCAGGTTTTTGAGTCTGTACTGGTATTCTGTTTTAGTATCGCCGAGCAACAAATATAGCGTCCCCTCGAGCTGGACGCTACGTTTCTTATTTCTTTCTCACCGCTCGGTCTGGGCGATTACGGATGTCATTATGCTCCTGCTAGAATAAGAATTCGATCAGTTCTCCCGCGGTAATTCCATAGTGCTTCCGCGAGCTTAGACCGAGTTACGTCTCGGTCGTCGTAGCCGCTGCCATGGTATCGCGGATCTTAGCCGTTCTTAAGAAATATTCTCAGGAGCTGGTACGGAATGGTCATGGCAACTCTATTAATAGCGGATCGGTTACTAGCTACGGATCTCGGAGTATCCACTCGGTAGTCGGCCTTGTGAGTGTAAGAATGAGAATGACATTTGGCAAGTAGTGTAGGTTAGAGCCTCATTAGTTGAAGTCGAGAAAAGGCTAGGACTAGTATCGAAGGAGCTAGCGTCATATCGTATAGTTATATGTTTATAGGGCGTTCTGGACTCACTCCATGGATGCTTAATATCTTCAAAGTGTCGGCTATCTCTACGATATGCACTGTGAAACCTGCGAGGCTCCTTAACACTGCGACAACCTCAACATTATCTAAACTATTTGTTGGGACCCCCTTTATCTTACCGAAACATTCTATAGCCATTACTGATGAGCTGTTCATGGGCTTTGATAATTTTTGCTGCAAGCAATAAGTCTGGTAGGATCTCGGACCGGCTCGGTGGGGCCGTGTTCCGGTAGTTTAAAAGTTGGAATTGAGAAGCGGTGCCGTCACCAGGCTCGATTCGGATGCTAGGTACCTGTTAAAGCTTCGGTTTATATCCTTTTGCATCGGTTGTCGGTTAACAACCTGGAACAAGATTCTTTCACACTGAATCTGAATGATGTCTAGGACACTGGGGCTGTTGTATTTTTTATGGAAGCCGCACCGACTAAGACATTCGAACGGCTCGGGTTCCCAATATGTGAGTTGTATACCTGTGGCGAGTCAATAAAGTCGGTGTGATTCCTCTTGTTTACTAAATCCTGCCTATGCGTGACTTGCAACTTTCCCTCTTCGTGATAACATTTCCTCGAAAATTTTGATACTTAAAAGTTTCCTGCTGCTTGTTATTTAAATATTCCCCTATTGGAAAACATGGCAGATCTTAAGGTCGACAACCCTCAGAATACCGAACAGAGAAGATCAGATAGTGTACAGACTACCAGGTCCAGCTCTGATTCGACTTTGTCGTCTGATATGGACTCTATATTTTCGAGAGCGTGGTGCCATATGCTGGAGCCTGTTCGTCCGTCCGGGTTTGCTGAGCTCGAGCTACTTATCCTAACCTTGTAAGCAATTCCCCGTGTAAACCAAAGTCGAAAGACTGGAGAGATATCAGGAACTAGTAGATATCTATATCGACCAATTGGATGGTTATGGTTTCGTGAAATGTATTTAGGTATGTTGGCTAACACATGCTTGCTATTAGTTGCACGGGTATGCAAGATGCCATCTCTTTTCCCGACTACCACTGCTTCGCATCAAACCAGACAGGAAATACGGTTTTCCTCATGCTGGCTATCATACTACCTCATCTTAACGGCGAAATGTTTATCACGGCAAACATTGGGTCAGCTCTGGGTTTCTTCCTCTTGGGTGGATGGTTGACAGGTCAGATTAGCCACCTCGTTGGCCCACGGCTAAGACTCTGGCTCGTCTGCTGCAACTTCATCCAGTCATGCTTGGTATTCGGAGCAGCGGCTATGCAATACCAACACGGAGCAGGATTAAAGGGTGGCGACGCCGTGATAGTTGTGGGACTTCTGGCATTTGCTTCTGGGAGCCAGGTTGTACAGTCGCGATCCCTCCAGATGACGGAGATAAGCACAGCGATGGCTACGGCCGCGTGGATCGACCTGCTAATCGATCCTAAACTCTTCAAGTTAAATAATAGGCCACGTACAAGGCGTGCCATGTTTCTCGCGACGCTTGTCCTCGGGTCACTCGCAGGTGCAGGTATTTACCGATCTGCCGGATCTTGGGTAGCCATTTTGGTATCGGCTGCTGGGAAGATGCTTGTGACGGGAATGTATTTATTCAACGGTGCTGATAAACCCAAGACGACGTCCGGCCAAGATGCTTGCTAGGTGTATTATGCGGATATATTATTAGATACTGAAGAGCGAATATCTATAGACAATATAGGTACTTATTATACTTAATTGATACCATATGAGTGAGGTGAAGTTTGGAGTTTGAAAACTGTAGGGGCTGCACTAAGGAGGTGATGACTTGGTAATGAGATAACGGGTAGGAGATAGCTTACATGATCTTATGACCTAAAGTATTTACTTACCTCATATGTATCAATTAACTATTAGTTCAACCTTATCGTGGTAAGGTTCTAGTTGAAACTCTATTGAAACTCTTTACCTACCTCTTGACGATTTATTCATTGAATGCTTATCTAATACATAGTACTATGCATTCATCATGGACGGCCCCATAATTTTATCTTGCTCTTGCTGCAAAACGCGGCATTGCTAAATTGAATCACCTGCACGCGCGACTTAGTGTCACATGGTCTAAGCTTTTTTAGAGGGTCTGTCGTGAATTCGGACTTCTCAGAGTAACACTCAACATTATCACTATCACTTAGATTTCGAAGAGAGGGGATTACATACTATGTCCTATTAGGGTTTCCTTTTTCGCAGCAATTGATTCTAAAATTCTCATGGAGCTTCTGTGGAACATAGGTTCCAAGGCGCCTTCATGACTCGAAATAATCTTCGCGATCACTTAAGTTGGTTACTTGCGAATGTTGCTCTAACCGCGCCAAACGCGCCTATTCTACCACCCGCTCGAGACCAACCATCCTCCGATATACCCTCCTCCTCTCTCACCCATTCGAATTCCCGGCGCTCCGAAACGCGTACGAAAGACGTTACTGAACCATCTCTATATCCAGTTCTTCCAGACATCCACTCTTTACACACTGAGCCGTCTGATGGGTCGACGAAACCGGTGGCGAGACCGCTCGAAGTATCCGGGGGGGGTGCGGTAGGAGAAAGGATGGGACGATTAACTTCGAAATCTGGCTCGAAACGGCCTGCTCTTATTCTACGTCAGGAGCAATTGCTTACCCCGATATCTACAAGCGGAGGCGCGGGGTTAGGATTGGGGTCGGGAACGGGATCCCTTGCTAAAGAATATGCTGCATTGTTGAAGAACTCAGGTCGGATTCTCCGTTTGCTCAACATTATGAAAGTGTGGCTAAGAGAAAATTATAGGCGTTGCAAATTCCGCTAAGAAGAGGACTTCGCCCCGGCAGCAATTTCCGACTCCAGGGCCCACACTCGGAAGCGATTGTACCTTTGACACGGTCGACCTAACCAACGAAGACGAACTGACTTCGACGAATTCTGTTGCATTCGGGAGCAACACTGGGCTATGGCGGGAAGATTTTGCTACTCGACCCGGTCCAGCCTCCACTACCACCGCGCCCTCGGTTGCGTTCGGAACCGACATTATAATATGGGAGGAGGAGCATGCTATGCGAGCAGAGCCAACCCATACGACTGAGAACTCGGTAGCGTTTGGGAGCGATGTTATGATATGGGAGGAGGAACGTGCTGCGCGGCCTGCGCCGCTAACCCCTAAACGAGGTAAAAAGAGAAAATGTGACCAAATCAGTCAACCGCCTACTACCACTTCCGCTGAAACAGATGATTTCCCCGATATCTACGAAGTTTTGTCCGAGGAAGAATCCATGCACTCTCACCTCAAGAAATCTCCATCTAAATCGCCAGCCAAGACGAAGCTAAAGACGACAGCTAGTCAATCACCATCGAAGGCTGTAACTTCGTCCAGGAAAGACACGATCCGGCGAGCTAAAAAAGAAGAAGTTACGGATGACTCTTTGTCCGCTTCTGAGCGTATTATAAAGCGGTCTCCTGCTAAGCTATCACTGAAAAATGTTGTTCCTTATGACGTAACAGATACCGAGGATAGGCGTGCGACGTCTTCCGAGCATGATTCATTTTCGGAAGATACCCCGGAGACTCCCAAAGCGCGAACGGCACAGACGACGCGGAAATCCAGAGTTTCAAAGCCTGATAACCGAGTTATCAAGGACTCAGACGATGAGCTTATGACGCCCCCTACTTATGACGCACCAGATAGCACAGCTCACTCAAGTAGTCGCCCTAAGACTTCTATTCGGATATCTCAGGATGCTGATGATGAGGTTGTTGCCTACGATACACCATCGAAGCCGAGGCAGGTAACCCAGAATGAGAGGCGCACGCCGTTCCGCTCATCCCGGAAACCCGAGCAGCACGCATCCTCCCAAGTCAGTATGGCCAGAGGCTATGACCAGGAACCGGAAGCTGGCCCCTCACAGAGATCTCAGTTGATGAGTGAACCAACTATCGTGATTGATGAGGACGAACACGATACCATTTTAGAACTATTCCTCGCCCAACCTTTAGTCACCATCGAAAAGGCGAGAGAATTGCTGGAAAAAAAGCTACAGGACAACAAAGATGCATATAAGGAGTCCTTAAAAAGTGGTAACCTTGGGCCTAGAAGTCGTCTCAAGCAGGAGAAAGAGCGACTAGCACGACAACAGGCAGCTTTGGGCGACCTCTCAAGGGACTTTCGTTCTTACGAGGAAATTCTCCTCAAGAAGGAAGCCTTAATTTCGCGGATTTCAGACGCCTACGACCAAGACCTAGATACACAGGACGATGAAGCCCGTCTTGAAGAATTAGAGGATTTGCTTAAAGAACGCCGATCAATCCTAAAGCCCAGCCTTCTAAAAGCCGGTATCGACAATCGGAGTTTTTTTGAGGCTAATGAGACCCGTAGCACCGAAGCCGAGCATCCCAATCCTATTGTACGTGCAACTCAACCAGCCAGACCTGCGCCGCCGACGAGCTTCTCGGGGGAGTCGACACTTATCCCACGAGGTAGTACTCAAGTAATTCTTCAAACCCAACTTTCTCATCAAACAGACGATTCTTTCCCAATCCCAGGGCGAGATTATGACGAATTGCCGGAGAGTGCTGCAGGAAGACCCCGTCGCCAGGTCGCTTCTCCTATCCCGAAAGATAGTGAACTAATTGATGAGCAACTGCCATTTACTATAACTAGCAATAGTAGGCCAGCAAAACCCCCCACTCGTCAGAAACCACCTGTAGCCATAAGTCAGGATCCCTATGATTTTGGTGATGATGATGATCCATTCGATGATCCGTTCCCCCCAGTCAGTCGACACGTACCAACGAGGACGACAAATTCTCAACTAGGAGGCCTTAAGGGCCATAAGAGCCCGACTAAAGCAAAGTCTAACCAACAGCAAGGCTACCAGAGCGACTACAGCGACGATGTTGACATGGTTCAAGTTGCAGAGGAGCTTGAACAACGCCGTCAATCATCATCGGAGAATAGACCGCCTAGAACTCATCGTCCTGTCCTTTCGGAAACGTCTGGAAACGTGGGGGTACGACCTCAGAAAGTAGCCATCGCGAAGATTATAGACCCATCGATGTCAGCACATATTCCACGTGAACTTAAAAACCGCCCGTGGTTTAAAGATGTCAAAAAGGCATTGAAAGATAGGTTTAGAATGACTGGGTTCAGGCATAACCAACTCGAGGCAATCGATGCCACCCTAGCGGGTAAAGATGCATTCATTCTAATGCCTACAGGAGGTGGCAAATCCCTCTGCTACCAACTCCCGGCTGTGATCACAAGTGGAAAGACGCATGGCGTTACAGTTGTCGTATCCCCCCTTATCAGCTTGATGCAGGATCAGGTGCAGCACCTCAAAGCGTTGAATATTATGGCTTCTGCCTTCAGCGGCGAGTTATCCCAGTCAACCCGTAACGAGATCATGGATAATTTGAAGAAGAGCCATCCTGAACATCATGTGCAGCTTTTATACGTCACCCCCGAGATGATCAATAAGAGCAGGGCTTTCCTAGACGGTCTGACCACTCTTTATGAAAACAAGAAGCTTGCGCGTCTCGTAATTGACGAAGCCCACTGTGTAAGCCAATGGGGTCATGATTTTCGCCCTGACTACAAGGAACTCGGCAGCTTCAGAGAAACGTTCCCCGGTGTACCCCTAATGGCTCTTACGGCTACTGCAACAAAGAATGTTATTCTAGACGTGAAGCACAATCTAGGTATCGAGACATGCCAGGAATTTTCACAAAGCTTCAATCGTCCCAATCTCTACTACGAGGTTTTGAAGAAGGAAAAGGATAGCGTTGGAAGCATTGCCGAGCTAATCAATTCAAAGTACAGCGGGAAGACGGGCATCGTATATACTCTCTCCCGTAAATCGGCGGAGAAGATTGCTGAGAAGTTGCGAGGTCACGGAATCGCCGCTCAGCACTATCACGCAAGCATCAAAGCCCACGAGAAGGTAAGCGTCCAGACAAGTTGGCAAGCCGGTGAAACCAAGGTCGTTGTAGCAACTATAGCCTTTGGAATGGGGATCGATAAGCCTGATGTTCGCTTCGTTATTCATCACTCTATTCCTAAGAGCCTCGAAGGATACTACCAGGAGACTGGCCGTGCTGGTCGAGATGGGTTACCTTCCGAGTGTTATCTATACTTCAACTATGGCGATGTATCCTCCCTGAGGCGGATGATTACCGACGGCGATGGTAACGAGGAACAGAAGGAGAGGCAGAGGAATATGCTAAATACTGTGGCTGCCTTCTGCGACAATCAAAGTGACTGCCGACGGGTGGAGATTCTCCGTTATTTTGGAGAAGCATTTGACAAAGAGCAGTGCGGCAAGACCTGTGATAATTGTCTGAACGAGGAGGTTTTCGTGCAAAAGGACTTTAGCGAGTATGCAGTTGCGGTTTTATCGATTATGAAGTCCCAAGGAAAGCTCACGCTCATTCAATGTACGGATTTCTTGATGGGAAAGAAAAAAATATCGGACTACAAACCGGGAACGGAACAATATCGTGGGATCGCCAAGCAGATGCAGAAACATGACATACATCGAATCGTCGACCGACTCGTCGCAGAGGATGCATTGAGGGAAGAGAACATCTTCAATAACAAATCTAGGATGGCTATTCAGTATTTTAAGGTAAGGAACCCTTGATATATAGCCGCTTTTTGCTAACTGTTTTGCTATAGGTTGGGCCTAGGGCGCGTGTCTTCTTAAATAGTCAACGCCAGCTTTTCCTGACTACCCGAGTTAAGGACAAGGATAGTCAAGGCGGTACATCCAAGAGGCAGACACGAATTAGCCAACCGGCTACTGCTGCAACGAAGCGGTCCGCCCCTAGCCATATCCCATCTACGAACGTGTCATCGCCTGTTCTGGGTAGAGACCGTAAGAAGAAGGGGAAGGCCTTAATGATATCGGAAAACGAAGATAGCGACGACGAGTATTCCAGATTCAGCAATGGGTATGCTAAAGATGGGTTTGTGGTCCCTGATGATGATTCTAATGACGACTTCGAGACGATGCCTCCCCCACGATCTAGAGCCCGATCCCAACGATCTACGCTCGGGCCTCCAATATCCCATGATGCGCGTATGGACAGTGTTGAGTTATCCGGCCTATATGACGATATCCTCCATAGCTTTCTTAAGGAGGCTAAAGATCTGGAAGAGAATTTGCGAAATTCAAGGAATTTGCGCTCGCCTATTTTTACCGAGCAACAACTCCGCGAAATGGCTATAAGATGGACTATTTCTCTCGATAAGATGCACTTGATTCCTGGTATTAACAATGATAAGGTGGATAGGTACGGTAGTAGAATGCTACCCTTAATACGGCAATACCATCAGCGATATCGAGAGATCATGGGCCAGACGAGCTCTCAGGCTGCTGCTACTGCGTCTGGCTCTCGCGATGTCGTTGACCTCGTGTCAAGTGACGACGGTATGGATGATATCGAGGATGATGGGGAAGAAGACTTCGATGACCCGGGTGCGATATCATCCTACTTCGTACCTCCATCTGAGCATACAGGCCGAGCAGCTACGTCATCCCGTGCATATCCTACGCCATCTGCGGCTCGGTCGTCAAAGGGAACTACATGGCGCGGAAGTAAGAAGCCGTTCCAGCGTCGATCATCCGGGGGCTCTACCAGAGGAAGCAAGCCATACGGTGGTGTTAAGAAGAAAGCCACTGCTGGTAGTCGAAAGACTACATCCTCAACCGCTTTCGGCGGATCAAGACGAGCGGGAAAATCAACAGGCGCGGGGGCTAGCGGTGGTAGTAGGGCGAGATCACAGGGTGTAAGCCATAGCGGTATCGGACTTATGGAGCATTAAGAAATCGAGCTTTTATCGATTCATTGAATGGAGCGTGTTATATAAAATTACTACGTCGCGCGTTTTATGCTTGTTGCATGATATGGACGATCGCATGAATAGGGTAGGGGGGACTGGACTGGCGTACGTGAAGGCGTCTTGATATTCTTTAATGGTGTTTTTAACTAGCTAAGGCACGCTTGCATGCGTGCGTTCATCTTGTTATTTTCAAACTTACCTAACCTATAGTTCTACTTCGACGTGGACTATGAACCAAACGATGCCTTTTATTTCCCGGCGTTGGGGTAGATAGATACCTAGATACCTGGACGTCTTTGGATGGTGTTTATGACTTCACTGCGAGGGATAGTTTACTTAGTGTGCGAGTTGTGTCTTTAGGATTGAGTGTTGAGGAGGTAGGAAGAGAATAGAAGAGAGATAAAATACGATATTATTATTATTCAACGTATATGTCCTAAGGACTAGAAAACTAATCACAAACAAGTGTCACGATGATATATTAGCAATATTATTTCTATAGTGAAGACTAGTGTATGTCTGTCATTATTCATTACATCAATAAAATCGTTGATGAGTATCTCACCCATTTGACGCCTATCCGACGAACTATCAAAATACACATAAATGTCATTTATATTCACCAAAAAACTTCGTAACCAACTATATAAGATATACACTTCCCAAATATAGTTTGACTACCAGGTCCCCATAGCTTCTCAAAGACCCTTGGGTTTCTGTCTACGATCCTGTATCCACGAAATTCATCAGTACGAGCACTATAGAAATGTCTCACGCCGGCGTAGTCCTCCTCGTGGATAGAGTATATATTTAGATCCAGGCGATGTTTCATGACCGAGAGGTTATTGCGCCGGCCAAGCTGATATGACGGGAAATATGCATCATCTGGGTCACTTTGCGAGGATTCGTGCCGTAGCCCAAGGATGTGTCCGAGTTCGTGGCAAAAGGCAATGGCCATGTGCTCTAACGATGGCTCTTCGAAGCATGATTGATACACAAATAGTCGCTGGTCTCGTGGAGTGCGGGGGTAGAAAGCTAAAGCTAAAGTTCTAGGCTTTTCACTATAGTAGCTCATGTATGTAAGCCGGATTAAGGCTGGTTGGTCGTCTGGAACGTACTGGAATTGTATGCCAACATCGCCTTTGTTCCATTCTATAGCCGCCTGGTAGAGACTGTTACGGGCATGTTCCAATGTGAAGTCGTTAGGAAAGCTATCCTGGTCGACATTATATGTCAGTATAGACCCCGGTGTCCATCGATATATTTGGTTGTCAGCTCCTACGTCGATAACTACATGGGCTGGGGGGCTTGGTTGGTAGCGAGAGAAGGTTAGCCATTTCGATGCAAGACTTCTCAAACCAGCACACGCCCGAATAATTAAATCGAAAATAATAGGATTCAACGGTAGAGAGCCCCAAATTCGAACGCTATTGGATGTGACCTGCGGCTTTGGCTGGTTATCGGTTGCAGTGTGATTTGAGTTATAATTTTCCACGTCTCGGCTTGGACGGGTGTCTGAAGACGTAAACTATTAAATGAAATACGTAGATAGTTAGATTAATAAATTAGAGGGAAAATATTTTAGTAGCTTACTACCTAGAGCACAAACCTGTTCCATTCGCTTAATCCTTTTTGTATAGGTAGTCTTGTTATATACTATCAGGGGTATCTTTCTGCTAAACGCAACAGATCCACTACCTAGGTAATTACTGAGAGTCAAACTTTGAAACTACCTATTAACTATTGGAGACTTTAGAAGTAAGAGTAAGCTTCGTTTCCCGCCAAGTCAACGCTAAGTTAATCATTTAATTTGAATTGTGACTCTAATATTATAATAGGAAAGTTAGCAAAAGGAGGGTAGTTAATATATAACAGGCACGTAAAGCCTAGCAAGATGTTCAATATTGCAAAATACGGGTTCGGAAAATTCGCGGGCTATCCGGAAGGTGCTTGTCGTTAAAGGAATACTTGTTCGAGTAAGGATTAAGCTAGAATATTCAAAAACTTTACACCTTGGAATACTAATTATAGGAATATTTTTATACTGGTTATACTCTATAGACTCGTAACTCTTCTGTTATCATATAAGGTACCTATGTTTCACTGTTGCAAGCCGGAGATATCCCTCTTATATACTCGTAAGATATATATGCGGTTTAATCTAGAAAGACGGGTTGATTTTTAAAAAAGATCCCTCGAGGACCTAAATAGGGGTAGGGATGAATCCTATTGGAAGCCGACGTGACTATCATTTAAAACACAACGCTATGGCTTGACACCAATTATCAAATTTATAGACTACGCCTGCCTGCTTATCCCGACTAGCCTCTCCCATTCATACCATACGCCGCTGGATGTCGAAAAAAACGACCGATGAATGAATGCGCTACGTAGGTACAGTAGATAGTAGATATATATCGTACAACACAATACTTGCTTCTGGTCCCGGGGTTCATCGTCCCTCTCGCCCAGAGGGACGATGAAATACCCCTCCGCCTCACCTTGTCTTCTCGCCAAGACTCCCACGAGTCTTTCTCTCTCTCTCTCTCTATCTCTCTTGCACACATCTCTCCCTTGGCATGCTCAATCTGTTCAGCCTCTAGAACCGCAAAAGCGCCCATTCGCCCCTTTAGTTATATGCTAAAGACTGCCCCCTCTCTCCAAAGAATGCTTATAGTAGGGATGGGGGTTTGGATATAATAAAAAGACATAAATAATAGGTATCACTGTAATGGAACCATATCCATGATGACCCCTGTTGAAACCTAAAAATACCCTAAGAACGCCTTGGCCCACCTCCGCATTTACCATGCTGCGTCTACCCTCGTTTCCGCGTCAAGTATGGCGGGATGAATATGGATAATGTGATGTATAATCCAAACTCCAAGGGAAACGTAGCGGCTTAGCTCGGTCGCCTCATGCCAACGAGATTCGTGTTGGCCGCTAATCCATTAACGATTGTATAACTTGAATGCTAGTAAGGCTGAAAGAAAAACAATAGTCTTTCATGATGTTATTGATGCAGAATCGAAGACAAGATAAGCCCGTCTTGCGGGACTCCGACAAATAGGATAGTACAAGGGAGTGATCTGGTCCTCTCCGTCGTTACGCTCGATCCGACTCGCGAGACTATCTAGCAAGATAACGTGTTCATTACTTAAAAGTGCCAACGGGGTTTGTTATCTTTTGACTTCGATTCTATTATGGTGCTACCCCTGTGCATAGCAGCACGTGCCGCAGCGGTAGCCTGTGGGCTGTGGCGGCCAGTTGAATCGTCCATCTTCGACTTAGGTTGAGGGAGTAAACTAGTGCGACGGTTGCTCATCGACAAGGAACTAGCCGATCGCCTAGCATCGCTCAGACCAAAATCTAGCCTTGGTGGCTGGAGTGAAGCTCTTCGACTATCAAAGGTAGAAGACCCTTGTGCTGCGAACCGAGCCTTAGCCGCAGACGGCGGGACAGATTGTCCCGCAGAAGCAGCAGCATTAATCCGGTCACGGAAGGAGAGCCGAGATGTACTCTTCCTAGGAGGCGTGTCCTCAGGAGCTGGTGAGGATGAAGTTGCCATTGCTAATGGACTGCGGAGAGGAAGCTTCGAGCCCCCAGGAGACTGTCCAAGCGAGGATACAGAGCGCCCGGAAGATGTTTCTTTAGCATATGGACTAGGGGTAGTAAGGGTGAGCGGTTTGAAGTTATGTCCTACGTCAGAATCATTGGTATTTGTGGATGCATTCCATCGCGGGCGGCTATCAGCGGCATTGGAATTGGATCTTGGGAGACGGGTGAGAGGTGTGACACTACCACTTCGAGGCGGCGTGGTCAGGCTAGTAGTACTCGGTTGGAATGTAGAGAGTCGAGATCCAGGGGGCCGCCGTGAAGGGGGAGCTAAACTCGAACTACTTCTGCGAGCCGAAGCAGGCTGAGGCAGATGACTTCCGCCGCTGGTAGTAGTACGCCTCTTATGCTGTGTTAAGGAACTGTTTGACTCTAGACCTATGCTAGACATGACGACTGATGATGGCGGCGAACTTCCCGGAGTCTCATTGCCGCTAGCAATAGTTGATCTATCATTCGAGAGCATACTGGAGATCGAGTCTCGTAGCTGTTGGCTATGCTTTTTAGACTGAATCTCCTCTATGATGCCGCTTAGCCTTCTCATAGATTCTCTTGCTTCCTCCCACTTAGATTCTAACTCGTTGTGTAGCCGAAGAATTTCGCCGTTTACAGTAAGTCTATCATTAACACCCTTGTCGATGATAGATAGCACACGTTCGATTGCTGGCCCGTAATGTACTCTCTTTGCCTCGTAGCTCTCAATCTTCTTGCTCATCGCCGCGGGACTGGAGTGCTGTAAACCTTGGTCCACTGCCTCGTACACCTTTGCCATACTCCGGTCTACAGACTCGATCATCTTCTGAGCTTGCCTACCAGCACCGCGGAAAACGAGAACCCACTTGTCCTCGCCAAGCTCCTTTCTAAGGGATTCGGCGTCCTTCTCAAGTTTCTTGTAGCTAGCCTCCAAGCCTGTTCTCCTCATTTCTAGTTCTTCGCAGGCTGTCGGGAAAGCCCCAGAAGCTCTCGCTTCAAATACCGAGAGTCGCATGGGTAAAAAGTCCAACGATGCTCTCAGGGGCTGCATCCGCGCGAACAATGCAAGTAGGCTCGAATCATCTTGGGTGAGTGCGGGAGTTCCTGGAGAGCTTGGACTAAGCGGAAATGATGGTACACTAAATCGGTTATTACGCATGACAGCGGGTGGCGTCTCCTCCACGATGGTCTCTAGGTCGCCTATATCCATCCCATCCCCATTCGAAACAGCCATCATGGATTTGTGACGCCGTTCCTCCATTTCGAATATTAATCGGCTTAGCTCATCCATTTCGTTCTGAATATCGCCTAGAACCATATTCCATAGCTCCTCCCACTCCATAGCCGTTTCGACCTGGCCTTTAATATTATTCAGAGTGTGCCGAATCTTAGCCCACGCATTCATAATAGCTTCCATCTGGGTGACCGCTTTTTGAAGGTCCTCGCTGGATACGCTGGCAATATCTGGCCTGTTTTGCAGCTCTTCAATAGCGCCCACGTAGACATTGATAAGCCCTTCAAATCTTGTGATGGCGTTTTCTACTTCTTCATACCCTTCTCTGCCTCCGGCCGCGGCCCACTCGACATCATCATCGCTGTCTAGGCCTCCGATAACTTCAGAGGCTTTCGAGATCCAACTTCGTATTTGTTCAGCAGCTCCCAGTAAGGCCTTCGCCGCCGCTTGGGCCGTGGGAATAGCGGCGACCTTACTCGACAATAACTCGGCATCAGGCAGCTGAAGCGCAGTAAGCTGGGCAAGCTGGTTAGCAAACGACGCGCGGGATATCGTATATATGGACCCTGCACGCTGAAGACCGAGGGGGTTGAAGTAGGATGGTAAGTCGGAGGTAAAATCGGCAGGAGTTGCACTCCCAGGAGGCGTATCTTTAGGAGGCAGAGGAGGTGGCGTTTCGGAGTCGTCGACGATCTCTAATTTCGGAACGCGCGAGTCTCGTTTGATATGCTCTCTCCGGGTATCGAGCTGTGCTTTAGTGCCATTTCCATTCGTGTGGTCGGGCAATCGGTATTTGTTGGTGTCCATTTCCAATGGCGGCGCCTCTATTATCTCTGGTAGTAATTCGGGCTTGGAAGAGGATTCAACCTGAACGAATGAGGTAGGTCTTTCTTCCTCGATAGCACTCTTCCGTCGAAATGAGTCGCGACTAGATCTGGACCTTAACAATTGGAGAGGTGCACCAGCACCTTTCCAAGGACGACCGCGTCGCTCGACGACAAGCTCGGTAGAATTGTTTTGATGCTTTTGGTCGAGTAGCCGCAGCTGATCTTCTGGTAAGCGGCCGACGTTTTCATGGGATGGCGATGAGGGCAAAGACGAAGCCTGTCTTTGGCCACCGAAACCTAAAGCTTTGAGACGAGCTGCCAAGCCAGGAGAAGGTCTACGTGCTTGAAGATGCTTGGCCTTAATTGTGGGAGAATTATTATTATTATGAATGTTGTTATGGATGTCGGAAGGGAGAGGTCCTAGCTGTACCAAATTGGTCGGGACGTCAGAAAATGTCAAAAGATCGAGAGGCGGGTCGGCGGCATTTTGTTGTTGCTGTTCAGGATCAGGAAATCCTGGGTCCGAAAAAGCGGAGGCCGTCGGGGTGGTGGGAGATTGGCGAGAGGAAGAAAGCGGCCGGGTGATATAGTGTTGGCCGTGGAGATAGTTTTGTGATGGTGAAGAAGCTGGCACTGCTGCTGCTGCATCTGGTGCTGGTGCTGGTGCTTCTGCAGCTAGACTGGCTCCAAATGGGCCTGTCATTTACTGATATAAGTGATAAATGTTTTAGAATATATCACTTTATTATTTTTTTTATCCTTCTTTTTTTTTTCTTATTCGGGATTCTTAACCCTTCTTCTCTAGCGTCTAGATGAGGCAGCAGTCTGTGTTATTGCCCACTTCCTACTGCAGCTGCACAGACGTAGGTGATGGGCTCCTTGTTAGTTTTTTCTTACAGCCACGGGATGATCTCCTTTTTTTTCTGGGATAGAATTACACGTAACGTGGTCGGGACGAGGAGGAATTGGCGTGTCGGCGGAGTCGTACAGGCTTGATTGGTGTGGGGGGGAGCGCAGATTCGATGTACTGTCACAAATTAAGTACAGTAGCACTTTATGTCGTTCGTTACTTCTTCAGCGTATCTCCTGCCCTAAATCTTTTACACACCTTGTATAAGTAAAAGGTATGGTACTTACACATGCGATAAGTTGCTACAAACAAATTGAACCAATAATGCTTAGTTCGCAATGAAATTTCAGGCAGGTACCTCCAAATGTAAAGTACCTCCCCCTTTCAGAACGCAGTACCGTACTTGTGTAGCACCTAGCAAAGGCAAGGACGTGCGAAAAGCTTCCACTCAACCACTCAACTATCAGGCCGCCGTCTAATGACTTCCAATTCTAAGGGTCCGGTGGGTCGAACCAATTCCGGTGTATATTGGGTAATTCAGCACTGTCGCCGGTCGGTAATTGGTCCGTATTCTTTAAAACAGCCGTCTTCAAGCCTATCCGAAGCGATCGAAAAGTCCTCGATGATTCTACCCGGGTCGAGAGAGACCAATCACCTTGGTCACTTTAATAGAAGATACGACGCTAGTTTGGCGTTGTTGATTTTTATTTTATGGTATTCGTATCGGAGCTGCAGGTCGGAAGGCGTGGAACGAATGGCTACGCGTTATGTTTGATTGTAAGTCAACGTAAGGGCCTTTAGGTCGCGTGGTAATCTTGAAAACGTTGGAAGGTAAAGATGACAAAGTTTTCGTCTGTGTTAAGTTAAAAGATGTCAATGCCCAACCAGTTCAACTTCCAAGCCACATTAGCTGTCTCGGACCGTTGCACTCGGTCAGAATGAATGAAAAAAAGAAAAAAAGCAATGATTCATGCATCTGTCATAAACAAGTCAATTGGATATTGGCTTGCATATGATGGAGGCATGAGGCATATGAGGCATATGGTACTAATACAATATAAATATAATACATAGGGAATCACCAAAAGAGGGAGACGAATATGGTAAAAGGTAGAGATAAAGCCGCAAAATAACTTCGTCTTCTAAGGCTTCGTTTTTGTTTTATTAATAGTCAGCGAGGCAACTTGAAACTTTTCCTTCTCTCTTACCCCCGGGCGACAGCCATTTGTTCATCGGACCCAGTCTCTAGTAATCTCATTATTCCGCGATTCTGGTTTACTCCTCCGAGAATACCCCAGCAGCCCAGCAGCCCATCAGTCTGTCAGCCTAGCTAGCAGAAAACAATACATCTGTATGTATAAATGTAGTGAGGTTGTAATAACGAGAAATCAGTGTGGATATAATAGCGACAAGGTTCCCTTTGCGGATCGTGACACTAGCCGTCTAAACTATCCAAGCTATCCAAACTCTCCCGCTTTACTACAGTGACAAACCTGTTCGGCATATCATCGCAGTGCTTTCCTCATTTAGCGTTGAACCCATCCTTTATGTCGCCTTGCCATTTGGTTAAAGATCTCAACTGGCCATCCCTTGTAACCATTATGACAGCAAATATTAAAGAATAATACCTAAATGATACCCAGAAGTGTCTCGTGCACGCAAACCCCCAAGCATGCCACATGGTTTAGGAAGACTCATGGAACCGTTAGCCAGGCAGTTAGGACGCAAGGACCATGTCGCCCAGCATATGTATCTTATTCCGGGCCAGCTTTACTAGGATCGGGGAAGACGCAAAATGAACATTACGACGCTACAGAATTTTATCGAAATGAGGATGTGAATTGAACATATGTATTCACAAGTTTTCGAGTACTTAATAGTAAATTTATAATCCATGGAGTTTATGTCAACAATATCTATTATATGTAGAGTTAATTCTTCATTACTTGTTACAGATCTGTATGTGGTTTTCCTATAGATCATACGTACTGGGTACCTTAACCTAAGCTACCTAGGTACCTATCCTAGACCTTACGTCATCATACTGATTCCCAAATAGATATAATTAACTTGTCTAGGGGGTAAGTCTGGTCGTTACATATGTACGTTGAAGATAGAGTATCCCCTGGCTTCTAGAAGCGCTATCACACGCATTATGCATTACCTTGCTGCAGGACTGACAGTTGTCTATACGCTATTCGCGCTATTCGCGCTATTCGCGGGGTAATTGAACAATAGAATGTTGCTGATGTAGAGAGAAAGGATTAGACACAGTTACACAACTTGTCAACTTGTCAGACATCTCGATGAAAAAAACAAACCACCGTAATTAAAGGAGAAAAGGGGGACCCGTAACGTCAGACAGGCTTTCGTACCTACTCAACAATGTAATTAAATCTTATTGCCCAGTCAGACGAACGCACCGACTTCGATTACACAGTAGCTTAGCTTTCTAGACAATATATAAAACTATGCCATACACATTACCTACCTAACTAGCTACAAAGTCATTATTATGTTGAATAATCATCACCTTTATAGATGCCAATGATTTAGTTAAGGTGAGGACACATAAAGAATCCGAATGTAAAAGGATTCGCATTCATAGAGTTGTGACGTTAGTTAATATTAGATGATAGGGCACTAATAAGAGCATAAAAAAGGGGCAAAGACGGTTATCCTATTTCGTTTTACGCGTCTCCACTAACCGAGGACCGGCTCGACGCGAATAGAATAAAACTACCTTACTAAAAAAAAGATTGTACATACATTAGGTATGTAATCTTCTATATATGATCCCTGGTTCCTTCCCCGAAGTCCCACTTCCTTACGGATGCGTTGAATAATTGGGTAACGCTAGGCACGAAGTAGATAAGGTAAGATATTCCTTAATTGCCTTAATTGCCTTAATTGCTTTAATTGATTCTCATGGGGGGAAAACGGGAAACGGCCACATGTGTGATTGTTTATTCTTTATTCCCCGATACATGGACTTGAACATCAACCCTCATTTCATATCATTTACATTCTTCATATCTCTCGTAGATGCACAAGCTCATTCGAATATCAGGCAACGCTCTTTTCACCAAACTATAACTACCTAGGAGTATCTAACCCGAAGCTGTTGAACAGCCTTTGACCCACGCTCATTTGGCCCTGCCCTCTCCGCCTTTCGTTTTTTTCGCCCTTCTATTCTGATATCGAAATCTCCTCCGCGATTCGATCAACACCCGCAGCTACTAAATTTAAACCGCTGTCTTCCCCAGCCAGATTACTAAAACCCCATATTTCCAAGGCATCAAATATGGCAACTAACCAAAATGAGCGACCAACCTTTCGTCGCGACTCTCCTTCACCCGAGAGAGCCCCTCGTCCAGCTATAGGTTCTAATCGGGCAGATTCGGCTCGCTGTCTTTCGACCACATCGTCCGCCTCCCGTGCCTCGAGTGCTGACGGTTCATATCGAGATTCACTAGTTAGTGATACATCTAGGCTGTCCTCTTCAAGCTACGCCTCATCGCGTTTGTCTACAATAAGCCTAGAAAGGCCTCTAAAAAGACGTGGTTATACCAAACCGCAAGGGACAGACTTTGCTACCAGTGCAAGGCATCGAGAGAGTGTTCTGAGTTTGGGAAGCATATCTCATCTTCAGTACTACTTTGCAAGGACAGGCTTGTTAGATGGAAAAGGAGGACAGCTAGCAAGAAAAAGACACCCGAGAGCCACCTTGGACTTATCACTGTTGGATCCCTCTGCCGTGCTGAACCAGAAAGCCTCCGGCTCAGATGTAGACTCTTCTTATGCCTCGATGGGTAGTAGCCCAGACCTTGGTCCTCAGAGTTTTGGCAATGGTCTCATGGTTGAGTCACCTAGCGAAGACCAAGAAGGATTCTATTGGGATGATTTCGAAGATCCGGATATGGATGTCTTACCACCGACTACGAGCACCTATAATCATCGAGAGAAATATATTCCTAAACCTCCTACAATTGAGGAGATGAAAGCAGACCTGACCAAGGCGCTAGACGCTGCCTCGAAAACACTTGTAGAGGCGGCACCAATAAATTCAAATCGATCTTCAGGGCATGCCAAGCCAACACAAACAATGTACGAAGTCCAAGGAGTACAGTTGCTCGACGTGATGACATTAGCTATCCGCGCTGCAAAGATATACTACACGGCGCACGAGCATCCAGACCGTTTGGACTCTATCAAGTCCGAAAAGGAGATCCGCTCGGAGCTGCTTTCTGTCATGGAGGTATTAAAACACATGGCAACTAGGTGTTTTGCCGGCGGTCCTCGTGGCGAAGAGCACAAGACGATGACTTCATGGATCGAAAGTATACGCACCATGCTTCGCAAAGAGGAAGAGATAGAAAAGGCCGAACGTGCCGAGAGAGCCAGCTGGACGTGGATAAAGGGTGACTGGTCGGGAAGAGAAATCGAGCGCGAGATTGCGTTTTTAAGCTCGATTGATACCGACGCTGAACCGTTGCCTCCATGGACGCCAGTTGGTGAAGCGACACAGTTGCCAACTCCATTCCTCGACAGCCTACAGAACGGCCTAAGGCTTGTTAAGCTTCATAACACAGCAGTCAAGAAGTCACGGCGACGCTTTGGCGCCATTGGAACTTTCCATACGGATACGCAAAAGCCGTACCGATGCGCAGAGAACTTGCGATACTGGATTAAAGCGGCCGAGCTGCGATATGAAGTGATGCTGAAGGTGGACGTTATGGGAGTAGTGTACAACACCGACCCTCAAGTATGGGTAGACTTCGAGGCGGCAATCTGGAAATGGTGTCGGACGGTGCGAGAGGAAATCACAACCGAATGGGAGAAAGCAGAAGCAGAAGCCGACGCTGAAGCGGAAGTGGAATCACAATGACGGATGTGTTTCTTCTTTTCTTTTCTTTTTTACGAGTTCACGTTTATGACGTTCTACACAGAAAGTTCCGGAGACGGAACTTTGCAGAGTCACTGTATCAGCTCAGTTGCTGGTAACCATGCTACATATATAGGTAACAAGGACGCTGCTGCATCACGATTTACACCATATACCCCAGGAGCATAGTATTGGCTGCACTGTATTATTTTGATCCTCATCGAGGGGTTCAAATTGCAGGATAAGTTAATGAACGATCAACCTTTTATATTTCTAATCAACTTCGACTATAGCAGATAATTAGCTTGTTTAGCTCGGTTTTTTTGAGATATACAATACTTTTAGCCTTTGAAGCAATGGAAGAAATTCTTCCCAAGTCATTCATCATTCATCATTAGTATATAGTTTACATGTATTATAGAGACACCTTTTGTACTTTCACTGTTGTTAATATTAAGAAGAGAGGTAGTAAATAGCATGTAATAATTATCATTATTCTCTTCTATAAATGAAATTATATTATCACCTGCTTGTTCTACTGTTGGAATCAACATTCAAATACATGTAGACATGTGAGCGTATATTACGTAATACATCCACTCACGTACATAATCCGTACATAGTGCGGCAGAAGTTCGGGCTACAGTGGGTCTAAGTTTAGCAGGCCCGACCAGGCAAACGGAAGCTTCATCAGCTACCAGCAACGGCTAACGGCCTCGACTTTGAGCTCCATCTAATTGACTTTCCATCCGCAAATCCCATCCTGATTCCCTATACGACGCCATTCACTCTCAACACATCGGCGACATACATTTCCTCTAAACGAATACTAGGTGCCTATCATTTATTACTACCATTTAATCCTCTTCCGAACCCGTATCATCATCATCAACCACAAACCATGGCCTCGGACCAAGAACGGAACCATGCGCTCCAAGCGCTCCGAACCAAGCTTATCGAGTCGCGAGAATGGGAATCGAAGCTCAAGGCCTTGCGCGTGGAAATCAAGGGATTAGAGAAGGAGTTCAACCAGACTGAAGAGAACATCAAGGCCCTACAAAGTGTCGGGCAGATTATCGGTGAAGTCCTAAAGCAGTTAGATGAGGAAAGATGTACGTCGTTATTACCACCAACCTAAACTACTTGGAACTTCCGTTAGAAATATATACTGACTTCAGCTTGTTCTTGTAGTTATCGTCAAGGCCTCTTCAGGCCCCCGATACGTCGTTGGATGCAGGTCGAAAGTCGACAAGGCCAAACTGAAGCAGGGGACCCGTGTAGCGCTCGATATGACGACACTGACAATCATGCGAATGCTACCCCGAGAAGTTGACCCCCTCGTTTACAACATGTCACTGGAAGACCCCGGTCAAGTCTCTTTCGCTGGTATCGGTGGTCTCAATGACCAGATCCGCGAGTTACGTGAGGTTATCGAGTTACCGTTGAAGAACCCGGAGCTATTCTTAAGAGTGGGCATCAAGCCGCCCAAGGGTGTGCTACTATATGGACCTCCGGGTACAGGAAAGACGCTGTTGGCAAGAGCCGTAGCTAGCAGTTTAGAAACGAATTTCTTGAAAGGTACGTACGGAAATTCCATTCTACACTACACGACTATGCCAGTTATCTTGTTTGGCTAACACTTTAATTCTACACCAATAGTCGTTTCCTCAGCTATCGTCGACAAATACATCGGCGAATCGGCACGACTTATACGAGAAATGTTCGGGTACGCCAAGGAGCACGAGCCGTGCATTATCTTCATGGACGAGATCGATGCCATCGGTGGCCGACGATTCTCAGAAGGTACTAGTGCAGACCGAGAGATCCAGCGCACGCTCATGGAGCTACTCAACCAGCTAGATGGTTTCGACTACTTGGGCAAGACCAAGATTATCATGGCCACGAACCGACCCGATACCCTGGATCCCGCCTTACTGCGTGCCGGTCGTCTTGACCGAAAGATCGAGATCCCGCTACCGAACGAGGTCGGCCGTCTTGAGATTCTCAAAATCCATGCCCAAAGCGTCGTCACCGAAGGCGAGATTGACTTCGAGAGCGTAGTCAAGATGAGCGATGGCCTGAACGGGGCCGATCTGCGAAACGTGGTCACGGAGGCGTAAGTTTTACATTCACTACCTAGCGGTTTATACTATACAAAAAAAGATTTGCTAATACTTTAATTTTACAGCGGTCTATTCGCGATCAAGGCCTACCGAGATGCTGTCAACCAAGATGACTTCAACAAGGCCGTCCGAAAGCTAGCGGAAGCGAAGAAGCTAGAAGGCAAGCTAGAGTACCAGAAGCTATGAGACAAGAGCGGCAAGCATAGCTAGTATTTGGAGGGGGGAGGATCTACTCAATGGGACCTATCTCTCCAACCCGCTTATAGCAAGGGGTTAGGGGTTCAGACCAAACAACGCACCACGAGGCATTATCGGTAGTTGGTAGCTATTCCCGCCTATTTTCTCGTATAGGTGGATTTCTAAAGCCCCAATCAACTACATAGGTAGGCAGACTAAGTCCTCAGTGTACGATTATCAAATATGTAGAAAGTAGGCGAGGTCTCTCAGCAGCCTCGCTAATAATATGATCAAGGACACGATCTTATGAGCTTATTGTGTTTCACTTGTCTTCCCCCTTTTCCTTACTTATCTTGACTTGCTAGCCTAGGTACCTAATGCTTTAGGTACTCGTAGAATTGCCACCTGGTTACTGCGACGCCTAGGGACTCTGTTCTGTTGAGTTACTTTACCTAGTCAGTGGTGGAGACTATAGTAATAGTGTTAGGGGTACCGAGGCTCTCATGGTAGAGGTTAGGATCACACCGAGCTTCTGGTACGACTTACAGGTAATTAAGGAGCATATGTCAGCTTGTTTACCCATAATCGCTCTCGTATAAAGCGTTGTTGAGATGTTATAGAGTTTCTTGTTACACTTTGCTGTTGGCAGTGCATTGTAACCCAGCAAACACCTTTGGGTCTTTTTTCATGCGACGCCCGTATTACGGGAGGCGTTATACCGTAGGCAAGATCATAATTATCTACATACGACTATCTATAGATACCTCCGTCGAGTTCCATTTAATTTGATCAGATAACAGGAGTTGGTAGGCCAAGGCTCAACTACCGTTCTAGGTATTTCAGGAGTGATTCTTTTTTAGGAATAACTATGCGGAGATATTGCGTTGGTCTTTCGGGTTAAGCCTATATGCTGCGCCCTAGAAGGGCGTCTCGTGAAGCATATATCCTATGTCGAATGTTTGTTATCTTTAACCACTAGTCTTACTGTTGTATGCTGGTGCAATATTTCTCTAAAGGTGGAGACAGCTTAGAGTTGTGGTATCTCCTATCCGTTATAAAGATCCTCGGAGCTCGGTCTACGTCGTTCGTAGATGGAGTGTTGGGCGGTTAAAGCTTCAGATGAAGAGTTACAGAACCCTCTAGTTAAAGTGTGGTGCTTATTTCATAGGAGATCGTCCGGGGTGAGTATTCAGGGAAAACGACACCCAGTGCCGAGAACTAGATATAGTATCATGTAACGAGGATGAGTGAATAGTTAGAGTAAAAGAGGGTTATTTTTTAAGCGTTCATAGTTTCCTTACCATTTTACTGACATTGTCTACATTGATACTGTTAGGATGGGAAGAGACCATAGATTATGTGGATATAGTTATTGGGAAAGAGTCAAATGTCCAGCAGGACGAGTCAGGATGTTATACAGTTAGCTTTATTAGGATTTGGATATCTTCATGGCTTTTCAGTCATATTCCGAGCCATACGCTAATAATTACAAGCACAGCATCCTATAAGAGAAAATTGAGTTATAGACCAAGTGTATAGAGATCTTATACGAAAAGCCCGAGTTGAAACTGACATGAGTTAAGATGTTTAACTGGCACAGTGCTTCTGGAGGTGACCGTAACAAAAGCGGTGAGCACCTAGGTAGAGTTACATGGTAGTCTGCATGAAGCAATCAACAAGTGGAGTTTCCGTAGCATTAACAAGACTCGTTTATGATGGAAATTTCTAGTAATAGGGTCTACTCGTCCTGGAATCATACCCAGGTGTCTGTATGTACACGGCCGGGATCAAACCTGAAGTAATACAGCTCCACTTACGCCGTCCCAAGTTTGTATTGAAGACCGAAGGTTTCCCTCGGAAGAAGCTTGGTATCTACCTAGCTTTCATACCAACTTCTTGTTTATACCGTGAGTGGGGGAAAGGAAGGTCCTGAAATTACCTATAGAAATTTTACAACCCCCCTAGTTGAAACCAGCCACAAGCGCCTATATTCTAAGGAGCTGATAGAATTAAGCTGCCTATTGGATAGAATATATCTGCCTAGACAGATAGGATCGTAGGGCTGAGAAAGTGCATGGGTGAGAATGTGTGTGTAGGGCCAACCGTTCCGTGGATTGGCTATCTTGGCCTCAAGCCCATGTATTAGGGATGTATGCACGTTTATAATATGAGCCTCTTATCAACTTGGTCACTTGGTAGGGACTTTCTAGTTTTAATGACTTATAACCCCGCGGCGTTGAAACTGAACACTTGGGTTGACGTTGATAATTCGTAGTATTGATTAAAAGCCTCAATTCCTAGCTTCTTGCGGGGTCATGAAATGTACTGGGACATAGAGACGGGTTCTCCCTAGCGTAGAGAGCTACTGTATAGCTAGCTGTGATCATATAAGGAATATGCTAGTCATGTTTGCGAACTATATAATAGGCTCACACTGGGCAAACTCCAAACTGACAAGAAAGTGTGATAGTTCGAGATATGAATACCTATGGATGACTTCAGTATCCTATTCAGGCTACTGCTGGGGTAATCAACCCCAAAGTCTCTAATATGGGTTAGCTAATTATTACTAGCAGTCCTAAGGGTAAATGAAGATATTAAATATGTTTTTAATCTGTCATGTATTCATCTTATTGGAGCAATGATGCATGAATCGTATAAAGCACGTAAATAGTTTTGCGAATTATAAAGTCACATTTACGACTAAATCATCCTACTCACAAATATGCTGTATCACTTCGTGATAAATACTACTTATGAGATGACGTTGCGCATAGCGAGATCTCCAACCAACTAGATTAAACAAGATGCAATACTACCACGTGCCGTGTTGAGAGATGTGTCGTTCGGACTTCCACGAACTGTAGGCCTCCGGGATAAATACATCAAGCCCTTCTACCCTGTCAATCTGACATCAGAATGGTGGGTTGCCGGCAATGCTACATGACTGGTAACCGGCGGCCAGGTATGAATCTTGCAGGGGTTCCTATTGGTAGATCATGTTTATGCGTTGATGCTATTCTTAGCTAACCTTACCAGGCGCGAGTCACTAACTAGGCGACGGCGCGAGTTATGGTGTGTGTTGGTAACAGGTAGAGCTGACTTGAATTACCATAATGGAGTTCTTAGCTTCATTACGAATAAAAAGCTGGACAACTCGGTCATATGACGGGGGAAACAAAGAAAAGGCCGGCGCAATTGTAATATTACTACCGAAAATCTGTTATCAGGCATCTTCACCGACAACTCGCGATTTGAATTGAGATGAGAAGAGAAAAGTTGAATGAAATACGACATCTTATAACAAGATACCCTTGTATGGAGGTTATGGAAGTTGATGACAAAGGAATGCTGACACTGACTTGTCAGATACATAATAAATGTCTTATTTTTAAAAGGATCAATAACCAAACCAAAGATCTGGATGACTGACGTTGGACGATTTCGTTCCACTAAATAAAAACTAGAGCTCGGCCGCTTAGATAGGGTTAGATAGGTATGTACATACATATTATCAAGGATGATGGCGACATGCTCTGCGGAATTGACCGGGCTTCGAGACGGCTTTTCCTCGAATTGTACGGGTCCCTTTTCGAACGCTGAAAAATGCTAATAATGATTTGTTTATTTGTTGTGACAACCATATTGCAGATACGGCAGAAGTATATACGACAAGTTATTACCATTGAGCGCCGTCGACCCCTTTTCGACATGTCGTCAGAGGAGGTCGTGTTCGGACGCTGGATTGTTTCTGATATCGGGACTTCCAACAGGCTAGCAGGGAGCTTTGGGGTGGAGGGTAACATTGTGGCCGGCCTAGGCCAAGCCTCACCTGTATGGCCCCAGGTGCAGAGAGCTCAGGTACAGCCCCAAAATAAGGGGCAGCGGCCAGGATGATGATCCGGAAAACGGCGAGCCCTGCACCTTGGAAATCGATCTTCACTGAACACGAAGACACCAATGAATAGCGTTGACACTCCATTGGGTGGTGGCGCAGGCATTAATAGTATCTGCTCGGTATTTAGTAATATTTTCATAAGACAGCTCAGCTGGTCGCAATATTATTTTACGAAAAGATAAAACAAAAAAAAAAAAAAGATGGAAGAGACAGTCATTGGCGACGTTGAGAATAGGTACAACATAATTCTTTTTCGTTCTCCGAGCTATAAACCGGGAGTGGAGGCGAAGATCAGATGGAGCGGGGTGTAGTTCTTGTAATTCTTGTAACACAACAAAGTTATTTTATTATCGTCGTATTAGCAAGCTGGCCGTTGCCCAGATGATGAAAGGCTCGGCACGCTGCATAGGTTTGTAACAATGATTGGTTGTGTTTAAAAAGAGAGGAGGTTAGCAGCACAAAGACAAGAATATATGGCAAGGCGGTATATTCTAAAACAAGGACTGATAACTGGATTCCGCCCTTTGCAACAAATAGAATGGCGGAGACTGGAAACGAGGGACATAGGGTCATGAGCCCACTGACCGTTAAGTAACTTATTAAGTAGCTTAGAGATAAGTAAAGACATATCGAGTAAGTTTATGGGTTTAGATTGGATAATAGGATTGGTTCAAAATTGAAAGACAAAGACACGATAATCCAATAGATACGGGATAATGAGAAAGAAGAGGTTTAACTTTTACAAGTTGTAGCGTCTATGAGGTTAGGTTAGGTATGTGCGTGGCATACATGTACATACCAGTTTACATGTACCTAGTAGGCGGTATCTAAGGCGGTAGGCACATACGATGCGGTATCATTGATACTTACTTCATGTACATACGTTGCAGCTGCATGATGTTGTGGATGCACTTGTGGTGGGATGTAGGGTTGTACATAGGGTTGTAAAGGTACCTTACAAGTTACGCTAATTAGTGATAGCAAGCGCGAAGATACTTAGCTCGTACATGGCACGAGTAAGGCATGGATTCGATCGTAACAAGGTACATCACTTTTCCCCCCTCCACCTTCCCCCCCCCTGGTAGCCCCTCTTACCTTCTCTAAGGTGCATCGCCGTCCACTAGTAGCGGTACTATGGTAGCTACGTCCTCGTACATGCTGCCTCACTTGGTAACAACTAAGTCTAAAAGCCTATGCCAGCAGCACCAGTGTTCTTTCGTAGAAAAAGCCATACCGTAACAACCCTTTTACCTTTAAAAGTCCCAGCTTGGCCCTCCCAAACCTCCCCCCAAACAAGTTCTGGAAACTCTATCCTTTCTTCTTCCTAATTCTGTACCCCCCCCAAAAGCTTTCACCAAGCTCACCGCTATTGACTTTCGTTTTTATCGTTGATACCCTGGGAAAACCCTCTAGAGCTACCTAGGTAGGGAGAAGAGTGAATCCCGCAATTGAGGCCAGATAACCCACCTATATTCTTACTTTGCTGCAACAACAAGCTAAAGGCAACATGTGGTATGTGAACTCGATCGAAAGTCCTTTATTTTGCTACGTTCTACGCTCCCAATAAACGGAAATAGGGCTTTGTCCTATCCGCGATTCTGGCGGTCAACCCAATCCATGGTTCGAATTATGCCGTCATGGTTACTCGGACTTTGGGATGAAGTTGTTGGGGATAAGAGCAATTTGGGAGGATCGATCTGTCAGAATCAATTCGAGGTGCTAATTCGAGTTTTTATAATAGTGGAATTTTTGGCTATATTAACTACCTTGTCGAGAAGGACCGGAAGTTTATCCTCGACACATTGGTGAACGGTGAGACACGATAACCTGCCGCATTCCGCTCTCCTCGATCCGCTGTACATGATGCCTACATTTTACAGCATATACTTAAACATGTCAAACAATAATTAATGGAAACACGAAAGCTGACAGCTGGCTTTTTATTTAAATAGGTCTCTCTCGTCTAGAGTATCGTGGATATGATTCGGCTGGTATAGCTGTCGACGGCGACAAGAAGAACGAGGTGCTCGCTTTCAAGGAGGTCGGCAAGGTTGCTAAGCTCAAGCAGCTCATCGAGGAGTCCAAACCAGACCTCACCAAAGTCTTCGACTCCCATGCCGGTATCGCCCATACTCGATGGGCTACTCACGGCCCTCCCTCTCGGCTGAACTGCCATCCCCACCGGTAAATACCTTTACATAGCAGAGCTTACGAGTCCCCTTGCTAATCCGACTGTCACACTTCCAGATCCGACCCCACATGGGAATTTTCAGTTGTCCACAATGGCATCATCACTAATTACAAGGAATTGAAGACCCTCCTTTCCGCAAAGGGCTTTAAGTTCGAGACCGAGACAGACACAGAATGCATTGCGAAGCTCACAAAGTACCTATACGACCAACATCCCCACATTGACTTTGTCGACCTTGCTAAGGCCGTCATCACCGAGCTCGAGGGTGCCTACGGTTTGCTGATCAAGTCGGTCCACTACCCCCATGAGGTTATTGCTGCTCGCAAGGGTTCACCCCTTGTCATTGGTGTGAAGACCCAAAAGCGCATGAAGGTCGACTTCGTCGATGTAGAATATTCTGAGGAAAATGGTGCCTTACCTGCTGAGGCTGCCTCGCAGAACGTTGCCTTAAAGAAGCAGAGTGATAACTTTCTGGCTCCGAGCTCCCTACTTGGCGCCCCCGACAAATCCCTACTCCACCGTTCGCAGTCTCGAGCTTTCATGACTGATGATGGATTGCCCATGCCCGCCGAGTTCTTCCTCTCATCTGACCCTTCGGCTATCGTTGAACACACCAAGAAGGTCATGTACCTAGAGGATGACGACATTGCCCACATTCACGAGGGCTCGCTGAATATCCACCGCCTCAAGAAGGCTGATGGCAGCTCGAATGTTCGTAGCATCCAGACTCTGGAGCTCGAGCTCCAGGAGATCATGAAGGGCAAGTTCGATCACTTCATGCAAAAGGAAATCTTCGAGCAGCCCGAGTCCGTCGTCAACACTATGAGAGGTCGTCTCGACATCGAACACAAGAGCGTCACCCTTGGTGGTCTGAGATCATACATCGCGACTATCCGTCGATGCCGACGTATCATCTTCATTGCTTGCGGGACAAGTTATCACTCTTGCATGGCTGTCCGAGGTATCTTTGAAGAGCTTGCCGAGATCCCGATTGCTGTAGAATTAGCTTCCGACTTCCTCGATAGAGAGGCTCCCGTTTTCCGTGACGACACATGCGTGTTCGTGTCGCAGTCTGGCGAGACAGCCGATTCTTTGATGGCTCTCCGATACTGTCTAGAGCGTGGCGCTCTCACTGTTGGTATTGTCAACGTAGTTGGTTCTTCTATCTCCCTCCTGACACACTGCGGTGTTCACGTCAACGCTGGACCTGAAATCGGTGTGGCCTCCACCAAGGCCTACACATCGCAATTCGTTGCTATGGTCATGTTTGCCCTATCTCTTAGCGAAGACCGAGCATCTAAGCAGAAGAGGCGCGAGGAGATCATCGAGGGTCTCTCCAACATATCTACACAGATCAAAGAGATTTTGAAGCTAGACCAGTCTATTAAGGCGCTCTGCTCCAATACTTTCAAGAACCAGAAATCTCTACTTCTGTTGGGACGAGGCAGCCAGTATTCGACCGCCCTCGAGGGTGCTCTGAAGATCAAGGAAATTTCTTATCTTCATTGTGAAGCCGTCATGTCTGGTGAGCTGAAACACGGTGTGCTGGCTCTGGTTGACGAGAACCTCCCTATTATCATGATTTTGACCCGTGATGACTTATTTAAGAAGTCGCTAAATGCTTACCAACAAGGTATGTGGTGTTTCCATCCTTATAGTATAAATTGAGCCGATCCTAACAAAGTGTATAGTCATTGCCCGTGGCGGACAGCCCATCGTTATCTGCAACCCTGGCGACGAGGAATTCCAAGCCAGTCTCGCGCAGAAGATTGAGGTTCCTAAGACTGTCGACTGCTTGCAGGGTATCCTCAACGTCATTCCGCTCCAGCTTATCGCTTACTGGCTGGCCGTTATGGAAGGCCTTAACGTCGATTTCCCACGAAATCTGGCTAAGTCGGTCACCGTTGAATAATCTTGAGCGTCTGTCTGTACGATTAGACTGATTATCGGCGGTTTATGAGGCAATGCGGGAGTTTACTACAAAACGATATCATGGTGGGTAGTTGGATTTGGGGCTCTTGAGAGTGCCCTTCGTCTTATATACATGGTAGCGGGATTGTGATTTGGTAAAGGGGGGCTCGGAAGAGAAGATAGTTGCTATCTTCCGTATTCCCCGATGATGCATATTGCCCCCCACGCCTACTCTTGACGTGGGACAATGTACTGCAGAGGAGGTAGATAGGCAATTAGCCATGTATATTGTCTAGGACGGCCTAGACGAAGATACAGAGAAATAAAGAAAAATCGATAGTGATACGGCGATGCTACTGGCTCGATTCTTGAGATGCAATCTGGCCATCCGTTTGATATTAATCTTCGTATCGTGATAAGACTTATGAGGTACGATGTAGCTACAATGTACGAACTGACGGTTGACATGATGTGGGAAGCATCTCCACTCACACCCTCTAATTTACAGAATTGGTGATAGATATGTTACTAGGTATAAATCCTGAGGCGCACCATGACTTCTGAATTTATAATAAAATAGCAAGGAATTACTCGTCAATGTAATACTGAGGTTCATGGGTCTTGGCTCTAATGATACAGAATCTTCTTGCTACCCTGTTATTTACTTTCTTCTCTAGTCGATCGAAAGGCATTGCAACCCTAGAGCAACCAAGTATATTTCCTTCATCGTTCTCTCATTTAGATAGATATAGATGATATCGCATCTCGCCTGGCTACTAATGCCGACGAGAGCAATGATCCTTTGCTCTTATAACCCCCTGGCCTTCCGTCTGCGTTACGGCAATTCTAGCTGGCAGCACCCTTAGTAACTAGTAGACGTAGACTTCGAAGAGTAAGCAGCGAGTAGGTAGGTGAGATCCACCGGTTATACGGTCTGGGTGCCGTAGCCCTTGATGCGGTCGGCGAAGGCCCAGCTCTGCTTCTCGAGCTTCTCACCCTCGGTGAGCTCAATGCCGTCCTTGGTCACGATGGCCAGGGAGTACGTGTCGTGGGAGCGGGCGTCACGGTAGAATAGTACTTTCATGCACTCCCGGATGACCTCGACGGCCTGCTCTCGCGTCACGTTGGCGACGGATTCCTCGTCCGGCACGTATCGCCGCATGATGGGCTGGGCGAGCATGCTGCCGAAGCCGGTGGCTAGCGAGGGAGACGTGAAGGTGGTGCCGAGGAGGTCGGCGGCGGCGAGGAAGGGCTTGCCTTCCTCGTCGAGACCGGCGACGAGGAGGTGGTTCCACAGCGGGTCGAACTTGGTGCGCCGGTGATAGAGCAGCTTCGATAGGTACTTGTGCAGGCTGCGGGCGTTCAGCGTGTGGGCTGTCTGCTGGTATGCCTCGTCGATGCCGAGCTCTGTTAAGTGTCGGTCCAGATACTGCATGTCGGAGACGTCGCCGCCGAAGCCGATGATGGAGGTGTCGGCGAAGGTGCGGATGCGCTTTACATCGGTGAAGCGGGCTAGGGAGCCGTAGGAGGCTGGGGGGGTATGTTAGTGTTGAGTGTTTGGATCGGTGTTGGTGGGGGAGTGCTAGATGGAGAGATAGGTGGGAGGATGTGTGCATACCCAAGTTATCTGCTGCCATGACCACACCGTCCTTGAACTTGATTGCTACTACCGATGTTCCCGTTACGACGGGGGACTGGGTGTGCTGGTTGGGACCGTTGGTCTGCATGTATGAAGCATCGTAGGCACCGTAGACGTCGTCTCTGGGCTGTATAGAGTCGGGTTGTTAGTTAACTCTTGTTCTTGAAGTCTGGACATACACTAGCTACTTACACGGCCCCAAGCTTGCGGTCGGTGATCCATATTGAACTGAGTTGGGCAACGGGATAAGGTTCGAGTGTCAAGACTGAAATAGCCTCAAATTTACGTTGGGAATGTGGCGGCAAAAAAGAAGGGAGTTGTTGCTTATGAAATATGAAGTTGTAAGGCTAATATTGATTGATGCAACGAAGCTCCAGTATCTTTTGGACGTTGAACCTCTGGAGCTTGGAACTGCGCGTCAGTTCTGCCTTCCGGACTAGGCTGTTGAGGTACGTACTTTATACACTGGGTGGTGATCAGCTGTTTGGCAGCTGTGTTATCTTGTACCTATGTGCCGTATCAAGACCCACTTCGAATTTAGGATACGTACCGACGTTAACTTGTGATGAACTTGCGATGAGAAACTCACTCTTTTAATTCAACCTCATATTAAAGTAATATCTCCGACTTAATTAAAATTTCAATCAAATCAATAGTCAGACTGGGCTTTTTAAGCTTCAAAATGGCAAGTCTCCTTGTGGGCTACGAAAGTAGCGACGATGAAGAAGTCGTGCAGCAGCAGCAGCCAGATCCAAAGGTATGAATGAAAACATAAGATGATAATATACAATTGCACCGGTAGGCATTGGACAGCACTGATTATGCCGAGGCCAGCCGCTGAAACAAACTCAAGATACTACCATTAGTCTGGATAAGAAGCCAGGTGAGTGTCTTTTCTTGTACTATCTATCTTACGTTGAGTATATCATCCCTTCTCTGACAAGTAAACAGACGTCCCGGCAGAACCCAGCACTGCCTCACAAAAACCAAATGAGCAAGCAGAAGCCATCATCGGACCACAGATAGGCCCAGCAGCCGCCGGTCCCAGCTTCCCCCCGCTGGAAGAAGCGCCCCTAGAAGACGATGAGGACAACGGCCCCGGCTTACCGCCAGGCTCGCCGTACACAGCAACGCGCGCGCTCCTGCGGGACCTAACGCTGCCCCCCGTCCCAAACACAGACATCCCGCCATCGCCCCCAGGCTCACCGCCGCCAGGCACCAACGCCAAGTTCGAGCGGTTTCTAGAGCTCAAGCGGCAGGGCGTGCACTTCAACTCGCGGGTGGCCCAGAACCCGTCGCTGCGCAACCCCGCGCTCACCGACAAGTTGCTGTCGTTTGTCGACCTCGGCGCCCCGGTCGACCAGTACCGGACCGCCTTGCCTGCGGATATCTGGGACCCGGCTGCGTTCCCGCGCTGGGCGTATCGCGAGCAGCTTAAGCAGAGCCAGAGCGAGGTTGAGAAGGCTAGGGCTAGGGGTAAGGGCGCGCCGGTGGATTTTGTGGCGGCGGCGGCGGATGGGCAGAGTACTTCGCAGGGAGGGGGTGCGTCGAAGGCGAGTACGGGGAAGAGGAAGACAAGGTTTGATGCGTAGGAATAGGATGGATGTGTTAGATTTTTTACGCTGGCACATTTGTCTACCTTGGAAGGGGGATAGTAGATGTGAGTCTCGAAGACAGTACATTCTTTACCTAACCCATAGGCCTCACGCTCTAACTATTTTTAGGTAGTTGGTCAATTTCAGATACCCATTTCCTCATTCATTTGTGTCATTCGTGTTTATATTTATGTTCATTTATGTATATTTGGTATAGTAGCGACATATGAAAATTCTCATATGGGACCTGTAGCCCCAAAGACTAGACTACCTAGGATATCGTTCCGCGATATGTATACAATGAGTGTGGTTCCTAGGTACGTCAAAAAGCATCCTTATTCCATTTACTTCAATTTAACCTTTCCAAGCAAGACGTGCGCCCTTCGTAATTCATCATGTATGTATCAGCAACGCGTTCAGAATCTTCCATGAGCGTGATCGCACTCCTCTAAGAATCGGTAGATACCTTCGAGGTTATCGAAGTCTTCCGAACAGTGCTCACCCGAACTGATCGGTGGCGACATACTCTCGTACCCTTCCAGGTCGTCGGGTAGGGACATCCATGGGTTGTCTTCAATCTCGCTGAAGCCCTCTTCATAGAGTTCCTCTTCTGTGGGGAAAAAGCTACCTTGAGACCTTAACGAGCGGCCGGGTGAAGTAAGTGTTCTTGCGCCGTTGCTATTAGCACCAGGGGCGAAAGGGAACTTCAGTGCCATCGAGACACCTGTTTCAGCCGCGAAGTCTGGGTCTTCCCTTACAACGCCCCTTGTCAGCCCGAGGTCATCACACAAGGACTCTACGGTCTCAGCGTCGACGCCTGGGAAGCGGACCCGCAGTGTATGGCCTTTCTCGAGCTGTATTGGAAGGTCGCCTAGCGATGAGAGTTTCTTAATATCCGCCAAGGTCGAGGTAAGGTCCTTTAGAGCGCGGGCGAAGTCAACTGACAGAACATCGAGGAAGCCATCGGTGTTAAGGGTCGTGGAGTCGAGGGCAGGAAACTTGAAGCCGGCGGAGGGGTAGGGGAACGCAGCAGCGAGGGGGCTGAGAGCAGTGACGGTAGGGCTCAGGTGGAAATCGATGAAAGAGCCTGGAATGTTGTGCTTCGCAGCCGCCATTTTGCGGGTGGTCTCGTCTTGAAGAGTTGAGACCGTACGGTACTTCCTCTCGCCGCGGGCGGTAAGCCCGTCAAACTGTGCCTTCTGGCCGGAGATCCAGAATGCTCTGACCGCAGCCGAAACGTTCTGGACAACCTGGGCCTGAGCCGCGGGTGTGTGGGAGAAGTATCGAGCTCCACCCACACGTCCGGATCCAAGACCGTATCCACCAGCAGTACGAGGGAGGGCACCTCCGGTGAGGTTCGGGCGCAGGGTGCTAGCGAACGGGGCACGGCCCGTGATCTGAGCAACCGCGCGGCCGGTCTGAGTGTTGAGGAACTTGGACCGGTCGACCCGGGGCGCGGCGTCAAGTCGGCCAGTGCTCATAAAGCGACGGATCGCAGCGTTGATGTTCTTGTACGTAGTCGTGGTGGTCGAGTGCCATCGTCGAGATTTCTGCTGGCGTATAAACGCGGAGGGGTGGATGGGCTGGCGCGAGCGGGGTGCGCTGCGTACGAGGACGGGTTCAAGGACGGCGTTGTTGGCTGGGCGAGCTGCTGCTGCTGCGAGCTTGGCCCGGATCATCTTGCTCGCGTTGAGGGCGGCAGTACGGATGACCCGCAGCGTGGCGGGAGTCCATACGCCGCCTCCACCGAGAGGGGCGAGCATCGTGTTTTCCACTTGGAGTTCGTCGCTATGCGGCGAACTGACGAAGTGAGAAAATAGGTTGGTCTGGGGAAGGAAGGGGAAGAAGGTAAAGAGAGGGCGGGCGGTGACGATGCTATTTACGCCCGATAAGGACCCTTAGATAAGCAGATGTGGCGCAGATCCATAGGTGTTTTGCCACAAACTAGTCAGGTACCTAAGTCTCAATCTGGAAGTCTCCGAGGCGGGTCCAGTGTTCCCCACCCAAGCAATTTTTATTTTTATTTTCTTCCTTACATCCTCAACGAATCTTTTTCTTCCTTCCAAACAACTTTCCATCTTCGCACACTTGCTTGCTCAAGCTTTTGAGCTTCTGGGACTTGGATGGAATGCGAGTCATGGATCTCAGTTTCCTATTCTTAGCAGCTATTTAATTATGCTGTGTTATTATCAGGTTAGTTATGCTCTACTACGTCTTCCCGATGCTCTTTGCTATGAAGAAGGAAAAATTGAACAATCCAAATCTTACAACACAATGGGGATTAAGTCTCTAGAATTACACTGAGCAAATACTATCGGGATACATTTGAAGTACGATAATGGCGGTCAATTGAATGCTAATTCGACTCAGATAGGTTCTTGCTGATCAGCTGGGTGATTCTCCTCTATGATTTTCCAGTTCAAAAAAATAAAAGGTACGTTCTTTCTCTTACGAAGTCAATATATTTTCACACTGTTTCCACCGAGGGGTGATGAAGAAATCAACAAACCTAGGGAATTCCTCTTTCCGAATACATCATGTAGATTTTGTTTAGTTTCAGCCTTGTCTGACCTCATAACCTATTCCACTCGTTATTAGATGACATGTTTGCGTACAATGCTAACTCGTCTACTCGAATAGGTACTACTTGTTCTACTACAAACCCATCCTATTCACATGAGGATATCTTGAACGAACGGGCGGACATAAATGAACCCTCGTCCCTTTTCTCATTCAAAACGAGGACGTACAATCCTTGTGAGAGGAGGATCACGGGGGATTCTTGTTGAGAATTCGTCAGCTGATTGTGTCTTGTTGACTCGAGCGTATCATCGTTAGAGGGTTTGGGACGTAGCTAACATGTCTCGGTAGGTATTGCCATTTCTATCTCCTGGTTATTATCCTCGTAAAATGATGATCATTATTCACACTGTTTGATCCTGTCCAATGGGCTTGGAAATGAACATTACAAAAAATTCTGATTTAATGAGGTATGCGTCTATACTGATATTGGCAATTGTAACTAAAGCTAACATAAGTAGACTGATAACTTTACTTATTTACACTTCGGTTGTTGTACGCCTTGGTTGACGTCGCTAACTCGATGGTCGCGATAGGTAACTTAAGCTTTACACATTCTCGAAAACGTATTATTCTTTGAAGGTTAGTGGGTTCTCTCTATACTTAATTGCAAGCCTCGCGGATGATAATCTTCTGCATAATGTCGGAGTTCTTCATGACGAAACTTTTCCGTTCTATCACCTTGGAGAACTGAAGAGGCTAGAAGCATTTTCTTGATTGCATATATTATATGTTAACATAGCTAACCTTTCTTAAGAGATTTTATAGTTGTTCTTAGTATAGAACTACGTGTATGTGTGATTCTACTGGGGAGCATTAAGCTATTGGATCAAGTAGCTACATATGTAGTGGTTCTGTTGGCGCGTTTGAGTCTGGGACGGGAGATAGTTTATAATCCTTCTGGATTAGACATAATAATACAATGACACTGAATAAGTGCCATAAGCTACTTTATGTTACGTCTACAACAACTGTGTCTAGGTGTGCATACTATCCGGATGTTAAGTTACTTCTAACGAGTCGGTGCCTTCTCTACCTACATTAAGTGCGAACGCTGTGGGCATGGATTTTCTGGGGAAAGTGGGTCTGTATTACCAATTGCCGCGTCGATTGGGGGTCTGGACCCTGTTGCATCATTGATTTACACTACCTCTTCGGACCTCCTACAGTTATGTAGCTGTATGTTCTTTCTCTTGTAATACACATGTATCAACGTATGCCCCGCTACTACCGTTCCAGATGAACTAAGATTCTTAGTCTGGATCAGGCTTTATTAACGTTTTCGTATCATTTCCCGTACGATATCTCTGTAGACTTTAGATTTGGTCACATTGTTCGATTTAACGAGTCAACCCTATTAGTTCATGTAGCTCTTGCATCGCCAACGGGACTTACATATGTACATAACTACCTTTAGGTAGACAATAAAGTAAGTGGTGTCATCCTCAAGCCACCGATTAAGGTAGCGGGGAGTGTCAATCGAAATGCTCTGATTCGATCTTACTGATATGAGCTTCCGAGATCTCCTTGTTCTTATTACTTTGCGGGGTAAAAGAGTGGTCGTTTTGTACATCGCTCCCCTATCAGGCAAGTATGGAGCTATACCTCGTCTATGACGTTCATCTGTCTGAACGAGCTTGTATGGGTACATGTTACCTCATAATCCAATTACTGCTGCTTTCACCTTGTTGCTCGTCATATTCATGTACTGTACCTCTTCGGATAACGCAGAATACTTTACACTAACTTAAGGTGGTACGATCTGGACAGAGAGGAATTGGACTAAGGGTAGGATAGTCTGATAGTCAACCCGATGTTCTAGTTCATTGGTGAAGTCATCACCGGGAGTCTATCCCCGAGCGCTGGGTGGCTCCCTCGCTGATCAATCAACTTGGCCTAGACAATGGAAGGGGTGCAGTAGCTTAGTGTATGTATGTGCTTGCATCTATTATCTTGCGTAGTAGTATCGATAGGTCTAGGTAGGTAGGGTAGCTATCACTCATCCCCGTTGGTGTCTGTCGTCGTTTGATTATAAAGGTCGCGTGGTTTTGTTCGGTACACTGTGAACATACATACATAAAAGGGATCAATCCCTCCTCTTCCCACCTTTTCTCTCGTTTCCCTATTATATTCATCATCACACTCATCACTCAGAAATCCCACACTTCCCCTACGTGAATAGTATTTTGTGAACCCATATTATATCAAATCTCAAGTCGATCGACATCCCTAATATCATCAACATGGATAGCGACAAGGCAAATAACCCTACACCGGCAGGTCCCTCTCGACGAAGAGTATGTTCTCTCTTTTCTTCCTAATATGTTATCTTGAACGACCACTTTCCTCAATTGTATTTCATTACTAACACGCACTACTTCTAGGGCTCTGGACCAACCTTCGAAGGCCTCATGAGCCAGAAACGAGCCAGCGACCCCAGTTCCCTTGCTCGACGTGCTAGTCTCCATGACCAGAAGCCCCAGGCAGGCTTCTTCGGACAGATGTGGCACAAGTGAGTTCTCCCATATCCATTTTCCTTCTTCATCATGTAAGAGAGGTAACTTAGACTGACCACGACACCGAACTATAGCTTCACACGCGGCCCGCAGAGCCCTACTAAATAAACTCACCTACAATGGATACCTACCTAATTATGAAAGCACACGGATTGAATGATTGTCATGGTGTATTGATAGGGGATATAAACCCCGACGGAACTCTACCACACACATGCACGCACGCACACTTGGCGAAATATGGGAGAACTGAAGTTTCAGATACCAATTGCTGGTAGAGTGCTCATCAACCAGACTGTAGGATATGAAGATAGCCGCCTGCAATGTTGAGACGGGTGGGGGAAAAGACGACCGGCGTCTACTTGGCGATGTATTATTGTTAGGAATACGCACTTAGCAATATCACAAACAGAAGTTTACAAGTACTTGGCCTTGTTTTTATTTATTGTTGTGAAGCATCTTACTGTCGTGTGGTCTTAGTAAAACTACCTTGTGCCGTATAAGCCTCATCAATCTATTGTGCTTATTTAGGAATAAAAAGTAGATATGTCATGCTAGATCAGACGGTTATTTTCCATGATATGATATATAGATCTCATGTCAAGTACCTAGAACTACACTCTAGATAGTAGGCCAACTACATCACCAAATCGTACACATCACAGAAATATATCTCGAAAAGAAACAAGTGGAAGCAATGTCTGGCTTGAATCCAAGCTATCCAGCACTATCCTATGCAAGAGAATCCAACGGCATCCCACTTAGACAGAAACCCCCCACCAGTTGCTCCCTGTTGTCAATTTTCTTAGTTTTTTTTTTTAGTGTCTTTCCTTCTTTTCTTTTTAAAATTTAAATAAGAGAAATGTATATCCTAAATGTAAAATAGAAATTTTCTAAGGAACCTGCCATGTTCCCAACCGCGGGATGATCAAGTCGGTTGTTTTGTATCGCCCGGATCAGACGCGTTTCCAATCGAGCCGGGGGCCTTTGAGACAGTGCGGGCGAACCCGCGAAACCTGTCCGCAGAGAGACGCGACCAGCCCAGCCCCAAGTCAGACAAGACCTACAGGAATCCTGTGGCGTTGTGGACCTTTTGCCTTCCTACCAAAACTAGCTCCCACGCCTCCGGGTGGCTTCGCACCGGTTCCGGGGACGACCCGAAGTTGGTGCGAAAGAGGCAGCATTAACGGCGTGGGAAGGGTTCTCCTCGGCCTAGTCCGAGACGCTGGCTCCGGAGCAAAGTAGCTTCTGCCGAGGTTCGCTAGAGAGATTGATGACTATATAAGTCTTGACGGATCATCTCTTGCGTTCCGGCATATTGCCCTTACTATCGCGCTTATCTCCTTCAGAAAGAACCCAAGTATATGGAGGTACAGACAGCCGTTACCTCAGGCTCAGGGCGACGCAGAATTATATTTCTCGTCTCAACACCATCATGAGCCGTGAGGAGCCGTCCCGTGATGCCGGCGTAATATGCCGAGGCACCTCGGTTGTATAGATCAGCTCGATTGCTAAAAACTTCGAACAAAAAAAGGGTATTTAGGCTTCCCCTACGGAAGATCCCCAATAAAGAGAAAACCCCAATCCCAGAGTCAGCACTTCGCTGGCTAGCCGGGTCGTGAAATGGACCGGTATAGGCATACAAGGTCGCATCCATGACCGCCATTTAGCGCAAGCAAAAATTTTGGAGCGCTCGGCGTGTAAGACCAGCATCATCTCATGATCGAGATGCTGTAATTTAATGCAGCAAACGATGCCCTTTATAGTAGCAATAGCTACTATGTCGATGATTTACGAACATTTTTTGTTCGTGTCTTAATTAGTGTATCGGTAGCCCTGGAATATGTATATGAAACAGCAAGCAATAGCCTCGGTGTTTTGCATTACAGGTTCAGGATCAGTTATGCCACCCGATAATTCATGGAGTAATCCTTTGAACTCCACAAAAAAAGAGAACTCTGGAGAAATGAAATCCAGAGGAAGTCGTCCGGGTATCATTACCCGGAGCGAAGAAGGCCGTTTATCGTCGTGCCCAGGACGATGACTGTGGAGATTACCGTGTAGCTATACAGTGTATTAGAGGTATGTATTGAAGTTATTTGGTTTCCTTGGAAAACTTACATTACATTGGCGCTTGAATTGTCCCCGGATTCTTGTGAACGCCTGAAATTCTAGGTCAAATAACAAATTTGCCGTACCGTATCTATCCGCATAAAGAGTCGTTGCTTTTACCAGATATTACCTCATCGTTGATGTCGTACATGCCGAATTGGAACTTGGTCGAACGTAGAAGTCTAGATCGTATATCTACATGATCTAGCATGTTAGCCGCCGACTCGTCGAACAGGGTACAGTGTACAAGGGACAGTGCTCACCCTATATGACGAATAGCGCTATATGACCTCTAAAGTGCCGATAAATTAATAATCACATGAAACTCATTATATTCGTTCATACTGTGGTAGCTGTACATGCGCGATGTCGTTGCCTGAGGCAAACGCAATACCACGCTAAAGAAGGCCTTTTCAATGTCTTGTCGAAGACTTGGCATTAAACCCGGATCAACTAGATCTACGTGGCTGCTCGTAGGCCTTTTTTCTTCATTCCGTCATGCCTAGGACCGTCAACGTCGGAAGTCCATATGTGCTCCGCGACTACTTGGGCCTTTTATCGTCCTGCCCAGGACGACACGACGTGACGCGGAGCCGACTTATCGAGGAGTGACAACGAGGGGTTACATCATTTAGAGAGTTCCTCTAAAGGAAGACGCGGGAGAGGTGGGGTTATATACCCGAGACTCTTAAAAGTCATATCTAGATAAAAGTTATGTTAGTCTACATGATTGTATGACGATGATCAGGAAGGGGGAAATAAGCTCACCGCCACATTCCGACTACGGTATATAGGCTAGAAGATATGACACTATAGCATCATCTTTTAAGGCGCTATGCTCGCCCTAATGAAGGGAATAAGTAAAGACGCGCGCCATCGGCTAGGCAATGCCCCACCGGACTTATATAGTCAACGGCTCGTAAATTTGGGTTTGAGCATTTTCTAATAGCTAACGATACGTATTGGAAACCAGTGAGCTATGCCAACACAAGTAACCGTAGTATTAGTTCGATGGATATTAAGTACGGAAGACGCGTATCCATTGTGGAAGTTGGAATTTGGAATGTAAAAGTAGAAGATTAAAGTAGAAGATAAGGCTTTTAGGTTTAGCAACCCGAGTGTCTGCCTTATTGGGTTTCACTCATTACGTAATTGAGATTTGTCATCCGGATTCGTACTGGCGGGGAGTATGTTTTTTCCCGAATACCGGGTGGATCCGGATTGATGCGGCTCAAGTTTAGTTGTTGTTCAGTCTTGACGACAACTTATATGATGTAAGTAGGAAAGGTAGGTAGGTAGTTATGTTATATATGATTTCTTGTTAGGCGGGATCTCGATTTTATAAGTTTTCCTTCAGATGGATGATAAATTAATTCTCTGTATTGGCCTCTTTCTTACACTGTTTTAGTAATTTAACACTCTAAGACTAATAAGAAAAAGGGCATAGTGTATTTTCTCATAAAGTGCGAACCTAATAGTTCCAACATAAGATGAAAAAATCTTTCCCTACAAACAGGCTATCACCTTCTTAATTTAACTAAATCATTTCTTATGTTTTTTTTGTGTCTTCCAATATTTTGTTTGCTTTGGTCCCTTGCGCATCGTACTTTGACCTAAGTTCGCACCTTGGAAAATAGTGTGTATGGCAAAACAGAAGAACGCTGCTATGACCTACCATTTGGTACATTCCTCAACGTGTTTACTTGTCTTTTTGATTTAGATTACTATGTGTATGATACTTAATGGACTGTATCACGCTTTCAATTGGTGGCCGTGAAAAGGGGGAGGGAGAACATGATACGGTCTGAAATCAACTCAATCATTTACTAGAGTCTTAACTAGAGTCTTAGGATGCTAAGACCCCGTAGCTCAATGTATCATCACGAACACGCTCCTGAATGCTTCTGGACGTGCCTACCTTGCTTGGGTCTCCCTGTACCCCCTAGCTTGCTGGTGCGGATCATAGATCCGGAACCGGTACTATGTGTACTATGTAAGCCAATGCGCCTTTCTCTTACTTCTAAGGTCTCTTCGAAATAATTATACTTTGACATTTCACGAGATAAGCGGAATCCTGCGAAGAATTGTTGTTAATAATTCAAATATTCTTATTTGAGTAGCAATAGGTAGATATGAGTGTATACCTACCTAACCTACATATATAGGTACTTTTGAGTGGTGGGTAGTAGCGGATTTGGAGTAAGAAATTTATGTGGCTGACGTGGCTGGACATGTTCCCAGGTCAGTCCCACGATCCGGCCAGGTAAGCCTCATTTTTAATATACTTGACCTGACTTGCATAAGGTCGAGTTTGCACGATTATTTAGCTTGGGTAATTGATCTTTTCCATAAAACACTATAAGAGCAAACGTTGATGTTTAGAATTATGGAGTCGATATTCAATTACTAGAGATAAAAGACGGAGGAATAGTTGAGGGGCAGCCCTGAAAGTAGGCAGAGCTCTTGGCGTCAACGCAATATATGGTAAAAAGAAAAGGAAAAAAAAAACAAATAAACAGATGATGTCCAGACTTGGAGTATGTTGAATCGCATATCGCGGGCCTTAGGAGTACGGTAAATAAATCCGACCGGCCTGGATATGCGTAATCCTTGGGAAACCCCCCGGTGATTCCTACTTCTCTCTTGTTTCTTATTGCCGTGTGACACAAGTCAGACGCGTCGTATGACCTGGCTTATGGCGTAAAAGTCCGAGCCTGGCGCCGACGACTCCGTGTCAAATCGGCTTTGTGCACGATCTGGCTCCGGGTCTACTTAATATAGATAGATCCTATCGGTACTTGATATTAATATGTGAGCGATTGGACACCAAGGGTGAACGGCCGCTGAAACTACTACTATATACCAAGAAGCTACTAAGATCTAACCGGAAATGGAGAGTAGAGCAGTCCCAAGTACCAATAATGGTGATAATATAAAGATTGCCATCATCGGAGGTGGCATTGTGGGTGTTGTGACCGCTCTAGGCCTGTTAAAACGTGGTATCAATGTCGAACTGTACGAGCAGGCACGAAGTCTTCGAGAAATCGGTGCTGGTCTCGCTTTCACTACCAATGCCCAGAGATGCATGGAATTGCTGGATCCAAAGATATTGGCTGCTATGAGGGCCGTATCAACCAAGAATGTTATTCCTTATTATAACTACGTTGACGGCTTCCACTGCGAGAGCGACGATCAAAATGACATGAGCGAAAAGCAGCTCTTCCAGCTATATGCTGGGAACACGGGCTTCGACGGCTGCCACCGGGCCCATTTCCTTGATGAATTGGTGAAGCATCTGCCTCCGGACGTCGTCAAGTTCCAGAAGCGGTTGCACACTTATACCGTTGGAGATGGTGGGTTAGGAATCACGTTGAACTTTGTGGACGGAACAAGCGCAACAGCGGACGCAGGTAGGTAGAAATATCCTTCAGAACCGTAAAATGAAGCCTACTAATCATATTCTGGCATTATAAGTAATTGGCTGCGATGGCATCAAGTCTCGAGTGCGCCAGCTCCTTTTTGGGGAAGACAATCCCGCCTCGTACCCAAGCTACGCCCATCAAGTCGCCTACCGAGGTCTGATACAGATGGATAAGGCACTCGCGGCTTTGGGTGAGGAAAAGGCGCTCAATCAATGTATGCACATGGGACCTAAGGGCCACATCCTGAACTTCCCCGTGGCCCAGCATACTCTTATGAACGTAGTAGCCTTTGCCGACGATGAGGGCGAATGGCCTCACGAGAAGTTGACGGCACCGGCTACGAGAGAGGAGGTGGTAAGGTATTTTGAGGGCTGGGGACCTGCCGTGAGGACTATCGCGGGACTCCTAGACGACTCACTCGACAAGTGGGCGATATTCGACACCTACGATCACCCGGCACCAACTTTCTCGAAAGGTTGTATCTGCATTGCTGGTGATGCTGCGCATGCGACTTCTCCGCATCACGGTGCCGGCGCGGGCTTTGGCGTAGAGGATGCTCTGGCCCTCGGCACAGTTATACAAGAAGCTATTACGACGCTGAAAGCCGGAGGAGCGAGTAAGGAGGCTGTTCTTTCCGCATCGTTCCGGGCATATGATGCTGCGCGACGCGAGCGTGCCCAGTGGCTTGTAAGGAGCTCCCGCCAGGTTTGCAAGACCTACGAGTGGGCAAATCCAGACTGCGGGGACGATCCGGAATTATGCTTGAAAGACATAGAGTGGCGCGCGCACAAGATCTGGTACTTTGATATTGACGGCATGATAAGGGACGCTAAATCGGCGTATCAGAAACTCGTACAGAATTGTCTAGATGGTTAGAAAGAAGGACCTTGATAATCTTGTGCTTGATGTATGGTCCTTGGTATTTAATAGCAATCCTGAATTAATTCTAGAATACTCCCTACGTATAACTAGTTGAATAAGAAAAGGGGTAAGTTTAGAAGTTAAGGCTGCAGTGGATTCTCTGGCAGCATACGATACTCCAACATCATAGAATACTGGTATTTAATTAACTATGGAGTAACTGAAACTAAATTTGAGACTAAATGCTCCTTGACTAGGACTAGAATACCCTTGGCAAAGGTTGCATCGTAAAACGCCTCATTGTATACTAGTCGAAGCGTAAGTCGACCGTTGAAGACCCATGCAAAAACATACAGGTGGCGAGAGACCACGTCGATTCCAATCCCAATATCGTGTACGACGAACGACGTAGTCGCGTCTCCATATACGCTTTTTACTAGACCGAAAGCGTTTGGTATGTACGAGAAGTCTAAGCCACTTGGGGGAGGGTCAGGTATAGACGCCTTTTTCAAATTGTTTCGCATGATCAGGGCGTACTGCCGGCGAGAACAGAGAAGGTCGGCTGTAGCACCCTTGACGTACTCAGCATGATACTGTCTCGCATTTTCTAGCCATGATTGCGTCGCAGGCACTTTGGCCATGTACCCTGCGGTGTAAAGACCTGCCGCTCCTGCTACTCCATCATATGGTGCTGGTAGGTGTGGTCGAAGACTCTGACGCATGGTACTGGTGTGGTGTTTGTGATTTGTTGTTGAAGTTGAGATAGTGTATGCGGTTGCTGTTACTGCGGCATGGAGAGCAGCGTGTAGCTCGATACCGAGCTGGCGGCATCTAGCTTCTAAATTTGCTGTCTCGTCTGCCGAAAGTGGGAGGAGCGCACTCCTCGTAGCCTTGGGGACAAGGCCCACTCCCGATTTATACGGCGTCCCCAGTGCTCCTATGTTATTCGCCAGGGTATCCAGGTACTTCTTCACTGCGCGCTCAATGTCAAGAGATGGCGTCCGTGGTAAGCTTAAAGCTTCTTCGACACTGGGCACTAGACGGATAACTTCCTCACCCCATGGTAACTTGGGTGGTTCTTCTTGTAAGGCCTCAGCGGATGCCTCTAGGTATGCATTTAGGATGTGAAATGCGCCAATTCCGTCGGTACGCCAATGTGACAGGTGGAGAAGGACAGCGACATCTTTCCTCATAAAATAGAGTGTAGGAAAGCGTTTGGGAGTAAGGGAGGCGATAATATCGTCTAGAGTAACATTCTCTTCTACAGTGACGAAGGTCTCGTCTACCCACTCCTCGAGGTCGAGAATAGTAGGCGTAAGATAATTGAGGGTCTCGTCATTAGATGTGCTAGCAATGGAAGGGTGGCGAAAGCGTAGTGTTTTCCACCCATCACGAAGTGCTTTGGACAGTTGATTTAGTTCAACATGAGTTGTAAGGCTAGCCGTTACCGAAATAGACCATACGTCTTTTCCTAGCTGTCGACCCCCATCACCAATCATCTTGATCATCGCTTCATTTTCGCCAATCGGCCGCTGCCAGGATCCGGTCTGTGTCTCAATCCAAGCCATTATGAACAGAAGGGCTAAAGTTGAGTTATAGATTGAGTTGTAGAATTGTTGAAGAACCCATAAGGGCCTGGAATATTTCACAAATAATAAACACTATGATCGATGCCTCCTAGCCACTAACCAGGAGTCTACTTTGGTAGGTACAAAGGTGGATAGTTCCCGTGGACTTCCTGCTTGAGTAAATGTCACGATACCAAGCATCGGAACCCGGAGTAGCATTACGGGCAGTAAATGAGGCCTCGCCTTAACTCAACTCATTAATCCCATCGCTGCCTATAACAATGCTGGCATGCATCTCGAAAAGATAGTTGAGGTTTTGATAGATCTGAATCACTTCAAAATGCACGACACACTTACTTACCCCGAAAACATGCAGGCCGTCAAGGTGCGGGGGCCCAATGACCTCTTCATTGATTCGGCGGCGCCTGTACCTACTCTACGCCCTGGCTACCTATTGATCAAAGTCTTTAGCGTTGCGCTCAACCCCACCGACTGGAAGCGAGTGACCATCTTTGATGGAAAGGTACCACGTACCGTCGGCTGTGATGTTGCTGGTCGTGTATTTGCATGTGGCGAGGATATCGGCCAGGATTACAAGCCGGGTGATCGGGTAGCCGGACTCTGCTACGGCATGAAGGAAGAAGATCCTACTAGTGGCGCTTTCGGTGAGTATGCGCTGCTCAAAGGCACACTGTCTCTGCCCGTACCAGACCACGTTAGCGATTTGGAAGCAGCGACAATTCCGGTCGGTACCAATTTCGTCTGTCAAGGTATGATATTATTGCTTCGGATATAGCATGTGTAACAAAGCCGCTTACCAACACAATAGCATTGTACCATACACTGAAGCTTCCGCTTCCCACGTTGCATTTCGAGCCTCCCGATTCGAATGCTCCTACTATACTCATCTATGGTGGTGCCACTGCGTCTGGGATGTTCGGGCTGCAGTATGCGCGCCTTTCGGGGTGGCGGGTTCTAACAACTTGCTCGCCTCGTAATTTCCAGCTGGTCAAAGCTCTGGGCGCTCATGAGGCGTTTGACTACCACGATAGCGAAGCTTGCGCTGCAGAGATACGCACGGCTACGAACAATGATCTTTGTTATGCATTCGACTGCGTGTCGGAGGGTTCTAGCCTGCAGATATGCGCCGATGCTCTCACATCAAAGTCTGGTGTAGCTGTATACACTGCAAGCTTACCTGTAGGTGATAAGTTCCCCAGGCAGGACATACAGTATGGTTGGACATCGGGATACACTGGTGAGTTCCTCGTATAATCTATCGGATCGGAGCATCTCTAATCTCTACTAAGCTTTCGGTGACACGACTCATCTTACGGGTAAGCTTCGACCGACGAATACGGTCGATCTTTCATATGCAGGCGATTTATGGAAAATGACGGCCGAATTATTGCGACAAGACCGACTCCGACTGGGGCCTCTGGTACATAGCTGCGAAGGGGGGTTGACTGGAATACCGAATGGTTTGTCCAAGCTCAGAAGCGGCCAGGTTGGCGTAGGCAAGCTTGTGTATAGAATCGGAAACCATTAGTAGTTCCTACAAGGCGTGTCGGAGAAGTGGGAGTGAATAATTACCTAAGCTTGTTGCCTCTAATTGTGCTCATACATATCGATGTTGGCTCGGTGTGATGCCGAAAAGATGTGTAACCCACCGAGGTGTGGATGTTGGCTTATAGCCGGGCTTATATCGTTAGCTTCGGCAACTGGCAACGTTAGAGATGATAGAATCGTCCGACAACTCCGGTAATAATTCCGACTAATTGATAAATGATCACCGGATTATGCATACTATGTGATTACTAGATATTGATTACCTACCTACCTACCTAACCTAGGTAGGTAATGATGGGTGAATAGCAGCTTGTTGTCTGGCATGTGCTAATGGTGAAGATGGAGAGTCTATAGTGGAAGCGTCGCGAACTGGATGATGCCCGTTTAGTTGGCTTACCTAAGGGATTAGAGGTCCCTGCTCAAAGTTCTACTATGTATTCCGTACCTAAGTACCTAGACAGGTACATGTAAAGGTTGTAACCTAAGGGGTTCGCCGAGCAATACCCGATGATTACCTACCCTATCCCATTCATAGACCGCCAACATGGGTCACGATAACCTCGTTTTATCCCCTTTTGGGTAACAGGTAATAATGGCTACCCTTTGTTTAAACTACCTAGGTACCTACCTAAGGCTTCAGCAAATTTATGGCTTATGTAGTTTACTTGTCGCCCCCCTTGAGAGATCATGTTTCTAGCAACGCAACAGAATATTACCTCTATTTTGGAAAAAAGTAATTTTAAGTCTTATCTATATTATGTTATATAGCTAGATTTAACATAATTCCTTGTTCGAAGCACCTCAGACAGCTTGACTCCTTGCTAGTACGAGCTCCGCGAAATCCAGCAACGACTTACTCTGCGTGATCTCGAAGATGGACACTTTAGCCTTAGCTGCTATCGTGAGCCAGTTTCGTAGCTGAACTGAAACTAGAGAGTCAACCCCGTGCGTAGTCATAGACGCGGTGAGATCTACTTCTTCGACCGGTACGCCGAAGATAGTAGCTAGTCGTGTTGCTACCGCGGCCGCAACAAGCTTTGTCTTCTCGGTAGGTGCGTCGAGGGCTCGTGCCATCATATTAGTCGGGTTGGCTGCTTCTTCGACCGTCGTGGAATCGGCTCTCACCGCCCCGCGAGGACTAGCTAGCCGTAGTGTACCGAAGCGAGGATCTTGTCGGACAGGACAGTCCTCTGGTAACTGATCCCATGTTCTTAAACCGATGATGACTTGGGAATCATCTGGCTGAATGCGCTCAGGTCCGAGAACTACAGCCTCGAGGATGCGTAGTATGGCATCTATATTGAGCGAGACAGAGCCGAGAGCCTCGATTCGGGCACCCGCAGAGTTTTTTCCTGTCGCGGTATTCTCGTCGGCAACGTAGCCGACGTCGGTGACGGCACTGAGATCAAGGCTCACGGAAAGCAGGCCATCCCGCGTCCGATATCGTGCTAAGGCGTCCTGGAAGCTATTTCCGGCAGCATAGTTGGCCTGTGATGTGTGTCCAACTACGCCGGTTAGCGAAGATAATAGGACAAAGAACGATAGGTTAGGTAGATTGTTATGTATGTTGATGCTGCTTTGGACCCTGCTTTGTATTACATGTTGCCATTGTTCGAATTCCATACGTTCCATAATTGTATCCTTAAAATGACTTTTTATTAGCGTGGCCGATCATGGTATGCTAGACATAGGGGAAGCAACTGAAACTTACATCCAGAACCATAGCTCCATTTACGACACCTTTTATTGGCGGTAAAGAGATAGAAGAGCAATATCTGAGAAGCTCTAAAAGAGCCTTCTCATCCGACACGTCGCAATTCTTCACGTGGACATTGCAGCCCCCCTTTAAGCCTTTTTGTATGAGCTCCTTTGCACTTGGGTGTGACTCGGCAGTCCTTGATACAAGAAGGATGTTTTTGGCGCCCTTTTCTATCATCCACAAAGCAATAGAACGACCGAGGCCGCCCAAGCCACCAGCTATCATGTATGTAGCATTTGCATTTGTAAGTGAAATCGAGCGTGGCCGAATAACGACCTATTTTATTGTTAACAGGAAGATTTAGAATTAGAGGACGATGATATATCGGGGAAAACTCACGTTTACCTTGTCTTGATCATGCAGAATAACTACGAGCTTGCCGACATGACGCCCACTCTGCATCCGCTTCACGGCCCTCTCCAACTCGGAGATCGAATATCGTTCAATTGGATATACCGGACCCTTTCCTAATCTTACCCTTGCGTGACCGATACGCATACCCTCGACCAGAGCTTCACGAGTACGTAAATGATCGTACTCGTTTAGTAGGGCGATGTCAAACCCAACATACGTTGCACAGCGACCAAAAGGGGTTATGTCTAGTCGCCTCGCCGCCTCGATATCGGATTTGCCAATTTCGACGAATCGACCAAAGGGGGCAATGCAGCTCCACGTTTCCTTCAGCAAAGGCCCAGAGAGGGAGTTAAGAATGACATCAACGCCCCTGCCGCCGGTAGCTGTCATGATACCTGGTGCAAAACTAATATCCCTGCTTGAATAAACGCGTTCAACACTGAGGCCGTAATTCTCAACCAGCATATCTCTCTTTGCTTCTGTGCTGCAGGTTACGAACACGTCAGCTCCGATATGCTGGGCGATAATGATGGCTGCCTGGCCGACTCCTCCAGCGGCTGCATGGATCAAAACGGTCTCGCCTCTAGCCAGACCAGCAATGCGTACGAGAGAGTGATAAGCGGTAGCATAGGCAATTGGAATTGCGGCTCCTTCTTCCCAAGAGAGGTCTTCAGGAAGCTTCGAAACGCTGCTCCAATGCGCCAGGCTTGAACTGGCAAGATGTCCGGAGACAATTCCGCAAACCCTATCGCCAACCTTCAGGTCGCTCTGCTCCGTATGCTGCCCCAATCTTGTAACAATACCGGCGCAGTCATGGGCAACAACCGCATCATGAGGTAGTTTACCCAACACACTCATAATATTTCGGGAATTTAGTCCAAACGCTCTTGTTTTAATTTCTACCATCCCGTCAGGTAAGTCATCGTATAGCACTTCATCCATAAAACTCGCATCACTTAATAAACCTGTACTGGACGGTTCCAAAACGAATTTACGACCTGGTTGATAAAACAGTTGCGGCTGGGGGATTTGGTCAGTATTATTACCGCCCCCTTTCTGATCCGCGTAGACCCTGGGAACGTAAAGATTAGAATCCTTTACTGCATACTCCCAATCGATACTGCCACTCTCCTTATTATAGTCAAAGGTCTGCTGAAAGACATGGAGGACGAAATCTATCTTATCTTCGGTCCACGGGATAGTGCTTTGCTCAAAATCGAGCTGGACGTATCGATTGTTCGAGTGCTCTTGGCGCAAGGTCCGCAACAAACCTTGAGTTTGAGCAAATTGAGGCACTTGGGGGTCAATCATGCTGCCACAGCTTAGCCAGAGTACTCCTCGACTGTTGACAACTAGATTCTGTATCATCCCGAAAGAAGCGGCGTCGGCCTTTTCGAGGAAAGGTGCATCCATTTCAGCCGTGAGAATGCAGACCTTATCTTGAATCGACTTCACCTCTCCCAAGTTCTCCACGGAAGGTGAAATGCCAGTCCGTTGCTGTATCGTCTCGGCAAGCTGCTTTACCCATTTTTGAGAATATGGCGCGATGTTCACGATAGAAATTCTCAATGGGTAAGACGGCGTCGCCACGGCAGTAGTCAGAATGATACTATTGCTCTTGAACTGGTTCTCTTCGCAGTCTCCAATCTCAAAGTCAATGCCTGAAAAGCCGGAATCCTTCAACAGGCCATCCCAAGTCTGTAACGACATGTTTGGACTGTTTCTTCGGAATGACTCCTCGCTAAGCCACCATCCCGGGAGTAGCCCGAATATCAGTTGTGTATCAAGTCGATCTTGTGTGGCTTCGATTAGAAGGAGCTTTCCTCTTGGTTTAAGGAGTTGACGAACGTGCGAAAGCGTCTTGTGCATGCTCTTAGTTGCATGGAGGACCATGGAGGCAACAATAATGTCGTAGGTACCAGTGATTGACTGGGTAGCTGGGTCTGTTTCGATGTCAAGTTTTATGAAATCCATCATGCTTGTCCACCCCGCCAACTTCTTCTGGGCGGCCTCAAAAAACCCAGCTGAAACGTCGGTGAATGTGTAATGGCCAAGAAGAGATCCGGAGCCATCTCCATGGGGACTAAAAGCTTCTAGAACTGGTTGCGTAGTTCCTCCTGTGCCTGCTCCTATCTCAAGAACGTTAGCCCCTGGGTTCTTGATAGCGATTCGTCCTACGAGTTCCTTTAACTGTTTGTATGTACGAAACTTAAGCCGAGGAAGTTCCATATAGTATCGGTTTAATAGGTCACCTTCTAGCATGAGCTCGAGTGGCATAATCTCTCCTCGAATGATCCTAGTGAGAGCGCGGCCAACCCGCACCACAAGCTTTCCAGATGCATCCCCAGCATCGAGTTCATCGTTTAGCATTTGCTTCATTCCATTCGAGGCTCTTGACCACGCTTTACAACCGGGACTCAAGGTACCACTAGTACCAAGTACGACCACTTGCTCCATCCAATTGTAAAATACTTTATGATGCCAGGCCCAGCTTTTTTTCTCGTCTCCTTTGAGCTGAGCTACAGCGTCGTATATGAAGTAGTACGATGCCCGAAGGAGTTTCTTCTCGGAATCTGCCTCCGTATCGTTCAAGAAGATTTTCATAATGTCTTTGATAGCGGCGGGGATCTGGTATGATACATCGATTTCCCAATGGCTCTTAGAGCAAAGTGGGTATTGTTGGTCTTGTGTGGTGTCGTCAAAATTCATGGGGATAGCTTGACAGTGGAAATCTTTGATTCGAAGAAACGAGATTGACGAGGCGTCACTGTTACTCCCAGCGTTCGAAACCACGACGTTCGACGTAAAGCCACGTTTACCTGACTCACGTAACTCGGTATAGACTTTGAGTTTGCTGCCAGCTTGTCTTTCTAAGCTGTAAGGTACGTACATCGAATCCATTGATCTAGGGAGTACCATAGACCCCTGATAGAGCCTCTTTTGTAAGCCGCCATATGTAGCTTGGATAATGGTGTCTAGTGTTGTAGGGTGAATGATGTAGTCAAAGGTTTCAGAGGCTACCGCTGGAATAGATAAACCTAAGATTGCCTTCCCGCCCGCAGCGACACCACCGAACAAATTCTTAAAGGCTGGCCCATGATGGAGGCCCATCTGTCGCATAGTAGCATATACTGACTCTGCGTCGACGTCTCGCTTGTTCGCGCTAGAAGCGAAGAATGAATCTTCTCGAGGGCTTTCTGTATCACGAAAGAGTGATGACCTATTAGAATTATCCATCTCAACAGAGACGAATCCGGAACAATTCTTGATTAGAGTGTCATTGTCTATAGAGCTTATCACAAACTCGTACCAGCCTATATGGTCCATCTCCTTCTCGCTGCACGGCCGAAGATGCGTATGCACTTCGATCCCACTCGAGGATTCTGGAATCGTTAAAGCATTTACGATATCGACATCCCTTAGCCGGAATCCCTGAATGTTCGAACCGACATCTTTGAGGAGACGGGCAGCCTCAATGGCCATTGAAATGTAGCCGGCGGCAGGGAAAATAACCTTAGAGTCGACCTGGTGATCAATGAGCCACGGGAGGTCCGATAAGCGTAAAAAGTTCCTCCAGGGGGCTATTGGTTCAGTGCTACCAGAAATAGGAAGACCAAGAAGCTCATGTGGAGGGAACTTCTTATAACGAGTATCCTTATTGATCCTCGGTTCTACCCAGTATCGCGTGCTGTGGTTCCATGGATATGTAGGTAGGTCTGCTATAAAAGCCGGTGTTGCCTCGCTTAACGGTTCGTTTACTGCGCTTAGGTCCACTGGATAACCCCGTGCTAATAGCTCGCAAACGAGACTCTGCATAGTCTCAACGGCGTCAATATTTCTCTTTAGACAAGCCGCATATGCTATCTTTCTACCGTTGAGAATTTGCCTAATAGGACCCGCGAGGGTACTGTGTGCTCCCACCTCCACTACCATGTCCACATTTGCGTCAGATTGACATATGCTTTCAAATGCTTCGCTGAAGCGGACAGGATTAGTAAGGTTACGAGCCCAGTGCTCTGGTGTCAGGATGTCAGGGGAGACGATATTGCCCGTTACCGGTGACGCAAATACAACATCCTTATCCCACCCTCTGTATCCAGGGACAATATCACGACAAGCCTCTATATAATCCTGAGCCATTGGCAGCATGTGGTGAGAGTGATACGCAAGAGGGACCTTTAATTTCCTGGAGAATTTTCCATCTTTTTCTAGTTGCGACGCGACCTCGTTGATAGCTGGTTCGTCCCCTGAAAGTGTGACGCTCTCCTGACTGTTAATACATGCGACCACTACACGACCGCTTGTGGTATTCTTAATATACTGGTCAGCCTGATCCGGGCCGACTCCAGCAGCGAGCATACCACCGATGACAGGCGATATCTTGTGATACTTGAGGGCAAGTTCACCGCGGAAGTAGACTATACCGAGAGCTTCCCTGGCTGTTAATGCGTTTACCGCATATGCAGCCGCAATCTCGCCGCTTGAATGACTAGTAACAATTGAAGGAATTATTCCCCATGACTTCAAAAGGTCGACTATGCATAACTGGAGAGCAACGCTTATGGGTTGAGAAAGGTTTATATCTCCCACACGAGTTGAGTGTTCATCGCGCATCAGTTCATCTGCAAATAATTAGCCTTTTTTCCTTAATAGTTTAGGATCAAAGTACCGTATAGAGACCACGTTGCTCCATAGTCTTTTAGGATTTGGTCTGCCTCGTGAATCGCGGCGTCGAAGACGGGATAGGCTGTAATAAGCTCTCGGCCCATCGCATACCATTGAGCACCCTGGCCGTTAAAAACAAATCCCAGACGTGGGCGCCTCGTAGAATGCAACGGTGTTTTCGCTGATGAATGCTCTAGTTGTACCGTTAGTTCCTCTAAGTTGCTGGCCCGAACTGCTATCATCCAAGGGAGTCGCGAGCGTCGTTCAGCCAGGGTGTATGCCAGGCTACTAAGAGATAAGCTGTACCCCCCCTGGCTGGATTGGTGGAGGAAAGCGGCTAGGTTTTTTGCCATTTGCTGGCAAGAGTTTGCGTCCTTAGCACTAAGAAGATAAACCCGATGGGCGCTAGAACTGTGTGCGTCGTCCCGGCAAGTAGTATGCCCATTGACTTTATTCGTTCCAGACTGCACATTTGGCGCACGCTCTAAAATAACGTGAGAATTGCTACCACCATATCCAAAATTGTTGATCGACGCCCGGAATGGCTTCTCCTGGGGCCATGGGGTAAGCTCAGTTGGGACCTTGTTATTCCCCTTAATTAGCGTCCATAGAGACCTGTATACCTGGTAGTTTATATATCTAACTCACCTTTAAGTTCCACTCTTCTAGTTTTATCATTGGATTCTTCTCTTCGTAGTTCATATTGGGCGCGATTTGACCGTGCTTTAGGGAGAGTGCGGTCTTGATGACTGCCGCGAGGCCACTAACAGGCTCCGTGTGTCCTATATTGGTTTTGATGGAACCAACCAAAATCGGACCACCAGTTGTATTTTCCCCAAATGTTGTAGCAAGGGCCTTGGCCTCGATATAATCTCCTACTTTTGTTCCTGTCATATGAGCTTCTACGTAACCTATTTCCGAAAGGTCCAGTCCGGCATTACTGTAGCAAGTGTTAATTAGTTTAACTTGAGCCTCCAAAGATGGTGATGTTATCGTAGATGTCTTTCCGTCTTGATTCAAACCACTTCCTCGAATCATTGCGTGAATACGATCCCCGTCCCTTACCGCGGCATCTACAGATTTAAGAACCAGTACAGCGACACCTTCCCCTCTGCCGTATCCTTGAGCTCGCGCATCCCATGCATAACATTTGCCATCGGGACCAAGAAGCCTTCAAATCGATTAGTTACTGATGTAATTATCAAGAAACGAGAATATGAAGAGATATGAGAATACCCAACGGAAGATAGGCTGATAAACATGTCTTGGCTCAGTATCAAGCTGGACGCCCCAATAATTGACATATCAGACTCGCCCGAACGGATGGCCTGACATCCTTGATGTAATGCTACTAAGCCACCTGAGCAGCCGGTATCAATCGTCATACTAGCCCCTTTCAAATCATAAAAGTGAGAGACGCGATTCGCGAGCATGGTCATAAAGTTGGTTGTCACGAATGGTGTTGGCATTGATTCGGGGTCTCGTGTCTGAATATCTTGGTAGTCCTTAGCGTAGCATCCAATAAATACAGACGTATTTGAGCCGGCAAGCTTCTCCAGTGGGATACCAGCTGATTTTTTCTGGGTCAGCGATAGGAGATACAAGTTGTGTATGGTACTAACCATCTTCTGTCCCTTCATACACCGATTCGAGTAGCATTCTTAACTGGGGATCCATAGACTGGGATTATTTAGTCTGGAGTCCAAATTCCGAAAGACGTTTAATTTGTATGTTCTTACACTTGCTACATCTGCTGGAAAATTGAAAAATCCAGCATCAAATCTAGCCACGTCCTCTTTCAAAAAGTAACCACCAATTGCGTGGCTCTTGAACACAAATCAGCATACTTCTCAATATCTCGTTAATCTAAGCAGGGGCGGCCTACTCTGCCAATCCTCTCCGAGTCCGCATCGTACAGCGATCTCACGTCAAACCGGTCCTTTGGAATCTCTGACCAAGCATCTTGACCACCGGTACAGAGATCCCAGAGCTTGGAAGGACTAGTAGCGTCTCCAGGAAACTTGCAGGCCATGCCAACAATGGCAACAGAATGGGTTGAAGGGTTCTCCATATGAACGGACATTTTACCAATCAACGGTGTTTAAATCCAAAGAAAATACCAAGTTAACGGCTTTATGCTTCCAATAGCTATCCACTTTCTTAAAAGATACCTGAAATTAACAAGTTCAAAATCATCCATAGACGACCTCGATATATAATCAAACTCGGAGTTACTAAATCTGTTTACTAAAATGTTAACTAAAACTCAAAACTTTTTATTTAACTGCCTACCTACCTCCTAGGTATATATAAATATATCTTATATAGATAGGTATTTATTTTATTTAACACATCATAAAAGACTTCTGCTTCCAATATTAGATATAAATATTTCTTTTCACATATTAATTCATTTATTGAATATATGAATAATTGAATTTTGAAAGTATTTAATTTTCATCCTTTCTCCGAATTCAACGCCAGGACACATCGGAATGAGCTCCCGAGTGGTCACCGGAATTACCTTAGCAAAGCCCCTCGTAAATGTTATTTCCACTCCGAATACGACCGATTCATGTTCATAACACGACCGCCGAGTGGCTATGCGGACTTTGAAAACTCCAGTGGCTTCCAAGGCTCTTACTACTGGAAAAGCATGAAATCGCCGTAACGGCCCGCTACAGATTGGCAGGAGACTAGAACATGTAGGTCCGAAAGATGACATACCCCTCATTCTGTTTATTCCCAAAATTAGGCTAGCTTGTAACCGTATCGGCCATTGTCAAAATCCGGGCTGTCATATCCGCACTCCCATACGGGTTATACATGCTAGATGAAGAGAGAGCATTGTGGATAAGTCCAAGTGGAAGCATCGCAGATCTAACGCACCACAGGTGAGGATAGATAAGTAGAAAGTTTGTCTTCGCACTTTCGAACTGGTAACTATCACCTCATCCCAATTCTTATTACTTAGCTAAAATGAATTCAAATCCTACCCATATTGCGCTGAACTCTCTGGATCATCATCCTCCCCCAGTTTATGCGAATTTCGTTCTATATCTACGCCTTAAACCTGATGCTAGCCCCAAGAAGGTCTTTAGTGTCCTTCAAGGAGGATTAAAGAGGGTCTTCACCCAGTTACCTTGGCTCGGCGGCAAGGTCCATAGTAGTTCGAGCACCAGCCACGGCGGCCTAGAGATACGATACGATACAGATGGAGATATACATCAATTATCTCAATTCAAATTCAAAGAATTAGATTCTGACTTGACATATGATGACTTGAAGGAAACTGCATTTCACCCATCCACTGTCGAGGACCAGACTTTGACCTGGGCGCCGTTCTTCGCTGATATCGACCATGACCCTGAGGTTTTTGTGGCACAGGCCAACTTCATACCTGGGGTATGTATCCTGACAGCGGCTATACTTCATGTAGTCTCTGACGGAACGGCCCTAAATAACGTATTCAAAATTTGGGCGGAGAATTGCTACGACTTACAACTTGGGAATATGCCACGGAAATATCCACAGGAAATATCAGACCATAACTTAGTAGAGCTGATCTGGTCTAAGGAAATAATTAAAAATAGAGCACAGCAAGTCCCGACGGAGACTTGGCGGCTGCTTGGCCTTGATGCACCTCCAAATCACAACCCGCAGAGAACGACAGAGGAACACAGAGACACTCAGCTTGCTTCAGCACCTGGACCTATCAGCTCAATGGGAGAAATGAAGGCCTGCATATTCTACCTGCCGCCTAAAAATATCAAGGATTTGCAAGATGAATGCGCTGAGGAGCCTGGCACAGCTGATGTGTCATTGAACGATGTTATCTGCGCGTTAATCTGGCGTTGTCTTCTCAGGGCAAGAAAAAGAGGAACCGAGGTAGCCTTAGATGCACAAGTGCGTCTAGACTTGCCATTCGATGCTCGCCCTTACTTCCCAGAATTGATGCCATCTAATTATCTAGGAAACTTCACCATGATCAACCAAGCCCTTACCCCCCTATCATCATTAGTAGGATCTACAAGTATAGGGTCAATAGCACGCGTACTCCGCGAAGTAGCAGGAGAGGCCACACCGTCCAGAATTATGGATGCTTATACTATGATTAAGACATTAGTGAAAGACAGTCATAAGTTGGAAAATCTAAAGGTGGACGGCAACGGGTTGATGATCACCTCATTTATTGCCTTTGACATTGCAGATGTCAATTTTGGTGAAGAAGTATTTGGGAATGGTGGAAGGCCTGAAACGGTGCGCCCGCTGATGGGCCCGATTACCCAGTCTTTCCGATACTGTGCTATTTTACCAAGAAAACAGCACGGGGGCGTGGAGTTTTTGGCTAACTTGTTTGATGATGAGTTAGACTCCCTGCTGGGAGATGAAGAATTTATCAAATTTGCGATGTTTGTCGCATAAATATCAAAGTGTCGAAACCACTCAGAATGGCCTTCGATGGTTTCCCTATCAAGTAAATTATAACTATGATCATCTAAGTAGATCGGGGGGTTTTTTTTTTGGAAATATTTAAATAGTATTTGACACTGGGTTTATATCAAAGTATATTAGGTTTCTATGCTGATATACGAAGTTATCACAATCTTTGGTGACTCCGAACTTTTTCTATTTTATTAGGTTATAAGCCCGGTTAGCGCAGTTGTATCCGCTACAAATAAATAAATTTGATAAGTGAATTTTGCAAGGTTGTTATAAGGCCAAAACACCCTAGCAAATAAATGGTTTAAGCCTCGATAACAGTAGAAATTTTGAAAACTCCGAAAAAAAAAAGTATCTATCTGCACAAAATAAATTAATTACCGCGTATAGTTGGAGGGGGAGTGCTAATATACGAAATTATTACAATCTTTAGTAACTCCGAACTTTTTCTATTTTATCATTTTATTTATACGCAGTGGACCTAAGACTACGAACATGGCGGCTTAAGGTACCTAACCACTAAACGTGGGCCAAAAATTGTATGCACTTACGGCGGACCATTATGACATTAGTGCCAAAATCAAGAAAATAGGTCAGGGCTGTCCAAAAAGGGTAATATATCGAGTGCACAGTATACTATGCGGGGTATATACAAAACCGAATAAAAATTGAATACAGAATTTTTATATTTATAGTAACTTTTCGAATATTACTGGCATAAATTGACATAAAATATTGATATTTTATTTAAAATATAATAAAAATTAAAAAAATAGTCTTATAATATTGCTGATTTATTTAGTAAAGATAATGTGTAATATAAAAGGAAGGCTATTATGTGTATAGGTGGTCATAAAGGGTATCACGTGCCGTATAAGACTTATTGGATATTGATATAACACGCTATACGATATGCCAGCCAAAAGATGTATACATGCAACCTGTATCATTATTTTCGCATTAATCAAGGCTATAAAATGATACTAATTATATTTTTTGAAATGGTATATTGGTAAAGTTATTTGAATACGTGTATACGTGTAAGTAAGTGTTATTATTGAATTTATGTATCTCGTATATATAAGGCTAACTGGAGGCTAAGGCTAAGGTAAAGGCGATATCTGATTGGCTAATCTTTTAAACTTTTGGAATAGGAAAAACAGGTACCTACCTAAATACCTATATAGCTGTCTTAATATCTTTACGAATCTTGGGTCAAACTACATGCGATTTGGATAGTAATTTTTATCATTTTTGAATCAAAATATTGGTGTATTTTGAAAAATATTTAGATATATATTTGTAAAGTTATTGTGTTATAAGGTTAAAAGGGGTGTTAATTGTGTATACAGCGCATATTGATTGAGCTTACACTGTATTTTTGCCTTACTATTACCTTATTAGACATAGTGCCACCTATTTTCTGGATTTTGGCACTAATGTCATAATGGTCCACCGTAGCACTGCTTAATCGTACATATGTATAGGACAGGGTATTTTATGTAACTTATGCCTATTACATATAAAATCTTATCTTGGTTGCTATGGATTAGATCGTACAAGAAGCATGGGGGTTTTCTGGTAACGAATTCAACCTTCTAAAACTATTGGCTAAGGTAGTGGATACAATTTTTGGCCCATGTCTGACGGGGCAATGGGATACGTTGACCTAACTAGGTACCTAACTAGGTACCTGAAAATGAGCCAAGTACCTAGGTAAGTTTAGAGAACGGTTGAAGAGCGTTATCCGTACAGACGCACCCCTGAAATATAGAACCTCAATTAGAGGAGCTCGAGCCGACGATCAAATGTCTTAGCCAAACCGTCTCTATTCAAATATGATGCATCACAAAATAATAAGAATTGGCATACGTAATATGCAGCCAACCGAAAATTGCCTGCAGCCTGTGTGAGACCTATCTTGCATGGCTATAAACCGGTCTAGATACAGGGTCTGCATTAGGACATACTGGGAATAAATTGATGGGCTGAAATGCAGCTCGCGTTATACCTCATTTCGTAAGGAATATCCGGGAGTGATGTTATATCATAAAGTTTCCTCTGGTACCCCCGCCGATTAGGATTTGTTCGCATTTAATATTGGTCTTTTCCTAGACTTTGAATTACAGGTACTCAAGTCATCTCCACAACCTCCGCAATCTTACTATGAAGAACCTATCTACGTCTAACTATGGGACTGGGCAACAAAGTAAGCGCCTCGCTTGCGATAGGTGCCGTACCCAGAAGCTCAAATGTGTTCGTTCAGAGCTATCTGAGACCTGCCAGCGCTGTGACAAGGCTAGGGCGAAGTGTAATTTTGGGCTCCCACTTCCTCCCGGGCGACCTCTAGCTACAGGGGCCCTTTCTGGTGAAAATGTCCTAAGAGAGACTCCGGGCCCTACTATAACGTCTCTGCAACAGGCAGAACTTAATTATTCCAGATCATCGCTTGTCTATGAACAGAATCACTCGAGTGACAAAAATGGAACGATATCTGCTGCTGGGAAGCATCGCTCACTCGACCCTTTTAGCCATGAGATAGGACCGTCTCAAGCAACCAACCTTGACAGTGAAAATTTATTCAATGAGATATACGACCATGCCGATACAGCGGAACTGGATCCTGCCATCTTCGGGACGTGCTCAACTGCTAGTCCCACCACCGACAACTCATCGCCGTGGCGAGGTATGGAACAGCACAACGATGGTAGCGGGGAATTAATGAACTTCTCTAATAATGAATACTCGGGCCGAAGATCTTCAACTCACAGCCAGAGACTGGACATGCTTCTTCACTCGGCGACAGACCAAAGGCATAATAATGAGCGTGCTCTAGACACCCATAAGCCAGGCTTACATAGAAATATATCAAATATGGGCAGATTGGAAAGCGAAGCTGTGGGTAGCCAGATCTCCTTGATGCAGAGGCTGACCGAGTTGGGTAGCGTCATGTATAAGATTCAGAGCACATATTGCCCAGAGGAGCATGGCGGTCGGCCTGTTGCCGTCTCCGAAACATTTCCAACAGAGCTTGCAGGAAAGGTGCTGCAATCGGCTATAGAGTTCCTCCAGTTTCTTCGACACTTTTTTTTAGAGGAACAGTATCCACCTTCAAGGAGCGGTTCGCTCATTCACCACCATGACCTGTCCATGAACGATATTGGTGGTACAAAAGACATGGGCTACCATCGTGTGTCTAATTCCTACTCGATGTTTTTCGAAAAAAAGCCTTGGTCCCAAAGTGTCCAGCCGTCGCCACGATCATCCGATAAAAAGTCGTCCAATCGCGTACGCGCTGTCGACAAACCAGCCATACTGCAGCTTATTGCAAATTATATAAGACTACTGCAGTTGTATCTCCTGCTCTATAATGCGGTATATGAATATACCCATCTTATGGAGCTAGACCTTCGCCCCATCCAACCCATTTGGAGCGATTTAAATATTGGTGGTGCATCACTATGCCAATTCGCCGACCTCCAAATAAGATTCGTACTACAGATAGCGGCTCGCTTACTAGAGGAGGTAGAAGGTTTATTAGGTCTCTCAGATGGTTGTCGGGTTAGCAAGAAGGCGACAGGTGAGGGAAGTGGGATATTGGGAGCAAATGTCACCTCTCGTTTCGTCGAGATGTGTATGTCTGACGCGACTACGAGTACTGACCAAGATCGAGGTGTTATTACGCGACTGCGGGATCTCATGCACTGTATGACGAGCATGCTCGATACTCCCACCCGCTCTTAAACCCTTGTCACTTACGGATTGCAAATATCTATAGGCCTTGAATTGTTGTTGTTGAATTGATTGTATTCAATTAGTGTATGTAATATGTAATATGAGGATACGCTGTATGTTGCTGATTGATTGATTGCCTACCTGATATGAGTCTAAATCGACTATGTGAGAAGTGATCGGACGATATCATCAAATTGGCAATATCGATTAACTGGATGATTCTTACAGCCAACAGCCAACAGTCACACATTCATAGATAAGATTGCATAAGTGGAGATATAAGTATTAATATATTGCCCGAAATGCCACATCTAGTTCTTCTCAGTAACCTATGAATATCTCTTTCCAACATGGTGTAAACCGGACTTAATATGGCTAGTTCGGAAATATGTCCGATTTGTTCATCATGATTACCTCTTATCCGATCTAACGTAATCCTATCGGATGGATTCGCCAAGTATCGCCTATATTCGGCAAAGATTTTCGTCACCTGCGTAATGAGGCTTTTTATTAGGATCATATTAGTGAGTTAGCTGTTATACCCGAAAGCCCATCGGCTCCGAGAGATGGAGCACCGTAAGGTTCATCCAAGATTTATTCCTAAGCCAGCAATCTTCATGATACTATCACCGCCATGTAATCTACTTTTCCGTCGTGTAATGTTATAAATCCTAAGGATAGGGAAATAGCTCGGAGTTTCCATCATCCTGATGGCCTCTCGGGAGAAGCTGAAAAAAATGATCCACCCATTTTAGAGCCTCCGACCAAGCTGCAGTATACCCCCAGCCCGAACACCAATATGAGTTCTCAGAGCGGAACTCGTACTGCATCTTTACAAGACATGCCTTAAAAATTACACACTAGATATGCAACGGGGTGGATGAACGGATGTAGTAATAATTGCTTTTGTCTATTCCCGTTGTGCTTCTGTGATCATAATTCAGAGCATTCTGATATCTTCTAACTAGGAATCCTAGTAACTTGGTAAACAGGTTAAGCAATTATCTCCTCTTCAGTCAAACATCGCAAACTCTACGAATGATATTAGAGACTACAAGATGGCAGATTCATTTAGTGTCAGAGGGTCATCGCTAAACAACTTTCCAACAGGAGAGTGGGCTTATGTTAGTAGTTTGGGGTCTCAAACTATAGCTCTGATCATCCCCGTGCTGCTAGCTTTGCTGTACTGGGCAGCTCTACCGAAACCACTTGCTGGCATTCCCTACACAAAAAAGTCTAGATGGCAATTTTTTGGAGATGCATTTGACTTTGTCAACTACTCGAAAGAAACGGGGGAGGGGTTTAGGTGGTTTTCCACTAAAGCAGCAGAGCTTCAGAGTCCTATCTTCCAAGTCTTTCTTGCCCCCTTCTCAAGACCGATTGTTGTTGTTGCAGACATCCAGGAGATAATCGACATGTCAACACGCCGAGCTAGAGAATTCGACCGTGGTGGGTTCCTGTCGGGCTGGGTTGGTATATTGTTCCCCGAGGGAACCATATCCATGCCCTCTCACGATAAGTTCAAGGATCAGCGCAACATTTGGTCTTCTACAATGACTAGCCAATTCCTCAAATCAGTTTCTGCGAAGACGATTCATAAGCACACTATGAACCTCGTCAACCTGTGGTCTACTAAGGTCCAGTGTGCAAATGGGCGACCGTTTGAAGTTTCAGACGATATAAAGCAGGTCACATTTGATATGGTAAGGTCCCTCATTCCATCCTTTACACCGAGCATAGACTAATCTGATCGCAGTGAGTTATTTCTCTTTTTGACTATAATCAGTTATGAGTTGGGTATTTATGATAGTTCTATCGTACCTAGTATCACGTATAAGCTCATTACCTGCTAATATATTATACCAGGATCTGGACCGCCTCTACAGGTGATGACCTTGGTTTGATAACCCGCCGTATTAAAGCCGCTGTTGTAACTGGCGACATAGATGATGGTGGCAATCAGGACAAAGCGATAAAGTTTCAGGATCCTATTGACCTTCCCGAGATTGTGGATGCATGTGAAGTCCTTGTTGAACATTTGAAAAATATGCGGAGCTCCGTGTGGTTAGCTGCCACTAAGTTGTGGGTTTGGATGACACCTTCGTGGAGGAGTGCCTGGCGCATCAAAGAAGAGGTGATGTTAAAGCTTGTTGAAGAGTCGAGCAGCAAGTTTGGGGAAGCCCAGTGTGCCATGGACGAAGTGATCAAGAGGAGTAATCTACTTGGGTCAAAGGGCAGGAACACGTCAAGTCACCGGGAAATGATCGACGAGACATTCTCATATATCGTTGGTTCGTAGTCAATGAGAATATGATGTCAGCGTGATATACTAATAATCTGTCGTAGGTGGCCACGAGACAACACAGGATACCACGAAATGGAGCATGAAATATCTCACGGCGAATCAAGACAAGCAAAGAAAGCTCCGTGCGGCACTACTGGAAGTCTGGCCCAATGCAAACGCAAATAACTTGCCCTCTTACCAGGAGATCATCGCATCTGAACATCCATATGTCGAGGCCAGTATCCAGGAACTGATTCGTATCGCCTTAACAGCTCCATCCTGGACCCGTCGGACAACTCAAGATGTGGTTGTCCTTGGTCATAGGATCCCTGCTGGAATCGACGTCTTTGGGGCGCCTAGTGTGCAAAGTATAGAGGATATGGACGACTTCGTCATCGATCCCAAGATCCGATCTTCTACCTCGAAGCAAAGAGAAACAGGAAAGTGGGACAGAGTTACAAAAGGCCAATATCAGCCAGAAAGATGGCTCGATAAAAATGGAGAATATGACCCTTATGCTGGACCTATGTTACCTTTCGGAGCCGGACCTCGCGGTTGCTTCGGTATAGTTGCCTTACACTTTAGGGATTTGATGGTGCACCGCTAACCTGCAGACAGGACAAAGGCTAGCACGCATGGAGTTACGCATTATGATCATGATGCTGGTCCTAAGCTTTGAATTCAACCCAATTCCGGAGGAATATACTAGCTTTAGGGCTGAGGAAGTGATCAACCGAGGTCCTCACATTACTTATATTCGACCTTCTCTACGTACCTAAGCCTGTTTGTCGGCGATATCTTGAATCCAGGTATATTCTGGATAACGCGATTTGGCCTCGACGTTTTCGGAATTATACCGGCCAAGTCAGATCAATACGTGTCTAGGTACCCACCTAGGGACCTACCTAGACACATTCATAGTCACTGACTGCATGGGCATGAACGACTTGTAGGCAGATCTGGGAGGCTAGAAATAACCTTGGGTCTCTAGTGATGGAGCTAGAATGGAAGGAATGACGGTTTTATGGGGTTTCCTACTTCAGATAGTTCAGTCCAACGTATTAATCCGCTCCTTAGAGTGTTAAGAAAGCCTGGCTGAATAAAACAGGTACTCTCATTGCACCCTACCCACACTTAGCGCTGGTGTACCCCACGTTCGTTGTTTACCCAAGGTACCCATTGTCAGGACTCTAGATGAAACATCTAGAATAAAGAACAGGTTTGGTATGTATAGACATAGAACCTCTTAGGTACCTAGGTAGTTTAGAGTTCCTTGTGGAATAAGGAAGTTGTTTCCACGCCGTTTGGTTCCACCTCGTGACACCCATATGATAAACACGCCTATCCAATCCCTTAGATAGAGATTAATACAACCAGTACGCACTTTGTAATCGATATCCATTTCAAAACTTAGTATCCAAATACTCAAAATTAGAACAAGGGCTTAAAGTTATCTAGGTGACCTAAGATAGGATACTGTGTTAATCTATTACTTAAAACTTTGTAGCTAAAAGCCTTGTGACTCGGGGTACATGATAGTCATAGTCATAGTAATTATCAATAAATTCTATGGAGTATTTCCAGCTAATCCATACCGATGTCTTATGGTGCCCTGACCTGGTAAACACCCCTATGTACATGTAAGGCCCATTCAAAAAGTCGTTCAGGCAACATCCAGTGGAAATATTTGGCGCGCCCTGCTACACCGCCTCTCCACACATGACCATCTCTTCCGCTTAACACATCCCTCACCAAACTTTCGGCTGTCACCTCCGCCTTCTCGTTCTCCACTTGCATTTCCCCCGAGGCTTGTTGGAAGATGAGGTGCTTTATAGATTTGTAGTACGACGAGGTAGGAAGAGCACGATCGGTTTGGCCTGCGTTGTCATAGATCTTTGTCTCTACTTCGCCAATCATGGCCGTAATGACGCGAACGTCTAGTCCTTGCATTTCGATGCGTAGCGTTTCAGAGAACCAGCGTACGCAAGCTTTCGAGGAATTATAGACACCTGTTTAATGTTATTAAACTTAGGCGCAAACTAGAGAGCAGTTCGAAACTCAACAAAAGAAGAGGTAGAAGGAATTTAAACTCAAAGGGGTCCGTTTAGGGGGAAACGAACCTTGCCACGCCATTCTGACGGCACCAGCAATGCTGGCGATATTCAAGATGACACCTTTGGACCGGACGAGCATTGGCGCAAAAGCCTGGGTCACAGCAAGCATACCCCATACATTCACATCAAACAACTTCTTGCTCTCTTCGATGCTTGTGTCTAGCAGGGGCATAGCGAACATGACGCCTGCATTGTTCACTAGAATGTCGAGACTGCCATCCGTTTTCTTGCCCACCTCAGCGGCACAAGAAGAAATGGACTGCGCGTTGGTGACTTCTAGAGACAATATTTCGATATTAGGATGTGATGCGAGGGGGCCAGCTTTCGCAGGGTTGCGTAGGGTAGCGAATACGTGAAAATCCCGTTTTGCGAACGCTAGCGCTAGTGCCGCTCCCAGGCTACCTTCAGAGCAACCTGTAATTAACACGGTTTTTTTTGTAATTGTAGCCATTGTCCCTATGAGATGCGAGAAGGAGAATAGTTGTTACGATACAGGACTTTAGGAGAAGAATGTATAGATATTATTACATCTACCGAGGTACCTAGATTATTGAATATGCCTAAAATTTAAAATTATAGGTGCTTACCTAGATACGAAGGAAAGTGGTCATAGCTCCAGACAATATCCTTGAATTTTCTAATGTATATTAATTATCTGGGTAACGCAACTCCGACTGGAAAAGGAAAAGTCTACTGCATATTCAAGTATCTGACTAAGTCCGGAGAACCTCCTCCTCCTTCCCCGTTCCCCCGGAAGGCATGTGGCGCCTTCCTACGTTATATACTAGAATTGCCTCTTCTGTACATTTCGGCGTTGAGGACCAGTGCCGATTGGCCAAACTTGCATGGCCAATCCGAAGGCCCCACAATCGGATCGGAGGTGGTGTAACCGGAAATAAATATGGGTCTCGGAGAATAGAGGCGAGGTTCGACTACACCCGTCGGTTCGAAGCAGTTCAACACGTAAGACATGATTGTGTTATCTATCCTCTTATATCGCCCGTTTATGTCATTTCCTCCGAAACTTTGCTGCTTATTAAAAAAGATCACGTGTTGCTGCTGCTGGGCCATGACATCGAGGTTAGCTATTTTTTGTTAGCTCTTAACTTTTCTAAATTCTTTTCGAAAAAAAACCTTAAATGGGGAATATGCAGGATTTAAGCCTAGATTACTGTAAAGTTAAGGTTGTATTATGTGCTTATGCCACCTTTATAAAGTGTTATATTTTAATTGATCTATCTATGTGATGTAGTCATGTGATTGGTTAATTTTTGAGCTTAGAATAACACCCCTTTTAAAAGTCGGGCGCTAAAATCGGGCGTTAAGTTGGTGGTGTGTAAAGACTTCTAAGTTTGGTATGGAAATATTACGAAGTTGGGCGGAGATAAATGAAGCTTCGAGTATCAAAAATGATCAATCTGATTCATAATACTATCCAATATAGTCCGTAAATGAATTCCATTCGGGGTCTGCCATCAGTCCATTCATATCTTCCTCGTTGAAGCATAGTAATGCATCTATATCACCAGAAATCGTCCGTGGCATAAAGTAAATATTACTCCTTAACGGCTTGAACGTAGGTCGTCTCACTAGTGCCGGCTTTCCTAAAGAACCAAAGTTGACTCGAGATAGTTGAACTTGGGCCCATGAGGAGGAGCCGATATCTGTGTCTGGATTCCACCGGCCGCCGTACACAATGTTGGACTTATCCAGCGTACGAGCAACGAATGTGGCATAGCTACGAACATAATCCTGCGTATTAACATAATTCAAATCATTGCGGAGGATACTAGCGACTTCCGGAAGGGAGGCATTTGCTAGTTCCTGAAATGTTGATACTGATGTAGAGATGGTGATAAGATCCCCCATATATCCCTGTGGGACTCCCATGATCTTCCGCGTGTCCACCGCTCGGAGAATCTTGGCATTTGCGTGGGGAGTTTGGCGACGTCGTAATCGGATAGAAATCACCCGTTGCCAACAGAAAGCAGTTAATGCATCGTTGGTAGAGATGTAAGGGATAGAGCGGTTACTTTCCTCGGACGAAGTAGCAAGTAATTTCAATTCTGCCAATTTGGCGGCCGAGAAACGAAAGTAACGCCAAGAGAAGGGTGAGTCAGGTTCAGCAAGAGACGGACTTGGATCAGACGGGGGCGGTTTATTAAAATGACTATGATCATTCATGAGTTCGCCTGGCCGTAGAAGTGGTAGCAAATTTCGCCTGTCAATATTTCCTTGCTTGACAGCCTCATACGAAAAGGGCACGTCCCCCATTCCAGTCGCTAATAAGTTGTAGCACTGTTCAATGCCACTCATGTCGATAAAATTATGTTGCGCTGCGCAGTCTAAAAGCAACCCGCCTTTGATCAAATTAGCTTGGAAGGCTATCACCGGAGCCGGGTCCTCCTCCGTTTCCTGATAGCTATCTGGAAATGCCGCGCGAGGTCCCAATATATCACCGTTGAGCATTGTGGCGGGTCCCCTTGCTTGGACTAGTTTTTCGAATGGAGGACATAGTTCCGAACAGTCCTTAATACGCAGAATGGAGTTTGGAGCCGACCACAAAGAGCACGGCTCCAGCTCAAATACACCAGAATCGCCCGGGCCACTTCCCCTATTTACTACTTTAGCGGCAAGCCAGGGGAATGCTTCTGTGAGCTTATAAGCAGATAGTTGCAAGCGATTAATAACTTGATCTCGCGATTCGTCTCGCAGAGGAAAGGCAAGTAGTAAATGGCTATAGGTCTTGAGAAAGGGGAGCTGACCCACAATATCCCTGAGATGAGAAAAGTCGGACATTGTGTATTAGCTCTGTTACTGGTTAATACGTCTAAGGTAGGATATCGTCGAATTTCTACGTAGAATTTCTTGAGTAGGTTAGGCACTTGGAAGAGCAAAATATTTAAGATCGAGGATATTATTTCTTCGACATAGTGTTAATTCCCATGCGTCATGGTGTACACATTAGCCTAATCTGGAGATGGGCTTGATACACTACATTGCGCTATATTTTGGTATTGGTTTGAAAGGGCCAATCGGCACGAGATAGCATTATTAAACTGCTAGGTCCGGAGATACCTACCTACGTACTCAACGCATCTCGGGTAATACTTGTAGCTCGTCGGTCATGAAGGCTCGTAGAACGGGTAGATACATGGGCGATAAGTGAATTATGGCTCCGAAAGGCTATCCTTACGTCCACAAGATTTAAGAATACCTTAGAAATCTATGTATCAGATTCATCAATAGGTACTGTTGAAGAACATGAAACATTATTTTCTTACAATTTACAAATCTTAGTTACTTATCCTCAAAGACTCATAAAAGTAATTAAATTATTAACACTAATATTAATTTCCCTTTCTCTACTAGGTTAATAGACATATATGCGGCACCCAAAGTCAAGTGTAAATAGTCAAAGATAATTAAGACTTTGGTATTATAGGTGTTGTGTTATGAGACTAAATCCGTTTTCCTTGGAAATTTAGGGATCACCACGACGATACCTAGTACACAAACTATACAAAGATAAGAATATACACTTTGTAGCTTACCACACACACTAGATAAATCTCTCAACATATCTGGAACATATTACTACTGTTGTCTGACTTGACTACCTTTTCTGGAAACTCTCCTTAATTACGGACCCATAATAGTCGGACTCTTTTTCTATCAGAAGGCTAGCTGAATACTTGTTTAGAACGAGGAGGCTCCACCTAGTATTACAGGAGATCTAATACGTCTTTGTTATTGGTTAGTCTGGTTTACTGGAAGATGTCCACCCTCCGACAGGTTCGGAAGTTGGGTTTCCGCGGGCCTGTGTATTACAAACAAACATGTTGGTTCGGTTGTAGTAAATAGCCTAGCTCCCTAATCGGTTGAGATATCTCGAGTTTCGACTCTTAGTTTAGTTCCAACCTCCATTATAGAAGTTATTAGAGTTTTCATGTAAAATCCCATTCAAGGAAGCAGTTAGGACTTTACCCTATTTAAAATTGGTTGAAGCTAGGCTATAACCAACATTACGACCAATATGACGACCACTACTATACCTACTGGCTTACAGTCGGGGACAACCATTCTCTTATTTGGACCCCAAGCTCTTTCACTAAGTGAAGAATCTGTTAGAGTCCTTAGAGAATATATCAGCGAGTCAAAAGATTGCCAATGGATGCTTGACACAATATCAGAGCTACCTGGCCTTTGGAGCGATTTGGTCGCTAGATTCCCCAAGCTTAAGGCTATTCCTGGTGAAAAATATCTTAAAAACCTGGCAAACTGGTTCAGCACCGGAGTTGTGGACCAAGCGACATTTCAACTCCCGAACGTTATCCTCACGCCTCTTGTGGTTCTCACCCAGCTTACGCAATTCTCACGGTATCTTTCCCTGCTATTTTCGAACGTCTCCACTCAGGGCCAGGACCTTCAAACGGCGTTCTCTAAGCTTAATGTAGAGACAGTGGGATTCTGTACTGGGCTATTGAGTGCTTCAGCAGCTTCTAGCTCATTTGATAAAGCCAGCTTCCAACAATATGGAGCTGTTGCGATACGACTCGCAGCACTTATTGGCGCCTTCGTTGACGCACAAGATGTCTCTGATCGTTTGCACGGCAGATCAAAGTCATTTGCCGTGGCCTGGACCTCGGAGTCTAAGTTGAGGGAGATGGTTAGAATATTAGACGGGTTTCCAGAGGTATTTGAGACCATCGCGTAAACAGCCATGATATAATGTATGACTTACACAATCCAACAGGCATACATTTCAGTTCTTTACGACGAGAAGCGAGCCACATTGACTACCGCCGAAGGTACGGCCCCTTTGTTGGTACAGCAGCTAAGAGAAGCTGGTGTCACAGTCGCAGAAGTTGGCCTCCGAGGTAGATTCCACTGTCAATGCCACCATGAAGATCTTGGTGATATCATTAATTATTGCGACTCCAACCCGGCCTTTCAGTTTCCAGGATTGTCCGACACTGCCGTATCCATAAACCTGAACCCTACCGGCAAGATAGATAAGGAAGAAAAGCTTCATCATGCTGTAATCCGTATGATACTTGTGGAGCAATCCCAATGGTACCAAACTTTCGCCTCCGTACAGACATCGCGGCTTAAATCCAAAGGATCTACCGTAGTCTCGTTTGGCCCAGATCGTGGTGTCCCACCGTCGTTAATGCGTAACCTTGGCGCGCATTTTCTTCATGCTACAGATCTTGACCAAGCTGGACCCCAGCCAGTTGACAGTGCCCTCGACCCGTTTGCGGTCTCTATTAACCAAGGCCAAAACGCTGGTTCTGACGATGAAATTGCTATTGTCGGAATGTCTTGTCAAGTAGCTGGGGCTGACGATCTTGGAGAATTCTGGAAAATTCTCTGCGAAGGCAAATCGCAGCACATTGAGATCCCAGAAGAACGCTTTGGTTTTGAGACCCAATGGCGCGACGTAGATAAGACCAAGAAATGGTACGGCAATTTCATCAATGATCACGACGTTTACGACCATAAATTCTTCAAGAAGAGTCCGAGAGAAATTATTTCAACAGACCCTCAACAACGACTGATGATGCAATGTGCGTATCAGGCCGTCGAACAGTCGGGATACTTTCATCAATCTTGCCCCGATACGAATATCGGAATTTATATTGGTGCTTGCGCAGCGGACTATGAGCATAACGTCGCCGGTTACCCCGCGAATGCCTTCACCGCAACAGGCAATCTAAAAAGTTTCATTGCCGGCAAGATTAGGTTAGTCAAGAGACGATTCTTCCATCCCCCCTATTGCCATGTTATCTATGTTCTCTCTCACCACGACAGACCGATCTAGAATGATCGCTAATATCTGTTATAATTAGTCACTATTTTGGCTGGACCGGCCCTGGTCTCGTTATTGATACAGCATGCTCCTCTTCCGCTGTAGCTACACATCAGGCATGCAGGGCTATTCTCAGCGGCGAATGCTCAGCTGCACTTGTGGGTGGAGTTGCTCTTATGGGCAATATTATCTGGTTCCAGAACTTAGCTGGTGCATCCTTCCTAAGCCCAACAGGCCAAGTACGTTATTTTTAAGAGTCATATAGCCCTTCTTTATATTTCATTCATAGCTTAATCCTTGGTTCAAGGAATGACTAGCTTGCTAACATCTTACCTCGTAGTGCAAGCCGTGGGATGATAAAGCAGATGGATATTGCCGAGGAGAAGCTATAGCTTGCGTGTTCTTGAAGAAGATGTCTACGGCTATTGCGGATGGAAATCAAATCCTTGGATGCATATCCAGCACTTCAGTCACTCAAAACGAAAACTGTACGCCCGTTTTCGTACCAAATAGTCCATCTCTCTCCCACCTTTTTAAAGACGTCATTCACAAAGCAAAGATGGAAGCCGAAGAGATCTCCTTCGTTGAGGCTCACGGTACCGGGACACCGGTAGGAGACCCTGCAGAGTACGAGAGCATTCGTCAAGCGCTTGGTGGGCCTACGCGCAGTAAGGCCCTTTCTCTTGGATCGGTGAAGGGATTGGTCGGACATACGGAGGGTGCCTCAGGCGTCGTCTCACTCATAAAGACAGTCCTTATGATACAGGAGGGAATTATTCCACCCCAGGCTAGTTTTGATACCCTTAGCCATCACATCAATGCTTCCTCAACAGACATGATGGAGATACCAACTAAACCGAAACCATGGGACGCAAAATTTAAAGCCGCCTTAATTAATAATTACGGAGCCTCGGGGTCGAATGCTTCCATGATCGTCACACAGCCATTCCAAATCGGCCAAAGTAGTAATTACCCAATCCATTCTGGAAGCTCCAAGCATCCGTTTTGGATCTGTGGACTGGACGATAGAAGCCTGCGTGATTATTGCACCAAGTTATTGAACCTTATCAGGTCAAGGAACATATCGGTGAACGAAATGTCAATAGCGAATTTGTCATTCAATATTTGCCGCCAGTCTAACCGGGCCCTTGAACGAGGCCTCATTTTCAACTCGAGTACTATTGAAGACGTGGAGGACAAGCTCGCAGCATTCTCTAGAGGAGAGGGGAGTATATCCTCCACCGGCTCTAGGAAAACGCCCCTACCAGTCATAATGTGCTTCGGTGGCCAGATTTCAACCTTTATTGGCCTGGACAAAAATGTTTATGACAGCGTCAGGATCTTCCGCTGCTACCTTGATCAGTGCAATGCTGTGTTTTTATCTATCGGCTTAGATGGCATTTACCCAGACATATTCCAACGAAAACCTGTTGAAGACACCATAAAGCTACAGACAATGCTATTCGCAATTCAGTATGCCTGTGCAAAAAGCTGGATTGATTGTGGCGTTCAAATTGCCGCTGTCGTAGGTCACAGTTTTGGTGAGCTAACCGCACTTTGCGTATCTGGCGTCCTCTCCCTCAAGGATACTGCGAAGATGATAGCTGATAGAGCCCTGCTGGTACGAGACTCCTGGGGCACTGACCGAGGATCAATGATGGCAATCGAAGCGGACCTTGAAGTCGTCCAAAATCTTATAGCGGAAGCAGGAGAGAAATATCCTGACGGGGCACAAGCTACGATCGCTTGCTATAATGGCCCAAGGAGTTTCACGCTCGCTGGGTCGACCGAAGCTATTGATAACATCGCAAAGATGGTGGCCGATCCGGACTACTCGTCGTGTACTAGGACCAAGAAGCTCAACGTGACCAATGCATTCCATTCAACCCTAGTTGAACCATTGATGGAAGGCTTGGAGGGGATTGGGGATGAGCTCAACTTTAGGGAAGCTGTCATACAACTGGAAAGGTCAACTGAGGAGTCTTATACTGAGATATCATCGGAATTCGTGGCTGAACATATGAGAAATCCAGTGTACTTCAATCATGCTGTCCAAAGACTGGCGGGACGATATCCATCCGCAATTTGGCTTGAAGCGGGTTCGAACTCTACTATAACCACCATGGCAAGCCGAGCCCTCGGATCTCCTTCGGATTCTTGCTTCCAAGGGATCAATATTACTAGCGACAATGGTTTACGAAATCTCGCAGATGCCACAACAGCACTTTGGGAGGCTGGGCTAAAAACTGAATACTGGCCACATCATGCACTCCAGACATATGAATACGGTCATATTTTCCTCCCACCATATCAATTTGAGAAGGTTAAGCATTGGATGGACCTCAAACAACCCCTAAAGACAACCGTTCAGGTAGAAAGGGCCCCAAAAGTAATAGACCAAGAGGTACCGACCGGTCTCTTGACATTTATTGGCTACCAAGACGAAGAACAACGCTCTGCCCGCTTCCGTATCAACACTTTTACGAAGAAGTACGAAGATTTCATTTCGGGCCACTTAATCGCAAATACTGCCCCTATTTGCCCAGCCACCCTCGAGGTCGACATGACAATCGAAGCACTCATGAGCATTCGTCCAGATTTCGCCGCGAATGGTATGCATCCTATAATCGAGAATATGGAAAACCATTCCCCCCTCTGTGTAGACCCCTCTCGATTTGTTTGGATAGAGTTCGAGGCCCTTGACGTAGAGTGCCACTCCTGGAGCTGGAAGATTATCAGTAACGTGCCAGAAAAGCCTAGGTCAGAAACCGAACATGTGCATGGCAAACTGATTTTCCGCTCCGTTCATGAGCCTGAGTATGAAGCCGAGTTCGCGAGATATGAGCGATTGGTCCGCCACGAACGGTGTCTCGACATCCTAAAATCGGATGACGCCGATGACATAATTCAAGGGCGAAATATCTACACGACCTTTTCTAGTGTCGTCGACTATGGAGAACAATACCGTGGGGTGAAGAAAATCGTCGGTCTTGGAAATGAATCCGTCGGGCGTGTCGTAAAGAAATACACGGGAGAGACCTGGCTCGATACTCATCTTTCTGACTGCTTCAGTCAGGTCGGCGGGATTTGGGCTAACTGTATGACCAACACCGCACCTGAAGATATGTTTATCGCAAGTGGGTGTGAGCTTCTGATTAGGTCTCCTAAAGTACTGAATGACAGTCCCCGGCCGGAGATGTGGCATGTATACGCCCACCATCATCAAAAGTCAGAAAAGGAGTATACTACTGACGTCTTCACATTCGATGGGACGAATGGCCAACTTGTAGAAGTCATGCTAGGAATCAAGTACGCGAAAGTTCCAAAAGCCTCTATGCGGAAGATTCTCACGAGACTCTCACCTGGTGTCGCAAAGCCAACACCACTAGCAGCTCTAGATTCAAGCACGCCAGAGAAGACAACTAATATTAGCGCATCACCAAACAAGCCAGCGAAGAAAGCTAAATTGCCAAAGGTAAAGAAGGAAAAGAAGCAGCGGTCCGGAAAGCCCGATATCAAGTCAACCGTGAAAAGTGTCCTTTCAAACATTTCAGGCATCGATGTTGAAGATATAAAAGAAGACACCGAACTAGCCAATATTGGTATCGACTCCCTCATGGGTATGGAACTCGCACGCGAGATTGAAACTGTATTTGAGTGTCCCATGCCGGCGGAGAAGCTAGCGGAGGTCTTTGACTTCCCTTCGTTGGTCGATTGTATTAAGTCTGCCTTACCGCCGGTCGAGGGCGGCGTTTCCGAAGAAGAGGATGATAATAAGACGGAATATTCTGTTGACGATGATGACGAGTCATCGAAAGACTCCGAAACCATTTCCTCTGCCGAAGACTCTGCTGCTGAGGACTCAAAGCAAAATAGTACCACTTCAGCTTCGAGTGTCAGCGGCTCGTCAACTAAACCTAGAACGTCCACGCCCTTTAATGGAGCTGTACCGTTTGCAACCAGTGGAGATAATCTCAAGATCCCAGCATCGGCCATCCTAGAATGCTTTGGCGAAGTAAAGATGAAGACTGACCAGATGATTCAAGATTACAAGTCTGATAATTTCGCCGATATAATTAACCCGAAGATTACTCAACTTTGCATTACGCTTACCCTTGACGCCTTTGAAAAGTTAGGGGTTTCGATAAGAACAGCGAAGGCCGGCCAAGTGCTTCAGCGCATCCAGTACGCCTCACAGCACCGGAGGCTTGTGGACTATCTGTACGAGTTACTAGAGAAAGAAGCGCGGCTCATAGAGATCGATGGGACTAAAGCTGTTCGTACAGGTATATCTCCTCCTACGAAGTCTAGCAACGTTCTTTATCAAGAACTTCTTCGATTATACCCAGATTGGAACTATGCAGTAAAGCTCACCCAATACGCTGGGACCAGATTGGTGGATGTCTTGACAAATAAGACAGATGGTATCAAGCTCATCTTCGGAAATGACGAAGGTAGAGAACTGGTGGGCGGTCTTTACTGTGACCATGTTTTCAACAGAATGAACTACCAACAAATGGCAGATGTCGTTGAAAAGTTGATATTAAAGCTTCCAATGAGAGATGGTCCTTTGAGAATTTTAGAATTAGGAGCTGGCACTGGAGGAACGACGTTATTCATGGCACCTCTTCTAGCGCGGCTTGGTGCTCCAGTAGAATACACATTTACGGACCTTTCGGCATCGATGGTTGGTTTGGCGAAGAAGAAATTTAAGGAATACCCCTTTATGAAATTCTTTACTCACGACATGGAGAAGCCAATTCCCGAAGAGCTCAAAGGCACGCAACATCTTGTTCTTGCCAGTAATGCGATTCACGCGACTCACGATTTAGTCAAGTCGTGCGCTAATATCCGTGAGTCCCTTCGTGAAGATGGGTTCATGATGATTTTGGAAATGACGGAGATCGTCCCCTTTGTCGATATCATTTTTGGGCTTTTAGAGGGATGGTGGCTTTTCGACGATGGCCGCAAGCACGCTATCGCCTCCCCAGACAGATGGGAGAGGGACATGCAAACCGCAGGGTTCGGTCATGTCGATTATACCGACGGTCATCTCGCCGAAAATAAGATCCAGAAAGTCATCATGGCCCTCGCTTCCGGTCCGACCTACCCACGTCTACCTATCCCCGAGAAGCCGGCACCGAAGCACGAGGTGACGGATTTGGTAGCTCGGGAGAAAGATATATCCAACTACGTCCGGAAATTCAGCGCCGGCTTCGAGCCCCCAACATCATCAGAGTCAGCACCGCTACACAACGACGCCCAGTGCGTGTTGATCACGGGTACTACCGGTAGCCTCGGCTCACACCTCGCTAAGGAATTTGCTGAGCGCCCCGATGTGAAGACTGTCATATGTCTGAATCGAAATAGTAAAACCGACCCCCTTGAGCGTCAAAAGGGGGCATTTGCTTCCCGGGGAGTCGTCCTAGATGACACTGCCTTTGAAAAGCTGCAGATTATCGAGACGGATACTACCAAACCTAAACTCGGTCTTTCCGACAAAGAATACGACTCCTTGGTTCAGAATGTGACCGGTATTCTACATAATGCATGGCCTATGTCCGGCAAACGTGCCTTAAAGGGGTTCGAGGGCCAATTTAAGGCTTTGAGGAACTTAGTCGACCTTGCCAGAGAGGCAGCCTGCACTCGCCCGGCTTCCGCTAAAATCACATTTCAGCTAATTTCCTCTATTGGGGTGGTTGGCTACTACCCATTATGGAGCGGTATCACTAGGGTGCCGGAAGAAAGAATGGAAATTAAGTCTGTGCTGCCTAACGGTTACTGCGACGCCAAATTTACGTGTGAGAGGATTCTTAATGAAACTTTGCACAAATACCCTGATCGGTTCCGTACCATGACAGCTAGACTTGGTCAAATTGCCGGATCTACGGTAACCGGCTATTGGAATCCCATGGAGCACTTCTCATTCCTTGTTAAGTCCTCCAAATCGTTGAAGGTGCTTCCAGACTTTGAAGGTGTAAGTTCTTGAACTGCTATATAATCCCTCCGAAATCCAACTCAACGCGTTAGTGGCTAACATGCTCTACGATCATAGGTCCTATCGTGGTGTCCGGTGAACAGTATGGCTGCTGTTCTCACAGAACTCCTGCTTTCTAACGTAGCGCCTCATGCGATCTACCACGTTGATAACCCGAAGCAGCAACCATGGCGCGAAATGATCGGGACCCTAGCCGATGCGCTCGACGTGCCCACCTCGAACATAATCCCATTCCGCGAGTGGGTATCCAAAGTCCGGCGGTCGCCGTTGTCAATTGAGACCGATAACCCCGCCGGGAAGTTGATCGATTTCCTAGACGATCATTTCTTGCGCATGTCTTGCGGCGGACTGATTTTAGACACGAAGAAATCATGCGAACATTCGCCAACCCTTGCAGCCACTCAACCTGTTAGTGTGGAAGTGGCGAGGAAATACGTCAAAGCATGGGAGGACATGGGGTTCTTATATTAGCTTAATGGTGTTTTTCGGTTTAATGTTGTTGCTCGTCACGCGTATACCGCGATAGAAAATGTGTGGGAATTTTACACTTAGCTTAATATCAATAGCTAGAGTGATGTATTCTAATGAGGTACCTAAGGCGGCTAAGCTCTAGCCAATCTCTCGGGTGATCCCCTGCTACGTTAGGTGCCTCTAGGGTAGCCCCCACTACAGGGTCTACCATGCTTATCCCCCTAGCTTTAGATACATGTACCTCCTCCTAGGTACGTCTCTCGGGTAGCTAGGTCCAAAAAGGATAATTCGATTATCTTCACTTCCATGATGGGTTGGATAAAATACCTATCTAAAACTATAAAGAACGAACTAAACAATAATAATGATAAAGCTTACGTCTATTAATTTGCTACAAGATGCGTACCTACCTAAATAGATATAGCAACGTATTTTCGACGCTTAAGACGTTTATACGGATGTCCCTTTGCAAGGTTTTTACTATAGGGAACCCTTGTCAAGATTGTCGCCAGCTGTCTGATATTTGGCCAGCAACTGTCGGGTGATTTAAGGATGTATACATTATTATCCCTTAGGTTTATTATTAAATTTTACAACCAAACATTGTTTTAAATGAACCAAAAACTATTGTATTAAAATGATCTTTTTATATTTATAATACTCATTTTTTAAAAATCGTAAGTTTTAATTTAAGAAGATTATTTCTTATTAGAATAGTAGAGTAGAATAAAATACATACGCTTAATAGGTAAGCAGTTGTTGCCAAGCTTGGTCAAAGCTGTTAGATAATAGATGATTGATTGAATGAAAACTAATGATACTTTCTTTTTACAAACACGTGACCAAAAGTCACGTGTTGAGATGTACTTAGGTACATCTCACAAAAGCTCGCCCGGGGGGGGGGGGGGAGAGAGAGAGGTCTTCCTATGGTAAAAACTTTTGAAAGGGACATCCGTACTCCCTGAGAGCAAAAGAGCGAACTGGAAAACATAACTAATAGAGTAACTTAACACACTAGGTATAAAGGCGACGATGTAAGCTAAAAATCTTAATCATACTACTTTCTACCAATGCTCAATTAACTTGTATAATTGCCGGCCCATAAATAGTAGCATTTGTAACACCCTCGGCGTTAACAAATGCCAGTTCCTCCTTCACAATCGTTGCGATAGTCATTCCGTGCATTACATTGTGTGCGTATGGAAACTCGGCGACGATACTTGTTATCACATCTTTATCACACCCACGCGCATCCGTCGAATAACCCTTTATCATACCGCATTCCGAAATGCTCGTGACGTTGAAGGGAACTACCGTAGGTACCAGCGCTCCATTGATAAACACTACCCTCTGAGATGCGGGATCGACTACACCTGGGACCAATAGTGTCACCGGCCCTGTACCGACAACTTTATCTTTCACATCAAGAGTAGGATATATTTGAAGCGGGATATCTTCCATGTTTGGACAGCTCCCTGGAACGATGACTCGCTGCAGCCAGCTGAACACGAGCTCTCGTGTCGACGAAGTCAAGAATGGCTGAGAACTAGGATGTTTTCCCTGCAAGGAGCGGAACCAACCGGACTGTTGGCCTTCCTGGCCTAAGGCCTGCGCGAGCACGTAAACGATAGGATAGGAGTCAGTACCCAGGCTTCTTGCCGTACGCATCTGAATATCTGTCAAGAGGCCTATGTACAAGTCCGTGAACGTCTCTGCGAAAGCAATAGCGGAAGAGAAGTCTGAGACGGGAAATACGTAAGTACAAGGAAAGATATGAGAACCATTTGCAAAGTTCCTGACCGCGTCATTCGCGTTGTATGCATGCATCTCTTCTTGCTATGCACCCATGTTAGCGGTTGCCATGTCAACTTATAGAAGACGAAGTCCAACTTACAGCTTGGATTGTGTTCAAAGTGTCCAATATGTAGCTTTGGTTCTCTACATCAAGCTCATACCCGGGTACATGGTTGGTAATGTTGGAAATAAGCTGAGTGAAGAATGCTACCTCCATAAACTCATTGAATGCTTGTAGTTTCCAGCTTGTCAATGAGTCAGCATCGAATTTTGTCGCTAGAGGCATGTTGGTAAAGTTGCCCCCCGCAGTGGTAAATAGCTGCTCCAGAGCTGACTCGTCAGGGAACGGAAAGCCATTGGGGAGAGGAAAATTGAAAGGCTCTGCATAAACCAGACATCTCCTGAAGAGCAGTAAGCCTGTGGTTAGGATGAAATTGAAGCTTTTCATAATTGTAAAAATAAAAAAAGAGAAATCTGATATGCAAAGTCACAGAGTTACATGCCTGTAACGCACATCAAGACCCCTCGTGTCCAAGTCGAACAGGATATATTAATTTCAAATGTTTACGATAGTTGGTCCTTGATCGGAGTGGCTTACATTTATCTAACTAAGAAGCCTGCATATCTGTACCTGCACCTCCGAAGGAACTGGGGAACCCGGAAACTCCGAATCCCAAGCACCGAATAGTAGAGCACCTATTTATGTACCTGCAGAGGAAATCTAGGAGGATATCGGAGATGCTAATCAGGGAACTAGTCGGCCTTAAGGCTTATCCAACGACCTATGATTGAACATGGTTCTATGTACTTAAGATAGTAGTTGTCAATTACGACTTATTATGTGCGCAACAATACGATATTTTATCTGTGACTCAACTGTATACCTTATTTTTCGTTGTCGACTTAAACCGTTTCTTTACTCTCCTATTTGTAGGCAAATTCGATCGTCCCAAATCTTAAGTTAGACTATTTTATTACCTACCTCTATCTAAGCTCGTAGTATAAGAACTACCACCCTTTGGCGTTTATCAACCAATCTTAAAGATGGTCTGGACAGAGAGAGAGAAATACACCTGGATAGATGACCTAGATGGAGCGGAGAAGGCATTCTACGGCATGTCTCAAGCTTTCAGGGGTGTTGGTAAAGAGCATGGCTCTGTATATGTAGCCTGCAAGATCAGCGCAAAGGATGTAGACCTCGATTCACGTTTAGGAACCCTTCTACGTGATGCCTGGAAACGACTGCGATTTGACTTCCCATCCTTGACCGTCGTCATAGATGGCCCAAGCAAGCTCTACCAAGCTGCCAGTGTTGAGAACGTGGAGCGGTGGGCAGAGGAGACCTTCTCTATCGACTCGACGCTTTCAATCAACCAGATACTACCAACGCTGCACCTAAAGAAGCTACCATGCTTAATATTCCTTCCTTCATCGTCTGACATAATTTTTCACTCGTCCCATTGGCGCATCGACGCTCTGGGTGCCTGTATGGTACTGAATCGTCTGTTCGACCTTGTTTCCCGTTGCATGGTAGAGGAAGTAGAACCACCGTGGGAGCTTGAGTATCAGAATCTGTCTCCGAGCCTTGAAGATGCATTCGCCTCTCCTAAGGTCTACACGGCGGACATGGAGACTTTAGCGGAAGATATTCGAAGGAGAAATTTTGAGACGGCGTACCCATCTGCCGGGCTGGTCTACAAGGGAGATAGCAGTACCTCCCCAGGCCAGTCGCAAGCTACAGCGCTGGGGTTTAGTACTAAATCTACTAGTGACTTGGTCATGGCTTGCAAAGCCCGTGGCATCAGTGTCACCGCTGCAGTTCATGCCGCGTGCGCTAAAGTGGTATTCGATCGCTCGAATAACAACAGTACCAAATATAGCTGTATAGTTTCAGCTAACGTGCGCGAACATCTTCCCATACTCTCAAATAGCAACACTGAGATACCACCGTATGCATGCGGAACATACGTCACAGGGATAACTCACATCGTTCAAAGAGAAGACAGTTATTTAGTTGGCGCCGCTCAGCTCACCAACGCTTACAAAAGGAATTGGGACGCGAAGAGGTATATGGCCGCGCTAAGACCTATATATAAGGCCCATAGCAAGGCACTGGCAGCAGCCAGTACTACGAACATCTCTAGACCACCAGCCAGTAATGTGACGGTGAGCAGCTTGGGAATTGTCGATAAGTATCTTTGGAGTTGCCATAACGTCGTGGTGGTTGAGGAGTTTCAACTAGGGAGCTGCATTATGACGCGACAGCCAACACTCTATATTTGGACGTTTCAGGGTCAGTTGAGCCTCTCCGTTAACTTTAATGAGGCATATTATAGTCGAGACACAATTGTAGATTTACTAGAATGTATCAAAGGTTGTTTGGAGAGAGAGCTGCAACTATCGCTCGAAATGAAATAAAGCCTACTAGGAGAATTGAACGGCGCTAAGGAGAGTCGAGGGTCGGACAATCTTCCGTACAAGGTACTTCTATTTATAACTACTTATTCTAGTATTGTATTAAGTCTAATATAGTGTAGCGTCCCATCACCTACCGAACTATTTCTCTATTCTTATCGCCCTCCTCAGGGGTAGCTGGTTGGGAGTGGATGATATGCGTTGAATAGACCTTGCGGATCATATTTCTTCTTCAATGCGGAGAGCCGGGGAAGATGTTCTGCTGAGAATAGAGATTCTAGCGGCTCGTCTCCGCGCGAGAAGCCAATGTACGTTGCTAGGCCATCGGTGCCGGCGCTATCAGCAATAGTAGCACGTAGCCTCTGAGGTAAATACTCAATCGTCGCATCAGTCGTGTTTTCTGGGTAAACTATCCCCCACGTTCTGTGTCGTGAGTTAAGCTTTAATACATCATCCGTGGAAAGGGGATGGCTTACTGGTGACCCAAAGCTTGACGCCACGGGTACGCGGTGGCATCATTTGATAAAGCTCTAACTGCCTGTGTAGCACAGAGGTACATGCTATTATCGCTTCCTCTCATTTGCGGATACTTGGTGACCATATAATTGAACAGCTCCGTCATCCTGACGTGGGCCTCAACGGTCAATTCATTAAACGCAGCGCCAGAGGAGGACCTCGAGCCGTAGTCCACTCCGCACGTCTCTGCACTTTGATCCCCGTTGACAAAGAAGGCACTATCCAATAACTGGTTCCATGGTACATCCGTGAAGTTTTGACGAAGGGCCGGTATATCGCTAAAGAACCGTATAGCCTTACGTCCGTCGCTCTGTGGGCCAGCATATGCAGCGTTGACCTTCATCGTCGTCTAATGATTGATGAAATGTTAGCTTTGAAGTTTAATAAGCCGTAGTTTAGCTGAGGGCCACACAACGTTTTCACCTAGACGTACCGCGTTATAAGTATCGCTCCAGGTCATATACGTAGATATACACAGTGGTGGGGGCATGGATGCAGCCCCCTCTTTAAAGGATTGGAAAAGGTCCTTCATGGCGTCGAGAGGAAATTCGAAATCAGCGCTGAAGGTTGTGCCTCCTAGTGGTAAGTCGTAAATTTGGAACGTAGCATTCAAAACGAACCCGAAGTTGACTCCAGCACCACGAATACCCCAGAACAGCTCAGGGTTCGCAACTTTAGAGGCCTCGACCACAGTCGTGTTCGGTAGCATGATCCGTACGGAAAGGAGGCTATCAGCAATGAGGCCATACAATCCCTCCAGTCGTCCAATACCACCCCCCAGTGCTGCACCGAGTATTCCCACGCAGGGGCTACTTCCAACAGCTTGAGCAGTCACATGTCAGCAGAAAAGAGGTAGGTCAGATTTTATAATTACGAAGGATCCGTACTCACGAATGTTTTTTCCAACCGCATATAAATCATTAATTACATCATTGAACCTTACAGCCCCCCCGACGGTCATGATATTCTTAGTCGCCTCAACTTCTATCTTGTCGAATTTCGCAGTAGAGATCTGCAATCCATTTTTCAAACGATCGAAGCCAGAATATATCCCATGCGCACCAGGTTTAGTGAATAGGAATTCGGTTTCAGTCTTCTGAGCACAGATTATCTGCTTGGTGTTAGAATGACTGGCTATTTCCCGTTAGGAACAAATAAGACATACCGAGGCTCTTGCATCATCCTCATTGGCTATCAGTGAGACGAGTCTGAATGTAGGTTCGTGGTATGATGAGAACCGAACTGTATCATTCGCGAAGCTTGGGTCATCAGGGAAAACGATAGATGCTTGAGGTGACAGGGAGGATCTCAAGCAGCTGACAAGCTCTTCAGCTCTTCCTACTACTGGTGAGGCCCATGCCGGGGCGGATAAGGCTAGATGAAGCAATAAGGCGTAACGCATGATGGACCAGCTGTGCGATATTGAATTCTACACCAAATAATTCTACAAAGGCAATAACACTTGCGAGGCATGTTACCTTGATCTATTTATACTATTTATTCTCGGTGGGTAGGTAGCTATCACGACTCACTCTTTTGTTTCAGCTGGCGTGTCCGGGACGCCACACAGCCTCTGCTTACCTTCAAATGGTTTAATATACGAATTGTCTAGGTACTCTCCTGGATTATGTGAGAAAGCTATTGGGATAATGTCTTATGACCCTTGAAAATCCCTGTATCAACTGTCTAAAAATAAAAAACCCATAGACTCTAAAGATTTCAGATCCGTACAATGGAATTGGAACAAAGTCATGATTTTCAACGTATACTCTGCTAATAGTGTTAAATAGCAACGTTATAAAGTCCCAGCTCGGATTGTTACATGGGGCTCTTAGACACGTTTAAAATCTAAGTGTTTTCTATGTCAAATTGCTTAGCAGTCAGTATGGATGCCGCGTTCATCGTGAATCTCGTCTAAAAACAAGGCTTCCAGGAAGAAGCGCCTGGGCTTACTAATATTACTTAAAGGAGGGTTACTCAATTCTATCGAAGATGTACGTGTGAGCTGAATATCAGGAGCATGTGCCGATGATAGAATTGTGCTACACAATGCAACTGTGGAAGAAATAAGCCACCAACTTTACAGTTATTACCGCCGTCATATTACCGGTGTAATAAAATGGGGTCTAAAGAAAGCCCGAGGCTTCCTTCCGAATGGTCGGAAGGGTTGAATATTGACTTGTCGAGTTCTTTGACCGACATTCTAACTTTTTGAGGAAGACACTGTAAGACAGTCCGAATCCGAATGTACCGAATGCTCCGAATGCTCCGTAAGTCTCTCAATCGCATGATGGCGTTAGACACAACAATTGCTTCACCAGTTTGTTTGTAATTTATCAATTAAAAGTTGGCCATGTGGTTTTCAATGTTCGGTACTAAGTGGAGCACCGATAGCAGGTCATTGTATTTATATTATGGAGCTATACAACAAAGACGGCGCCACTTACACAATCCTTGCTTCAGACTTAGCGAGAGACGAGATTGAGGTATTTGCTTGCCGTTTGCACGGTAACCTATGTAAAGTCAAAACTACATAGACACTGGGTACTTGGGTACCTGCCTAGAATAGACTATATCTCGATCTCGACGTTTGTCACACAAAGTTTGGTGCCTGATCCTAGACATCGGGCGCTGTATGAGGAATCTAGGAGGTAGGTAGGTGTGCTTGTTATTGGGACAATTGAGACAGCGCGGGGAATTCCTAGGAATAGATAGTGGTGGTTTCCATTCAAAGAGTAGAACCTCAGACGTAATTAAGTAGGATAACAAAGACTATAATGCAGCGTACTTTCTTCCTAGATGCCTGAATAAGTATAATGTTGTACATAGGTCCTTAACCCAACTCGCCCTTGATTCAAATATATGAAATACGTTGTAAATACGTAGCAAATAAAGAGGTAGCACAGCATATGAATAATGTGATTGCTGGACTTAAGATCTTGATATCGGATTTTAACTTATTTCCTTTCGTAAAATCATAGTGTCACACGTCGGAATTTGCGGTTAAGGAGATAATTGAGACGTCGACATCTACTCGTACCTAACATAAAGCCTCGGCAACACCGACCTTACAGCTAAAGAGAAAATTTACCTAAAATACCCACACAACAATATCTAACTCCTAAATCTATTCCAGCTGTATCGACATATTCTCAAACATTAAATCACATTCACTATGGCAAACCAAACTATTTTCATGACCGGTGCGAACGGTTACATTGGCTCTCGAATTACCGAGTTCGCTATCGCCGAAGGTTATAACGTCGTTGGCTTGTCGCGCTCCGAGACGAGTGACCAGAAGCTTAAGTCACTTGGAGCTTCTTTTGTCCGCGGCGACCTATTTTCATACGATGTCCTAAGAGAGCAGAGCGCTAAGGCGGACATCGTCATCCATCTCGCCGACGCCCTTGCGCAAAATATGGACCAGCCTTACTCGAAGGTGGTTGAAATCGACAACAAGGTCGTAGATGCCATCACCGACGGCCTTAAGGGCTCCAACAAGACCTTTCTCGTCACCTCAGGTACTCTAGTCACGGGCGCGGACCCGAACCACGGGGAGACAAACGAGACATCACCGCTGTGGAGCGAACCCCTCAATGACCGCATCGGCTGTGAGACGTATGCTCTAAAGCAGGCTTCCAAGGGTATCAGAGTGATTGCGCTACGTTTAGCCCCATACGTCTATGGGCGTGGCGGCAGCGGTGTCCGTCTCTTCATGAGCTTTGGCGCCCAAGCTGGCGAGCTCGCCTACGTCGACGACGGCTCAGTCAAGACCACTACGGTGCACGTCGACGATGCCGCCCGCGCATACCTCCTAGCTATCAAGAAAGGCCGGGCCGGCGAGGCGTACAATCTGAGTTACGAGACGGACGTGTCGGCAAAGGAGCTCTACGAAGCCATGGGTAAAGTCTTGGATCTCCCGGTTAAGTCTCGGCCCGCCGCCGACGCGAAAGCGACGATGGGAGAGTTCCTTGCCAGGTTCATCAGCACGGAGAATCGAGCGTCTAACGCCAAGGCTAAGGCGGAGCTGGGCTGGGAGCCGAGGGAGAAGAAGATCATTGATGATATCCTTAATGGTTCGTACGTGGAGGTAGCTAAGAGCTTGAAGAAGCCTGCTGCCTGAACAGTGAACCCGCATCGTGTAGATAGAACGGGAATGTGTGGATTTGTGATATGAAGCATACCTTGCTTACGAATCAGGTAGCTTCTAGGTAGTTCTATTGAGCAGACTAGAATATTATTCCATACGAAGCTTTTGTGTTGGTGCTTGTGCGTTACATTTGTCTAATCCATTTCGTGAACTAGCCTTGAGACATATATAATATAATAGAACAAGAAATATTAGGAAATAATATTTCAGTGGGATAGCAATGTGTTTGATATCTCCCTCTGCGTGATTGCTAAATGCCAGCTACTTCTAGCCAGGCCAAAATATTAAAACTGGAGGGATATTCTCTTTGTCAATTTTATCCCATTATGTAGCAGCTATGTACAAGCGGTGATTAATCTAATTACAACTAAATACTATTCCCAAGCCTTTTAAATGCCCCCTTATTCCATTTACCTCCCACTCCGTTACTATTAAAAAAACCAAAGTTTACTAAATTACAATTTCTCCTAGCCTAGAGTAATCGATTGAATTCTTAACGTGTAGATTCTTGAATGATACTCATCTCAGCTGCGGGCTTCCTTGCCTGCTTTAGATAGTCGGCCGCTTGGGCGGCGTATCTGCATTTGCTGCGGATAACTGCACCGTACCGGAAGAAGATGAAGGGGAATGGCGTAAGTGCTAGAGAAAGGAATGCAGGGACCGAAGAGGCCCAGTGAATACCCAAGTTCTGGTACATCACTGGCGTGAAGAGTGGAAACACTGCCGCAAAAAGAGATCGCAAGACCACCGCGCCTGCCAATGCTGACGCCGCAAATATCGTGTACGCATCTACGATGTAGTTGAATATTCCGAGGCTGATGACGGCAATACCAAATCCGAAGAAGGTCGTGGCGATTATGCTGACGATCCAATGGATCTCTGGGCCATTCGTCCAAGCAAACCAGAAGAGGCCGACGGGGACAGCGACGGCACCAGGCATGCAGGCAATAAGGCGGAACTCAGGTGGAAGAAATCTATCGGGGCTTGCTTCTAGCTTCCTGATGTAGCGCCGGTTGTCCCAAAGGATGTATAGGATAGCAACGACGGCGCCAACCAGCAGGCCGAGAAAAGGAAGCCCACTTATACCTTGTGACCAGTGTCGGGTATTCGCATAGACGATCGGGAACGCGGCAAAGGTAAGATAGAGAGTTCCAAACACCACCGCTTGATAGAGGGAGAGACATAAGATAATAGGCTCGAAGATGAGTAGCAACCATGGACGAGAGATCATCGTGAGGATTGAAGTGTTCAGGACCTTGCCACCCTTGCTCATATCCATGGCCGAAACATATACCTTTCCGGTCTCTTTGGAAAGCCTATTGGCCCTGTATCGAAGTATTATCGGCGCATATGTCTCGGGGAGTGTTAGGGTGCACACAATCAAGCCAGCACCGGTAAGAATTGTGATGATGCCTATCACCCACCTCCAACCAATGCTCTGGGCGACGAAGCCACCCACGATAGGCCCCAGAACGGGACCCATAAAGGGAACAAGTGCGAAAACAGTCAATGCTAGGCCACGTTCGGCGGGTAGGAAGCAGTCAGCAATAACACCGCCGGCGTTAGTGAGTGGAGCGGCACCGAATGCACCCGAGAAGAATCGCAGAGTGAGCAATGTCGCTTGGTTCTGCGCAAAGCAGGTACCAATATTAAACGCCGTATGTACAAGATTGGTGATCAGAAAAATGTATTGACGACCGACGAGTTCCGAGGTTGGTGCCCAGACGAACGGACCTAGAATGAAGCCGATGACGAAAAGACTGACTCCCAGGGTTCCCAGCTCGGTGCTCCCGCCAAACTCTTCCCTGGTTTCGGTGACGACGCTTGAGAAAGAGCTCGAACTGAAAGACACTGCGAAGGTGACGAGGCCAGTAGCCACGCAGAGGGTCCACCGAACCCATGCCGAAAACTGCTGGGGATCGCGAGGGTCTCCATCGAAGAACGAGACAACGAACGGGTTCTCATCGGTACCCTGCCCTTCGTAACGATGCGAGCGGATCTCGGGCGTAATAGTATCTTGATGAAGAACGATCTGAAACCACGAGGGCCTGGAAACCTGCGGTTTCTTGGCATAACCATTTGGTTCGCTGTCCATCGTGGCGGTAATAAGTACCGAAGAAAGAAACAAGGTTAACCCGTATTAGTTGATGGACCTCTAGGATGGGTGTCAACCTTATACGAACGATATGCGGAATTAACTTAAAGAGACAGAGAGAAGGAGACCTTTATTTTACTCGGACTTAATGAAAAGGGAGTTAAGCTCTTACCTTCAAAGGATAGGCTAGTGGCTGCACTTGAGCTGACGGGTGTAAAGGTCCTATAATATCCGAAAGTCTTAGTCACGGAGTGATAGGTGCCGTAATAATTCGGCAAATATTTCACTAGTATCAAAGTAGCACGTTTTGATAGGCTGGGTGACCGTTTACTTACTGTGACACGGGATATGCGGGCTTCAATGGTTGATATGCGGGCTGCAAGTCGTTGGTAGCACAGGAAAAGAAACATACATTAGGTACTTTTGAAAAAGGTGGACGAAGGCTGTTTCATTGGTAAATTAAATTCAAACGACAGGCACTTGCATTGTTATAGCATAAACAACTAAATAATTTATTTCTTCGATGTTAGGTATAATACATGGGGACTTAGGTACTCTTTAATCATACATAAAATACCTCAGTTGTACCTAGTAGAAATAACAACAGTAAACAACGAATAACTACAATAGATATGCTGTTTTCATTTTGCATAAGAAGCACCAGTAGGGACATTCACGGCTATATCGTTCCCTTAATTCGCCTAGTTTGGCCAAGGCCAAAATTCATCGCCAGAAATTGCGAAAATACTCCAGAATCAGTCGTATAAGAGGTACTTGGCCACCCTGAAGATGAAGCTCAGAGCTATTCCGTCTTAGAGTCTCGGCGTTAAATGGCGAATATGGAGGATCTAGTGCTCCGGTACGGTATGCCTGGAGCTCTATGGGATTAGTGCAATGGTTGATGGTCAAACGGTCTATATGTAGCCAATCTATGTGCTCGATACTCAGCTAATATCCTATTATGTGGGCATGCTTGCAATTGATATTCTTACTACCAATACGATTATTATTACCCACGACGGAGATGTTGTTGAACTTCCCCTGTTGCGTAAAGTCGGACCGGGGTAACTGTATTGGAGGAGACCTCCAGCTTTCCTGACTGATTTCTTCGACTTGGGCACGATGCTCCCAATCGGAATGGAAGCCACAGGAATAGTAACTGCATATTGCTCGTCTGATCCCTAGAATATAGTACATTAGATATCGTGAGAGTGTGTATAGTAGAAATCCTACCGGTGTCAAGCTTGGGCTCCCCTGTTTCGTCTAGCAGTGCTAAGAACAAATACGGAGCTCGTGCACCACAATAACATATTAAAGCTTCGCCGAGAGAGTCGATTTCAGGAGTTTGTGGCATACTGATATAGCAAGCAAGCAGTTTTGAAAACCGTCTCGTAGTAGTGCCAAGAAGAAATATATCAGAAGGGATAAGCTTGTGCCAGTCTTGAAGGAAAGTTTGCGAGGGAGATAATTGCGAGGGACGATGTTTTATAGTTATCTTACATTGAGAAATGGCTTATAGAAAAACATAAGATAAGTGGACATTCTGAACAGCCTCAATGCTACGAAGTTGATATATTAGTGGAATTTCTGTGATACATACCGATTGTACTAGCATGAGAATTTTAAGCTGTTGAACATGTTGAATAAGTAACAACTCAACTGCTTGTAAGTCCTGGGAGGGTGGCGTAGCTTGGAAGATACCTTACGTACTTGGGTAATATTAAGTTAAACTATACCTAATCACTAGGCATCACTGAGTTAGAAGTTTTAAATATAACTTATCTATTACTTATTTATGTTAAGTTAAACTCTGAACAGGTAGTATCAATACAATTACCTTTCTAGGTCTCTTATTTTATCATATTTTATTCCCTATGTTAGGGTGTTTATACCTAGGTGATTGATGTAATACATAGGATGTCATACATAGAGTGGATATCTAGGATAGGTATACCAAGTAGTATAGTATATTGATCTAGTAACGTCTGGCTTCTACTCTCTTTCGAGGACGCTGCGCGCGCCCTTATACAGTAAATAGACCCCCCTACCCACTTATACCCTGACACCCCCTACCATTTATATTATATCTAGTTCGCCATATTGCGCAAGATATTTTTCCATATCGCTTATTTAGCTCTTTCATCTCTCCGAACCTTTGAGTTTGGTTCAGCTCTCATCTTGTTTTGGTCTACATGCGTGATTTGGTCTTGCCCGGGATCTGGACCGAAACGTTCGTTGCCGCTGACGTTCTCCGGAGTCTGGGTTATGTTAATCGGCGGCGCTACCGTGGGTGTCACCGTAGGCATTGCCGGAGGAATCGGGTTGTTATTGTTCGTACTGTTCTGACCGTTCTGGCTGTTCTGGATATTCGGGATGTCCCGGGTTGCGTAGTTATTCATCAATCCGGACTTGAATAATGACGACATTACTTCAGGATTGTGAACCCCAGCGAAGGTGCCATGACCAATGCCCTTAATATTCTTCATCATCATATCATATTCAGTGGAATTGGCAAGAATCCAACCGTTTCCATTGATGTCGAGGTTCTCGAAATGAGTGCCACGCGTAGGAGAAATGGTGTTAGGGGATTGCTACAATTTTATGTTAACAAGGATTCTTTCCTAACTATTAATCTTGAAAATACATAACGTACCGTAGTTTGATTTGCTTCAGCAACGTGATTGTTTTGCTCTTGGCTATTCTCTCCTTGATTCATTTGCGTGCCATCTACAATAGGACGAGAAACATGTTAATGGAATGCTTTTAGGATTATAGTAACTGAAGATAGGGGGAAGTCTCAGACAGGAGTTGGGCTCCACTTACGGGACGGTCCGTCCGGACTAGATATCTCTTGGGTGGTAGTATGCATGTCTTCTTTTACATGTTTATCTTGTTCCATCTTGTCGTAGGAGTTTCTCGCAATCGATCTGTTAAGGGTGGTAATTGTCAAGATAAGTGTGGTTTTGTCGTGTTCCAACGATTGGAAAAGTTGAATGATGCGAGCTTCGACTGTTCTGGCTGACAGCGCAACCCTTATTTTTGTAGTGAATCTGTTTTTAGGTCCTGGACTGCTGCCTGGGCTATAGCGGGGCAGAAGAATACCTAGGTCTCGAACCTTTGGGTACATAGCCTCTATGATGTGCAATATATTATTTGTGTGTAATGTCGGGTTAAGACGAATGTCAGAAATTGCATTATCGAGGGCCGTCAGCTGCGTAAGCCATCCTTGACATTTTCCATGGGCATTCTTTAGGAACTCTCTAAGCTCTGCGATCAACTCGAGGATTTTTACAGCTGTTCCAACGAGCTGCCCTGCGGCCGCAACAGCACCGAGAACCTCCATACCCTTTCAGGAGCTTAATAAAATTTGATTTCAATTCTTAGTGTCAAGAATAAGATGGCCTCTCGGTCAGCCTACTCAAAAGCCTACTTGAAAGTGGAAAATTTGGTGGCGATTAACCTAGAGCCTTGTTGAAAAAATAGTGGAAGATGGTAAGGCATATTATATCCCACAAGGTGACAGAATGTTGTATCACATCCCATTTCGAACACATCCCCGATAAACTCGAACCCTTAAGTATTTGCGGGTTCTAAAGTACCTACTCAGCCCCATTTTGCGAATAATAGGATGCTTCCGATCATATTCTAATCCGTATCTGCGGTGCGAACTTGATGCCTCATTAGCTACCTAACGTTAGGTAGCAACTATGCGGGGACGTATTCGTACGATGTATAGACCTCTCTTTACTGCCAATATAGCAGATTATTCTTCATACCCTATATACTTAAATAATAAGCGTAGGGTAAATATTTGAGGACAATTAACACTTAGCCCTCTCTTGTATTAACCTCTAGTAGGGAATATTATAGATCCTTATGAACTAGGTACGAAGTAAAGTATGCCTAATACAAGGGCCCAAACTTATAATGCATTTACCGAGGTGTTTGTTATTGATTCGTGGCACTCGGTTAGACGTTACAGCATGTGGCGAGACATTATTCGTTTAGCCAATAATAAGTACCCTTTTGGAGTCTGCCTAGTTGTAAGTCCTGTCGTATTTCCTACTTCAGTGAACAAGGCATTATTAAAAGCCAAACCCAAGCTCACCTTTACTCCATATTTTCTATAAATTCAAGGCGTGGTATCTCCCACTCGTACCCTCTGATTAAATTAACCATCGATTCTAGGCCCTCCTGTTCCGCTATACGTAGTCCCTCGCTTTCAATCCACTCGTCAAGTGGTGCTCCAAATTCCACCAATAGCCTGAAAACCGACTCATTTTCGCCTCTCACTGCTCGTAGTAGGGCACCGCCCCAATTAATAGTGTGGTGAACAACATTTTGCAGCAGTAGCCGCACTATACTAAGATTTCCATGTCGAGCAGCTTGGAGTATCGAAATATTATCGGCTTTAAACCCCATTTCTAGCAGGTAAACAACTGTGGTTAGGTGGCCATATCTTGCTGGTCCACTGAAAGGTCCGCAAAGCCTATACTTCTTGCTTCTGTTCAGATCTTCAACTGTTAGACCAAGCTGCTTACAGAGCTGGATAACATGTTCTATTAGCGGCATGTTTCCGACTGTAGCAAAACAACATATCAATTTCAAAAGAACACTAAGCCTATTTAAAGAGCTGGTGTAACCAAACGGGCTCCAATACTCGACGATTGGATCGTCGTCGAGCAGAAAATCCTCATCCTCGAGAAGTTCCTCGTCATCAATGAGATGCACCTTGTAGTCCATAAGGCAGAGTTTATAAAGTCCATGCAAACGCTTGAAAGTATCGACGCTTGTAGTTAACGAGAAGGTCTGTAGGAGGTACTGCTCATTTTCTTCGTACCAATAATATGGGTCAAGACCCAGTTCGATCATGGCAATGTTATTGTTCTTACTTCCGTGCCGGGTGACGATGTTACGCGCTGCTGCTTCTTGCCGACCCTCTCCTACGTTTGCATCGATGAAGTCTAAAAATATGTGGACTACTTCAACATTTCCCTTGAAAGCGGCGGCTTCCAATGGATATCCAAGTAATGGATAGCCAAAACTGGGACTGTTGGGGTGAACTGTTAATGATTTATACTGCCTTGAGTTTGTTAAGATTGTAGGTTAATAAATAGACGACTCACGTGTCATCACATCCATATGGGGGGGAAATTAGGTATGGTGATTGTTGGAAATGTGGAAGCAGCTCCTTGACCAAATTTATTTCATTGGTAAAAGCTGCAGCCGCTAATAGAGCCTGCATGAAGTCCTCATCGTGATCGGTGATCTTAGTTGATATCTTGGTGTTTCTTTTTCTCGGTGGAGGCGTCGTCCAGGTTTCATAACCTGCACCGTGACGACCGTTTGTATTCATACAAACTTTGGAGATCTCGAAAATGACCTCTTCTAATTTCTCACCCCAAGTGTATTCACCGCGAAAAGCTAAAATGCGCTCTGCGACTTGGCGGACAATAAGGAGTTGCCTGGTTAACGGCTTGGTCGTACACATTAACTTATCTGTAAGATACCGAGACCAGAATGGACGGCAAATATAAGGGAATGGCAACAGTTCAGGCTCTTTAAGGATTCCTGAGTGAAATATCGCGTACATTGTTACGGTGTCCCATAATCGGCTAACAAGTCGTAACCGGAGAGCGCGTTCGATATTTTTTGCACCAAGCCGTTTACCAACGCGTACTCGAACAGCTGCGATAAGTATCTCTTGAACCAATTCATTTGGGAGAGTAGAAAGTGACATAGTCAGATATATATATTAATCTGAGTGTTGAGGTTTCGAGGTTAGTGTATACTCGAATGTATTCATACATATGGTAACTTCGCAAGATTGGGAAAATAAGGAGGTGTCTGTGTGACAACCTAGAACTGTTAGGGAAATATTGTGGCTGAGCCAGCCATGAATGTACGTAATGATTACGTAATATGGATGATTAATTATTCCACTACCGAGGGGTTATAAATTTATGTGGCTTGAAAAGGGGAAAGCATGGAAGGTTGGAAATGTACTTGCATGTTGTATACCTACCATTAATACATTCTGTATCGTGTCATCCCACACCTATTAAAATACAACAACAACTAATTCGGAACTATTAAACATTCATGACGAATACTGTCTAAACTCTATTTAGAGTAGACATGCGCGGTATCGACCTTGCTCTTTTAAAGCCAATATATTGACCCTTCCCTATTACATTTTACGCGCTAGGATATCAATCATATCCTTTTAGAGATTCAAAGCCCATATTCGCGTGCTCTGTCGCCGTAATGGGAAGCAAGCTTGGGTTCTCCATGATTTCCGTGATGAATTCATTCGATAGCTCAACGGAGTCAGCTGAGACTTTACGAGAAGATGGAGGATCAAAATGGTTTTGAGTTTGACCTCCAATCCACGCCCTCGTCACATGGAAGTATTCATTAACTTTCTCTAGGAGTTCCTCAATCCACAAATCTTGCTTTCCTTGCCGGCTCTGTGGCTCGGCTGCATTCTGATAGTAAGGGAGGCCTGGCTTAAACATAGTCAACTGATAACGCCACTGATAACCATCCCGTTCGAATTTGCTTAGGCGAAGCGCCATTCCAGCCCTGAAGCATTTCTTCTCCCACACAACAGGAATAGCTTCGTCTCTCCTTGCTGCTGTTGACTCAACTTCTTCCACGTCAAAGAACCACGGAGTAAGGAGACCGATTACATTGTGCTTTGCTCCTTTTCCTGTCTTCTCAAACTCTACCTTAGCGTAGTCGAGAAACTCGTCCACTGTGGCGTAGAAGCGGGACCTATGTCCAGTAGGCTTGTACCACTCTTGGCGCTGCTGGTCGGAGGTGAATGCTATAGGAGCAAGAAACAGCGCATTCTTCGAATCCGGGTTCGTTTCAGTCAAGGATAACCAGCAGAGGTACTTGCGAACATATAGGGGAAGACTCTGGTCGTGTGGATACAAAAGTGTGTCTTCCTCGTCTCCTTCATTATCGTGATCGATGCCGAAGAGCGCCTTCCGAATTGTCGTCTCCGCTAGTATCGCGATATCGAGCTTGCTGAAGTAGTCAGGAGGCCACGAACGGGTGACTTTAATGCCTTTAGGGGCTTTTAGGCTAGGCACACGTCTTGTTTCAATGGTGCTATCGACATGATCGATGGTTGTGATGAATCCGTCAATGGCTGTTGTTAGGTCCGTGGTTTCTTCTGTAGAATGTTCACCTGACAGATAACGGCGACGTGCACCGACAAACAAAGAGACGAGTTTCTCAAGCAGTGCAGGTGGGAAAGGAGTAGCCAAAGTTGCTGGATTCCATTCGGATAGAAGAAGGTAGTAGAAAGATCTGTCACCTCGTACACGAATGTATACATCTTTATTATTGATACCGACAAGAAAGAGCATTCTGATTGGATGTACGATTGCTTCATGAACTTCGTCTGGGGTGGCATTGCTAAGTCCTGCAGTTATAAGAGGAGAGAGGATATTGTCAGGATCCATGGACAACTGGCTGATCGAATCGAAAGCTAAGCCATCCATAAGTCGAAGGCCCTTTCGAAGGACCTTGTGATCCATCGCGACAACGGAATACTGAGGATATCAATTACTTGACTCCGATATAGATGGAGCGTAATCCATAAAAGAAAGCCCTGGGTATAATGCTGCCGACAATGATAACTAAGTGAATGTCGCGTCGTAGTTGGATGCTGGATAGAAATAGTAACTAAGTTGATAAAGCCTGCAAAACTCCTCTTAGATATGTTAAACGAGGACGGATATTGAATGAGGTATGTTCCAAACCTAAGGATTATAACAAATGATTGTAGGGCGACGATTAAAATCGTCTTAATGATGTGACGGAAGGGAAGGCGCAAAAAAAGAATGACGCCTGAAATTATTTGTGGTTTAAATTGGCAACCGAATTCTACAGAAGGAGCGAACTTGTTTCCCTAAGGATAAAATTGTAAAATCTTAGACTACGGCGCGTGCAGTGCAGTTACCATGCAAACGAGGGGTGTTGCCCAGGTACCTACCGTAGGGTAGTGGGATATTTAAGACGGGCTTGCATATGAAAAATTAGAATAGAGACAGAAATTACACCTAGCAAATACGCCGTATGACAGAGTCTAAAGTACTTCAGGGTGTTTGGAGGTAGAGCCTTTTTCATTTTTGAATAATAGTAGTAGCATGAGACAATAATTTGGGATCTGCTAACTCTTGGTATTTGTACTTTGAAGACTGGCATATTTGAGCAAGTAGTCAGATGGCCCTTGAAGAAAAAGTCTTAAGTCATAGAAAAGCTACGTGAATATACACGATTTATCATGCCTAACTTGCCTGTCAAGCTACTAAACAGAGTCTGTCACTGTTTAATGTGTGGTTCTTTTATGTGGAAATAGGTATAAGTATAGATAATAGTGAATGATTTGTAATTTTACATTTTAAGTTGAACAAGTAAATCGACTAAATTAGGTACTTAACCTAGACATAAATAAAATTAGGGAAAAAAATCCTAAACCAAACTCAACTGAGAGTAAGTATATTGATAGTTTACAGGATAAAAGGAATATCCAATATTTTTCCTGTATATTAAACATGTATGTATAAGTGAAAAATAAAAATAGGGATTTGTGATAGTATGTAGGTTAGGTGCCGGTGTAGGTAGTCACATGACTCAGGGGCTACGCATAATAATTTTCAAATCTTAACAAATGTCCATCAACCCTTATACCACGAAGCTACAGAATATTTCTATAGGTGCAAACATTCTACTGTGTATATTCTAATCTTACTAATTATATGTGGGAAAATATTCTATTTATGCTAGGTAATAGGGATTAAGGCTTACTACTATCTCTGACCGCGTTTTATACCTACGAAACATGTAATAACTAGCCCCAATAGAAGTTATTACTCTAAATTTGATACTCAAATTACCTTATGGTAAGAAGTAAATTATTTCGCTTCATAAGGGAATCTGAATAACTTGCCCCTTTCTTGTGGGTTGGCACGAAAATTTCTACCAATAAGACCGTATATACCTAGATTTGCTATCATTTACCAATGCGACAGAGATGGATGTTAGTTCATCGAACATGACCCCCCAACCAATTATCAGTAACTGTTGCCTGCATGCCGTCCGGCGAATTTTGACTACCGATGATGAAAGTGTATAAATGTATGCATTGTCCTCACGATCGAAGGTAAAGTCATTGTAGATGCGGTTCACTGCAGAACTACGTACTAAGAGCTCAAAGTCATCGATCCACTTGTTATTATCATCAACACTAAAACGCGAAAAGGTTCCCTCGGTCGAATTTGTGAAGTGAATGTAGTCCTAAGGCAGTTGATTCCGATCGGTGCTACACCCGACGAATTTTCCTAATAGCTAGAGCTGAGGCCAGCGTCGTCGAACATTATACTAGCTTCTCTAGTTCGAATGTTTATGAAAATATACACCCTTCAACGGAATCTGCACTAAGGACGATATGAGGATTATGTAAAAGTGTGGCTAGACTGTTCGTTGTAGCTGTGACTGGGACAGGAATGCTATCGATTACTTTGTCTCATTGGAGTGACACTATTGAGAGTTTTGTATTACCCCTTTAGAAAGAGATGGACATTTATAAGCTGCCGCTGATAATATATAGACTATTTCTGATAAGATTATTCCTATTATTGTCAGAGATACCCCTTAATTGTAGTCACACGTAGAGTAAATGTTAGAAACAGCAGCGAAGCTGCTATATAGTAGTCGTGTGGATAGTATAAATATTAACACTTAGCCTTCTACTCTCTTCCGAAGGCACGTAACTGTCACGTGGTGGAACCAAACAGCATGGAAACAACTTCGTTGTTCCGCAAGGAACTCTAACTACCTAGAAGGTTCTACGTCTATATACTGAACATGCTCTTTGTTCTAGATGTCTCATCTAGAATCCTGACAGTAACGCCCTTTATATATCTATCTAATATGGATCTATGCCTAATTCATACTAGTATCACTTATACCCTGACAGTAGTGCTATCATCGAAGCGAGCGATTAGTTTAGCCCAGAGCTCCTTGACCGTTGGGTCAAAAGGATATAGAGAATACCGGGCGACTCGAAAGAGCTTAGTGAAGGTTTCCACTTTGGAGGATATGTAAGCTCTCAAAAAACTCGATAGAAAAGCGATATATTTACTTCCTATGTAGATTAGATATAGTAGGCAAGTACTACAAAATACTTGAAGAAAGATAGACGAATAATGGTAAATGGAAGACGTGGTAGCAATTTAGGCACATAGGCATGAATGTAGGGAACAAAGGGCAAATCTGCGTTGGCATATAATAGGTACTTATAAATGTGATACGGAGTAAGGTATTATAGTTAGAATCTAAGTATTCGAGTAGAAACCATGTAACAATTAGGATTTGATTGTTATAATTCACAATTTCTAATATCATCTATGAAGAGTTAAGAACAACGTACTATATGAGAAATAATTTTATAGAGGCGCTTTAGAACAAGCGAGCCACGTATTTACTGGATTCTGTCCGACCCCCTTTTCCGCTTATAGTGGGGCCGCCCGGCCGCTTTCTTTTGCCCGGATTATCGGCTCATACAATTTTTAATAATGCACATGAAAATTTCGTTCACATTAATCTAGCGTACTACACCCCACGCTATTTGGAATCAACAAAATTAGTATTTGCTAGACTATCCCTTATCTCCAGGGGTAAAAAAACAAATAAACCGTTACCTAACATGACTTTGGAAGCTAACTAGAATGATCATATTTGGTATTCACAACCCTCACTATCGTATCTGGATTCGTGATCGTAAGGAGATTCTTAGGGTCCAGCCCTTCGTTGGGGCTTCTCTTGTATTTGGCCCATGTCTGGACTTTGAACTCACTGTTCAATTGCGCCGGTGCATTGATCTTAGCCAACCCAAGTAGAAATGTCAACTCGCTGACTTGTGTAGCATAGACCCAGCCTTTGGCCGAGCGCGGCACCAGCCGTAGGCGTAGCTGATTAATATCATGTTCTTCGTCGTGAACCACGGTGGGCAGCACGTTGAAGCGCATATTGGTCAGCATGTGTGCGCCGGGGCCTGTGTAAGTGTTCATGAGGAAGGAGGAGGATTCTCCAACATCGATCTCTATATCCACCTCAACAAGTTGGTACTGGCTTACTTCATCTTGGTTCACGATGACCGAGAAGATAAGATCTTGCGCAAGGTTATCACTATCGAGCTGCACTTCTTCCCAGTGCCCAATGATGTTGCTTGAGACGGTTATCTGAAATCTAGGCGATCCAGCTACGTCACGTACAATTGGCTGGCCACTGGGTACAGCCTTGGACTGAATATCTGGAGTGTATTTGATATGGGAAAGTATATTTGGTTTAGGAAGAGAAGCCGCGGAAGCGATAGAGAGTGCACGGACGTGAGGGGCGAGGAAGCTAGAAAGCGCCGTGGGAGTAGCAGCGTAGCTCTGATGACGCTGGAAAATGGCCCCGTAGTCATCGTCGTCATCTTGTTTCTTCGAAGGTGTGCTTTTAGATCTGTTATCTGAGGTAAGTTTCTTGACCCGCGCAGTGCCCATAAGCCTTAGTGTCCGGATTTCAGGACTGCTTGGCCCCCTAGGTGGCCCTACTTGGGCTACCACTTCCGAATTTGTATGGCTTTGGAGATCAATAGTCAGGTTATAGATGGGATCGTTCAGCTGCATAGCAAAAAGTGCTGATGTTGGTGCACTGTCATTGAAATAAGGCTTCTGTGCTCCGCCCTCATTATAGGTACCCATCTCATCCTGGAGCTTCTTCAGCTGCTTGGCAGCAAATTGCGGTGGCCAAATGACGCGTAAATCATTCAGTTGTGAACCAGATTTAGCGTCCCAGAGGAAGATATTATCGGTGCTGTCGCGTTCGTATATAATAGACTCTCCGAGGGCATCATGTCGCTTATCATCTTTTTCGCGAATGCTCTGGTCGACTGTGTACTGGCGCCGTATGTCTACCTTAACCTGTGCTGGGTCAACACCACGGGCAATAGCGAAGCGTTGTTGGTGTGCGGGCTGCGTGAAGACGAGACTAGCAAATTGGTCTGAACCAGGTACACGGTCCATAAAGGCCATCATAACCCCGTCTGTGACAATTTCGTGCCGTAGAAGGGGTGCGCCAGAAGAGGCAGTTACCCCATTAACGTCTAAGACCTCGACACGTAGGTCCGGGAACATGGTAACGAGGTCTGACCGTAGGTAGAAACCGTAGGCTGGTATCTGCATGGGCTGGTCCTGTCCTTCTGGCATGTGTTTAATGTAGTTGTTGAAGGCTTCTTTGATAGCTGTGCGGTCTTCATCATCGCCGTAGTGGTTACCGAGTGAAAGAGCGCCATCTATCAATGCATCGACCCAGTTATTGTCGATGCGGAAGAAGCGTAGGCGTTCGGGCTCAAGGTACGTCGGGTCGGGTATAAGGCAATGAGCGGGTACACCCGCTAGAAAAACGCGGTCAAGAAGCCATGAAAGAATTATCATCCAGTCTGTTGATATTGGATCATTGGTCTCATCGTACGTATCCCCTGATGTGCTCTGGGCAAGGTATCGCGCCGCTTTAATGGCCTCATCGGGGAAATATTTACGAATCAGGGGTGAGCCAAAGGACATGTCTGGTAGCTCGGACCGCGCGAGACGGGAACGTTTCCATCGTCGCTTAGCGCCTCCGGGAAGGTACCGTGGTGCACGAATGGGGTTTCCCGGGTTTATATCATCATTACCACTGAGATGAATCGAGGCTAAACTACGGATGGCCGAATCGATTCCGCCTAGTACGTCGCTGCGGGTACGGAAGGCTGTATCATCAATATCCTTCACCGTATTTAGTTTGGAGGCGGCATCGGCCGTACTGTGGATCGAAGTACGCAGACGGTTAAGTGCAGCTGTGTAGGCTTCGTCGCCTAGGGCCATGGTACGACCGACTTGCCAAGCAACCGAATACGTAATATCCATGATACCAAGTTGCTTATCAAGGACTTGTAAGTCAACACCCGAGTTAGAGCTTGTCGTCAAATTTTCAAGGGGGGGGACAAATGAAGGCGTAAATGGTCCGCGATAGAGGGCGACAGTGGATTCTCCCGTCTGAGTGTGATATCTTACGAGTGTGTATCCATCATCGAGCCGCTTTGCAACAAGCTGTTGAATCTTGTCGCTTGAAGTCCGTAGCGGCGAAATGATTTCCTCTGGAGCACGAAGGACGTTGAGAGTCCTGCCAAGATCTTCAAAGGCATCTGGTATGTTAAGCGTATTCGCCGGCAGCACAGTGTAATTCCAGCTATGTAGCGAGCATAATGCCACATAACGGTGGCTCGATCCGGGCCAAGACATTTCTTCGATGCCTTCGATAGAAACGAGGTGTGCAGTCATGGTTACTGGTGTCTCATTGTCCAGAGGGCCTGACCGGTTGCCAACAACAATGCTAAAGACAGCCGTGTCTTCAACTCCAGCGAGCGCCATACCCTGGCCATTTATCTTGCGCACATGTGCCTGATACTGGTATTGTAGTGCGTTGGGCTTGGAACCTTTGACAGGATTGTTATTAGGATCGCACGTCGGAAAGAGATTCGTGAAGAGGTCTGGCTTGACAAAGATAAAATCGCCTCGACTACTTTTCATGCTATCCGGTCCAAGCTTTTCAGTTACAGGCGTCGTTACATCTGTCACCTTCCATAGATCATCAATGCTCATGTTGACCGTCATAGTACCTGACTGTTTAACGGGTTTGGTGACACCAGAACTTGTATTGCGGAAGATGCTAGTCGACCCGTCTAATTCCTGAGGCTGTAGCCGCAACTCATCTTGAGAAAAGGAGAACATGACGAGCCAGGGCACGCGGTTGCGTACGGTCTCACCATTAGCACCATCTGCCAATGCCCTCATCTTCATCTGAAGCTCCTTGTTTGTTCCCTGGCTTTTACTTCCAAGTCTTTCCCATGGTAGATGCGGGTCCGTTAGAACAACATGAGGAAGGATCCTGTTTGTATCAGGATATCCGGGAGGGGGGTAGGTCGAGTGTACGCTCCCTTCCGGTAGAGAGAACTGTGGCGCGTCTACAGAAAACGACTTATGCGCACTGAGATTCAATTCCTCTCCTGTCGGTGCCTCTATTTTCTGATTCACGGTGATATTATGTTCTGGACCAGCTGCAAGCCCCGGAGCCCAGTATGAATTGAGTTTTTGCTCACCAGGTGCCAGAGGGTCAACCTCATCGTCGCTCTCAACAGCGGCTCTGCCAGCTAGCTGTCGGGCTTTGCGCTGATATGAAGTAGCGACCTTCCGAGAGTGTCGAAGGGTTAGATGACGAGGAGAGTTGATGCGAGTACTTTTTCCTCCGGGAAATATGCCCATTGTAAAGATATTTAGTGGGGAGATGATTCTAGAGACTGTGACTTAGGTGCTATCAAAAGGTTTTAAGCCGAGTCCTATACGACACAGTCAAGCTTGCTCAAGTTACTCTTACTAGACAATGGGGCATACTCAAGTTCTACTACTGCTAATAAGTCACTTGATACTTAATACCTAAGCATGGTTGGGAATCCTGAACGCCGCGACTTGCTCGAATTTCGACTTGGAACCCCTATAATAAAAACATCCCCATTGATGAATAACACCCTTATTGATTACTCCAATTTGTAAATTCTCAGGTGAGTTTCTCCGGTTACAGTTCACGGTGACGTTGAAATCATGCTCTAGAAGTTGATATAGATACACCGAGGAGTGAAAGCATCGAGCTGCATTGCAACACCAAGTCCTGCAGATGCATCCAAGTTTCCACGAAATAGAAAAAGTAACATGTAATATAAAACGTGCATACCTAATGGATACTGTATTGTGCATTCCGGAAACTACCTACCTTCTATGCAATCAACCAAGTATTGGGTTTTAGCTACATCTTGAGATGTAATTGCAATGTTGGATTTCATTGCATTTAGCAATAACATTAATAATATGGTAATAACTGCCTAAAGGGAATAATTAATATCGGAAAGTAATAGGACATTTAGATCCTTTAAGCCACCAGGTAGATCTCATTGTTTATTTTCACGTCATCAATTGAACTTCGAAGTTGAGCCATCTACTAAGCCATCCCTTACTCGCTACAAAACTTATCCAATTACTTCACAGTTTAAAATAAAGCTTAATAGTACAATTAGAAACATAGAAGCTTCGTCACTACTGTGAACATAATATTAAGACAATCATGGCGGCCTTGGCGGCGATTGTCGACAAGAGCGTTGTAGATGATACGAGCATTAGCCTTTTCTACAACACAAGCAAGGCACAGCTAGCCATCTCGCTGCAGTCCAGTACCGATATCAACTACCAGGCTGAAGACACTTGGGTAACGACCGACGATCATTATAATAGATACATCCTGAATCCGTCTTCCATTGCGGCAGCCTACTACCGCGGACTTAAATTTGTGGTAGCCATGACTATACCGAAGAAAGGGGAGGGAGAGACAGGGGCGGACGTCCAAATATCTCTTGTGTCGCCTATATGTCAAGATCTTACACCAGGAACGTTCGAGAATAACCATATTGCCTTAGGCGCGACCACAGATGGGAACCAAGGTTGGCTGTATTATCTCAAGTAAGTTGTGCTTCATACTATCCATTATCTAATCTTTACTTGGATATCCGCTTCACTCGCGAATTGATTTAACCACCTTCATAGTGATGGTTCCGATACTAGAAAAAGAGTAGTGGAATTAGATCTCAACAGCAAAATTACGCAGGTCCTAAGCAGTATAGTTCAGGTAGATTATAACAGCTCTCTAGCCGCTTGGTATGACCAGGTCAATGAGGAACGGCATATTATCTACGAAGGCGGGGGCCTCCGCGACTTCAATATAGATAAAAATACTCGTAAGCAGCTAGTTAACTCATTTACCAAGCCTTCTAAAGCCAGGAAATATGTCTCCTAATTTCCCTCTTCAATTCATATACACCAAAGATCTGTAGTTAACAATGCTTAACAGTCACTACCGTACATGCGGGCGACATGACCCCTAGTACGTCTATTGGGGTAGTCTACTCTAAGTCAACCAAAAAGGCATACCTCTACTATTGTAACGTAAACCAGAATATTATGCGAGGCGTCATGAGCGAAGGCGATTGGAAAGATTCCCAGGAGATCCAAGGCGCCCCCATGGTTGCCGAGAATAGTCAGATCACCGTTACGCAGGCAAATGGATTTAATCACGTATTTTACATTCCTAAGAACCTGGGCACGGAAGAGGGCGGGGATCAGAGCCCCTTTGCTCACATCCTTGATAATATCGATTGAGCGGTTTTTGTAATGAATAAGGATGATTACGGGACCGCAACGTTTTAAGTTGAAAGGGCATTACATTACGTTCGAAAGTTTGTTGCCAAATTACGATGTTTACTATAGGCGCCTGAAATAACAAGGCCTCTAAATTCCAGGTTGAAGCTATTTACTAGCTAGTTGCCTACCATTCCGTAGTGGTATCATGTACCAAGGGCTACTTCTAATATCAGTGCGATCTTATAAATTATGGGGTTAGAGTATTCTATTATCTACAAACTCAACTTACATTTGGGGCATTTTGAAACTATGCTAATAATTTGCATAGTTAGAAGGTAGCGATTGCATATTAAGCTATGGGTTGTAATGCTCGTCTTGTGTGAGAAAAAAGGAAAGGGGGCTACCTCTTTACATGTATACACTTGCTAAATAGGTACTTATACTAATATACCCGTTAACTAAGCCTTATGCTTGTATGATCATGCACGGTATCAACGATATACGAGGCCCAGATTCTATCGAGTATATTACTTCATTACGTTAACAATGCATGATTTACACGACACACTACGACATAAATCCTACTCTAGACACTTACAATTGCACCCAGCATCCGACGTCACACCGTCACATAACACAACAGACTGATGAGACGTTGAGACTGCAAGTTTCAGCTGGCCTGAGACGACTGATCTTACCTGTTTCTATCACGACGTTCCCATCTTTATGCAAATCTATGTAGGCGACGTGTCAAAACATACAAAATCAACATAGGAGATACTACTCCAAGATGCGGGGTTGAGCTTCCATCGGACCGCCGTACGTGGCTTACATCAGTTCGTGGAGAGGATGACGCGAAGAACTACCGTGTCGGCAGCTATCATACGTTCATGACGGAAAGACGATGCCGCGGAAATGCGGGTTTTCGTGGAGTAAAGGGAATGTTATGCAGTGTAAGAGAAGGTGTCCTGAATTAGTCTTCCATATGTCGGAAACTTGAAAACATAGAGAATGCTAGACCCCGTCGCAAGATATGTTGATTGAGAGAATCAACTACTATCGGAAAGAGGTAACTGAAACTCTCAGAACTACCTAGTCTGCTTGGGAATCTATTATTGATATACTTATTTCCACAAGGGTTGACAACTACTGGGGTGTTGAGACCATGGCACAGGAGAAAGTTCCGCTTCTTGAGGCCTTTGGCGAGAAAGGTTTCTTTCGTACGGCCTTCAACTATAAGTTAGATGAAGTAAGCATTGCCCATTCGTTATGTCAGTTAAATAATACCAAAGACGGACATAACGCGACTCGTTAAGTTATCTACAAGATTAGTATCGGGTAGAAGGAGCTAATATTCCGATAGATCAAAAAATGGATGGAAGATTGTCTTGTCGGGAACGCAGGAGGTGATCAGGCCAAGAAATCAGAAGTCCAAAAGCAATTAAAGTACATTAAGGATAAGCTCGATCGTCTCATGTGCGTATGAATTAAGTGATTACTTTGAGACAAGAGGGCTAACGATAGGAGGGAAAACATAGCCTACCAGATGGGGAAGATTTCAATAACGAGGATCTCCGACCTAAAAGTCACTTCCTACGTGTGCTCAATCCGCAATGGACTATGGAGATGAAAGATTTCATAGCAAAGTTCAAACTCGGAGATTGGCCGATCAACTACCAAGGGGTCCTAGAACGGTCTATATCCGTGAAATGGTGGAATCCCTATGACTTGCTTGGCCTATTCATAAGCATCCTAGGTCCTGCTCCAGGAACGGCTAATAGGAACAACTATTTCAAGCCCCTAATTGCAGTCTATGCGCGGTGGTGTTCGCGCATCGCGGGTTACGCGAGTAAGTGGAAACCCCCTGGTGATGGTGCGGGATTCTGGCCTTTTATGTTCCAAGCCACATGGAAACCAGTGGGCGATAAAAAATATTTCTTCCTTGGTGGCTCTATAGCAGGTGATAATTGGGATCCGAACGAGGTTGGGCAATGGAAACAGGAAGTGCAGCGCCAGCGATTCTATATGTTTCATGATTCTTTGATGAGGGTCGACATTTTTAATCGGGATTCCTTCGATAAACCACCTGTGAAATTAGATACATATCGTCTTCCGAACCATTCGTTCGGCAACTGTGGAGAGACATACCCCTTTATCTTCAACATTCGCAGTACTCGGTATATATTCCAGCTCTGCCCCCTCCCCCACCAAGTTTCCCCTCATCCACAATTGCTAACTATTCGTCAGCTCCGATAACCGAACTCTGGAAGGCCTCGCTCTTTGTCGGGACTTTATGATGAGCCAGAGCTTGGATTCATATGACAAATATTTGGAAGCTAAAAAGAACAGACTTTGTGGACCTTGTGGCAACTGTAAGCAAGTCATCAATAGGTCCAGGGCCTTGAAAAGTAATTTCTCAATATATCGAGAAGCAAGCTTGACTGCAAAGAAGCCGCAAGGAATAACCGTCGAGCGAAAAGAGGCGATAGCAACCCATATGGCTGCTATCACCGATCCACCTGAGGGATGGTCTATCAATGTCGATGATTTGGACCGCGACTATTACTGGGGACCCGATGGCGACGGTACGAGGGCTGCCCAGCAAGTTGGCTTGACCGGCATGAAGGAGCTCATGGTTGTCGAGCCCGACAGCGGCGGAGACTCATATATGTTCACCGCATCTACTGGAAAAATTTATTTGTGGTACATGGTCACTGATGAAATTTTCGAGTACACGGACCCCTCAGATCAAGCAAAGATTTTGGCTGAGATGAGGAAACCGCCAGGGACGGGGAAATTGGAACGAACATTGCTCCCTAAAGTTCAATAGGCAGCTTTATTGAGCTTGAGGAGTTGACCTATTATTTTTGGAGGGTTATTTGTTAGAAGGAAACGATGGCTACATGATGCAGGACTGGAAGTATTGGGATTTGAAATGACACCCCCCTATCCCATACGCAACCTATAATAATACTTCTTACCTTATTTAAATTAGCTGTGGTCGATCAATGTTATTGTTATCCTCAAAGGGCTTGATTCCTATTTTCAAATTTTATAAGTTTTTAAGCAACTAACACGATGCAATATATTTGAATCTTTCCACCGTGTCGTAGTTCGTGGTTAGGTGCCAAAGTACTATTCAATAATAATGGCATCATTTACTTTAACCTTCCCTCCCCCCTCGTTGAACTTCTTGCGTTGGTTCTATTTTACTTAGCTAATCGCGACATCAAGAACTTGCGGCTAACTGGTGCCTTCTTCCGAGATACTGCTCATGTATGCCTCACTCGAGTTTTTCTACCCGCCAATCCCCTAAATATCAGCATCTTTCGCGCCATTATCGATCATGAAATATTGTGTAGGGGGGTTAGGGAGATCATTTGGGACGATACGCGTTTGGCTTCACGAGACGATTATTTTGACTCGGGCTTTGGTGAAGACTTTGAGGCGGATGACAAAATTCCTTTTTAGTGATAGTTGTTCCTATAGTCATAACTCCTCAGATTGTACCTTATAGCATCAGCGTCAGCTCCAGTAGCTATCACGTTGTGTTCCCGTTCTAGTAGGGCTTGATAATACGGCCGAAAATCCTAAAGAGGTAGCTGGGAATCGACCTGTTGAGGCCGGGCAGCATGTTCATGGGGGTATCCACGTTCCTCGCTTTTCGCCTCCTAAATTATTATATATTCTCATTGCACGCGCCAACTAAGCCGCTGCGGAACTCGCACATATACTTAGACACTTTGGGCTATCCGGCTTCTTAGTCCAGCAGGCTGACGTGCTTTCTCTCCTCGCTCCACTGCCGCAGACGATTCGGTCAGTCAAGTTGAGATTTCTCCATTTCTTAGACAACGAAGATAACTACAGAGACTTGCTCGTGGATATGCGCGATACCCTGGGCTAGCACGATAGGGCCGAGGATGCGCAGCCAAAGGTCACCATCGGCCTGCGCCTACCCCTCCAATGCACCGTACGGGCGTCATAAGTCGATCAAGAGGCCTACAACTTTCTCTACCGCGATAGTGAACATCGGTTTAGTCATAACTACCATTCTCTCAATCAGGTGCCTCAAGGTAAGGGAACTGTCCAGGACGCGTTTAATCCAGCGTATCAGCAGCCATGAGTGAATTTCAGTACATAAATATGATTAAGTTACTACTAGAGATAGAGGGGTTTTGGCAAGTTTAATAGCAGCGCAAGATAGAAGATGGGAATATAGGATGTGGGATTTTTTGAAGTGGGTTTAGCAACCAGAAGAATGACAAATGGAACTGAATCAACCACGGTACTTTACTCGATTCTTTCTCGACAGGTTATCAGGCTCATGTATAGAGTATCAACCGTTACTTATTTACTGACTAGATTAGACGGCTCCCTTCCTTGCAGACATTCTTCCATCTTTTAGTCAAGCAGACCAGAGAAGACTTCCACTCCTAAAGCAGCAGCTGTAACAACAGCCAAGGAGTCACGATTCACTTTCTCCAAGGGGAATGGAAAAAGTACATTCGTGTCGTCCTCAAAATGCTGATCAACCGCTGGCACACAATATTTAATTTTATGTATAATAGTATCAACTTGACTATTGTTTTCTTTTTTTACTTAATCTTCGCCTTTTTTTCTTCTTTACTATTCCGTGTAACACAAGTAGGTATATGTTAGATAATAGATGATTGATTGAATAACAAACTAATGATGCAATTATTATTATTTTTTTTTTACAAACACTCATCATGGATGAGTGTTTGGATGACACGCGACCGAAGGTCACGTGTTGAGATGTACTTAGGTACATCTCACACATATCAATTCGTAATATGGTAAGTTAAACCCGTTTAAAACTTAACATAGGTAGCCAGTTAAAAATTATAAATCTCAATACCGTAAAATGTAGGTACCTACACGTATTAAACTTTCGCAACCTGTAATGATAGGATAAGTCGAGCCCCTTAAATAACATTCGAACTCCTATTCTCCTAATGGATAAAACTTCTTCACTATCAACACTCTAAGCCACATACACTAGTGCTATCTGTCAATACTACTTGCCACGTTCTGCTAATCAGCATTTTCCGCTGTTCAGCTTGCCCTGAAAAAAACAAACGCTTCGAACCAATAGTCACACGCCACAATTCTAAGAATCTTCACTCTTTTACAAATTAAGGTTCACCTTCGAATCCTGGCAGGAAGCCTCGCGGTCTACCTTGTTATAAGCCTTTCAAACAACAAGTGGCGGTGATTTCATGCAATCAATAAGATGCCATCTTAGATAACACAGCCTGCTTAGGGTTGCATCCACCCTGTCGACATACGCCTAATGAAGGCGTAACCTACTTAATTTTTATTAAGATATTTTCCAGCTCATGATGCAGAAAGTAGATGCTCCCTAGATTCTAATCAATAATATTTCGTAAGGTAAGGCAATATGTGTATGAGGCTTATCTAAATGACGAAGGCTAAGCTATCATTTTTTTATCTCACTCACACCTTTAGATACCTAATGTAATGCTACTTCAAGTGTAATTTTCTCGATGATACCCAATGCATGTCAGGAATTACGTACTCGAGAATAGATTTGCCTTAAATAAATATCTACAATTTACTATAAAATCAAGATACAATAATCTAGGTGCATCGACTACGTGTTACTCTTTTAAGATCATTAGGTGTTCGAGGACAAGCCTAGACATAATACGGCTTTCGTTCATATTCAGCTTCTCTAAGGGGAAAATAGAAAGAAAGGGAAAAGCCGGTTCCCTCCTTGCTCGTCTCGAATCCCCTTTTTGCAAAAGACTTCCCAAATCTGACCTTTCGGGGACCATTCGATAATCGACCCAAGACTCACCTAGACATGCATGAACCAACAGAGCTTCCAGAGCCATTTCGCTCTCTTCTCTATGATCTTGAAAAACCTTTGCCGGCTGATTTTCCCAAAGAAATGCAGAGATCTTCATTTGACGAGATGTTTGAAGGAATGCCCGAAGACCTCCGTCCTAATCTCCCCAAGCCGCTTCTCGACGAACTTACTAAATCAATCTTCGATGAATCTATGAAAGCTACTATAGAAGATTCAAAGGACATTTTACCTGATGAATATCTCCAAACTCTTTTAGATGAGTTTAATAGAACGTTGCCCGATGATACGCCGAGACCTCCACGGGATCAAGCTATTCAACATCTACGCTATACTCTCATTAAACAACAGATCGACGGGAATCAAAATCTCTTCGATGACTGTCGTCAAATTTTACTTGACCAGTATCGCAAACTTGAATATGATGAATACCGACAATTTATACGTGATGGTCATCACAAATCTTTGGCCAACGGCTTTCCTCAAAGGGTACTTGAAATGTGGCGGCGATTATACCCAGGGATTAGGGATAAGTTCTCTACGCTTAAACCCGAGGTTGATGAAATGTGCGATGTCGCAGAGCAGGTTCAGGCTGTCATACAACTCCTATGTGAAAGGGATGAGCGATTTTCCTTCATACATTCCGCACTTGAAGAGTTTGTCAATGGGCATGACGGCCTACAGGACTGTCAGGAGAGTGTAGACCGCATCGATTCTACAGACCCAAACGAACTTGAGGATTTTGTTGCTATGGACAAGTTATCTGAAATTCTAACGTGGCCCATATCGAGACGAAAGCGCGATCCAGCAGACATGATGAATCTCAAGGGTGCTCTACACGAAATTATTGATTCGACAATATATGAGCTACTTGATGTTTTCCGTGATATAAAAATTGAGCAACCATCGATTGGTACCAGCTTGATGACACACTTTGACCTTTTGTACGATCTATATAGAAAATCCGAACTATCAACGCCGCAACCAGCGATACAGGTGACCCCCAAGCCCCGAGAAGACAGCGCAAATGAGACGAGTTACCAATATCCAAGCCGCCTCAATTCCGCGATAGGGGAGGTCCGGACCATCAAGATCCTTCCTAGTACCAGGAAGGAACGTATTGAGTGCCACCTTGTAGTGCGCAATCTATACCACGACGATATTCCGGAGGCTTTATCATACGTCTGGGGTAAGGATATGTCTACGGAGAAGATTCTGGTCGATCACAAGCCTTTCACTGTCACGAATAATCTCCTTAAAATCCTTCGAGACTTACGACGTCTGGATATCACCAGAGAGATCTGGATCGATGCGATTTGTATCAACCAGTCAGATTTTAATGAAAAAACAGACCAGGTTCAACTCATGAAAGAGATCTACTCCAGGGCTAAGAATACGGTCATCTGGCTAAGCGGCGCCCACACGGAGAGCAAACAAATAGAAGTTTCAGTAAAGAATCAAGGAGAGTATCCGGTAGAAAATCAAAGAGCAGATCAGTCCTTCAACATGGAGGGGTTGTATGCCCCTATTCCTGTTGGGCTTGGTGGGGTTGACATAGATCAATACGATCTCGCTGCGATCTTGAAGGAGTCTCTAAAGTATTCTATGGACGCCCCATGGTGCGAAAAGCAAATGTTTCTATACATAATTCTCCTTCGATGTGCGGCTCTGGTCTTATTATACTCATGGTGGGAGAGAGTCTGGACAATTCAGGAAGCCGCATGCCCACCGAATGCGCCAATATTCTTCTTCCACGGACACTGCTTCTCGTTTGATGACTTTACAGCTGCTATGAATATAGCGAGTAAATTATCGTCCGGGAGCGAGCACATTACCAAACAAATCAAGAATCGACATGATATTATGGGATCCGGTAAGCATACCTAGGTACCTACCTAAACTTTTCTTTCTCTTCCCCCAATCGTGAGCTTTGGCAATCATGACGATAACACAATTTGTCTTATGGGTAAAATTCACGCTAACCTTTTAATGACGGTTAAAGAAGCATGGCAAGCCGTATATAAGATAGTCAGTTCCCAGATAGGTCTGCTAAGTCGAGTCCCGCTTCTTCTTCTGTACCGTCGTGGTCTGGAAGTAGAACGTCATTCTGTGGTGAAAACATTCATGGTTTTGTTAGCAATGGCAGAGACCTATCGAGCTACAGATCCTAGAGATAAGATCTTCGCGTTACAGTCACTTCTTCCCAAATGTATGGGACTTCTTATAAAGGTGGACTATAAAGAACATTGCGAAACAGTATTTAGAAGGGCGACAGCTCGATACTATAACGCCAGCCCAAACTTCTATCTGATGAACGATTGTAAGTTTTGGTTCGAATCTCTACTAAGTGCAGAAGACCCAGCCGGCCCCTCCTGGGTTCTCGATTTCACTTACACCGACGCGGGCTTTCGTGGCAACAAGTCAATTAGAGAAACTAAACACAAGGTGACACTTGACGGTTTTATCTCCGAGAATAACCTTTCACACCTTAAGCTTGAAGATGGCGCGGACAATATGTGCCTGTGCACTCCAACAACTCTATTTTGCACAGGGCACTATATAGACCAAGTCCGATGGGTCGGTCTGATGCCAAGATTGAGTGATGCGGCAACTCTCACAGCATTCACAGTATTGACATCACTAACTCTCGAAGTGTTCAACACTCGCGAGTCGTTACTTGGCATTCCTGCTACAACTGAATTCGGAGATGATGTAAATACCGAGTTCCTTTCTATAACCCATTTCCTTTTAATGCAGAACAATGAACCATTGGATCTAGAAAATCTCGATGAGCTCGCCAATATTCGGAATCAGGAGCTCGTTGGGAAACCAGTCTTCATTACCGAGAAGGGACTTGTGGGGATTGCTACGGCTCTCATCAAACCAGGCGACTCCCTCTCGTGGATACATGGTTCACCTATCTATCTCATCCTTAGAGAAGTGGAGAATCGGGACAACAGTTCAGACGATGTACGACAGGACTGTATTGTTGCCCGTGCGGCCGTCAATGACAAATTGATTCATGGCAAGAAGAATATGAAAGACCTTATCTATTCGACACCTAGTCTTCCCTTCCAGATTGTCTAAACATATGGGATTTATGTTCCAAAGGCTATCTACGAAATGTACTAATAGAAATGCATAGTAAACGATGTGTAGGGGAGTTAGTATTAAGGGGGGCAGATTGTTAGTTAGGAGGAGACTTGAACTTTTCATTATCTTTACTACTATTGGGAGACGTGGTTATTTAGCTGGTTAATAAGGCAAGAATTAGTTTCGTTCGAACCCTATAGCAACGATAGTAATAGCTACCTATTTATAAGAGTACTTTATTACCTTAGGTACTTAGGTATGCATACCAAACTTCATCAAATTGGATACTTTACACTTCACGTTTCCATGTCCTACTCCTTTGGCATCATGATAGGGTTCCTTAACTGTAAGAATCCCTCGACGGCAGTGTAAGGACCATTCTGAAATCCAGGTTTTGTCAAATCGCCTCTCTTCTCAATACCAAACGGATTGAATACAGTATCCCCATCTCCGTCTCCATCCCCCTCAACAACGTACGGCTCAAACCAACTCCAGTCGCCAGCTCCAAGCGACGGCAATGGCAGGTCACGCTTGGGAATTTCTTTTGCGTTGTCTTTTGTAAGCACCTGTGCCGGGTCATAGGGTGGCACGTCATTGAGTGGTAGTGTTAGGGGTCCCGCATGGAAGAATGCGGTCATAGTGTTCATGGCCCTTTGCCATGTCCATGACGGTAGTAGTAATTCGGACGGCGGCAGGAATGATGAGTACGCATGTATAGGTGTGAATGGGTCGATTATGGCGCCGAATACTGACATCCGCGCGTTGCGATGGTTATCGAAGTCTGCTGGCTCGACTGGGAAGGGAGGTTCCCAGAAGGGTGTGAATAGTGGGTATTCGTCAGTATTGAGAGGCCTTAGTGGCACAATTTCTTTATCATCTGGAGAAAAGAACGTTCTAATGTAGTCAAAGTTGAGCTCGTCAGTACCCGGGGCTGTAGTATCGAAATATCCCACCAGCCCGTCATAGGTAGCGTCGCGGTCTCCTAGCCGCACTTGGAACTTATAATAATCTTTATCGGCGGCCGACTTCGTCAGATCACGCTCTGGATCTTTGACTTTGCTCCTGGTGCTTTGATTCTTGAGCGGAGGCGAGTCTAGCTCCAGGGACCAACCCGTATTAACTAGAGCTAGCGGCTTACCCACGATGGAATTAAGGAACTGAGCATAGTCGTTCGGTGCAGCCGACAGTGTCTCCTGTGCCTTCGTAATCATGGTCCAGAAACCATGAAGATAATCACGATCGGCGAGTTTGTTGACGAGGGCATCAAGCTGGCGTGTATCGGTAGTCGAAGTATCCTTATCGGGGCTGAAGGGTAACCACTTCGGCGCATCTAACGTCCCAAGAGGTCCACCGAAGCGAACCTCACGGTAAAAGGTCCCATCTGCTAGGAATAGTTGGATACCGTAGTCGGCATAATTTGTAATAACCCAACCCCAGATGGGGTTTTCCCATTCAGATGCTGGGCGCCAGGTAGCCGATCCGGGGGAGTCGTTGGAAAGTGCTCCTAGAGCTCCAATTACCTTCTTTTCATCCTCTGGATCGTCGGAAATACGTTGGACAAAATTAGCGTTAAGACGTGCATTCTGATTAATTTGCGGTGGAAGCTGAAGGAACTCGCATTGGGCAGGGTTATCCTTGATTACTGTATTGGCATGGTCCTTGCCGTCGACCTTAATAGTTTGTGGCTCATAGAAATCGCTAATACAAGGATATAAGGGTGGAGGGCCATCGATTTGGGGGTTCTGATCGATGGGAACTAAGGCTTGGCCAAACTTGTCGATGATGTTAAGCTTGCGAAATCTGTAGAGAATCAGCAAAAGAAACGTAGATGAGAATAACTATTAGAGAAGTTAATGACATACCTGAACTGCCCATGTGTCACAGGTTTAAAGGGGCACCATGCACTGTCGAGGAAATTGGCTAAAGCAACGTACGGTGTTGAGGCCGACTCTCCTTTGATTAGTTCAATATGTTCTTTACTTAAACCTGCCTTGTCGTTTACTGCCGCATCAATAGCCTGGCTTGACTCGACCCCCGAGTCAATAGTCTTATTTTCAGGTTTGATGTGGCTACCCTCTGCTAGTGTTACTATGCCATTAGTAAAGCCAGAGAGCGGCATCGACAGGTACGACAGCTTTGACACGTTCGCACGTAGGTTGTCACGCTCCTCTTTTGACAAATATATGTCAAGAATTTCTGGCGGCGTGTTGTCAAAGAGCTGCGCTATCTTAGCCCCAAGCGAGAAGCTAGGCTGTGGTAAGATGAGTACCCGACCAGACAGCACACGCATGTCCGGACCATTGCCTTTCTGCTCATCAAGTAGCGCCTCCCATAGTGGCGGTGGTTCCTCACCGTCCGTGGAGGGAACGGTGATACCATAGCGCACCATTTCATTAACTGAAAGACGGGCCGTGTGTTCGTCGAGCTTCCAATAGTTGAAAGGCACATGTGTGTACTCAGTTTCCCACTCGACGTAAAGGGGGAACCATGGCTGTCGGTTTCCCCATTGGTCGCGTAAACTCCCGTCCGAAACGACAGTATTAGGATCATGAAACTGGGGGTAAAATGTACCCGCAGGCGGCTCATTAGAACTACTATAATCTTGTTGGATGATGTAGAACTCAGTTACTAAAGAACTAGCAGGTGCCCGGAGAATATCAGGGACCTTCTTTTTTAAAAGATCAGACAAGTCCTTTAAGGCAACTGGTAGATTGGAAGTGTCATTGGCGGGAATGGTCTGAGCCGGCGCGCGGACAGCTACCTTATCCAGGTAATCAATAGGCCAACCAGATGGGATGCCGCCAATGAGGACCGTCGGGTCGTTTGCACGGTAGAAGACGGGCTTGCTTGCCGCTTTAGCTGTCTCTAGTAGGTTCTGTAATTTATCCTGTGGATTTAGTAAATCCGTAATATTTTGTTGCAACTGGTCGATGCGACTTTGCAGATTTCCTATATCCTTTGCTAGGGCATTTACTCTCTTTTGGTATTCCCCAGTCTCGGTTTCGTTACTGCTTCCCTCGCCGTTGCCAACGTCGCTCATAAATCCCCACCACAACGAGAACATGTCCCAGCGGTATTGCTTCATGGTATTATTGCAGCTATCTAGTAGACTCTGTGCTTGATTTAATTCAGACAGCTTCAGAACAGCCGGTCGCTCAGGCTCAACCGGCTGTTCACCAGGCTTACCCCCACCTGAGAAGTGGTAGTGTAATCCACCCGGTGAGCGATTGAAAGACCAATTGTAGATTGTATTCTTAGCCTCGCGTTGCGCTTCGACACCGTCGTCGCGTGAAAGTAACAACGATTCGAGCGCGAGGATGTCCTCCTCTAACTGGTCGATATCGCCTCCGCCCTTGCGAGCATGGCAATACGATATCAGCGCGTCCATGGGAGTAGTTCCAACTGACACAGCTGCTTGTGTCGGGTCACTGATGCGGGCATTGTACTCGTCTGCTGGCGTTGTAGCAGGCTTCTTATCCTCATCCCAAACTACGTCGTACATAGCGCCGTGGCACAATGCTCTCAGCTGACTCGTATCATTGAGCCAGTCGCTCCAGTCATCTGGATTTTCATCGGCACCTTTCATTTTCATGAAGAGGGATTCCAAACTTGCGCCATGTGCAGTAAACTTGGTAGAGTTCCAGAGCGGATCTGTATCGTCCTTCCAATGCCAACCCAGGAGATAATAATTAGCTTTAGCATAGCATAGATACTGAGGCTTGCCGCTTTCATCGGCGTACTCAAAATTATCAAGAATGCTGAAGACGTTCGAGTTGTGCATTTGAAAATCGGCAAAGAGCTGATTTCCGCTGCGTAGAAGACTGATATTGGGTGGCTGAGCCTCTGAATTAGGGTCATCAGGAGTCCAGTCAGCTAACGGCGTTTTGCGTCCGATGAAAACCTCAGCCTGCTCCTCAATATTGACGTCTGCGCCCGATTTACCTGTGATGAAAGGTGCTACATCTGTCTGCAAGTCGACGTCGAGCGGAATATCATCGAGTGACCATTTATGGTCACTTTCTACTACCCATGCCTCATATTCACGACCGACAAACGCTGATTTGGCTGTTTCTGGTTGAATGCTGTCGATTTCGATCCTACGTACCACAACCCAACGCGTAGGTGGTTGAACAAAATCAGGCGTAGTAAGAGCAGGTTGTTCGGTCTCTAAAGCCGTTGCTTTTAATCCGTGCCGAATTCGTTCTTGTCTACGAGAAACCTCAGGCACCGTCTCGCTGGTTGCTACTCCTGAGCGGTAGAAACGGGGTAGCGTCCAGTGGATATAAACACCGTACCGATGACGCAACGGTTGGGGGCTAGGACGCGCGCCCAGGTCCGTCATACGCGAATTTATCTCAGCCGGGGCCGTGTTGTGTAAGTCGGCATGGTTTTGAAAATCGCTCTGGATTAGGAAGTTTTCTAGGCGTAGAAAGGTATAGTTGGGCTGTGTTATGGGACAGATATGCGCACTCGTATCGCCTTCATTTCCAGTGCCGCATACAGCTTTATTGAGAACAAAGGCATCTAGCTGCATGGGCACGAGGAGTGCCTCAAAGTCTTGGGTAGTCGACATTGTCGTTAAGCTTGTGATGGACTTGTGATAAGCTTGAGTTTCACAGATCAAACTAGCTCTAACAATATTAACTGACTGGAAACAATGGGCAAAAAGGATAACTAAGTCTACAACAGAAGTCGATTAGCTTTACCAAAGATTGGTCCTAGTAGCCTAAAGAATATAGCCTTTAGGTACTCCAAAGTCATCGTAGTCTCCTCTCTAAGCTAGCAACCAAACATGTGTTGTGATACAGATGCATGAGGTTCACATGAACGTCATTACGTGAGCTAAGTGGTATCGTACTGACAACATTAGTGAAGAATGTCTAGTTGCCAGCTGAATATCTCCAACTAGGACGCTGGCATACCGCGGTCATCCTTGGAGGGGGATATTTTGTATAGCCCTCGGCAATGGTGTGCATAGACAATCAAACATACCTAGCCATTGTAGATCTAACGTATGGATTCTCACGTCTGCCGTACGGTAGCATACCCATCCAATCAGGTTCTCCGATCTGCACGTTGCAGTTAATCTGTAGAAAGTTGTCTTGCCGGATGCATTCTGTACTCTCCCGCCAAGTCAACAAAAACTTTGAACATATAGTGTTAGTCGTCATTCGTTCGTGTAATCGGCGTAGTTAATAAGAAAGTAAGAAACGATGGTGGGATGACTCGCAAGATAAGAGGCTATAAAAGGTAGTTTGCATATTGCATTAAGCGAGCTCCTCAATATATGTGATATGAATAGGTACCTAGGTAGATTGATTGATTGACGTTGGAGAAGGTTAGAGAGAAGGTTGATTGTTTCAGCCCCCGTTAACGTTTATCATGTAGTAGTGGTATACTGTACGGAACAATCATGGAAGTTACCTTCTTGGCGCGCATACCCGCTCAGCCAATTTAGTTCAGCTTGGCTGGGATAACCTGCGCATTACCCCTAACGGAAAAAAAGGGGAGAGAACTACACATTTGATTGGCTGTCGGGTAGGTAAGGATTCAATAGTCTAAAACCCCACATCAACGTATATTAAATACCAACCTTAGGTAACATCGCAGAAGTATGTATCACATACCTACCTCCTACCAACCTACAAACTAATTTTATATTCACACCCGTCCAACACACCTCAGACAAATATTCACAGCGACATACACAATGGAAACCGGCGTGGAAATTTATGATAAATTTCAGTCACAAGGAAAAATGAGGTAAAATTTTGACTTCCTGTTCCTTGACTGGATTGTCTTAATCGGGGAGTTGGCCTTGGCATGTGTTTCGATAGATTATTTCTCTATCGTTGTTACGGTACTTTGTACGAATGGCAAGACTTCCATTGACCTTGTCTGAGACCCAAAGCCCTCTACATTGACTTTCAAGAGGGGAGCACAGGCAGCTACGTAGTGATACTGAAAAGGAGACTGGTATGAACTATGCACATTAACTAAGGTAGTAAGTAGTCAGGCACGTTGAATTCATTATCTAAAATGGCCGCCGACGACACGCTAGAGAAGTCCTCGTCTCAAACTATTCAGAGTAATGAGCTCTACTACATCTATGCTAGCTCGGCAAAACAGGATCCAGGCGAAAACATTAATGTACTCGTTGAAGGTAGCCCCATAGATACATTTGTGGCTACCCTTAACGACGACAAAGTCATTATTCTATCAAATAACCCAGGCCCAGCAGCCAGCTTTGACGACAGTGATGAGACAGAGAAATGGTTTCAGGAACTCGATTCCACAGCTACTGGCTCTGTCACACTTGATTCCAATTTGAAAGACATCGAGAGCTTCGAATTACAGTTCATGCAACCATGGCCGCTAGTATTCAGCTCAGCGAGCGACGTGCTTTTATTCACATTTGGTCGGCCATTAGATGGATCAGAGGCCTCCAGGATTCCTCCACCTGGAGTCGATGGGGAAGGGAAGATTTTGGCACTTGGTCTTGATTTTACTAAAATATCCGATACTCCTACCAACAAGCTCCGCGACCTCTTCTCATACGCTGGGAGCGAAGGTATGGTCGACTACGTTCCAAGTGAGCTGTTGGACCTTACTGCAACGCTTACAACACCTGGGCAAGGAGATCCAAAGCGTAATGCCCTTTGGTATCTCCCTGGCTCATACAAGCGCGTTGTGATGCGCTTGCAGTTCGAGGTGCCTAGCTTCGAGCCTTTACAAGACCTTCTAGGTGGAATTCTAAAAGGATTCACCCTCAATAGTGTTGAGGTAATATTCTACAAGGATATGCTCCTAGCAGCAACGGAATTGGGGCTAAAGCCTATATTCCAGGGGTCACTTGCCTTTGATATCGAGTGCTCTGTTCAGGGTAGTAGTTCAAATAACCCTAAGGTTCTTACCACAGCAGGCATCGAAATCAGCGAATATGATATGCTTCTCACGTTTCAATTCCAGTCCAGGGATTCGCTAATGGGGATTCTTAAGTGGCTTGGGTCCCTGGTCGATGAGTCGTTGGATAAGCTCGTTGATGGCATTCTCACGAAGAAGGAAGGTGATGCCGATGTATTTCCCGACTTTGCCCTGCGTATGATAACAGTCAACCTTGATACAAAGAACCTAAAGTTATCATCTTTTTCATTCGACATCGAGGTCTCAGCAAACATTGGTACTAGTGGGGCTGGCTCGGATCCAGTGGTGTTTCTCCTTTCGTACAACTGGGACAGTTTCGCAGGCGGATTCGGTCGACTGACAGGCGAGCTGTGGAATGGTAAGTAAGCGAATGTATAGCGAAATGGATGAATAGGTAGCTTACATGGACTAAATAGAATTCGACTTGTCTACGGACAAGGACCTATTACCACATGTGGAGAAATGGTCCGATCTACAACCATTGACATCGTCACCGGCAACGTCAATTGACATTGTATCCTTAATTCCTGGCCAGGAGGTGGACAATATTCCCGACACGTTGCCTACAAATATCACAATCGCTTATATGGAGCTCACGAAAGATTCCTTCGATATCAAGTGCTCTATCACAACTAGTCCTCCGTCTCCAGGCTCAGCGCCTCAGCCGCGTCTGGGTGAGGTCACGCTTGAAGGCTCATTTACCTGGGGGAATAGCAGCTCTTTTTCCCTAAGTGCCTTCATAAGTGCTGCCATCGAACCAAGTCAAGATGAATTGGAAGAAATTCTACCTGCAATAATCGAGGGATCGTTGAGTTATGACTCAGCTACTAAAGATTGGGACCTTAAGGCCTCGCTCACAGGGCTATATGCCTCGACTCTAGTCGAATTCTTTGACGAGGACTCAAAAGCTCACGTCGGACCTCTCATAAACTCAATCGCCATCGACACGCTAGCTGTTGAGTACAAGTATACGAAAATATCCGGCGGAAAGTCGAGAGGAAGTGAGTTTACTATTGTAGGTGACCTACTTATCGCCGGGTTGAGCCTAGGCCTCAATTTTTCATACAAAGATGGCGATTTCACCTTTTCAGCCGCGCTTAATCCAGGAGATAAATCCGCGAAAATCGGAGATGTGCTGGTAGGCATTTTGGGGCCCGACATTGAACTTCCTGATTTCGTATACAATACGCAGCTTGTGGGCGATAACCAGGATATTTTTGGGATTGATGTAGTCAAGAATAAAACCCTAGCTATTGATAATGTGTCCGGGGTCGACCAGGAGTCATTCTTCTTCCTGTCGCAACTCAATGTCGCAAATGTGCACATTGACTTTGCTCAAATGCATAATACAACTTGGGGCCCTAAGACACCATCTAAGCGACTATTTAAGGTCTCTATTGACGGCTTTACTAAGGTAGATCTCGAATTACCTCTCATCGGCACATTGACACAGCCTCTCGATGAGTTGTACTTCCTCTGGGTACAGGACAAGCTGCAGCAAGGCGCGGCGCCCGGAAAAGGAACGGGTCTAACACGTCTAGACCGGGACGAGCTCAACCACAGCCTACAGATCATAGGACAGGATCTAATTCTTGTCAACGATAAAATAAAACCAGAGCTACGAAATAAAACAGATCTTCTACTAGCATCTGGGTGCCACTTTGGTGTTATCATACGCAGTAACACAAGTGTGCGCACATGTCTGCTCGACTACGAATTCATGAAGCCGTCGCTATCCAGTAGTACGGCGCTCAAGGCAGGCGAGGGTGAGGTTGACGACGGCTCCCCAAGCGCTCAGGCACCGTACAAAAAGATTGCCGGTCCATTGTCAATCAGAAACGTCGGCCTGAAGTATAAGGACAAGATGCTAGCCGTCATGTTTGATGCCACCTTCCAGCTCGGTCCACTGGGCTTCTCCCTAGTCGGCTTCTCCCTCGGCTTTGCCTTTACAACGCTTAGTGGAGCCCCTACAATCAAACCCATAATTATGGGCTTGGCAGCATCGTTTGAAGAGCCACCCTTATCGATCGCCGGTGTCATTCGGCATGGCAATGAAGGAGGCATCGATTATTACGCTGGGGGTCTTACCGTCGGCTGGAAATTGTACCAGTTTGAAGCGGCTGGGTTCTACGGCATAGTCACACCAAAGGGTACTTCTAATGGCTTTAAGACCGTCTTCGTTTTTGCTAAGCTGAATGGCCCACTTGTAACACTCGAGTTTGCCGAAATCAATGCCATCTGTGGCGGTTTCGGCTACAACAGCAGCGTTCGCTTGCCAACAGTTGACGAGGTTTGCGGATTTCCCTTTATCGATAATTCACAGCTTAGCGACAGCGAAAATGCTATGGCAGCCCTAGAGAAGCTTGTCGACCCAGGTGCAGGCGGCTGGTTCAAACCACTGGACAAGACGTACTGGTTGGCTGTTGGCATGGGTGTTGGCGCTTTCCAGATGCTAACTATTGATGCTGTCGTCGTCGTACAATTTGGAAGCTCTGTGAAGCTTGGTATCTTTGCCGTAGCCACGGCTGATATCCCTACACCCGCTTCATCCTTCAAAATAGCCCACGTCGAGTTAGGTATATCAGCCGTGGCCGATTTCGACTACGGTACCCTCAAGATTGACGCCCAGCTGTCTCCACGATCCTATATACTAGATCCTAACTGCCATCTTACTGGTGGATTTGGTCTATACTATTGGTTCGACGCTCCGCACGCCGACCAGTCGACCGTTGGCCAGTATGTCTTCACCCTCGGCGGTTACCATCAAGCTTTCAACCTTCCTGTTGGCTTCCCAAACCCTCCACGCCTAGGAATCAGCTGGAATCTCGGTGGTGGCCTTACCGTATCGGGCCAGGCTTACTTTGCTATTACACCTAAGGCCTGTATGGCTGGAGGTCGTCTACACGCTGCCTTTGAAGCTGGTCCACTGTCAGCATGGTTCGATGCTTTCGCCGACTTCCTCATTAACTACAAGCCCTTCTACTTCAATATGCAGGCCGGTGTCTCCGTCGGAGTCGGATTCAGCATTGACATTTGGTTTATTCATATCCGCATATCGGTCGAAATTGGTGCCCAGCTGTACCTCTGGGGCCCACCAATCGCTGGTCGTGTCCACGTCGACTTCTGGATCGTGGGGTTCGATATCAACTTTGGCAACAACCAAAGCCAAAACGAGGCAGTCAGCCTCCACGATTTCTATCTTCTAGTATTGCAGATAGGTACAAGTCCGGCGCGATCCGTAGCTACTAGTAGCAACTTCGCTATAGGAGCTGAAGACGATGTGAAAGTCCAAGAAAAAGAGAACGAGGGCCACAACTTCTTGGCCCAATCAGGGCTCTTAAACCCAGAAGATAGTCCCGAGCGCGACCAGACGACACCGTGGGTTGTACGCGCCGGCTCCTTTTCCTTCGTTGTAGAATGCAAAATGCCAGTCAATGCCGTTAAGAACGATCCCGACGGGGTTAACATCCTAACACACGACAATATCTATGGTAAACCGATGAAGCTCACGCAAACCCTAATATCGATTGTTACAGTAGTAATTCAACAGGAAGGAGAGACAGATGATGGATGGCAGTACGATAAGTACCTCAACCGTCTACCGCATGGTCTATGGGCAAAGTGTAAGTCGTGATCACTTATGCACGAAATAAAAGCCAGTATGCAAAGCTAACACGTAGTAGACGACCCATCCACCGATCCCCGCACCAGTGGTAACAACATTCGTGACCTCCTCAACAATGACAAAGGGGCTATCACCCTTATGTCTGGGGTCTTGATAACCGCTCCCAAGCCTACCATGGCTCCGGATCCCTTCCCTGCTTACCAAGTCGCCGATGCAGATCTACAACGTCTACTTTCAGAGAAACCATTCCCCCAAATCATTAACGCCGATGAAGCTTGGGCCCCTGATAAGCCGTCTACTGGTGAGCAAGTGGAAGATCAGTACACTTCGGTGCACGAGGCATGGTCCAATCCAACAATCGGCTCAGGCGACGACGGACAAAAGGGATTCGTAGGGGCCTTAGCGGATAGTTTGAAATGGAACATTACGGACGAAATGAAGAGTATTGCGGGAATTCCGGAGAGATTGAAAAAGGGATTTATGAATTTGTATGTAGCGGCGCCATTGTTGACGAAGTGAAGTAAGGCTACAATAGCAATAGCAATAGGTACCTAGGTAACTATGACCTTTCATTTACATTTAACTATAGGCTTTGGGAAGTATACATTCTATTGAATAACAACAATCTCTTGATGCAATATCGCCAAGTACCTACTTTCAGCTTAGCCACATACAGTATGGAAAATAATCATCGCATCGACTCGATTGATTGATTATCCGCGTGCTTGACTGATTGAATTCACTAGAGCCAACTAATAGCGGTGAGGCGTAGACGATTTTAGAACTCGCTTAGCAGCCGTAGCCTGGTAGCCCTGACAGCTCAGCTGGACCGCCTTGTCCGGATTTGCTCACTCGAAAAATGAAGCCAATTAAAGAGTAATCCGATCTGCTACGGTCGCTTTCAAAAATGGGACCGGGCTTCGCCACCTCACCTCAGCAGCCATGTAGCGCTCTCGTGTAACGATACCATAGGGAAGTAGAAGGGATAATAGAAGGCAGTTATGTCAGCGCCGTTACGAGATTTCTCGTATTTGAATACGCTTTTTTTTTTTTTTTTCGGGGGTTTCCTTTCAGGGCGCAGTCAGCGAACACGGGCTCGCGTATAGATACCAATCGTAGAGAGGATCCAGAGAGACCGTAATGAGATCATGAGCTGATAGATTGGATTATCGTCATCATTTTTGTAGGACTTTACCATTTTTACTCGAATATAAGTAGAATGCATTATCGTAGTAATAAGTCGTATCTTCATTCCTCTGGTTCTATTGAAAATCGTCTTAAAGTTCATAAGCAAGACTCAGAATATTACTTTACTTATATCAATCAACCATTAATTTTATAGATTATTTCTATAATCTTCTTTTACAATGTATAAGCAAGCCATCTTAACCTCCGCCCTCTCTCTTCTCTCTTCCGCTCTTGCTCTCCCCCTTGAGCCCCGAGACACTCCCGAATTCATAATTACCAGCCTTGGCGCTACCTTTCCGTATCCGGGAGTCTACGGGGTTGACTCCGTTAACTCCTTTGTAAATGTCGCCGTAACTTTCCCGGACGCCTCGTCAACCACCGGCGCCACCCTCAACACCACCTGCAGAGTTGATTGGCCTGCTGGCACTAACCCAGGTCCGACAGAATGGACTGCGTGCGCCAATCCGGCGTTGCAATTCCGTCTGCCAGTCGATGGATGGACCGGCAATACAAACTTCCGCGTCGAATTATTTGAGGAACTCACCTCTGATGGGTAAGTAAAATTTCCTTCTTTAAATATGAGCAGTTTTACTAATATAGAATCTACAGCGCCGGTTTATATGCCACACACATCATCACATCCAACCCTGGGAACTCAAGCGATCCAAATGCGTACATGTTCTGTCTCCAGATGGGCAAATTCAACCCCTTAACTTGCACCTTAACTGGACCGTGGGGCCAGTCGGCAAGGACTTTAGTCATGCCTGCCACCAATGAGAACATAAGACCGAACTAGAGCATTAAACATAGAGCTTAGCCAGAATACAGCTAGAAAAGGATAGACTGGGGCATCTTTTTAGAACGGGATAGAGTCACACGACTTGGTTGGAATATGCACGAATAGTAATAACTTTAAAGATAGCGTGCCAGTATATATTCATAATGTTTTAATAAAAAAGATTTCTAGCTTTTAGTAATACGAACGTAATATCTCGTGACATTAGGTGAAGGTGCCTAGGAGGAGTTGACTCGGTCAGCAGACATGATCCTGCTGCGTGTTGGTTTGAATAAGCATTTATTATGGTTGGCTTGGCTCGTTTTTTGATAACTATATGGGTTAGGAGGTACCTAACTTAAGAAACCTCTGAGGTAACCACCGCTGTCATCTACCAAATAACGGTTCATATTTTAGATCGCCTGCTATAGCGTATACTTATCATGAAGCTGTATGTAATTCACTCAAGCTTAAAATATATTCCAATATAGGTACCCAAGGGATATCCATGCGTATACAACGATGGCTTATTGAAGGGGGGGTTACATGTCCGATTAACTACACTAAAGTGAGAACCAACTACAGAGCTTAAGCATATTTACTCACATTTCACGACTTCCTCTATCATAAATGAATAGCTAACTAAGCAATGTTCTATTGCTGTCAAAGAATTATCAGTAGCTAAGGTTCCTAACGACGTCTATGTTACTTTATCGTAAATAAGGGTAAACACTAACAGTGCACTTTGCTTTGGTATGGCTATCGATCTCTATAAAAAGTCGTCGGTCAAGTCCAAGCCGTATATAATACATAACCATTCAGCCTAGAATCATCTTCATTACTGCAACGGTGTAAATCTTCTAATGAGTCGTAGTTCGGGGAAGCCCTCATGCGTCTCATAGGAATTTCCAATTTGCGGGGTTTCGTGAGTCGAAACAAAACTTCACATTCTCACAAGAACAGAGTATATGGTGCGAAATAATACTTCTACCTACCTAGGTGAATCTCGCATTTTGGTTGTTTCTCATTTAAAATATACCCACCTTCAGTTAGTTATAACTAAAAACAGAACCTGACGGAGGAAATTGTAATAATTAATACGGTTTAGTTAAACGGTGTCTTGGGGATAAACACCATTTGGCGGGGTAAGCTGCGAAAGGCTACAGGGCTTTACAATATCCAATAGGGCTGAGAACAAGGGCTGCGAACACTGGCTGGCTTGGCTCGTTTTGGACCAGACTCGGGAAGATATGTATTATCTATTTCTTTCTTCTTTCTATGTTTTTCGTTGAATAGATAATCAGGCGATTAAGAGTCCTTCTTCATAAGGTGCTCGGGTCAATACTTGTGTTTGGTTAGTTTAGGTCTAAGGCTCTATGTAAATACAGCAGCCACCTACTAGACAACCCCCCAAATTTCCCATTGACAGCGATTACTTTCACTTACACTGAGCGCTACAACTCCATTACATGATGGGGGATCCGCAAGTTGGTGGCAACATCGCAGAAGGACGCTGTTTCGCATACACACCTATGGCTGATGCACGAAACCAGATTCGTCTCTTACAAATACATCATACCAAACGTGACGAACTTATTCATTGTAGTTTGTCAATTTGGTCACTCAGCAATCTTCCTCCATATCACGCCATCTCGTACACATGGGGGGATCCTTCGCAAACCACATACATCTCTATCAACAACCAACCGCTCAAAGTCAGAAAAAGCTGCGAGTATGTTTTACGCCAAGCTCGATGGTATGAGAAATACTTGCAAAACATGAGTTTGCCGTGGCGCCATCGCTATTACTGGATAGATGCCATATGTATCAATCAGGTAGACGACGAGGAGAAGAGCCACCAGGTACAAATGATGGGAAAGATCTATCGCTTAGCTTCCTGTGTGTTATCCTGCATCGGACCACATGCAGATGATAGCATATTCCTCTTACAGTTCGTGCGAAGAACCCATCATTATTTTAAATCCATCTCTACCGGCACTATAAACTGGAAACCTTCTAAACTGGGACAACTATGGTTAGCGGGGTTGGGTAATCCTAAGTCTGCCTTTTCAGTGCCAATGCAAGTTCTCGAACGGGTAGAGAGGGCTAAAGACGCCCTTATACGTCGACCATACTTCACCCGCCTTTGGATTCTACAGGAGATGTTCGCAGCTCGTAAAGTCCATGTTTGCTGCGGCGAAGACTTCGTCCCTATGGACTATCTCCACGCACTTCGCCCTACTTTAATGCACCAATCTCCCGAATACAGGAACATGCTACGAGAGAAGTTGATCTCTTCAACTGTTGAAGAAAGGATCTGCTGGGTTCACTTCACAAATCATGGGAGCAAAGAATATGTAGCGCCTCTGGGTCTTTACGTCGCACTTGGACAGTCTATGTTTCTGTGCTGCCAGGATCCAAGAGACAAAATCTATGGAATCCTCACGGTGATAGGTTGGAGTGAAGACGGCCCGTTGAGTGTCGATTATAAAAAGTCGCCTTTTGAAGTAGCCGTAGATACGCTAAGGGCCGTAGCCCAAGACCCTAGGGAAAAAATCCATTGGGATACTATCTGGCCATTAGCTACCCGAATTTTTCAGTGTTTAAATATTGAAACTTGTCCATACCTAAAAAAGGTATTAGACTCACGAAGACCTATGACTCCATTGAACAATACGGAAAACTTCTCTCCAATGACCTCTTTGCATAAAACTATAGGAGAGACCCAATGTTCTAGCTCGAAGGCAACTAACACAGTGTGCAACCCATTATGTACCTCTGAGGAATGGCTAGGGCTACGAATCGTGTCCATGGGGGGCATACTCGGATTCATGTTTCCATTCCAAAATGGTCAGCAGCAGTTTATCAAGGGAAACGGTTCACTAGTAGAGATGCCATTGTTCGTGGGAAGTCTATTTGAAGAGCTTCGAAAGTCAACCAATAGTGAAACTGTAAGCTTTATGCTACCAGCGGGAACTCGAAGTGATGACTGGATAATATTCAGATATTGTAAGTCTCGGCGTACGGATAATCGGGGACCAGGCTGTATACTGGTTGTGAGACAGCGAGATAGAGATAATCCGCATCGCTACGATATCTGTGGACAGGCAGTACCCATGGAAAAGGGAAGATTGATCCATCGTGAAGAATGTGAGGACTTTGGCTTCTTCCATCGGCTTGGAACCGACTGGGGTAGCTTCCAATGGGGCTTTGATGTGCATTTTGATTTAGAGGATCTTCTTGTCCTCGTAGCTCAACTAAATGGGCCAAGAGATTCTAATATGGATCATGAGCACAGTGACGAACAAATGAAGAGGGTAAGAATTGGCGTCTGCCGTTTTGATGGCTCGTCCTATGCGACCTTACGAGTCTAGTTTACAGCAGCTTGGTGAAGAACATGGGCATTAATTCAAATTAAGACTGGGTTAGAATATACTTTAGACTTAGAATTAGAATTAGTTAACAATATTATACCTTAGGTTAGGTAAGTAAGTGGTTATTTTAGTTGTATTTGAAGACTATACCTCTTGAGAAAATACGAAACTATCTCATTTCTAGTAGGTAGCTCCGAATTTTACCTATTTTTATCATTCCTTATGCTATTGATGGGCGTTCAACCAATGAGGTATAATTCACCTTTGGGGGCGGGTCTCGAAAGAAGGAATTACCTGATACAACTCTAGCTACCAAGGGGTATAGAATCTTTGTCATCACGTAGATCACCACTTAGATCACCATTTTCTATGACTTACCTTATGACTTAAAGTATTTAGATAAACCATACCCTCTCCCATTACCCCCCTTCCTTGTGACTCTGTTAGTGCTGAACTAACACAACTTCTGCTCGAATGATAATACTCATTTGAAAATCATAAGTCATTTAACGCCCAACATGTCGTCTACACCGGAAGCCATTCTCGCCCAACTTCAAGCAACCGGCTCCGCGTACTCCGAGAAGAAGCCTGGAGCCCGGGAGCAACTTCTAAACCTCGCCTATTCTTTAATTTCAAGCCTGGAGCTCCCAAGTGAATCCATCCAGCGAATGGGCTGGGCTGAGGTACTTATTCGAAAAACACACGCTTCCTAAGACTCTATAATGACCAGTATGAGCATCATAGCCCGCCAGAGCCGCACACTGCCGCATCGCGGTTGATTTAGGGCTGTTTGAATCTTTAAAAGATAGCGGCGAGTTAGGCATCAGTGGAAAAGACTTGGCCGCGAAGGCTGGTGCCGATGAGACTCTGATTAGTACGTTACTCGGAATAACTTAAGTACCTAAGTACTTGTGTCGCATCGTATAGATTATTGATGCTCGTGAAAGCACGAACCTTAAAGCATCTTGCTGCTATGAATGTCGTTGCCGAGACGGGCGTGGATAAGTATGTCGCGACGCCCCTGAGCAACGCTCTGACGGAGCCGAAGTACCGAGATGGCATCATTTATACGTACGTAGTAAAAATCTCCCATCAGCTCGAAATCCAGCTTCCCCTCCTATTAGATACTTACGGGTACTTATAATATTTGCAGATACGACGTGGCTGGCCCATCCTTTCGTGGTCTACCCGAGTACTTGAAGAGCATCAAGTATTCACTTCCAACGAAGTTAACGGACGGGCCTTTCCAAGCCGCCCATAAAACGGAGCTTCCATTTTTCGCGTGGCTGGACCAGAACCCACCATACCTAGAGAAATTTAATAATTACATGTCGGCTTACCGCGCCGGGAAACCTTCATGGGTTGATCGAGGCTTTTACCCGGTCTCGGAGCGTCTTGTTGAAGGTTTCGATGCTAATACCGATGGCAACGACGTGCTCCTCGTTGACGTTGGCGGCGGTCTGGGACATGACCTACGGGAGCTGAAAGCGAAGCATCCCTTACTCCCTGGTAAACTCATCCTACAGGACCGTCCTGAGGTCATCTCGGCCGTTTCTAGCGGAGGGGTATTTGAGGCTATCGCTCATGACTTCTTCACTCCCCAGCCTATAAAAGAGGCCCGAGCGTACTACCTACACTCTGTTCTCCACGATTGGGGTGATGACGACTGCGTTCGTATCCTCGAACAGCTACGGCCTGCGATGAAATTAGGATACTCAAAATTGCTTGTTAATGAGATTATTGTTCCTAATCGTAATCCGACATGGCCCGTCACTTCCATGGATCAGCTGGTATTTGTGCTTGGCGCCATGGGGGAACGTACAGAGGCACGCTGGAAGGATATTATAAAGAGGGCTGGTTTTAAAGTTGTGCAGATATATAGCTATGAGATGGGATCTGAAAGCCTTATCGAGGCAGAATTAGCATAGCGAAGGTCAAAGAGTCCATATTTGTATACGCATCTAAGTTGGAAAGGTACTTAGCGAAATGAAATGAATATGAGAGGTACCTACCTGGGTAATTCTTGTTATGTTTATTCATGTTCTTACCATTAATGATTATTGTTAGATTATAAATGTCGCGAGAACACAGAAGGATATAGCCAGCGCGAATAGGTAGGAGGTGAATAATAGGCACTCCTATATTTTTATTTTCGCATAACAGCCCCTATAAATCAGTAAAGCACAGCGCCAAAGGCAATTTAATCACCCAACCAGCACACCTACATAGATAGCCACATACCCCTAATTAGTCGGGGGACGCGAGCCCCCCGTTGGATCTGGTGCATACAAATAATGCCCATCAAACACATCCTGCCACGCCTCATCCACGCCCGGATTTCCCTCCGCCGTCGCGCCCACGTCTCTCGCGCCGTAATCAAGCATCGGATAGCACCATATAAGTCTCGTGCCCTCGGGTTCGCCCGTAAACAGCACCGCCACACCGGCAAACATGCCATGCTCGTCGAACACGACGCGATGGTCCCCCGGGGGGCCGGAGACAGGGGCACCACTGAGGCCGGGCCATTCGCCGAGCGGGGTCGGGTTCAAAGGAAACATGAACAGCTCGCCTTCCGCACGGCCTAGGTCCACCCGCTGCGCGCGGTAGTCTGGTAACCACTGTAATAACCAGTTAGTTTCCTGAGCCAAGCTATTAAGATAGGGACGGGGGCTTCATACCACCGAGTGCGGGTGCTCAAGGCCACTCCAGCGAGGGCGGAGCTCACCTGGGTGTGCGACGTACCAGGCGCCGCGCTGGAAGGCCTCGTATACGGCTCTCGCGTTAAAGACGGTGTAGAGAACGCGCGGATGAGGACACACGTAGTACTGTACCATCCGAGTTAGCCATTACGCTTTAGAGCTGGGGAAAAAGGGAGGGGGGGGGGGGGGGGGGGGGGGGGGGGGGAAGTGATAGGCATATTTTCGACGGCACTTACAGCAGCGATGCGGTTATCAGGATTATCGTGGTTCCAGTCATCGATATCATCACGCTTCTCGAGGAGTGGAATAGTGATAGTGACAGTTCGGTTCAGTGCTTCAACGACGGGACCTCTAGCGACGGTAGCTGCCTTGACGTCGGCACGGTAGCGCTTCTCGTGCGACTTGGTGCAAGGCGCAGCAAAAGCGACGAAAGGAAATAAGAGGAAGCAGAAACCGTAAAGCTTCATTTTGATGCTTGTCTTTCTGGGTATGGTTCGTTCGTTCTAACTAGGACTTAGAGGATGTAGGTATTTTAAGAGTTTGTAGATGTAGTATATAATTTGGAGGTTTGCAACGTCCAAGGGAATGCCGAAATCCAGATTGGAACGTTGGGAAGCGTGCCCTCTAATCAAATCAGGTGGTGTACCTGTGATAGGATATTTGCCGTAGAACGTGTACCGAATTGGTGGGCTTGATTCCTGATGCCTAAGGATTCCATGTGCGGACACCTTGTGGATGTGGCACCTATTTACGCACGAGAGTATATGAAAGGTGTAGACAGAAATGGTTACTTCAGTTACAGTTATACGAATGCCTTCCCGCCGTAGTTCATTATACTTCACCTTAGTTACTTTATTCTACTAACTATCAGATAACTACTATAAGTACCTAGGTTTCCCTATGGTGAAAGATGAAAAGAGCTCATATCTTCTCTCAAACACCCAGCCCCTAACCCATGCCCCCTCTCTAATCGACAATGACAACATCCTGATCATCCTCCTCTATCTTAATTTCCTCATAACCAAACCTCCGGCCTCTCGACGGCACCGGCTTAGCCAAGACTACCGTTTCAATACCCACCGGGCTCATATCCTCCGGCCCCATAGGCAGAGCCTCAACGTCAATTTCCATATTTAACAGTGCTTTAATTATAACCGCGCTACCAGCCTTGCTCATAACCTCATTAGCCTCCTTGCAGAACTCCGAGCACACGCACTCGGGACACCCCGTCTGACAATGGCAGTGCTGGACCCGTTCTAAGGCCTGTACGAGTAACATGTCGATGAACTCAAAGGCCTTGGTGCTAATGCCGGTTCCATTAGCGCCACCCTTCGCGTCGTAGAAAGTCAGCCGAGCAGGCCTCTTCCGCGAAGTTTCCTTCCGCGCAAACTCCTTTAGTCCCGATTTACATTCCGTTCGGACATCTCCCGGCATGCTTATGACGAAATTAGGCATCAGGCTCATGATAGCATGCTCAGCGGCGTGAATAGCGCCTGCCACGTGGAGGCGCCGGTCGACGAGGATCTCGAGGGCGCGCTTCGGAACATCGAGCCACATGCCTTTGCTGTTCCGGATGATAGGAGGGTTATCGACTTGCACAGCGTCGAGAATGCGACGCTTCCTATCTACTTTGAAGTAGCCAAAGACGTTCTGGGTAATGCGTATTGAGCCGTGAAAGGCGCGCGAGAGCGAACCCGCGATTTTACGCATGGCCTCTGTTTCTATGGGGTCCACGTCGGTGAAGTCCCGCTGTTCTGTAGTCCATTCCACCTTGACCTTTTCTACCTTAGCAATTTTCCTATCTGGCTGGAAGTCACGTACTAGGTACGAGTTACCCTGATGTAGGAATATCGCGCCATCGTATATAGTAAAGAAGGCCCTCGATGCTTCTAATTCCTCGAGTACCACGTTCCTCCCGTGAGATATATCAACTATTGCGAAGTGATCATCCTCAGTATCTCTAATCGCAACAAACCTTGACGGCATCGGCCTAAATCTGTCATGGCAATGGTAATACCCGAGCTCGTCTTTAATAAGACGCTCTTCTGCGATCTTCGCTAGGTCTTTCGTAAAATAGATAGCGTCGTCGACGGGTTTGATCGGCATCTCATATGCTGCGCACTGTAAATGGCCCTCCAAGACAAGCATGTTGTTTAAATCAACCTGAAGTTCGCAGTTGGGCTTCGTGAAAAGTTCATCGGGGTTCTGCATGTAGTGTTGGTCGGTTGGAAAACAATCCCCTACCAGAACGGACAGAGAATCTTTGTTTCTCCTACCAGCTCTCCCGCTCTGCTGCCTTAGGTTTGAAATGGTGTATGGAAATCCCAGTGTAATGACACAGTCCAAGGTGCCAATATCGACACCCAACTCCAAAGCAGTCGTCGCAATAATACCCATGAGTTTGCCCTCAAACATTTCGCTCTCGATCTGTCGACGATCTTGTGCCGTATATCCGCCTCGATAACCCATGACACGAGCCATACATTCTGGACGACCCAATGATTCTAATTCGTACCTAGCAGCATTGACTAACTCTTCGCATTGCTTTCTCACACGACAGAACGCTATCACACGAACTCCGCGTAGGATAAGTTGGCAGAATAAGCGAGCGCATTCGGCTATGGCATTTCCGCGCCCGCTAGTTGGGTCGCTAGGATCTTTATAAGGCGTGTTCCAGCAGAGAAACTCCTTCCGCCCAGACGGCGACCCGTCAAAATCAACTAAATGCACATCATCAATTCCAAAGATAGTTTTAAAATGCTCTCGTGGATTTGCCACGGTGGCAGAACATGATATGAACTTAACCTTTCGGTTGCCGACGGCGGCACATATGCGCCGAAGCCGTCTCATGATGAATGCAACATGCGAGCCCATCAAGCCGTTATAGTAGTGTAATTCGTCAACTATCCAAAAATTAGTCGCATGATGCAATTTTCCAACTAAGAGTTTACGTACCGACAACATAGCGTAAGTACTTTAAAAAAGTTCGCCATCTATCTTCCTGAGGGAGAATTGTAAGGTGAAGCATGTCCGGGTTGGTGAAAATGATACGGGCCTCGTCACGAATCTGATTTCTATCGTGCATCGGGGTATCACCGTCAAATGTCTCAACGAGGGCATTCCCCAACCCCGTGAAGTATGCGAGCATCTCCTTTAAGCTTTTCTTTTGATCCTGAGCTAACGCCTTCGTTGGGAAGATGTATATAGCTCGAGTATTGGGATCCTGTTCCAGTGCGTGTAAGACAGGAAGCTGGTAAATGAGGGACTTCCCTGAGCTGGTCGAGGTTGAGACAACAACATGACGGCCCGCGTGTAGATTATTGATTGCTTCGGTCTGGTGAGCGTAGAACTGAGTGATTCCTTTCGCATTGTATAGGGCATTCACCATATCTTGACTCAGCAGAAAGTCAAGTTCCCCAAAAACGGGAGCCTGAGCGTCAAACACTCGGTGTCCATCCGGCACAATTTGACCGGTATACCATGGACTGTCTTTAATTTCCTGTATGATTTCAGGAATACTCTTCCTCTCCTTGGGTATCGACGCGGGTATAGTGCTAGGCTCTGGCTGAGGGATAGTGGGCTCTGACATAGTAGGAATTGGAACATATGCTTCTGCTTCCTGGCGGATCATTACTTCTGGATCCAGATTTTCTTCTACGCAGCGGTTTATAAAGGAACTCACCGCATTCGTGAATTTTTGGTTACGCTTCTCAATCAGGGTTGTCAATTGTTTCTGGCTGTAAACTGGCATTTTCAAGTCCTCGTCCCGTAGCCTCCTATTCGGATTTGTGGGCTCTCCTGTCTTTTTGCTCTGGACTTGTCTTTTGAGGTCCCCGTCAACAAATTCAAAGTAAAGAACCTCTTGACCACTTGATGGCGAATCGTCGGGATGTCGCCTACCAAGTTCGTCCAAACCGGTAAATCCGCCAACAGAGGCATCCGGGGCGGGACCTTGAACTGTAATATCCCTTGATTTACCAGTCTTAAACGTAGAGTCTCTTTCAGCTCCCTTGATGTCAGTATGTAACATCACTTCATCCACGTAAGTGAAGTTGATGCCTTCCGGCCGCAGTGCAACGATAGCTGCAACATCCTCGACTGTCAGCTCTCGCTTCGTATTAGACTCCACCGAGGACCGAATAGTATCAAAAGTTGTCGCAATATGCTTGCGTGTAGAGCAGAAAGTAAAGACTAAGTTCAAAGCTCTATGAGTCTTATCCAAATCTTTAAATACTTGCGGCCATTCAATTTGACACTCAACATCTGTATTTTCCTTCTTCTTGCGCCGAGATGCTACATTATTTCTCGATTTTTCAGCGTTTACTTCCTCGAGGGTCTCTTCTGAATCCTCTAAGAAATCGCCCCCTTTGTCTTCTTCGGAAGGTTGCCTCTTCCTCTTCCGTTTAATGATTCTATTCGAAACCGTAGCTGCCTTGAGAGCAGACATTTCATCCGTAATCAAGATGCATGAGGGCGAAAATGCTTAGTCAGAAATCCATTAGTCCGAAAATATGTGCTTCGCGTTGACGTAGTAGAGATAGACTGGCAAGTTGAACCATTCGCGCTTCTTCTGGCACGAAATGCAGGCGGAAGCACGTGACCACGTGGCTCCATCAAAGAGGTATCTTAGGTAACATCTACCTATCTAATGATGTAGATCTTATGTAATATATCTAGGTATCTACCTTACCTTAGATACATAGGTACCTAAGGTAAAGAAAGAAGTCATCAGGGGTTACGGATATGCAAATAATAAAGAGTGAAAGTTACCTAGAGTCCTAGAACATTCTTAAAAGGTACCTAATAAAGAAATGTATATTTAACTAGACAGTTAGTCCAGAAGGTACTGCATCACTCTGCGGTCCTCCCCTACGCCTATAATAATACCTAGGAAGCATTGGATAAAAGTTTTTATTCATGAAAATCAACTAGAGATTAACTCAAATGCAATACCGTAAATAATTATTCCACAGAGCATTTTGCGTAGCGGAATGGTGCCCGGCAGTTATGGGTATGAAGCTCTATTATCACAGAATTGCCGCCGACAAATATCCATGCCACCATCGTTCATCTATGCCTCATAAGCGTGCAATTCTTCCAGAGTACCGGCACCCATGCCTCTCCTGAAAATGCTTAATGCAAAACTCCCTTACCATCTCTAAACGATTCGTGGTATGCATCACACATCTAAGACCGCTTCTCGGAAAACAAGGACGCATCGAGTCTCTTCTTCCCAGCTCGCGTCAGAGGGCCATCCAACTCTGCGACCTTGCGCTTGACTGAATCCCCAGATGAAGACCGGCTCTTTAGGCTCAGGCTGCTAGAGGCCTCCTTATCGGATCCATTCACGCTCGATTTCTTTGGGGCTGGCTGGGGTAAATGACCATTAGACTCCCCAGCAGGTTCAACATATTGTGGTAGCTCCTGCTCTGGTGCAGGGGCCACCCCATCAATTACTTTATTCTTCTTCTTTCCGTCACTCAAGTGTTCCTCGACATTAACATCGAGACCCTTTGCTTTACCGTCCTTAGAACTGGATTTGTCGGTAACTGAAGTTGGAGCAGCATTAGTTTCATCAGCTGCCTAAACTGATTGAAGTTCACGCTGTATCTTTCCGACCTCATTTAGGAAGCTCTTGGCATTTGCCGTGTTCATCTGTAAGATGGTTAGCACCTTAATGCACCTTATACGCCTTAGTATATGTACCTTTACTTGAACGCTGACAGCCCCCTCGTCTTCTATAGCCGTGAATAGGACATGAGTTGCCTTGGCTGTAGACTTTTCCTGAAAATGCATGGCCGGAATTATGACAGTGTTAAGGATCACGCGGTGAGTAGAATCTTGTCGCATGACCAAACGAACGACCTTGGCATCGGCGCCGTCTAGAGCGGATGCATCAAAGGATCCAGGAATAGCTGCACCCGTATCTTCGTCAATATCGACGCAGGATAGAGGTACGTTGATCTTCAGGTTTCCAGCGCCCCGTTCTTTCCAAGAGGAGCTAGCTTTATCGAGATGGAAGATCTTGGCACGAACTTGCAGGATAGTAGCCTCGCCAGCCTCACCATCATCAATAACCACTATAAGATTCGTAAGCACTATGCTAAGTTAGATAGCGATGTCCGATAACTTACCTCGCTGAAGCTTTGTCTTCTTCTTGTCATCAGTCGCATTCTTCTCCTCTTGAGCTTCTTTATCCTCGTTATCAGCTCTGTTTCCATCTTCAGAGTTGCCACCATCTTCTCCATTATTGTCTTCCTCCTCGCTCACAGGTGCTCCGAACGGCTTAGCCGGTTTACTGCTTTTAAATGATTCACCGGGCTTACCAAAGCTAGTAAGCTTAGATTCGCCGAATTTTCCGCCAAATGTTCCGCCGAAGACGGTACTGCCGAAAGGTTTCGCTGCTCCTCCTACTTGACCAAAAGGAGAGGTACCATTAGACAAGCTGGAACTGCCGAATATAGATGTTGTAGATGTTGTGGCAGCGGCGCCGAATGGGGACTGTGAGCCAGACGGACTAGCGAAAGAAGATAAGGGTTTCGAGCCAGGCTGTAAAAACGGCGATGCTTGGGAAGCAAACCCTGCGATTCCAGAGCTGCTGAAAGCAGAGTTAGATGTTGTGCTTGTATTTTTTCCCTTCTCGGTATCGATGTCTTCCTTTGTCGCCGCTTGCTTCTCAGTACTTGGTGTGTCATTCTTAGCATCCGTCTTAGCTTCGGAGCTGTCTTTGGACTTGAACGAAGCCTAATATTTAAGATCAGTAACAGGTTTGAATACTAAATTAACCCAGATATTCTTACAGTAAGCGCATCTGCTTTTACTTTGTATTCACTTGAGATGTCGCGAGGACGTTTCTTCTCGGGCTCAGAAATGGCGGAATCGGCGCCTATCGGAGATACATCGCCATCTGAGGAGGTGTCGTTCGGGTCGTCTACCTCATCGCGCGCCCGCTTCTTCTTTGGAGATGACACCTGGTTTCTTAAGCTATTGTTGCGAACCTCAAGAGACTCGTGATCTGATATGGAATCTTTGCCTGATTGCTTATCACCGCTCGTGGCGGCGTTGGGCGCGGGGTCAACTTTCGCGGCGGACATGATAGATAAGTCGGGTTTGTCAGAGATCACTGTCTCTCTCAATTCCTTGCGTGCGGCAGCTGTGTCCGGATCTTCAAGAGAAGGGTGATCTGGTGTCGGACTGCGTTTATTGGTAGCCATTAAATAAAATTATACCCAAGGCACCTATGCAAGGTCGTGACAAAGAGTTCTGGAGTTGTTGCGTGGGAAGAAGAAAAAAGTTTGCGTTAAAAACACTTAGTTGTAAGTATTTATTGAATCGAGTAGAAAATATGGAAGTGGTTCCACAATGTCAAAGTTCTGGGAGATAAAACAGCTGAGTAGATTGAGTAGAAAGACCCGATCGAGTAGTGAAAGTTGTAGTTGGGTTAATTTGAGGAAAGCTGAGGCTGCGCGTACTTTGTAGTGACGATTTCGATGTGGATTGTGCCTATTGTACATTGTAATATGAGCTGCCTGTACCGTTAAAAAGGTACATAATTTTAGGTAGGTTAGGTACGTACATAGGCGGGTCTAAGGTACTGAACGTTTAAATTATGGGGTCGGATAAACCTGGGTTAAACGTGGCTAGGTGCCGTAGGGACATATTTAGGTACATGATGTACCTATTTAGAGGTACGTAACGTTTTATTGAAGCATGTTCATAGGTACATATCCATAGGTACATGTCCATAGGTCCATAACTCATGTACGCTTTATTGAGGTACGTGGGTTATCCCATATCCAAATGAGCAACCCATTTCAAAGTTGTACAGTAAGAAATACCCCCATTGGATCCCTACTATCTGGATCCATTTGATGCAATGCAAGATGGCGGTTATCTCTTTCACATGATGAGTATTGGCATCCAACCAAGCAATATCGGTCAACATGAAGCCGGACTAGCTAATATTAGAACCACCCAGCAGCGTCGTAAATGTGGTGCGGCCATGCAATGCACTTACTTGTAGACAGACAATTATTATAATAATGTCAACCCGGGGGAAATGGTCGGTGTTACCATACTAGCAGTATCTCCAAGTCCTATCTACTCTCACTGATTCCCGCTTTTGGAGCAGCATGCACATATCGCACATGGTAGATATAAGATACAACCATTCTCAAGCGTATCTTCATAGTTATAGGATATGCATGAAAGAGGAGGTAGATATCGTATATAGGCTCTAAGCCTATACGCATCAAGGACCTACCTATGCTTCATCATATATAAAGGTATCGATTTTCTTTATGCTTAAATGTTTACTATACTCCATAGTATTTTTCGATTCCCTTGTGGATTAACATACATCACCGTTCAAAACTAACATCAAAGGAAATTTCTATAGGTATGAGAATCTATCTATGTAGGTAGGTATATAGGAAGTATGCTTATATACATATTATAAGGCGTTTAGAAGAACAGCACATCCTCGTCCTTCCAACCCAAATCCTTTAAAATAGAGTAAACACTCTTCTCAAGTGGTTCGGGTCCGCAAATAAGTACTAAATCTTCGCCGTTGGTGCTCTTACAAGAGCCTATTTCTCTCTCGAGGAGCTCCTTATTTATCCGGCCCCTGAGACCAACCCACGACGGCTCAGGTTGGCTAAGCGTATATAACAAGCGGCACTTAGAGTCGTTGCCGATGACCATATTGTCGATATCAGCCTTGCAAAGGATATCCAGTTCGTTACGGTTTCCATCAATTACCAGGCACGTAGTAGGATCCTCCCGATCCGTCAACACGGCGCGGAGAATTTGGAATATCGGTGTGATTCCGGACCCGCCGCAGATCATGATAAATCGGTTAACCTTCCGTTGTTGCCCCTGAATCGAACAAAGGCTCCGGCCGAGGTACTCGAATTTTCCTACCGGGCCTTTAAAGTCGACAAAGTGGCCGATGGGGATTGAGTCTAATGCCTGCGTCATCTTGCCGCCTTTTCTTCCTGGTACATCGTAATAAATCTTGATGAGAACGTGTAATTTTCCTTTCTCCGTAATCTCTGAAATAGGTGTGTATGATCGTATGATAGCCTCGCGTGTAACGGGGTCGCGCAGCCGCATCATCAAGTGCTGGCCTATAGGAAGGCCTGAAGTCTGGTTGGCATGCTCAAGATCGAAGGTGAAGATCTTGGTGTCGTCTGATATCTTCGTTCTGGTAGAGAGAATAGCTTTCGTCCATGTCTTAGATTGTAAGAATGTTGCTCGTGGTGCTGATGCTAGATCGGGGGCTCCATCTCCATCAGCTAAAGCAGCCCGCGAAGACTCATCGAGTGAGCCAATGTGATAATCCACAAGCATCGCCTTGGCATTCTCGCTGTCTATCAATACGTAAGCTTTAATCCTCGATTTTAATAAAGGATTGCAGACTTACGAATGGCAAGAAACTCCTCGCTAGCATCCTGTCCAGCAGCACCGATGATTGAAGCCGCTCCTCCGGGATGCCCTTCCATGAATTTCGTCCCATCGTAAACCTGACCATTGACCACAAACCATGGCTCGGTTTCGCTATCATGTTTCTTCAGCTCATCGATATTGATTATTCGAGTTATATCCTTATTAGTCATGCAAATATCTTTAGCCTGCTCTTCTTCGGGAGCACTCTCTTCCTCGCCAGATATCCTTTCTCCCCAGTACCCATTAGAAAGGTTTCCTCCGTTCTTCTTAACTCGTTCCATCCAACCACCTGGAATCAACGCCGGCTGAGTTGGATGCTCAAATCGTAGCGAATGGCCTTCCTTATGTATAACAACTCGGAACCATGGGTTATTCATCATGCCCAAAACACTCCAGTACATATCCCGCGGTTGTACCATCATAGATTCATCCATAGCCCGCACCAAAATATCATCCGCCGTTTGCAGGTGTGATACTGGAATATCCAAGTACCAAAAACACCAACAGAAGCAGGCTTCCCTCCAAGACATATCTAGCCGTCCACCAAACAGCTCTTCCCCCTCAGGCGCAAGCCGATATTCATCTTCGGGGTACGAAATATTAGCAAGCATCCAAGATTTCCCCTTGTCGAGGGTTATTTCGACTCTAGTAACTCTCTTGCCCCCTCCGGCGTAAGCATAGCCGCGAACTCGGTAGCTTTTAATGTTCCCCGTCAATGACAGTTTTTCTTCATGTGCTGGATAGCAAGTGGCACTATTTGTGTTGAGGTCGTAGATAGCATAACGTTCGTCTTTCCAAGCGTCCGGCATGTCGGCACTCATCTCAGGGGTGATCATTGTGGGTAACACTCTATTGTCATAGATATGATACCAATTATCACTAGGCGCTGCTGTAACGATGATCCTCTTTAACCACTTTACACTCCTGCCTCCGATCTGTCCTGGGACAATGACTCGAAGAGGTTTCCCATGGTCAGGAGAAAGCGGTTCGCCGTTCATCCTATGGGCAACCATGATTCCACGATTAGGATCCATAGCCCAATTCATTTTGACACATGTCCCATAGTAGCCATTGGGTAACTTATCAGCTCCTTCGAGGCATACGTACTTCGCTCCGCGCTTTGGTCTTGCTGCTTTCAGTAGATCGCCAATCACAACTCCAGTCCATAACGCCGTCGATAAACCCGCCGCCCCCCAAGAGAACCCCTTTGTTTTCCTTACCATGTTCTGCTCTTTTCTCCTGTTGCCTGCGCATACAAGAGTAACCGGGTAGGTTACTTGCTCGTATTCCCGGATAAGTTGTGTAAGACTCATTTTAATAGGTGTTTCCACCATGCCTTCTATCGTAAACTCCCAGTCCATAATCTCTGAGTCTTCTACTCTAGGCACTGCTCCATGGTTGCGGACGTAATGGAGATCTTTCGTTGTTATGAAACCCTCGTTGAAGAGCTCACTTAATGGCGCCTCGACATTGAAGGGGTGGACGCCTGTAAGGCGGATCAACCGAGGATCTCTAACAACATGATGATCTGGAGTCCTGAGATCCTCCGTCAACACGTTATTATCAGATCTACTTCGCGGTGGGAGGGGGTATATTCGAGAAATTTCAGGTTTCGATTCGTCGACATTGTGTGGCAGCGTCTGGATCTCAAAATCACTACTGGTACTTGACTCTCTTCTCGAGCTACTTTGCGTCGGCGGTGGAGACGGGGGATATCGAAGTAGATGCGCTGTAGGGGGTCGCTGGCTCTCGACAGGTAGATTTAAAATTTCCATTGTATGTGATGAAATGTGAGTTGGGGTTAACACAGAGGTATTAGGACGCTGATGTTGGTTATAAGATATATGTCATCATGCATGCAAAGCTCCTACGTAAGACAAGATATTCCTACACTGGGCTTCAAATTTTCCGAGAAAGGGGTAACATGACCCGACACCTTAAACTAGAGATAAACATATACGATAGAGATAGATGAAACTAAATTTCGTAAATGAAGAGCAATACAAGAATAAGTAAAGAGCGATAGTGCTCGATCAAAACATGCATCTCCATTTTGAGGCATCGTGTCCATAATGACGAACGAGAGTGACTGACCATCGGTCCACCAGATCGACTACTTGATCAAGGATTTCTATCCCCGGTTCGCAATTAGGGGCGCAAGAGAGCAACTCCGACTTTTTACCATCCATTGATATGCAGACAACCGCCTCGGAGACGGACCGGCTAGAAACCGTGACAATAACGGTATAGTAATGATATATCGTCAGAACCTAGAAGTGGCTTACACACTATGCGGCACTGCAGATAGGAGTGTTTTGAGCACCTCTAAGTTAGCTATCGGGTCCGGGATATTTGAAGCGAGGAGATGCATAAGTCAGTCGAGGATATCCCCGCGGATGTGTTCAACAGAGATATTTGACGCAGCCTGGGCCTTATCAGAAGCAATTGGGTTCCTTTAGCAATATTGACGATGACAGCGAATCATGACCAATGATAAGGGTAACAACTTTGGCAGTCAGCGGAGATATGAAAACCGCCTAGACTGGACGGGTAGACTGGGTTACCTAGGCATCACCTCGTGCCCCATCAAAACTATCCGCTAGCTTATGTGGAATAGGAAGCCTTTAAAACGAAGGGGATAAGACTCTTCGTGCTTTACCCACATTGGATTCCTAGCGCAGGATTCTGGTCCAACACACCAGAGTTATCTATCAGGTGGTGGCGGTGACGTGATGACAACAGCGATACTTCGTAAACAGGAGCGAATAAGCCGATGAACCGACATAGCGTATTAATAAAAGAGGTGAGGAGGCGCGAAGATCAAGAACCGAAAGCCCCAGTTTATCGGTACTCGCCCCGAAGAAAAACATTCGGATAATCGATCTGGAGTTTAATAAATTAAGTTGGGTAGTTTTTAAGGACGTCGATTTCCGCCTGTATACAGAAAATATGGAAGACAGGTGTTTTGTCCTGTCCTCGCTCCAGAAGAATCCATCGTAAACAGGCTCAGTTTATCCATTTCCGGGATATCATGGTAGCTAGTTGTCCTTATAGAAATTAGCAATCCCTTAGAAATAGTATTAATTTAAGTATCATTAGTAAAGCCGAACTCCTTGAATACGTGATTAAGCTGTTGTGTATTATATATTAAACCCTAGAACATCGCATCGTATTACCATCTCGGAGTAATGAAGGTCAAGAAAGACTATAAAGAGTGTACTTGTTAATAAAGTATTTAAACCGAATAAGTCGATGCAAATTCTATACTAACTGACAAAATAAAAAATGAAAAGATTTGAATTATTTCAGATGGAAGATGTAGATAATAGGGGTCAAGTAGAGAGAGAGAGAGAGAGAGAGAGAGAGAGAGTTAACTTTAGAATTGAAGATTAAAAATGTGTAAACTTCAAATGAGATGTATGCCCCCATGCATGAACTCTATGTACCTATATACCTGGTCTTACCTTACATTGGGTATATGCACATAATTGACGTATTATTAACATCAAGTACATATAGGAGGTAGACGCAGTTTACCTTAGGTAGGTATGATTTGCATGCATTAGGTACATAACCTATATGTAGATATGTGATGTAGATGTTTCCCATTTTGATTAAACTTGAAGCTTTTGGCTTTTTTCTTTATTGAAGGCAGGTACTTATGAGGTAGTGAGCTTGCACATATTTAGGTACTTATTCTAGGCCTATTAGGGAATCTTCACAGATACCTCTCTAGGCTATCCAGGGTATCAGACAGCCCTAATTGTGCAACAACGTTCCTGCATCTTTGCGTCCTTGCGTCCTTGCGTCCGGTATCCCTTCCTGTTTGTCTTACTTTCAAGTGTTAGGTACCTAAATGGAAGTTTAAGCCTTGGCATTAGCTTACTGTGGGGACAACTTACGGTGGACTATTAGTCCAACTGTGCCAAAATCAAAAAAGTCAGTCGCACTATATCAAATAAGGTAATAGTAACATTAAGATTACAGTATAAGTTCGGCTATTTCTACTATATACACAATTTATAAGGTAATACATACCTTTTATATGGGAATAACTTTACTAATATACGTTCGAATTACTTAAAATTGGTATTGGTATTTTTATTAAAAAAAGACAAAAATTTCAACCTAGGTCTTATATAACTCGACCTTGAATTCGTAAAGATATTAAAAAATATAAGCATCATGAAATACATCATGACAAACTAGAAACAATAGCCAATCAGATCAAACCTTTATTTTAACCTTAAATATTTACAAAAACGTAAATATACAAGATACAACTTATACATCGCAATAACTTCACGAAAATACTATTTTAAAGATTATAATTGGTATCATTTTATAGCTTCAATTAATGCGAAAATAATGATCCAAGTTGCATCTTTATATGTCTTTTTGCTAGAATATTATATCAATATCAAATAGGTGCTATGTAGAAGGACTAACACGTGATACCCTTCAAGACCACCACCTTAAAAATGCTATAGATAGGTATTTCAACAACGGATAAACTATCCAATACGTATCTTATAAACATGCAACTTAGATTGTTATTTTCGCATGAATTGAAGCTATAAAATGATACCAATTATAATACTTAAAACGTGATATTTATGAAGTTATTTGAGTATATTGTATTATGTACCGAAATATATGGTAATAAAATTAATAAAATAATAAAAAATCTTATATTTCAGGTATTTCAGATACTGTGCACCTAGCGTTGCTTATTAAATTACCCTTTTTGGACAGCTCCCACCCATTTTCTTGATTTTGGCACAGTTGGACTAATAGTCCACCGTACAACTGGCTGACTGGACAAGCTGTAGCACGAGGCTGAACTCTTAAGCATCTACTGCAAGCTCTGCCCCGCCAAAGTTACTCTCTAAAATAATCAAAACGGCCTCTGATTCCCCGAGATTTTCGCGGAACTCAAAGAAAGTCCAGTGCGCTGCTCTTTCATTGGATGATTTAGAACGACATCATTCACAGATACGCCTCTATTCATCACTAAGTCTTAGTTCTTTGACTTTCACCGTCGCAACACTACCACTACCAACTTTCCAACAAACCCTATTGACTATATAATCTTTTCGTCTAAATTCAAGCTGTCCTTTTCAGGACCGATCTACTCGATAAAAAGCATCAATTCCGCAAAGCGCAATCTGCAATCTACAATCTGCAATTTATCCCGGCAATTGCTTTGCTTCCTTTGCGCAGGGCAGACTTGTGCTGACTTGTCTACCGATGCCCACCAAGCCTAATTCTCCGCATCGCTTCCTCTTCCGGGGGCGATATATCCCTTAGCAGGATTACCGCCGTGACGAATGTAGCAATTGGGTCATTAACCAATCCAAATACTACGAAAAGCTGTCCGACATGGACCGCCCGCGAAAGCGTTAGTCTTCGCATCATACCACTGGCTATTATATGCCTCGGCTAACACTTGAATTCTAGGCGAGTTGCTCTCGCTCAACCAGCGTGCATGGGATGGCGAACTAGGTATTATTTTCTTCTAAATTCACTAATTATGAGACTATTAACATCAAGTAGATGTCCTCCCCGTTAGCCCGCCTCTCGACCCTTCTCTAAGGAAAAATACTGCTTTTATCAAGCGATTGCGAACTGCTATCACTCCTGCGACCTTGAACACGTTCCTACAAGATATACGAACCCTGAGTCTCACCAAATATTTATCCGAGATTATTTCAGCGTGTTATGAAGGATTAAGCAAGCTAAAGACCCCCGGGGAAATCGATGCGGCTGTCGAGATTGTCAGCGCCCTCCATCAACGATTTGGCCCTTCCGAGTTTACCGAGTATTTAGGATGGCTGCTTGGCAAGGGAATGGCTACGCCAGATAAGAGTCTATTAAAGTCACTGGCCCCTGAGGTTCGCGAAAAGGAAGAGAAGGAACGTCTTGTCCGACAACGAGCTCTTCTAAGAGTAATTACCGAACTATGGCTTGTGGGTGTCCTACGAACCCTTGACGATGTTAAACCAGATGATGCTACACGTAGTGCCAACGGAAAGAATGCCGAGTTGAAGATTAAATCGACCAGTTCTACTAAAGGTGGTGGGGCTGAGCCATTTCCTCTTGAAGTACTTAAGGATCTTCTAGGCTATGATCGAGAGCATGTGAATTTGCCCCTTTTAGTTATTTTCGTAAAATCTTTTGGTTGGGATATCCTAGGAGTTAAATCTGCCGGATCAGAAGGCCGCAAGACTGTGGAAGAAGATGGTGCCACTAAATCGACAGAAAATAACGCTGAGCGAACCGAAGGTCAAGAAGAAGCCGGCGAAGCCGATTCCGATGACACTCCATTTGCTAGCTCCGAGCTGCGTGAGCGATTCAGAAATATCCTAAAACGCTATTTTGATGATGTCAAAGCCCATCTCGTGCGGGATCAAAAAAACATTGTTACGCAGCGCGGCAGGAACTCAGAGGCATACGTCAAGTCTGGTGAAGTATTCGAGGATCGCCAAGCTAATTTTGAGCGGCAGCTAAAAGCTCAAGAACGCCTAGTCAGCAATGCTCAAGTTATAGCCGATGCGATTGGTGCCGAGATGCCAGATCTAAAGGAAACTGGCGATGGCTTCTCGGCCACCAATGGCGCTATTGGCTTAGTCAAGACCGGCGAGTATCTTCGCGGACAGAGTGAGGGTGCAGGTATCTGGGAAGACGAAGATGAGCGCCGCTTCTATGAAAACTTAGTGGATCTGAAAGGCAAGGTACCTGGTATATTGCTTGAGGATGGCAAAAAAAAGAAAACCGATACGGACGAGCAGGTTGGCAAGAGAGCTGAATCTACTGAAGCTACAGAACCATCTAAATCTTCGGAAATAAACGACGATCAGTCAACTGCGATCGCCAATAAGACCATTGGCGCGCAGGTAGACGTACTACTAACTCGATTACCAGAGCTTACGCATAAGGATGTAGTCGATCAAGTGGCTATCGACTTCTGTTTCCTGAACTCCAAGGCATCCAGAAACCGCCTTATCAAAGGGCTTACCGAAGTACCCAAAGGTCGGACGGATCTCCTACCGTTTTGGTCCCGTCTCATAGCTACCCTTGGCCGATATATGCCTGATGTCCCCAAAGGCGTAGTGGAGTATCTTGATGCGGAATTTCGCAGTCTCCAGCGGCGAAAGGAGAAAGATTTTCTCGGACAAGTGCGATTGAGCAATATCCGATACTTGGCTGAGCTCACGAAGTTCGGTATCGTGCCCGAGCATGTCGTTTTTCACTGCTTGAAAGTCAGCCTTGACGATTTCTCCAGAATGAATATCGAGATTATCTGCAACCTCCTGGAGAATTGTGGCAGGTACCTGCTCCGCAACGCTGATACCTCGCCTCGCATGGCAACCTTCCTAGAGACTCTCCAGCGCAAGAAGTCTGTGCAGCATATAGGTCAGCCAGAGCGTATGCTTATTGAGAACGCAATATATTATGTCGATCCACCGGAGAGAGCTTCGATTCAGCAAAAGGAGCGAACTCCTACAGAGTTGTTCATCCGCAAACTAATTTATGTTGACTTAACGAAGCGTAATTATACCAAGGTCCTTAAGCAGATCCGTCGACTCCATTGGGAAGAATCCGAGGTACGAATGGGAAATCTATACTGTGAGGAGCGTTTGTTAATTCATAGAACAGGTAGTAGCTATCCTCACGAAGGTATTTTCAAGGCCTGCCAAGGTCAAGTATGGCAGTATCCATATCCTTGCAATACTTCTTAGCGCCATCTACCGCTATCACCCAGATTTTACGGTTACGGTGATCGATAATGTTATCGAATCTGTGATATTCGGGCTAGAACAGAATGACTTCAAGTTCAACCAGAGGCGCATTGCAGAAGTGAAGTATTTGGGTGAGCTTTATAACTACCGGATGTTAGAGCACCCCGTAATCTTCGACACAATGTATAAAATCATGACATTTGGTTACAGTAGGTAACACCTGCGAGTGCAAGCAATACGGAACGAGCTAACTTCGCTTAGACGGCGTACCTGTCCCAGGCCGATTTAACCCTTTCGATTTACCTGATGACTACTTTAGAATTCGCTTGGTAGCTACGATGCTCGAGACTTGTGGCATGTTCTTCAATCGAGGCGCTGCAGGGAAGAAGCTCGACTACTTCTTATCATTTTTACAGGTTCGTCTATCTCAGCATCACTGAAGGTAGACTTAAGTTGACAGTTTCCTAGTACTACATATACACAAAGCAGCCTCTCCCTATGGACATTGAGTTCATTGTCCAGGACACTTTCTCTCTCACTAGACCACAGTGGAAGCTGGCAACTACTCTAGAGGAAGCCACTAAAGCGTTCCAACTTGCAGTGGCGCAGGACCAGAAGAACGCCGGCTTAGACAAGAGCGTCGACCAAGATGAGGCTTCTAGTGGTGCTTCTTCTGAAGATGAGGGCGATGGTGGCGAAGGTGATGGCGATGGAGATATCGTGCTCCCGGAGGCCGATGGGGATGACTCGGAACTCGACGACGATGATGATATTTTCGAGGTATATCCCTCCAATTCCACTTTTTGTAACTATTGGGGAGTTTCCGCTAACCATTCCTGGTTTATTCAGGATGCGGAGACCCAGCTGCACTCTCCTCAGGATGAGTCGGAAGAGGAGGCCATAGTAGTGACGAGGAAAGCCGAAGAGATTGATCCCGAGGACGAGGCGGATTTTGAACGTGAGTACGCAAAGATGATGGCTGAGAGTTTAGAGTCCCGTAAATTCGATCGTAAACCGTTATTCGATGTTCCGCTACCAGTCCGACCCAAAACTCGCGATATTTCCTCGACTACAGACACAGATGGTGCAAACGGAGAGAGTGCACCCAGCACAATGGCCTTCTCTCTGTTAACAAAGAAAGGCAATCGTCAACAGGTATATCTTATTCTGCAATTAACCCGCTTCTAAACACTCTGGGTACTAATGCTCATAGACACGAACCGTCGCACTTCCTTCGGACTCGACCTTTGCAGTTGCCATGAAGACGCAGCAGCAAGCAGAACGGGAGGAGCAACAACGCATCAAAAATCTGGTGCTAAATTATGATCTTCGTGAGAATGAAGATCCTGATGGTGATACTCTTTTAACCCCACCCAATCCCAATAGAAATATTCACACTTCTATTCATTCAGGTCACGACAAACCATCTTCGTATTACACCGGCCGCTCAGACAAGTCCGGCAGAGACCGTGGCGGACAACGCGTCCGTAGGTTACAACTTAGCGATGTTGACTGGTATGGAAACTCCAAAGACCAGAAGGTCGAACAAAATGATTCAAACCACAAGGGCTCACTTGCCGGTACTGCCTCTGGAAGGGAATCAGCTCCAGGCCGAGTGGATGGAAGCAGTATGAGCAAGCGTCATAATTCCCCAACAGATTCCCGATCCCGCCCACGAAATCGGCGAGGCCGTGGAAAGCACTGAAGACTTACAAGATACCCAAGATACCTATGAATGAATGCTGATCAATACGGCTATTTTCACGAATTTAGGACTTGATTTTCGCCATTGATCGATCCGAACGAATCATACACTACTCATTTGAGCATTGCAGTAGAGAGATTTGATGTCTCCTGGTTATGCACATGTCTCATGCGGAAGTTACAATCTCCGGTGGGAGCATAATATATTCCTCGACGCAAGACTTGAGGCGGAAGTCTCATAATCTCAGGCCATGTTAGTCTCATAATAGAGGCGCCCGTCACGACGAACCTGTCAATGTTAACGAAGCTAACATGCCCAAGTCGCCGGCAACAGAAGGCCGACAAAGGGGGGAGACAGCCCGAGGACTTGAGGATGCAAGCCAACAAAGGGGTCGGGGAAGTAGTTGTTACTTTGATGGCCATCCGGCCCTTCCCGGGTGGTCCGTTTTTTTGGCACGAACCAATTAGGTTTTAATGCCCAACTTCGTCCCGCAGGCCATCTTACGATGGACAACAAACCTGCGGATAGACTGGCGAACTTGCAGATTGCTTATATGGCACTAGCCATCGCGCTGCCTTTTGTTCTATGTATGCTGATTTATAGCTAAAGTCACTCATTTCACGCTGACTTGAAATGTGCAACATGACATAGGTGACTTTATGTATATTCTTCACTCGCGATTACAACTTAGTTTCTTAGGTAGGTAAGATTGCCATTGAGGTTCGGTGTAAATACTGTAATAAGCCTTATACAAATTGATGCTTTCCATACTATTTTTACTATTTCATGATCCTCTCAAGTGAAATTAATGACGACTAATTTCAAAGTGCTTCTTTCAACTATAAATACAATTGTTTATTAGGACTTAGATTTATTATAATAATAAGGTCTCATTGAATTAATTAACAGGATCATTATTCATTTACTGAACGTTGGGGGCTGATCCCCCCTGGGACAGACATATCATCAAATTCATCTCAGCTTCTATGGTGTAGGTATTCGTGAAAACTGCAAAGAGATACGGCGAAATATGTACGTTTTTCCTCAGCTTCTCATGTTAGGGTTGCACAGCATAGGGGGGCATTCCTATGTGACTGGTCATGACGGCGGCTCGTATTTAAGGCTTGGCGACGCAGCTCTTGCAGCTGGAATCGATAGGTCAGAGACCAAATAGTGATGGACAGAAATCGTGCAGATTCTTATTGGAACTAGAAGAAGATCATTGAACCACAAACCTGCGCCAAAGCACGTCATGCAAGTGACATTTTAGGATCGCGTTCCCTTTCATCTTTACCCGAGAAGTCTAGGAGTGAGCACGCTTTTGACTGCAGCAAAATGCATCATCATATTTGCTTGGCAACATCCATCACGTCAAGTCTCAACCAACCTATTCCTCTTCCCCCTTTCTTTTCCTGACTGTGCGTGTGTTTTTTTACGCCTCCAGTTTCGAATCACCGGCTGACGGACAAAGCGGCAAGCCTAGTTGTTTAATTCCCAACCAATTGCGCACTTTTGGCTATTTTGCAAATCGGGCACCAGACCCTAGACAGGAAGATGGAAAATAGCACGGCCGGCAGCTGTTTCTAGCTAGGGCCTGTGGCGAACTTTTCAGATACCCAAGCATTTTTTTTTTTCTTCTTCTTCCGGCCAGAGGGGGCCCACGCACTCGGGACAACGCGATCACGAACTTGGCTACATGGAATTGCAAATAGCTGCATATGCTCTATTTAATAGTCTCGCTTGCACCCGGACGCCACGGATCCATATTGTCTTACGACTAGTAGGTAGTTTCCGTTAGTCACTTCTTCTTCTCGACACTTAACAAGGCCGACGGGCTATGAACCATCGAGCGGGATGTCGGATAAACCGGTTGATGTCGGTTGGTAAGAAAGCCGTACTGGGGGGGGCTAGGATCTAGCAGCCATGGGACGGCAGGTAAATTAACCATTAAGATGCCGCCGCATGCTCCCCAGAAAATTTTATATTGGCGAGACCTTTTTTATTTTGGTTTGGTTTCGCTTGTTTTCTCCTCGCCCCTTCGCGATTGCTACCCTCTGCAATATTAATTTATTACTCTCGTGGAACTCATATTGCAGCTTACGTGTGTGCGCATGGATCTTGGATGGAACCCTACGAGAGATCTAGGCAATGAGATGCGAAGGGGAGAATGTCCGAATGTTGTATTGAGATGGTGTATGTAGGTATTGTATCTCCAGCTGTATAAGTGCTATACAATATACCCAGATAAGGTTTAGGTAGGTATTTCTAAGCTAAAATATAGAGTTAATACCTGTGTAGGTTCATCGCACATCGGAGATCTCGGCTTTACCCCACAACCCCGAACAGTGACAGTGCTCCCTTCAGCGCTTAATAAAGTTTTGTTTTGCAATTTCCGTTTGTACCTGGCGGGGTCTGGGCACGGCACACAGTAACGTGGCAGGTTAACTTTCCACCCTTGCAAGGAAATAATTCAAGGATGGTTCGCTTAGATCGACCATTAGCGCGCCCCCCCTTTTCGCCTAGACTAAGGTAAAGTCCACTACGCGGCACTACGTTGTGTCCTTTTTAAGCCGCGTGTGACGTTTTAACCATCTCCCTTTAGCGCCGGGATTTAACGTTTCTTTCTATTTCATCGTATACTCTTCATGTAGGTAAGATGTAAGTAAATCATTGATTTTTCACTTGTTATTGCTTGCCTTAAAAGTTTAAGCTACCTTAACCTGTCTTCTTCCATGAAGCAATCGTCAAACTGAATTATACAGTCCGTAATATCTGTGCTCCGTACGACACTCGTATTGAGAATACCTTACTAACTAACTTAACATATCCCAATTCTTCCAACTCCAGTCTTCATCACGTCACTTGACTTACAACTTAGATGCATTCTTGGAAATTATTGATGGATCCACCCTAAACCTATCGATCGGATAATTTAAATGCAACTGATAAGTTGGGTTAGCCTCGCAATACATACAGCACAGCACGTCTTATGTTCTATAAACAGCATTGTGGGGAGAAGAAAAAGAAACAAGCAAGCAAACTGAAATATTAATTGCTTGCTAAACGGCCCGGTACGCAGCCACCATATTGACGGGCCAGCACCAGCACTACTGGCTAAAGTGATCGAGTGTATCTTTAATCCACTTATTTACAGAAAGACCACGCAGCCTAGTTTACTTGACTGATTGGATAGGAAGGTAGGCATTCTAGACAGCTTACGCCTTGTGGTGTTTTTATTTTCCTATCAATTTTTTTTACTCTCATTCTTAATACGGTCGTGGTTGTTGTGAGTACATTTCATTTACCTACGATTCAAAAGAGCACCCTGGTTACATACATGTTAGTGTGTAAGTTATAAGTACAATATTCACATGTACTAGCTTCAATGTTTAACTTCAATGTTTCAATGTTTAAAGGCAGGTACAAGTGTATCATACATATATGATCTAATACATTGAAGTAAACATGTAAGATGTAGGTAGGTACGTTCAAGTATAAGCAGACCTTTTAAGTTTATTGTCAGTTTTACTCTCCTTCTTTCTCTACCTGAACTAACTTTATCCCAATTTCTATAACATTGCTAAGACTTCTTTCTCTTCTTATTCTTATGTTTACGTAAATATCCATAGCCGCCAAATACACAAATGCTCCGAGGCGATTTCATCTGCCGTGCATGGGGTCAATGGGATCAACGGTAAGCTTGTTATATCCTTGTAACTCATTCGGCTTTCTAGACTTTTTCTATCCCCATTTTCCTTATTCCTCAGTTACGGTCGACGCGGCCTACAATGGAAGCATCCGACCTAGCTAGGTTTAGAGTCCGGAGACTAGATATCGAATGCTCATCGTTACACTCTCTTACATTGACCGCGTCTATGCTTGCTTGCTGTCGTATGCAACCGACTTCTAGCCAACTTCACCATCTTCCGTATTATACCCTGCGACTTGCGAGTCGAGGAATATCTAGACCAGGCGGCACGCTGGGGGCTGGGGGTAGTGTCCCCATACCTGCAGTTCGCCTGCAGGTCCCGCTGACCACCGGCCATTGTACCCTTCCGCCGAGCTCCTAGTCCAGATCGGAACCATCGCCCAACTAATATACATAAGAGCTTACTGACCTTATAGCCCAGCTATCCATATTCCCTACCCGGTGAGCGCTCATTATCCATTTAAACCACTTCGGCGCCTAGTACCTAAGCTACTCTACTTGGTATCGTCGATGAGGACAGCGACTATATTCGTTCATTCTCACTTACCATAAGTCTTTCTTTCGTTCACCTATATGTAACTCCTATTCTCTACACTAGCGACAATTCGAAACAATACCGACAACTTCTGTATAAATGATGGGAACTTTCTTGATATATTAACCATTGTGCTTCACCGGACTTTTCATAGCACAACTCGGATTTTGAATAGCACAATTTGCGATTCGGGAAGGAACTGGAAGTAGCGAGTGGACACAACAGCTCAGCCGGTTGTTACGTATTCCCAGGCCTATCTCTATCATCTACGGATTATCGTGGCACTCGCCTTGCCCGTTGGGGCCAATTACCTGGTCAGCCCATACCTCGTCCAATAATAGGAGGCGCCGCCACCTCATCTCGAGGTCTAGGATACACCATATACCATAACCAGATCATCACAGCACATCCCTCGTTATACGGGACCTCGTGTCTTTTTTCAACTCTCACAGAACAAGGCGAGGGAACCCCCTTGCATCCTCCTGCGGGTAGCCGCAAATAAACATTTTGGTGTAACCGCAACCCGTCACCACTGAGCTTTTTTTTTTCTAAAGTGATAGCGATGCTTGCATGAGAAGCGAGCCACACCCCAAGCCCTTATCCGAACTTGAAAACAAGACGTGACAGAATCCATTTAACTTACAAAATCCCCCTGCCATTTCTCATTCCTCGGCCTAGAACCGATCGATAACCTACACGATCAGTTCTATGATGGCGCGAGATATCACAGAAACATGGCCGGTCCACGAGGTAAGAAGCTCTGTACTTAGCACAGAATCATTCGGTTTTTGGGTGGTGTTAACAGTTGTTTTTAGATAATTTACACCGCGATCGTGGGCGTTCTTATGTTAGCGGCCCTTCTCGAGTGGTTTCTGTGGTTATCTGCATTCCTGTATTGCTTGGTCAAAGTTTTCCAGAAGGCAGAACACTGGACAATTAGGGTGCTAGCGATTGTCGTTGGTTTCTTGTTCACTGGGCTTCGGTATGCGTATAGAGTCTCCCAACTTTACCGTTACTAACGAAACAACAGTTTTATCTTTTTGCCCATTATGGTTGTCACTCTACCTCTCCCTAGCCAGATAACCCAGTACTGGCCACCCAATATGGTCGACATTCTTCAATGGTTCGCGTTCTGGAGTTTTGCGGGATTACTAACCGTTCCGTGGCTTTTCTGCGTTTACCAGCTTGTCACCCATCAACTCGGGAGGAGGAAACGTGTTAAAGAGGTATTGGATGAGGTATCTGCACCCAAAGTCGTCATTGTTATGCCTTGCTACAAGGAGGAGCCGGATGTCCTCGTTACAGCTATCAACTCCGTTGTGGACTGCGATTACCCCCCTTCATGCATTCACGTATTCCTCTCGTTTGATGGAGACCAGGAGGACGAATTGTATCTCAACACGATCGAGAAACTTGGTGTTCCTCTTACGTTAGAATCGTACCCTAAGAGTATTGATGTTTCATACCGATCAGCTCGAATTACTGTCTCACGTTTTCCTCACGGTGGAAAGCGCCACTGTCAAAAGTCGACATTTAAACTCATCGACAAAGTCTACAAAGAGTACCTCAAGCGGAACGATAACCTATTTATTCTCTTCATCGACTCGGATTGCATACTAGATAGGGTCTGTCTGCAAAATTTCGTATACGACATGGAACTTAGCCCGGGGAACAGCAGGGACATGTTGGCCATGACGGGTGTCATCACCTCAACGACGAGGAAACATAGTATCATTACCTTGCTCCAAGATATGGAATACATCCACGGCCAGCTGTTTGAAAGGACTGTAGAGTCAGGATGTGGTGCGGTCACTTGTTTACCAGGGGCCCTGACCATGTTACGATTCTCTGCATTCCGAAGAATGGCCAAATACTACTTTGCCGACAAAGCTGAACAGTGCGAGGACCTATTCGATTTCGCAAAAAGCCATTTGGGCGAAGATCGATGGCTTACCCATCTTTTCATGATTGGAGCCAAAAAGCGGTACCAGATTCAGATGTGTACTTCGGCATTTTGCAAAACGGAAGCAGTTCAAACCGTTAAGTCGCTGATTAAGCAACGGCGAAGATGGTTTCTTGGGTTCATCACGAACGAAGTCTGCATGTTGACCGACTGGCGTCTTTGGAAGCGATACCCAATCTTACTCGTGGTGCGATTCATGCAGAATACGATACGAACGACGGCTTTGCTCTTTTTTATCATGATGCTCTCGATAATGACGACAACTATGAGAATTGATCAGCTTCCCGTCGGATTCATTGCGATTTCTCTCGGTCTGAACTGGCTGATGATGATTTACTTTGGCTTAAAGCTAAAGCGATTCAAGATTTGGCTCTATCCAATAATGTTCATTCTTAACCCCTTTTTCAATTGGTACTATATGGTCTACGGCATATTTACTGCTGGCCAGAGAACTTGGGGCGGACCCCGTGCGGACGCTGCTACTGCAGATGCGAATACGACGGTGCAGCAAGCTGTCGAGCAGGCTGAGCAGACAGGAGACGATCTCAACGTCGTTCCGGAAACCTTCATCCCAGCAGCCGAAGTGCAAAGACAGAAGAGTAAAGGTAAAGAGACTGCTACCGTTCAAAGATCCAAAAGCAACGTACTGCCTCCGGAGAAGGTCGAGGGTAAATTTGCGGCCCCCGAGAAAAAGGCAAACGGATTCTACGCATACCCAGAAGAGTCAACGTTCAGCTTCAATACCCCAGAGGGCTCTAATTCACGTTACGTTCTTCGCGATCGTGATTCGGTAGAGAGTTTCTTGACTACTGGAAACAACTCGGTCTATTTGCCCCGGCGGGTGGAAAGTATTATGGGAGACGAGGACCGGAAAAAGTACCAAATGGCACAAGCCAGCCAGTATAACCAGTTTGTCGAGAAGTCAAAGAAGTTCGCTATACCTCCACCAGGTCAAGTATACGAATTCTCCGACCTTGAACTTGAAAAAAGAGGCTGGGACGTTAAGGTACCGGAAGGCGGCCAACCTGAACGCTATAAAGACGATAGCAACGATAGCAGCCCCGAATCCTCTTCATCTCGCGCACCTTCGCCCGGTCCTTTATCGACCTTACTAGCTGATCAAGATTCGTCACGAACTCCAGCGCGGGGTCTCGGTGTACCCGAAGGGCATCACCAACGGCGTAATAGGAATGGAGGGAGTCCTCTCGGGCGGGATATCTCAACACACACGCTCGTGGCCAATGATGATGAGGAAGAAGCAGAGGAAGAGGAAGATAGACCTAGTTCGGGGCGCAAAAATTCGCGTAGACCGAATGGACATAAATAGGGGATAATCTCAATATTATAAATTATCACATTTAGAAATAGGCCTCGGCGGGCGGGTTGCATAATGGTGGCAGTTTTGGGACTTACATGATAGAAGGCGTTTAACCGGGAGACAGTAAATAATTTACAGCGCTGTACAAGAAGGTAGGTTGCATGCGCGTTTTTGGGAGCATATTCCTTAGTTACCTGCCATTTTTATCCTTCATCAAATGCTTGTAGTATCGTTCTCGTCTGTTGTTATAAGGTGTGATGCCATGGTACGTACCTGTTATCAAATAAATAAAGATCCATGTATTGTCTTAGTATGAGTGTTTATTCCATGTGACCGTTATTATATAAGTTACCTAAGGTAGGAAAAAAGAAGATGGAAGGAATGACAGAAATAGATAGCAACTATAACTCTATACATACCATAGCGGCAAAGGGTGGTTTTGAGAAACGATTCCTCGACCGAGTACCGTACCTCCCATATGCATTATTTATTAAAAAGGCAACGTTATTTCTTAGAAAATTATTTCTCGATAAATAATCATTTCTCGACAAATAATCGTTTCTCGAAAAAAAAAAAAATTTTTCAATTCTTTTATTCTTTTTTAATTTTTTTTTTTTATACCTAAGCTAATTCGAACAGTAGACTTTGGATATGTCACGGGATTTACAAGATTTACAGGTTGCGGATTTTACTACTAAACCAATTGGGGTTTAACATATACACGCGAAATTATCTTATTATTTAACATTATATATTTTATTTAATCAAAAAAAAAATCTTAATTTCAAATTCGGAAACGATTTTCAAATTCGGAAACGATTTTTAAGTCCGGAAACAATTTTCTACCCGAAAATAATAATCTAGACAAAAACGATTTTTCTTAGGTAAATAATTATAAGTATGAATAACCGTTTCTCAAAACCACCCTTTGCCGCTATGGTACATCACAGGTCTATACGTGCATGGCAACTGCGTCACAGCCAATTCCTTGAATTAGCACATGTTTCGTATGTAGGGGTAGACGTAAAAAACTCACGTGTCAGGAAACACCTAGTACGGTAGTTAGCGTGACTGCCGCCAGCTGACAGCGGTACCATGCCCCTGACAAAACCAGCAAAGGATAAACCGATTAGGCAGTTGATTACGCCAAACTCGAATGTGCCTTCGTAAATCTAATGTCGAATCTGCAACAATTTGAAACAATCTCTCAAGTTTATTGATTTTCTAGCACCCGAACCTCGAACGAATAACCTAACCTCCACACATTTTGTTATACAACCTTTGCCTCCTTCAATCGCCCAATATGGACAATTTTAAGGCTTTTGGTAGCAGCTTGAGGTACGATACATATAAATACCACATATAATACCGTCATGAAGTTATCTGCATTATGCGGGTTATAGGTAGATGCTGATATCATGCTAGCTCTATTGGCTCTCAGATTACCCCCTTCGCCTCTCGTACTTTTCAGTACACCAAAGAGCAGCTTGGCCAGGCCGAAGATAAGGTACGTTTTTAATGCTTAGGTGGGGGTGTTGACAATTATGGCTAACAATAACTTCCCTATAGACCCAACTCCCTCCCGATTATATCGATCTTGAAAAGCGAGTGGATGCCCTAAAGCAAGTCCATCAGAAGATGCTTGCAGTGACGTACGTACTCATCATCCAATGCGCTAAATACTTGTAGCTAACATACTTGGGTTTATCATAGCTCGCAATACTCACACGAACCTTACGATTATCCTAACAACCTCAAGGAGAGCTTTTCGGACCTTGGCCGTACCGTCAGCGAGAAGGTTCAGCTCCTCTCCGCTGCTACCACCCCCGCCGAAGCTCAGGCCGCCTTGACCGCACCCCCCACCGCAAAGCCCCAGCCCAAGACTTTCTCCCACGCCATCGCCCGAGCCAGTTTAGCAAGCTCCCAGATCCTTCACCAGCAACACACTGGCGCCGGCGAGGACCCTCTCGCCACTGCGCTCGAGAAGTATGCGCTGGTTAGCGAGCGATTGGGCGAGGCCCGCCTTGCGCAGGACGCACAGATCCAGAGCCATTATCTGGCCGGTTGGAACACCACCCTAAACACCAATCTGATGTTCGCGACACGTGCGCGCAAGAACGTCGAGAAGGCGCGCTTGACCCTCGACTCAGTCAAGGCCCGTGTTAAGGGAAATACTTGGAAGATCGGACAGCAGCCGCGCGAAGATCACCACGCTGAGGAGCTGAGCGCTGAGGCCCAGGAAGAGATTGAGAAGGCAGAGGATGAATTCGTCACTCAGACCGAAGAGGCTGTAAGCGTCATGAAGAACGTAAGTTATATTTGAGTTATTGATTTTGTGGTATCTTGGCTAACTTGAATTCGCAGGTTCTGGATACTCCTGAGCCTCTTCGCAACCTTGCTGAGCTCGTTGCTGCCCAGCTCGAGTACCACAAGAAGGCCGCTGAGATCTTGAGCGAGCTTTCTCCCGTCATCGAGGGTCTGCAGGTTGAGCAGGAGGTCAGTTAATGGCAATAATCTTGAATCCTCTACGTTTGAGTTAACATATCATTGTAGGCCAACTACCGCAAGAGCCGCGAGAGTGCTTCGTAGATGATTGATACCCGCGAAACCCATAAATAGGATGGAATATATCCATTGTAGGGGTTTGCAAAAACCGACTGGGACCGGGCTGCTCTGAAAGCCTACAAGGACGGTGGCAGATCTGTCAGGATTCTATTTCTTTTTTCCTTTTTTTTGCTGCTTGATCTGACATTTTGCGTGTTTGAGCAAGTGTGATATAGACGAGAGTGAAGCAATCGAAGAAATTCCCTAGCGGAGTTCCTTGATGCTTTGTTTTCTGCTTCCGTTTGGGAGACGATGAATTGAGACGATTTTGCAAATATGAAGGTCGTACCATATGATACTTCTGGCCTAGTAGTGTGACGATGTGAAGCTACACTGGATTCCTATTTTACTAACTGATGGAATCGCCGTAGACAGATTATTATTCTCACAATAATAAATATTGAGACCATATACAACATTACGTTCGATAAGGTGGAATTCTCTATGAGAGATAGTAACGAACTTGGTGTTGTTAGTATAATAATAAGTGACTTATTTTACCCAGGTATATGCTACGGAAACAGGTACACAATAGGCGAAATAAAGTGACTATTTGGCTTTAATAAGTCTAGAATAATAGGTAAGGTCTAGTCATAATATGGCGGGTGTAGTTCTCATAGCGAGGCTTACTATCAATAGTACGCGTAAACGGCACAAAAGGTAGCAGCTCCGAAATAAAAACATCGAGACGAGATCTGCCAGCATTCTACCCACCAATGGAGCAGATAGAATCACTATTCTTACATAGCTACGCTACACTACAAACATTTAATTGTCTCTAATGCTAATGTCTACTCCTATTCAAAGTCATCTTCCTCATGGCGATGCACAAGGCACCGGTCACAATGAAAAGGTGGGTTTTCTTTTCGCAAAGAGAAGAGAACAAAAATTGCGCCCGCTACGATCCACGAGGGATAATAGAAGAGGGTCGACTCCGCGCTGTGCAATGCAGGTCTTCCCCCTTAAGGGCCCTCATGCTTGAGCGAGGGTCCTTCGAACAAGGTAAGTATGAAGAAGAAAAAGGGAAAAGAAAATTCTAAGAGCGGGAGGGGAGACGTTTCTTTTGTACTGGAAATTTGGGCGGTGAGAGCGGTTGGGCGGCAGAATTATTAGTGGGGTAGGAAGGAAGGGGGGAAAGAGGTACGTGCGCTTTGCTGCAAGGGCGATGGGAAAGACAGCCCAAAACTTGCTGGAAGTTGAACCCAAACGCTAACCGGATTGGGTAGGAGGGATGTTGGTCCCAAAGTGATGTGCTTTGGGCTCAACTTTTACTTTAATCACTGCTATATTCACCTACCTATATAAATGAATATTTTTACATATTGCCTTACAATTAAATTGCATGATTGGAAAAGTATAGTCAGTTATTAAATACCTTATTAATTGATTAACTGCGAAGTAAAAAGGAAAGAAAAGGCAGGTTAAAACGGTGATTGGCTAAGAATTCGTACGATGAAATGCGTCGCAAGGTAAGGGATTTAGATACTGTGATGCGCTATAATTATAGGGGATTTGGTGTAGGTAGCGCTGTATTCTAGCGATTTGAAGCACTTGGGTTCAGCCCAAAGTGAAAGGTTTGGTCCCAAAGCAATATCGAGCCCGTAAATTCCCTGTTCTGGTTAGAGTTTGGGTTCAACTTCCAATGTGCTTTGGGGCCAAAGCAAGAGCGTAGCAGGTTGGATAAGGACATATCAGGTACTTAATAATTCGATAAATCTCATTGGACAATATCATGTGACCCCCGAGCTCTGACGTTTTCGAGCTTGTAAACCTCTCACAAGAAAATACCGATAAGAAATACCGAGGTGCCTTTTTCACCAGAAAATCGAATTCCACTAATTGGGTTGAACTTCCCTTTCCAATTCCTACCCCATTTCGTCCAAGCATATAACGACAACTGCGCACGATGCGGCGGACACTCCGACTCTTCGCGGCCGTCAAGCCCGCGCGGTACCTCGAGGCCGGCACCCCGACGGGCCTCACGGGCCTCTTCACCCACGGCTCGCCGCGCTCAACCCTGCTATACCTATACACGCGCACGCTCGAGAAGCTGCAAGACGTCCCGGAGTCCTCGCTCTACCGCCAGTCCATCGAAGCCCTGACCAAGCACCGACTCGCTATCGTGGAAGCCGCCGAGCCCCCGGGCTACGCCGAGTGGGCGGCGCGCGCGCGCAAGATCGCCGAGGAGAATCCGGACCGCTTCAGCGTGGCGACGGCCGGCGCCAAGCAATCTGCCGAGGGGTCCCGCGCGCTGCAGGTTAAGTCGGGTGGCAAGCTGTTTGTGCACCGCTCGGAGCCGGCGCCGAGGGATGACCGGTACGAGGAGTGGAATGGGGAGAGGGATGAGGGGCCGGGGTCGGAGGGCCTGAAGGGAGAGGAGGAGCGCGGGGAGCATGAGATGCTGTTTACGCGCGAGCCGACGGATCGCCCGAATGATAAGATTCAGTGGGAGCCGGAGCCCCAGTTGACTGCTGATCAGTAAGTTGCCATGTCTACTTACTCTCATATAGTAGTCCAGGTCGATTATATATATACAGACGAGGTGAGAAGACATTGCTAATGATAGGGAAATAGGATTGAGGAAATCGAGGGCAAGATCGGAGGTGGCTTGATCGAGGAGGTGGTGCGAGTAGCCGAGAACGAGTTAAGACTTGTGGATATCATGCAAGAAAACAAGGTGTAAGTTTTACTCTCTGCCTCTTTCTTTGACTTGGGGGAATTACGAATTATGGTATAGCTGACTACGATGATAGATGGGAGGAACTCGAGGAGAAGCCTGCTGAGGGCCAATGGACCTACTTCGAGCGCGGCTCGTGATAGATGGATTTGCATCACCGAGTTTCTGGTCCGCTATAGAAGTTTCGTAAATGACTTCCGTATGGTGTATCACGGGGCAGGTGTACAGTAGATAAAAGCATGTACATACATACGGAATACGGTTCACGTTTTCAGACGCTTTTAATGCTACCATCGCATGAATTAGAGATCAAACGTCGTGTCCATGGTCTAAACGTAGGAAAATATGGTGACTTTTTAGTCTTGAGAAAGCCGTCTCGCTACGTTACTCCTGGCTGAGGTTCTCCTTGTTGAACCGAAGAATCGCGTGCGCCATAAGCTATTGCCTATCATAATATGAGGATTACTGTATACTTGGGGTATAATAAGCATTTGAATTATCGGGGTTCACATGATGAATGCCGCATAGAGTCAAGTCAGCAGCAGCTCTAGAGTAGATATCTTAGTGATGTAAGTATGAGGGGTTGCTATAATATGCTTTGTAACCCACTAATACATTATTCGGATCCGAAGAAGTAACTTGAGGTATCCCTACGATCTAAATACCATATTAATATGCTCCTTTCATAATTAAATTCAATGCATTGTATTTATATGCACAGGTTGAGGTTTAAGGTGTAGAATTACGACCAGAATCATGACATATCTCGGGAAAGGAAGAGGGAAGGAAATTATTAATAACCACACCGTCTAAATCAGAACTTACTTGAGATCCATCGCACAACACCTACCTAAAAAGTTAGAATATTATTATTCAAAGAAGATAATAAAAGACGACAACGATGGTGATAATTGGGAATAACAAGCGCTAATGCAAAGGCGGCTCGGCCCGCCAACGCTTTGATAGCGTAGAAGCTCAAAAATATTGGAGCTGACTTCGAGGAACACAACGTTAACAATCTTTTCCAGAATAACTAAAAGTTTCTTAGTAACTATCTTAATTACTACTAAGAGGTATTATAATTCAGAAGGATCTTCGAATGCATATATTTATATAACAGTAAAGAAAATATCATGGGACCTTTCGCTCTCCCAGTGCCAGGTTATCGCCTTGGTGCACATCACCGCATAAACAAACCTAAGAAAACAGATGATGAACAAGAAGAAAATGGGGAGGAAGTCTGGGTCGGATCTGAATGGGGCACACCCTCCTCACGTCTCCCCTCAGACTCTATCAACCCCCTCAGCCATACACCAGATACACTTCGGCAATTCGCCGTTGCTGGACTGTCGCCCACAGAGGAGATACCGTCAAAGGCAAACCCCTCATTCCCACATAAGCCACTCCAGCCAGAAGGCAAGAAACGCAGGAAGCGCGATGTCAGCAAAGACGATAAAAATGCTACGGAGGATCAGGATAAGGGCGTTACATCAAAGCAGTGCTCGGAGCGCTTAAAGCATCTAAGCACGTTAACAGCGATCCTACACTGCTGTCTCGGCGAGGGCGACATCGCACGTGCGAAACGTGCCTTCGGGTTATTAGTACAGACCAAGGACGTAGATATCCGACAAGCCGGACTATGGGCTATAGGTTCCGAGATCCTCATGCGAGACGGAGAGTCAGAGGAAGACCAACTCAGACATAAGCAGGGACGGGACGACGAACTACACCGCTGGGGTTCCGCCGCCAACGTCGACAAAGTAAAATCCTACTTCGAAACCCTCATCCAGCAACACCCGCACGACACGCACCGGCCACACCTCACCAGCGCGCTAGACTTCTGGCCCGCGCTCTTCGGCATCGAGGTGTACAATATCGATGCGGAAATGCGGGCTGCGATGCATCATCTGCAACAGCAACAAGATCAAAACCAAGGTCGAGACCAAGAAGAAGATGATGGGGGGTATGGATTTGACGTGGACATGGCGTATTCAGACGAAGCATTTGAATCGCACAGGGAGCTCCAAGACCAACGACGACGAGAAGCTACCTACGCGGCCCGCGATGACATACGCACGCGCGCGTTGGCCGCCGCCGAGGCGGTCGCCAAGCAAATGGACCAAGTGATGGAGAACGCGCCGTACGGCGCGCACCGCGGCCTCCTTCGGCTGCGGGCGCATCTAGCGTTATTCGTCGGGGATTTGTGTCTGCCGGCGCGGCTTATCGACGGCGGCCACCACATGTCCAAAGAAGAGAAGAAGAAGAAGAAGCTGAAGAAGCGAATGAAGAAAGGCAAGGGTAAGAATAGCGAGGATGAGCTGCGGGCGCGTGCCGAGACGGCGGAGGACTATGCTGCGCTGGGTAGGAGGCGGGATGAGCAAGGTAGGGCGAGGATGTTGTTTCGGAAGGTGTTGGATGGGGGAGGGGAGGGAGAGCCGGAGGGGGATGGGGGGGCGGATAGTTGGGTGCGGAGGTTTGTGGAGGAGGGTGAGGATGAGGAGATGGATGGGAGAGGTGGTGATGAATGGTAGTTGTTTGATTGTTATTGTCTTGTCTCTTATAAGACTCAAGAGTATATACCCCGAGCAATATAAACTACAAGCCCTCCATAGAGAGGCTTCACGACACATCTGCTTTCATCTCGCATCAAAATTTTAGTGTTTAGTAGACAAGTCATAAGATTGGACGGGATTGATCATCAATGGTCGACCGATTCTCCCATCCCTTACTACGCCTCACGCAACAACTAAAGGTACGTACGAACTGACGAGCTATAGATGAGAAGCATCAGATAGGTCATTATTCCTATATCACCCTACCTGAATCCATCCCGCCAAGCTCCCTCTAAGATCCCAATATAAACAGTCCCAAAATACTGACACCTAATAATTCATCATAGCATAACTCGTAATAAATGGCAATAACTACGCCACGATTCATTTCGATCATACAACGAGACCTAGAGTACAAGGAAGCAGGCGCGGTATTCGAGGAGATGAAAAAGAAAAATAGATACAGAATCGTTGTAAAATACCGCGCGCCAACCCATGCAAATCCACATCATAATCGACGTCCTAACTGACTTAACCGACCTAGCTCATCTCTATTACCACGCACGACGCCTAACTGATGAAACAAAGGCATCCCAGCCCGACATAGAACACGAATAGGGGGTAAACAGCGATTCCAACGCGGTTCTTGACAACGCCGCTCCCGCCTAGGATACTTATGCCAGCGGCCATCGACCAAGCGACCAAGACTAGGTAGACGGGGATTCGAGGGATCATGGGCAGACCGAGGGCCGACATGAGGGAGGCGAGGACCAGCGGGAATAGGGTATATCCGATGATGCAGACGCTCTGCGCGAAGGAGCTGTCACACATATCCGTCAGTATATTATCCCAACAGTTACAGGAATAAGAAAAGGAAACACCAAGAAGAAAGGAACTCACATATTCCCACCCAACAACTTAATCTGCAACGTAACCACCGCCTCGCCAATCCACACGATCGCAAAAACCCCACTAAACACTACATCCTTCTGCCCCTCGGCCGAGCAAAAACTCAGCAGCGCCGACAAAACCAAGCAGAAAACCAACGGCCCCCAGAGATCCCAATCGCGTAGGCCGGGGCTCATATTATTCTGATTAAGCAGGCTCTCGGGATCCATGACCCTGCCCGCCAGACTCGTCAGCTCCTCCCTAGCGCCGGCCAGCCCGGCCCCGCGCAAGTTCGCATACGCGCCGCGAAGCCCGTCCGCGCTCTCGAACATGGTGCCCCCGAACAGGTACCGCGGATACAGCACCTCGCGCATCTTGGACCAGACGGCGAGCAGGTCGCGGCGCAGGGTGTCCCAGACGGACTCGTCGATGGTGTTTTGGGGCGCGCGGCGGTCCTCGCCGGGGATGCGCGAGGTGAGGAAGTTTTCGTTTAGGGGGCGGGAGGACGAGGCGATGTTGCCGGTGAGAGGCTCGCGCTGGGATTGTGCGTTAGAGAGGGGGTCGTCGAAGTCGTTAAGATCGGCTGGGTTTGTGTTAGTTATGATGGCATTACCGTTGAAAACTATAGGATTTGACCAAGCAGCAGCACGATCTTGTTGAATTCGGCTGTGGTTAACTTACCGTCATCGGGATCGATCAGGTCGTCGTCGTCTTCGATCTGGGGACTGTCATAGTGGTGGTGGCTGGATGTTGCCATTTTGGATGGTAGGTTGCTGAACAACTAACACAACAGTCTATTCGATAAGTCCTCTATTATTTCTCTTTAGAAATCGAGAGGTTATAACCTCTAGCTTGTTACGTCAAAAGTCGACGATTACATGTAGTTGGTTGATTAATTCGTCTTAGAGCTTCAGGTACCACCGTGTCAATTCTAAGTCTAAGCTATAAGTGGTCAAAGCTCTCGTATGTGGGTCTCTATGGAATTCATAGACGTACATAGTACCTAGGTACCTTCATTTCTACCACATGTACGAAGTACCTATGCATGTACGTAACGCAGACTTAAGCAGATACATTAGCGTCAGTATATAAGATCCTAAGACCGTATTGATACCGTATATTTATAGTCTAATTGTCTGAATAGTTACACCTTTCGGGACTAAAGAACGACGGTAGCCACATCTACCAACGGTATTGGTATTAAATGGTATTTTCGGGATAGAACGTTTGGTGTATCGAATGGTTTTTCCCTTGCGAATGGTTTTTTTTGACCAACGGTTTTTTTTGGGACCAACGGTCTTTTTACGGTCAGGGAAGGGGCAAGAGGTAAAAAAATATATAATATTACCTACCTACCCACTTACTTACATACTTACATATCATATATATTTTTACACAGGTATTAATAATAGGTATTCTTTTACTTTCGAACTGGCTACGGCTACGGGGTCACTATTCAAATAGACTATTACATACACAAGCGCGTATAGCCTGTAATTGTTTGGGTATATAAGGTGGCATTCGCGGCTTCCTTTACTTGAATATTACACCTTCCCAAACCGTAAAAAAACCGTTGGTCCCAAAAAAACCATTCGTAAGAAAAAAACCATTCCTAAGCATATAAACCATTCAAATACCTAACCAAATATATACCATTTAAACAAATACCGGTTGAAATATCAAAACATTTAGATATTCAAATAGTATCAGAGCCTCAAACGGTAAATGTACGGTCTATTGCTTAATTACTGTAAATGTTCGGTACCTGGGTCTTATATCCTGACGCTAATGTACTTTATCAACCACAAATTTCCATGGTTCAACTTTGTTTCACTCAATGTGCTACCTACTGCTTGCATTCTACATACAAAAAAAGAGGATTCAAGCGAGACAGGTATAACTCTCAACGGATAATCGAGCCGCTCGACCGATTTGATCCCTCGTTCCCTCAACATCACTCCACCTGTATAACGATACCAATATCGTTGTGTCATTATAGCTGCATGAGGAAAGTCACATATAGAAATCCAACCCGAGAAGCTAATTTCAACAAATATTGCATTATTCTTTGCCAATTATATGCGACAACATCCATCCAGCGCGGGTATCTCGAAATTTTTTCTGCGCTTGTTGTTCGTTCTTCAGAGTCTGGACCTCTGTACTATAGATGCTCTCCCGTCTTTCAACATCTACCGTAACAATCGTGAAAGCCCCCTTTGTAATATCTCCCTCGAAATTACCCCATATGCAGATACCGTCTCTCATGTGAACCAAGTGTCGCATAATATGATAGCCCACTAAATATGCGCCACCCTAGCTCATGCCTCCTGATGATTATTCCAGAACGCCTTAGCCGGGCCCAAGAACCAGACCTTTGCTAGTGGTAACCGCTTCATTAATACACAAAAATTTCAAAATAAATACTCTAGGTCCTTGACCCTATGACCACATGTTTCTGTAATCTCGTGAGCTATCTCTAAGTCCGTGTGCCTGCGTCGTGTGTATTGCCTGGTTATTCGCATGCTGTCTAGAATACGAAGCCGACGCTTCTGCCCACGGTTCTGCCGAATGCTGATTGAATCCAGATGATGAAGGTTGAGATGGCTGTTGTGTTTGAGGATATGGGTGCCAGGATTCAATCCCAGGCGTGTACGGCCTTGGGCGCGGCCACGCCGGTAGACTTGAGTAACCAGGACTCCTATTGTCATACTCTGTTAGAGTAGGACCGTAACCTCCCTGTGATACCTCGGCATTAAAGCCAGACATGTAACCTCCGTCCGAGGGCATATTTGATTCAATCAGACGACCCTCGGGCGGAGAACGACCTCCCCAATGTTGGGATGGTTGCGATTCGAAGCCAATATGCGGCGGCATTGGTGCTGTGGAATCCGACGTTGGTAATTCGTCATGGGGTTGAGAGCTCTCTCTTGGTACTCCGCGGCCATACGCTGCATAATTCCCGTTGATCCCTACAAGCGCCCATGCAAATACGGCCACGTCTCGGATCGACTTCATAAGCTGTTCAACTGGCGGCCCTCCCGCTGCCTTTACGTGCTCCCGTAGAGGCATGTATTGTGGCAGAAGGGGCGGCCGGAACGTGTAGAAATATTCTGGGGGGTAATAAGGTCGAATGGGTTGCTCGCTCCAAGGCGCAGCAAAGAGACCATTCTCAAAATCGATAGGAAGTAAAGGTGGATGGAGAGAAGGGATTGGTGGTCGAGCTTTTCTCAGCACAACCACAAGACCGTCCGAGGTGCATGACACAACAGCTTCGAGCTCAAACGTAGGAATTGGATTTCGGTTCCTCCTCCGTCGCCCATTTGCCCGCATAGCTGAATTTGGAATATGGTGACAGCTTACTTCTGAAGTTTGATATGACCGAGTAAAGGCTTCATGTTCTCCATTAGTGAAAACGGCAGCTTTGGAGAGCTCTGGGCTAACGCTAGCCTCGGTCTTTATCTTGATGCCGTAGCTTTCGTCGAGGTCAACGTCCATAGCATTTTCAGCATGAACGTGGCCATCTGACTTCTCATCGTCACCCTTAGATAGTTCATCATCTTGTTCATCATCTATCTCTTCGTCGTCTTCTTCGTCTTCCTCTTCGTCTTCTTCATCATCTTCGTCATCCTCATCTTCAAAATCTTCCTCTCTTCGGGGATCACGATACCAAAAGCGAAGATATGCAATAGAGTCGTTAGCCTTAGCGCTTTCTAAGCACTTAATGGCGTCGGCTAGGCAGTTCTCTGCAATGCATTCGTAGAAGCTTTTATCCTTAATTTGATCCGGTCTCACGCCAAGAATCGAAGAAACGGCGTTGGTTGCGAACATCACCGACAAAGTCCTAGTAAACCTGTTGAGTATGAGAGCGGCACGCGGCTCCCTCTCCATAGGCTGCATCCTAAATTTTGGTGATAAATGCTCAAGCATATGATATCGGGGGTCTCTCGGCGAAGATGAGAATATTCGCCGGATATGGGGCGCTTCTATCGCTCGTCCTGGATTACCGTTAGTAGCTAGCACGACCTAATCTACGACGTGATAAGGCATCTGGAACATACTCTTACTTCTTTCACCACGTCTATAGATACTAGTGCAAGCCACCAAAACATCGTGAACTATCGTAAAGCAACACTCGCAGCTTACCCATTGGCCATTACTCGACATAATCCGGGCGTAGTGTAAAACTGCGGCTTTGTCGAGGAGAACGCCCCTACTATGTACGGAGCGTGCGAATGGGACCTCGTCCGGGTGGAAGTAATCGAAGCATGATTTGCCTTGTACAGCTTGCGGCTGGTACCCTAGAATATCGACGATGGACTCAGAAACAAAGAGGATGTTGGCGTCGGGCGACAGGTCTGTAGAGTATTAATTATTAGTCGCGGCTTAACTAGTTGAGTATGAACGGCGCAAGGTGGAGCGTGTTGCCTTAGAAGATCGTGTCTCCGTCATGCCTGAGCATCAGGGGTACTAACTGTGGATAGTCATAAAAGTCTGCTCCATTTGATTCGATGTCCACTACTGGAGGATGCTACTGCTGTTCAACGAAAAGATCCAACTTCGACCCATAAGCCAAGACTTTTTAAGAGTCAAATAGCACCAGCTAAATGCTTGTTTCGGAGAGCGCCAACAAAAACCCGGGGACGAGCAGGATGTCGTGTCCCAACAGAGCTCCAGAAGCAAATCTAATGGGATGGCAAGTTCCGAAATTCGTACTTCGCGACTGAATTAGTAGTCGGCTGTTTAGGACGGTTGCGGAAAGGCTTAAGTGGACGAGCCAACGAGGTGTCTCTGGATAACCGAGTATTGTATGACCAAGATCCCGCTGTCACCGTCGGATAGGTGGACAAGTCATACAAGCTGGCCCTAGAACAGGTTTCGTGTAATGTTCAGGAAGAGAATGGCGAGATTGAGGCGATCGTCTCGCGCGGAAAGACGGTGGTAAGAACCCGTCAAATGTCTTCTACGCACGTCGCAGTAACTTGCCAGCTAAGAGGGACGTTGATTGTGGTGTCACGACGGCCTTTAGTCTCTCGGCTCAGTGCAGAAGTGAACAAGGACCGGCATACGCAATGCAAGGAAGCAATGGTAGCCACTGAGTAAGTGTACCGATTATGGGGAACGGGGCGGACAGCGGTAACCAGACGGGACATCCAGAACGACCAGCTTGTCATATAGCGTAGGGCTGGAGATATATAATTAAGAGGCCTATAATTATTATTTGAGTACCTAAAGGTAATAGGAAGTCTAATAAGTTGTTTTTTTTTAACGTGTTTGACGGAGTTCGGGTGACGAGTGACGGGTAGCGGGGATAATAAGTCCAAGTCTAATATAATGATCGGTCCCGTTCTTCTCGGGCTTGGGTTTGCGAAGTAGACGGTGAAAATGAACAAACGAAGGGTCGGTCCGTAGTTGGTCCAAGGGATACTGAGGGATATACGGTAATGTTTGAACAGCCGTTAATAAGTATAGCTGTGAGAGAAGAGCATAGGCAAGGTTAGAAGTCCGGCATCAAAGCACATCGGGTTGAATTCGAAGAAGGTTGCTGTGTTGTCTTTAAGGCTCTTACGCCAGATTTGCAGGACGCAATCCCATTTGCCAATGCTACCGGCAAAGCAGGAAAGCCGGTCTAAGGCAAGGTCTAAGGTAGCTACGACTTGACAAAATATAGTTTCGCTAATGTATAGTTTAGTACTTATATGTGAGTTAAGTGCTCGGCAATGCAGGTAGCGTAACGGCATTCTCTAGCTGCGTTCAAGTCCAAGCTTAAAAAGTGCTACTTCCACCACCAGGTAAGTACTATGGTACCGTACCTCTTGCCATAAATTATGTACTTATATCCTTACATCCATACATACATCCATACATCCTAGGATAATACCTCTTACATAGGTATGTACCTTCCTTTTTACCAGGCTTTTTACCTCGCATTTACTACATTTACTGCATATATGTACTAGCATTTACATATTACCACCATACATACATCCAATTCCCATAGGTAACCCCATGTATTCCATATGCACGTTGCAGATGCCCAACTTTCCACTTGTTTCGCACCCGTGCGTTCCGTCCAAACTTCAACTCAGTGCCCAGTTTATTTGCAGGGGTCCCTCATGAGCGAACCCCTAGAGGGGGGGTTTTTCCCTTGAAGGGGGGGGGGAACAACTTACCGTTGCCTTCTCAAAGTCTAGACTCTAACAAAAGAGTCCACGACTTTTCTATCATGTACCGTAGGTAGCTTATATTCGGGCCATATTACTGTGTAGCATATATGCTGCGGAGGCAGGCTGGACGTTGTTCTATTGTTCTTGGTTTTTATATTTTTAACCATACTTTCCTATTAGATAGCAGTCCAAATGCACGAACTTTTTCTGTTAGGATTTGTTTGCGTAGTGATCGACAATTGCCCACGAAAAGCAAAGGCACTAAGCATCTCAGTAATTGTTGCGGATCATATACATACGAATATCCCTGTTCGACCCCATATGATACATGTAGTATACATACAGGCAAAAGTTATCTTTAACTGTACAATTATCATGCATGCTGACAGGATCTTTATATGTAGGTACATTATGCATGTACATAGCATTAAAAAATTTAGGCCAATTCTGGGCCTAGTCGGCTTTCATTCCGCACAACGGAACTTGCAGCTAAATCTCACTCTCACACGTCATAAATTTAATTCATGATAAACATCTGATTAATAGGAGACAGCTACCTATTTTTATTCCTATTATACCTACTTAAGTGTAAATATAATTTGCAAGGTAGGTATGTATAAGTTTTCCTCCTTCACATTATGGACCTTTTTCCTATTTTATTTTATTAACTAACCATTTGTTTAAACCTTAGAATGATATCAGAATAAGTAGTGATCTTCAGTATAACTCGGGAATTGCGTGCGGAATAGAGGCTCTCTGCAAGGATCTAACCTAGTGGGATTAGTAAACATTTCTAGTTCCTGGGTACGTATACTTACCTAACAAGGGCTAAACCAATGTTGAGGGTGTGGTTTTCTCTGGTTATCAAGCTTATGAAGGGACCTTAGTACGGCGTAGCTAAGCTAAGATAGAAGATAACCCAAGTTTAGCGCGTTCGAAGCCTACAAATTTTAAACGATACCGAATGGGTATGTAGACCTGGTCCTTGGGATCTGCTGCCAGGATTTATTTTAACCTGGAACCGAAGATGGCTTCAAGGTTTTCCCGCTCGGTAACTTGTCGGCATTGCACGTGATAATGTTGCTGAGAGTCTTGGAGTTTTGTTATGGTAACTAAAGTATCACCATACATGACAAGCTCTTACATAGGTGAGGCGATCTTATCATGATCCTATTTACATAATAGCGACTCAAGTTTTTGTGGCTCACGAATAGACAGGATTGCTTACTATTAAAGTGCGGAGAAAGTATCTAATTGACGAATTCAATACATAGATTTTGAATATATAAAAATACGGCCCAGGGGTAATGCCTAATCGAGAACACGCCCAGGTTACCAAATTCCCCTTCTGATACATAATAAAGACCTGAAGTTTCCTAGAAGATCGAATCCCGTAGACAGGGATAATATATATTAAGAGTTCCCATTAAAGTTCGTGATTGTGAGTTGACCTGAACAGTCTTGCTCATCGGCGAGCACTGATTGGACCATACAGTCTGATTATTCTCCGTAGCGGGCAATGCGGCCATAGTTCATCTCTTGATGGCGTTATACATGCTATAGAATTACCATGTACCTGCATCAGTCTTAATGGCTTGCTTAATCATATCCGCACGTAGAATCAGTCTAAAACATATCTGCTTTTCACGCTTGCCGGGATATAAATTTAGTATGGGGATATTCTACAAGGGCGCTGCCAAGACGGAAAAATCCAGTAACGGTATTATCATCAGCACCAGCCGTGCCTATCAACACAAACTGCAAGTCGTAAATACTAAATGAGGGCAAACTCCAAGAGGAAGCTATACCGTGGTACTATTACGTCTGTCTTCATGCTTTTACCTGGGTAGCTTGCATACTATTTGCATGGCCGACGTCGTCATCTCTCCCATCGAAGCAACAAAATAGAATAGCTTACATTCGAGTGAAGCGATTTTTATGCACTACATACATCATCTGAAGGTTCATAGGCTGCGCAATTACAACATTGACAACATTTACAACTTGTTGCATGTGAATACAGTTCATTGCATTATCAGTCAGCATGACCGAATGCTGAATGCTGAACACCTGAGTCGCGCATGTAACTCTCGCTTTTCGTTCATGGGTGTGTGTCAATGAGTGTATTCGCCTTGCTAGGGTCCCCTTCAATACTACAGGCCACTAAGTTGGGTGGAGTCTAGGATTCCTTATCCAGTTTCTTGGGCTTCATTGCAAAGCTAGCGGCTGAAGAGCTTAGGGCGAACTACAATTGGACCAGAATTGGGTACTCCAGGTTGGAGACGAATAAACCTTGAAGATACCCCAGCATACCAAGCAGTCAAACGGCCGTATCGATGGAGCTCGTTCGAAACGACATCCAGAAAGAATTTCAAAAGTTCCAGTAATCATGGAGGTCTGTGCAAGGTTTACATATTATAAGGTAGTTATTCGTATATACATATGTATTATGCAGTATAGACCCAACCAAGTCTATGTGCATACAAGGCACTAACCTGTAAAGAGGCAGGTACCCTTTCAATAAACCATCTTTCCCCACGAAAGAATACATGATCTCTGTTGAGAAAGTGGAAAGAAGCATAGGGCAGTCGAAAGTCTGGGCAAGTCGGACCCTGTATTTAGGTACGGGGAGCTATATCCTTCAAATTCACTGTTTCCCCGGTACGTGACCAGATTGGTCCAATGTGATTGTACTTACCTTATGTAAGATTTATATGTACAAAATAAGTAGTTACCTTTAAAGACTTCCTTAATTTGAAGCTACCTTTTTTATACAAGGGTAAATCAAAACAACACGGTAAGCTCCAGCCACAACCTTGTCTAGCGTTGATTTAGTTTGCGGCTTGGTTACGGCGCAAAGACCCTCAAAATGCAGCCTCTTCGTTGTGGAATAATTGATTACTGAACAAAACATACCCTGAATAAAAGGGTACCATGCCTTAAATCCACCTTATCCACAATAGCTCGAGAAGCTATTCGGATTTTGATTATTGGTAATCCGATCCCTCCGAAGATGTCAAGGTAGTTGAGCATCGAGGTTTCACGATCCACGATCAAACGATCAACAATCACGAAATTCAGCCAGCGTTATTAACCTACCTAGGTAAAACTAATACCTTCAGCTCTCACGAAATTCGCGTATCCACACACACACACTCACACTCACACTCAGCCAAATTCTAGCCGCATCTTGGAAACGACCCCTGAATGGTTCAGTCCCAGCTTCACTTTCAATCATTCGGTCCTGACTTCTTACTACTCTCATAACAAACCGCCCCGCTCCTAAGACCGAGCCTATCAACTTGAAAGATAATTATGCAAGATACCCTTTTGAGATGCCATCCGCAACCAGCAATGACGAGTGGGACCTCCCACGCGTGAAGGCCTCCATCGGTTTCGAGGTAAGGCTTCTTCTCTATGCCGATATGTCTCGGACTCGGCTTGGGTGGATACAGACTAATTCTTACCTTATAGGATGATTCCCAGAGCTTGGCATCAGATGACCAAGACACAGGTAAGGCATCTCCTCGACGCTCTAGAGAATGCTCTAACTCCTACCAGAATTCTTTGACGTGAAATTCTATCCATACGGGGACGTCACACACGATCCAGTTTTTGCCGCAGTTAGCAAGAAGCATGTCGTAATATATCGACTCTCCAGCAAGATTGTACCTCCTTACGAGCTTGTTCAGCTCTTTAGGGACGATGATGTGAGTTCCGCTGCAGCTTATGTTGTCGCCATTGTAGCTTATAGAAATGTAGAAAGATGCATTAAACTGTAGTTGCACTTGGACTAAGGACCCCGAAACCGAAGTACCGTATCTATGTGTAGCTGGTAGAGACGCCAAAATCAAGGTCTACGATGTTGTTCAAGGTAAACTAGTAAAGGTCAGATATATGTTTATACACGGCCGTAGCTATTCCCCGGCTAATATCTTATAGGTCCTCGTAGGCCATGGAGGAGTGAGTTTAAAAGCAAGTTTGCTAGAATACCAGACTGACAAGACGTGGAGGAAATCAATGACCTTGCCACATGCCCAACAAATTTCCTCTTGATTGCATCCGCATCAGAAGATACTACCGTTCGAGTATGGAGTCTCGATCCTGCGCACTCTAAGCAACCATGTGTTTGCCTGCTTGCTGGCGAAGGTCACTCATCAGGGCTGTTGACAGTAGTATGTCTCCAAACGCTGTAGTAGTCCCCTTAGATGTTAACCTCTCTCAGGCATTTCACAATAGTGGCCGTTATGTTCTATCCGCCGGGCATGACAATGTTATCTGTCTGGTAAGAAATTTCATATCAGATCTTGGTCACGTATGTCTACCCAAGTAGTTTTATTAACGTATTATAGTGGACGCTCCCTGACTTGCCTCCTAAACCCAGTGGCAAAACCCCTTCGAAGCCAATAGTAATACATTACCCTCATTTCTTCACTTCGGAGGTGCACAGCGGCATTGTAGACTGGTAAGTCATCTTATAAAACCATGAGGAAAACTCTAATGAGATTAAGTGTGGCTTTTTTTGGTGACCTCATTCTCTCACGAGCCTGTCACGAGGATATAATTGTACTATGGCGAATTGAGGGATTCTCATCACACGACCCTCCCCCTGAAATTTCCGAGGCGCCTACTACGAGTGATACAGAACGCCTAACCCGCTCTGCCTTTTCCCCTGCGACAGCTTCAGCGTGTCCACCGCAGTATACTCGCTTATTAGAGTTTTGGACACCGCATTGTGGTCACCAATTCTACCTTCGCTTCAAGCTCTTCCACGACAAAGACAAGCATCCGGTCCTAGCATTTGGCAATGCAAAGGCCATGATTTTCTTCTGGGATCTAGCACGCCTGGGAAGTTATCACGACTTCATCAGTGAAGTTCGAGATCCCACTCGCGATAAGACTCAGCCAATCCAACGTCCGGGGTGGTTAGCGCCCATTCAGCATAGACACAAGGGCGATGCCGTTAGTAAGCTTAGGGATGCCGCTAGCGACAGAGAGTCGGTCGCGTCAGGACGCACTGGTAGCGTAGACGTCGAAACGCACCTTGATGTTAATACAAACTATTCTCAAGAGACGTTGGAGCAGTGGGAATTAAAGTACGACATGACACGTGTCGAGGAACCCATCAGAGCACACTCGCAGAGCAACGTTACTGTTAAGGACTTCGTTGGACGCCAGGTTGCTTGGAGCACCGGCGGCGAGTGGTGTGTTGTTGTCGGTAGCAAGAATCTGGCCATCATCCTGGAGCGATGGCATAAGAAAGACAGGACAGAAGATAAAGAAAAGAAGCCGAGCCAAGAACGACCAAATTAAAGATTGAATATTACTCTAATTGATTAAAATACCTCTTATATACTAGGAATATATTGAGTTAATGACCATTCAACCTTGATTCTACGGCGTTATGCGTGATCGAATTTGTATAGCATTCAAGGAGCGTATAAATTACAACATGCTGGTCTCGACTAACTTGAAAGAGTGGACAGTATTGATAATTCATTAGTGTGCTTCCCCTTAAGCTTTTCCTTTAGATTTTTTGACCGTGTATCATGCCACTTCAGATCATATAAATAGCCCCAATCGTCAATACATAGTATAACCATATTTGCCTGATACCCCCTAGAGCCTCTAGCCTCATGCTACTACACCCCAATATTAAACGCAGTACGGCAGATCGTTAATGTACTCGCATGCGGTGCCCTCCGGGCAGTCTCCACCATCCTACGCGGAACTGTCAGCCGAGAAGAAAAATAAGAGAAAATAGGAGGGTTTTATAGAATTACTTACGAGGAAACTGCCGTCAACATTACAGACGAGCCAGCCCGAGAAGTCGTACTTGCAGACGTAGGCTGGAGGCGTGCATAGCTCGGTTCCTTCGGGACCAACCCCGTAAGCAAGGGCTGTCGTGATGAAAGTTAGGACTGCGAGGAGCTTCATTTTGGATTTTGAAAGTGAGATTTTTAGGTGAGTGTCAGATGTCTAGATTTTGGGTGTAGGATGGTATGGTTGATAGGAGAGCAATAATTTCCTCTTGCCTAACCTCTTTCTTATACGATACCAGAGCTGTACGAACGGACTCTTCCAGTATACATCGTGAAGCAGCTACCTCAACGCAGTTCAGTGCTCGTTGTTTTCAGAGTTCGCCATGGTGGATAACGTCGTCATCTGGCGTAGTGAGCGGAATAGGTAACGAGCTAATATTTTGAGGTATGTTTTGGCGATTGAACCACCAAGGTGACCAGTTCTGCGTAACTCTATCCAAGATGACCCCATGTGAAATTTCCTTACATAGAGCTTCGGGTTTAGATTATATGATTAGAATAGACACCATTGGGTCACGATCAGCATCGCAGCATCATGACACAAGACGAGTAGATAGTAGCTAGACTAAACGGTAAAACACCTCTACGCAAGCCAGTAATCAAGTAAACAGCGAAGTTTTGTTCTATTGAATCAGTTATCGACGCGCTTCAAGCATACCTAGTCCGGACAGTTGAGCCCAATAACATACGTAGAGCTTCTATTTCATGTGATCCGTGTTATGAGGCTCGTTCTAGCCTTCAGCCCTATTGAGATGAGTAGCTGATACAGGAGTATAATTTTCTTAGCCCGTCGTAAGTCAACCAGAACTCCGGGAATAGGTCTAAGCGTTTTTGAGTTGAGGACCGTTTGCGGCGCTTTGACTAGATCGTAAACGTCACCGGCCTTAGTTATCCAGACACGGACCGGTTATAGTGGAAGTTTATACCTAGCTCCGGACTTCACATCGTTGACGTGCGGTCAGACTCTTGTCACATTACTAGCGGAACCTACGTTCGCTTTAGTATCATAAATGACATGACTAATGTAGTATTTGACGTGGAAGCTGGCTGTCACTAAACCACCTTTCTGATTCTCACCTTGATCAAACAGTAAATGTTTTCTCAGTTCTCCATACCACGTTGCATCTGATAGTTGAACGACGCGTTAATTTATAAAGTATAAAGAGAGTGTTCTCACCATCGTCCAAACTTCGGAATCTAAAATGTTAAAGAAATAAGAGTTGACAGCCGAGCAAAGTTCAACCTCAATGCCGACCAAACATGTCCGGTCTCACGTATTTGAACACCGGACCCCCAAATTTCATCACACACTACTCACACATTAACGTAACCGATGAGTCTATGTGTATCCTCCCGACCAGAATCCTCTACGTCAAATTTGCAAACGTTGGTATTTGGACTATTACGCTTTTAAGGGGATTCAGCGATATTACTGAGGCTACTAGGTTCTTGATCGCAAACATAGGTTTTGTAGCCTGAATATATATACCAAGCTCAAACTTAGCATTCGTGGCTTGGAAGTGTATGTGGGTGTGGGCTTGACCTAGAACTCGCTCGTACGCTCCTACTTGAGGATAATATCGTAGACGTAGCTTTTTAGGTTACTTTCGAAGATAGCCATAAAACCTCCGATGGAAGCATTGTCAATCATTATGAGAGAGGATTGAGTGGTGGGTTTTGGTCATGCCTGATCAATTAGGATCAAGCAAGGTCCATGTCTACTGGGGTTTAGAACAGGTGAGGACGGGTGAAAAACAGATAGAGAAATTCCATTGGCTCATGGAGTAGGTATAATTATTTTCGCTAAGTACGCAGTTGGAATTGTGAACTCTTCGAATAATGATATCTTCCGACAATAAAGTGTAGTATAACATATAGGTATTCCTTCAAGAGGTAGTATACCATAGACTACGTTTTTAACAATATACACTCTCAAAATTAAAGCTTTTGCCCACATTCATGGGTCATGGGGTTGTATCTAGTTTCTAGCTATATCAAGTTGAACATTTTAACTGTCCGGCGGTCACTATTAATTATATAAAATTTCCTTATGTATGAATGTAGCGCCTGAAGGAGATGATAGGCTTCAGCATGATTTACGTCTTGATTAATATTTATGTAATACTTAAAATTCCCCTGTTTATATCATCTTCCAATGGTGATATAACATTCCATCGTGAGCGTCATTGGAAATATACCAAGACTATATATAACTACGCATACACTCAAAGGTTCTAGTGGAATAACTCACCATACTCCTAGGAAGACATATATGATCCCAAGTTCAATAGATAGACATGTTACGAGAAATACATTAATCTCTTCGATATGTATAGCTGCAGTATAATAGTTTGTGGAATGAAGTCGGAACCAGTCTCTAACTTTCGTTATCTTTAAGTTCATAGGTACCTGTTTCTAATGTTGCATATAATATGCAGGTACCTGATACATTGAGTTAGAAGAACGTGGGAATCAATTCTCGCGGTGGGTTACCCCACCATACCCCACCAACACGCACAGGTTTTATAAGTGCAAATTCAAAGAAATATCACAACAGCAACAGCACCACAAATTGTGGTTAGGGCTTGTGGTTTAGTGGTATAATACTCCCTTAGCATGTGCGTGGTTTTGAAAATCACTTAGTACAACTTGGGAGTGGTCCGGGGTTCGATTCCCCGCGAGTCCAACTTTGAAGGTTAAATTCCTTCTATGCCATATCTTTTTTTGTCTATTTTTCTTTTTTATTAGTCTTGATCAAGTTTGGTTCTCAAACACTCTCTAGTTCTACCTAGGTAGTCTCTAAAGATTGAAGTGAAATTGAAGTGGGATTTAATCCTGACCTTCTCTCTCGTATGCGGATATGTCATACGCAATCTCTTTTACACAATTTGGAACATGGTGGTTACGGGACACGATGATTATTACTGTGTCTGATCTGCACAACTATCCTGCGTAAAATTTATATGCTGTTCGAGTCAAAATAGCATCCCGCTGTAGTACATATATGAGATTCTACTCATTGACAAATGACTATCGTATGACAACATGCGCTGGGCTCGGTAGTTTTGATATATGTTACTACACATGTAGTATAGAGCACGTTGTCTGCTGTATTACTATCCGAACACTGTCATCTCCTCTTGTCACAGTAAGAATGGCGAGAACGTGGCAAAGACGGGTGACGACAATCTTGTTTGTATATTAATATAAGGGATTTTTACTTATGATTGATTGCTTTTGCCAAAACGGACAAGCGCCTCCAGCAGGGCTGAGAGTATGTGCAATCATAGCAATCGAATATAGCATCAAATCCGGGTGTATGAAATCTCTAGATGTATGTATTACATACTAAGTAGTTCGCAGCATGTTGACGATGAGTTGCGCTGCGATAGGATCTAAATAATAAATAACAACAACAACAATTTTACTACTTAGACGCATTATGACCGAAGATAAAAATAGTGTCACTAAAGTCGAAAGGCTAGAATCACTAGCAGGTACCTGCTGAACCTGGGCAAGTAAGCGACATTCGCTGTAATCGCGCGGTAGAAACGGTAGAGACACGTCGGGCGTCTAAAGACAGAAATAGGAAGTCCAAAGGCTTTCGTTTCATGTTTCAGGTGTTCCAGTTGCCCCGAGAAGAAGCTTGAATTGAACTAATAGCCAATCAAATATCGTTTTTGTCTTGTTACGTAGCAAATTTAGATCACCGACATGGGAGGCCCCTGTTACCCCTCGGTACCCCTGAAAATCCATTTGGCGACTAACAAAGATTTGATAGGCTGTCTTGAGCTTTGATCTTTCTCAACCACATTTTCTTAGAGACTATCGAAATTCTTCCATAGTACAGCTTAAAGTTGTTTGGTCGATTGATGGCCTTTCTTTTTCTAGATGATGAATATAGAGCGTTATGGTATTAGTGCTAAGCTATATACCTATGTATTAGATACCTTGGTACACAATCTATTTAGTAAAATATATGGTTCCAATCCTCCCGAACGAACATGTCAACCAACCAATCCTTACAGCCATATCGGCACATAGTACCGCTGTCTGCTGATGAATACCAGGGCATACCTACTTCCTATTGCGAATACCAATAAACGCGATACGCTACTTACATGATAATACAACTACCCTTTGTGTGGCTATGGATCGCCTCTTGGCTACGATTCCTACAAGATCTGAATAAAAGCTTATTGTCTCCCCACTTACATATTGTAATGGTCTGTCACGGACAAGTTCCTTATTCCAAGTCACTGTTCATCCTTTCTTTGGTGTCTCTTATCCAGTCAGCGTTGATTGTTCTTTCTTTCTATTTTCCTTCCTCATCGTTCCTTTCTTGACTTGTTGTAGATTTAGACAATCACTTAAGCAGCCTATTATTTTATCTTATACACATACTTGCAGAAGCTTTGCCATTTTATTATTTTCGACCTACAATACGACTTCGTCATCGCTTTCTTCATTCACTTCTTTTGCCTCTTAAAATTACTTCGCTCCCTTACACCTAGTGTTCCCCTTCACTATTGAGAATTGGAAGTACAAGGGATTACAAGACGACACCTGCAATTTCCCAATATTTTATACAAATTGAGTTCGCTGCGCGATACACTTCTTTTCAGCAACCTATACCAACATGTTCATGAAATCGGTCAACACCGCCGCTGCGCTGGTAGCGGCATTCGTAGCACCGAAAGACCTCGATGTCAAAGACCCAAGTAAGTAATTACAATATCTTGATAGTATAACGCTGGACGGTTCATACTAATTGGTTTTCTAGCATCTATACGTGGTGTGGCTAGTACGCTTGCGCATGGGCTCATGTCATATTACTCCGGAAATGTGACGAACACCCCAGAGGTATGAGATACTACGATCCCCAATCCTGTATTCTTTGAGTTGGAGCTAACATATTACCCCTTTAGAGCATTGCAGTTTTCCCTGAACCATATTGTAAGACCTGCGGACACCCCTCCTGGTTTCTTGCTGCTTGAATTGCTGCTAACTGATCTAAATAGACTGGTGGGAAGCAGGTGCAGCCTGGGGAGCCATGCTGGATTATTCCCATTACACGGGTGATTCTAGCTACGATGAAGTCATTACACAGGCCCTACTATCTCAAGTTGGGCCTAAGTTTGATTTGATGTCGCCATTGCATTTTGGCTCCGAAGGGAACGACGACCAGGCTTTCTGGTCTTTCTCTATTCTTAACGCCGCTGAGCGGAATTTTCCCCAGCCTGACGACAGTATTCCCCCTTGGCTCGATATCGCAGAAAACATCTGGAACACGATGGTTGTTAGGTGGAATACGACCAACTGCGGAGGCGGACTTCTTTGGCAAATCTTCGAGGATAACCCGAACGGCATGAAATATAAGAACAGCGTTTCCAATGGCGGTTTCTTTCAATTGTCGGCACGCCTTGCACGGGCAACCGGCAATGACACGTATTTCGAGTGGGCTAAGAAAGTGTGGGATTGGTCTGAGAAGATTGGTTTCATAGATCAGGACTACAACGTTTACGATGGTGCTGGCGTCGAAGATGATTGCGCTGAGATCAACAAACTATCATTCTCATATTCCCAGGGAATTTATATGTATGGAGCCTCTGTCCTTTACAACTACACGAAGGGCGACAAGACGTGGGGAGCTCGCACGACCGGCCTCCTGAAAGCAGCAGACTCTTACTTCAGCCCCTACCCGAACGCGACTAACATCATGTTCGAGCACGCCTGCGAACCGTACGAGCTCTGCAACAATGACATGAAATCATTTAAGGGCTACCTTTCGCGCTTCATGTGGGCGACGTCACGAATGATGCCTTCCACGTCAAACCAAGTTCAGTCTTTGTTGAATACCTCCGCCGTTGCAGCTGGTAAAGCTTGCTCTGGAGGACAGAATGGTACTGTATGTGGGCAGAAGTGGTATACCGGTGGTTTTGACGGTGTAACAGGACTGGGCCAGCAGTTGACGGCGTTGGAGACGGTCCAGGGGCTTCTCTCTCAGCAGGCGCTTCCTCCGTTCAAGGCCGGTGAGATCAAGCACGTCAAGGGCACAGGAAAGGTACCGCCGAAGCCGGCTGGCAAGTAATTAATACTTGCGCACTTGGTTCGCTACCCTGTCAAAACTTGATCGGAAGCATATTTCTAAGCCTTGCATGATGGGATGATTTTGAATATATTAGATGGAGCATGAGCATAAGCATAGTAGGTGGTTGGCGTTTGGGTTTTCCCTACTTTCGGCTGCTTGGATTGAGAGGTGGGTTGATATCAATTTAAAGATACACACAAACACTTGAGGAAAAGCTTTGCTTCATTCTGGAAGAAACTCCATATTCAAGACTAGATGTATTATTATTGTTATTGGATAATTCAAATATATATTAATTTTTTATAAACTCTTGTAAATGTAGATTTGCCATGACTGAAATACAGCTATCGTCTACCTCAGTATATGACTAATAAATCTAAGATACATAGACTAGTATAATATGCGTTCAAAGGTAGAAAAAGGGGGGGTACACAAGACCCATTTAAATGTGGAGGTCGTAACCCTCCGATCGGCAGCCGGATTCAATGTTGCAATATGACGGACAATTCTACATAAGCTAAAGATGCTAATAAAATCAAATAAATCAAATCTTTAAGACAAGATTGGACCCATGAGGTGACTCAACTACCATCTATAAAATAAGCTAAGAAATAAGAAATTAATAAGTCGACCTATTTGTACAAGTGACTTCTTGTATCTATCAAAAAAAGCCAAGTGTTTTTTTTTATAATCTCGACTATCATGTCTCCTTTCAATCTTCAGACCTGTGCAAGGTCCAATATTCTAGCATTGGAACCGTATCGCTGTGCGCGAGAGTAAGACCTAACCAAAAACTTATCTATTGATAAACAACCGAATACTCACACTCATTATAGTGACTATAAGGACGATGGCACAAACATTCTTCTTGATGCTAACGAGAATGCTATTGGACCATCCTTGACAGCAGATGCTGTATCAGCTGTGTCTAAGGGCTCTGGGGTCGAGATAGACTTCCTAGGACTACACAGATATCCAGACCCGCACCAAAGGGATCTAAAACAGCTGCTCTGCAATCTGAGGAACACTCACCACCACACAGATAAAAATATAACACCGGACAATCTGTTTGTCGGTGTTGGTAGTGATGAGGCTATCGATGCATTGCTGAGATGTTTCTGCGTTCCCGGTCAAGACCGCATCTTAGTATGCCCCCCAACGTACGGAATGTACTCTGTGTCAGCACAGGTCAACGATGTTGGACTAGTTAAAGTTCCTCTTTTGCCGGCGCCGACGTTTGGAGTTGACGTAGCTAAAGTGCTAGAGGCGCTCTCGACGGAGCAGAATATCAAGCTTATCTACTTATGCTCACCGGGAAACCCGACCGGATCGCTACTAGACAAGGAAGATATAAAACAGATTTTGGAGCACCCAACGTGGAACGGCATAGTAGTCGTTGATGAGGCATACGTCGACTTTGCGCCTGAAGGTTCTTCGTTGGCGGAATGGGTTGCTGAATGGCCTAACCTAGTCGTCATGCAGACGCTCTCAAAGGCGTTCGGCATGGCGGGCATCCGACTCGGAGCGGCGTTCGCAGCGCCGCCGGTCGCGCAACTCCTCAACAATATTAAAGCGCCATACAATGTCTCCAGTCCGACTAGCGCGTTGGCATCATACGTCGCTTCGGACGAAGGCCTAGCGACGATGCGCGCAAACAGGGAGAAGATTGTGCAACAAAGGGAGAGGTTACTCAAAGAGCTGCCTAAAGTTAAGGGTATAGGACGACTACGCGGCGGAACGAGCAGTAACTTCCTGCTTTTCGAGATGCTGAACGCGGAGGGTAAACCGGATAATGTGACCGCGCTGGCGGTGTACGAGACGCTAGCAGAGAATAAGGGCGTCGTGGTGCGGTTCAGGGGTAAGGAGCACGGGTGTCTGGGATGCTTACGGGTCACGGTCGGGACGGAAGACGAGGTCACTAGATTCCTAAAAGCTATAGAACAGGCGCTTGCCGAGATCAACGGACACAAGACGGAGGTACCGGCAGATGAGGCGAAAAGAGAGGCTGAGGCGAATGGTGTTGTGGGATAGACGGTTGGATGGTTAAGACATAAAAAGGACCAGATAGATGAAAATGGGCTTATACATTTAGGAGAGGGGGTCTGTTACCTGGTTGAGTTTTACGTACTTTATGAAAACTAGATAAATTCTTTGGCTATGATAAAATAGAGAAGTCGTACATCTTAAACGTTTTTATTTACTACATCCTACACTGAATAAGTACCTAACCTAAGGCCAGACGAAGTGACTGAAGTTATTTGCTTAATTGCATATATGCCTGTTTGATTGTAGCTAGGACCCAATCAAACGGGCACTAAATTTTGCAAATTGCATATACCGACGTAATTCCTACTTGTGAATTCCATGGGCTTCCTCTCACTCGAAAATAAAAATCTATGAAGTTTATGAAATTTTACAGCCTCATTGCGCTATCATTCTATTCGAAAATATTTCTCAGGTGAAAATAAAAAGAACTTCTCATAAGAGATTGGAAGTAAGGAGGTAGTGCTCAAAATGCACATTGAAGAAATATCAGATGAGGTTGCGGAACGCCTCAAGCTCTCTCAGGCCGAGGGCGAAAAATCACAGTTGCAAGAGCAAGAAATTGCACAATCATCATCACAAGATGCCTCAGCACCCATATCAGCCGCTGTATTTCCAGAACCGGAGCCCGTCAATAAAAAGTCCATAGACGAGATTGTTGCGGACCTGAAGAAGACACCCTTTTTCATGACGGAGCTAGAAGAGAATGACCAAACTGAGGCATTCAAGGCGCTTGCATATGAGGGTACTCCCTTAGAAAACGGTTCCGAATTCAAGGAACGCGGCAACGAGTGCTTCCGCGAGAAGCGCTGGGCTGACGCAAAAGAATTCTACACGAAAGGTGTGCTGATACTTGCGGCCGAGGAGCGCAAGCGTGTTAAGGGCGAGCACGATCCTGAGGTAAAGGAGGAAGAGGTTCAGGAGCAAAAACGAGTACTGGAGTCCTTATACATCAACCGCGCGGCCTGTCATCTAGAGCTGAAAAACTACCGCAGCTGCTGGCTAGATTGCGCCGCGGCCCTGCGCCTTAACGACAAGAACCTCAAGGCATACTACCGGTCGGCCAGGGCGTTCCTAGCCGTCGGCCGCATCGCCGAAGCAGACGACGCATGTGCACGAGGTCTAGCCCTCGACGAGAACAACGGCCCCCTGAAAGCAGTCGCGCGCGACATCGTCAAGAAGCACGAGGAAGTAACCGCGAAGCAGAAAAAGGAAGCCGAGAGACTAGCAACAGAGAAGCGCCGAGAAATCCTCGTCAAGGTGGCTCTCAAGAGCCGCGAAATCAAAACCCGGACTACGGCCCAACCGCCCGAGATGGAAGACGCGGGTATCAGACTAGTCCCGGACCCGGACGATCCGCGCAGCGCTCTTAGCTTCCCGACCGTGCTGCTGTACCCCGCGCACCTCGAGTCCGACTTCATCAAGGCGTTCGAGGAGACGGCGGCGCTGGCGGATCATCTGAGCTACGTGTTTCCGCTGCCGTGGGACGTGGCGCGCGAGTATACGCTGGACGGCGTCGAGTGCTATATGGAGACGGCGGCGGGCGGGCTGGTCAAAGTCGGCAAGAAAGTCCCGCTGCTGAAGATGCTGGCGGGGGGCAAGGTCGAGGTCGTGGATGAGGTGGTGAGGGTTTTTGTGCTGCCTAAGGCTAGGGCGGCGGCGTGGGTGCTGGAGTTTAAGGAGAAGAGGAGGGCGGAGAGGGGTGGGGGGTAGGGGGTTTGTAGTCTGTTGAAATGAGTAGATGATAGAAGAAGAAGAATATAGTAAAAAGAGTTGCTGTTCATGTGTTTATTCAAGTGTTGTTCGAGATTGTTTGTATGTCTATACTTATATCTCTGTATAGGAGTAGTGCCGTCAGGAGTATTGTCTTGTCTTGTCTTTTACTATTTCGCATTCAACTAAACACATAACAGGATAACCCATAGATAGATACCTAGGTAAGTAGGTAGATAAAACGATCGCTTGTCTAGATACATTGTAGAACGCCGCCACCGCCGCCGCCGCCATGCCCCATTTTGACCGCAAATACTCCAGGTCCTTTCCCCATTTTAGCCCATCCGATTTGATGCGTCTATCCCAGAAAACAAAGTTGTCTAACCGCCTTTCCCCTTACTATCTACGCCAACCTCCCCTTTTCTCTCTGTTTGAGACCGTCTACGAAGTAGCTAGCTAGTTGTCTTGCTTTTCTAGCTACGTCGAATTCGATCTCACCCTCTTAACCCGCGGGAACGACCCATCGCGTGGCGAACTCATTCCTGATGTCGTCGTGCTGCTGCTACCGCCAGCCTTAATCCCTCGCTGGTCCCCGACGCTGAGGTTCATCAGGAGCAGCGCTGCGTTCTTGTCCGCGCCTCCTACCACCGGGGAGTCACTCGGCGATGCCTGTTTTATCTTGCTACTGTTGCTGCGGGGCTTCTCCGCCGCAGCCTCGTTCGCCGTAGATATCTTCGTCGAGGCGTTGCCGTGCGTCTCGTACTCGGCTTCTACGTGCTCGGCTGATCGCTTGCTGCCGCCCCGCCATGGCTGCGGGTGGGGATGCGAGGTCCGGGGCGATAGGGGGTACGGTTGTATATGTGTTTCTGTGGTGAAGCGCGGGACGGCGCTGAGCCAGGGGCTTGGGCCGGGTGGGACGTAGTGCCGTGGTGATACTACGTTGGCGGGCGTCCATCCGCTGCTCGTGGGTCGGAGGGATGGGGCTGTTACTACTGATGGCAGCGGTGGTGGCTGGATGGGGGAGTATGCGTAACGATTGCGGTGGCCGGGCTCCGAGGTTATAGGAGATGTGTCGCTATCCGGGTCCGTGGTATACGGGCTGCTGGGGGTTGCGAGAGCCTTCTGGATTGGACGGCGGCGATAGTATGAGTGGTTATGGCTGTGTCTGATTTCGTCGTAGGGATTTCGAAATAAAGGTCGTCGATCCTGGGCTGGGCTGGCTAGGCTGTTATTGCTAGCAGCGGCGGCCGAGTTGCTACATAATCTGCGGAAATGCTCTGCTTCTCTGGTAGATTGGACTACGGTAGCTGGGTCGATGATCATGCGGCTATACTCTGGCGCTTCCGAAGGCGTGCAGTGGGAGGGGAAGTCGGGGCCGAAAATGGGTATCAGGGCCCCTGCGATATTGTGGCAGAAGGTTGCGCATACGGCTTTGGCACAGTAGTATGGCATCCAATAACCTTTTTTTTTCGTGGAATAAATGTAAGTTTATGCTTGAGAAAAGGGGCTTTATGCATATCACATACCTTGGGCCATGATAGAACCCCCCGTGATGCTGTGCGTTATGTCCTTGAGCCCAGGGTTTAAGTTCAACATCTTGGCCGGCGTCGTCTACGATTTTGGTTAGTTCTTAGTTTAAAAACGAGTTCCTTATTCGTTGAAGCTAGGGGCGAGCTAACCTTGGGGTATTTACAGCACTTAAAGAAAGGAGTCATGCGGACGAGGCCGACATTGTAATCCCACATGACGGTATATTCGGTCTCGTCCCCGGGCACTTTGAAAGTATACTGGAAAACTACGTTCGGGTCAACAAATCGATTACCGCATCTTAGGGTATTATGCCTCTTTTTTTCTCTTTTTCTTTTTGGTTTATTCTGGTTATTTACCTTCGAAGCTTTCTCGGCCTGTCTTCTGGAAGAAATCCTTCTTCCCGCTGTTGTAGGGGATGTGCCGGGAATGGTCCTGTATGTTCCCGAAGAAACGGACGCGAAATTGCCGGACTTGGCGGAGCGAAGCCTCGTCTAGATTCTCGAATGGGGGAAAATTGACAGCTCCCTTAGGTCTACTCGTAGGCAAAAGAGCCGCACTCTTCGGTATCTTCTGCTTAGCCATTCTGTGATCATCTAAAAGACCCGACTCGTCTGGGAGAGAAGCCGTTGGGGATGACGACGAGGCTGGGCTTGGAGGAAACCTGTTGATTGGTGGCCCTGGAGGGGCGGGATTAAGAAGAGACGCCAGTGACAGCATGGCGGTGAGAAGCAGTGGGGACAAGATGTCTCGAATACGGATAGAGTACTGATGCAAGCAAAGTTGCGGATGGCTATCTACGAAAAGGTCCGTGGGAAGAACTAGGTAAGGAGACTCAAGACAGACAGTGCTTGCAGCGGCAAGTCAGAAAGGAGAGAGAGGAAACCAAGTCCTTTTTGAACTTGGCAAACAGACGAACTATTGAAGCACGCCCTCGCGAGACGGCGAGCCCATGCTGGTACAAGGGGACCGAGATTGCTTCCTTTCTTGACTGTACCCAGTCATGCAGCTCTCTGCAGAGCACTTGAGCGGTGTCCGGTGCTGCCTTGGTGATCGTGGTATTCGGTGCAGCGTTCTTTGTTGAAGATGTCTTGGAATCGACCTGTGAGAGTAGAGGAGCTCGTTTGTGTATACCCACCGCTCCTTAAAAGATCGAGGTTAAAGCCACCAAAGTGATAGATGACGAGAGGTAGGCCACGCGAGGGAGGGGACGAGCGAAGCAGTTCTAACTAAGTTACCTTGTACGTATCAACGAGGGCGGATCGGGGGATGATTAAAATTGGGGACGACAGGAAACCGTTAGCCGGCAGGACAGCGTCGTAGGTGATTAGTTTCGGAGGCAGAGAACTCAGAATACCAGAGAGAGAGATGCGTTCGATTCCGGAGCCTTGCCGACGAGATAGTCCCAGGCGGTACCAGGTGTATCACGTCGATCGGTGGATTATAGGACAGCATCGAGGTAAGGTAGGTTTCAATACATCTCACCAGTTCTGACTCCGGCCCAAAAGGGGCGACCACAGGCGACCGCATGACGCATCGGACCTGTAGCTAGAGACAGCAAATGAGTTTGACACAGCAAATACTTCAGCACAGAGACCCCCAAACAAGGACCAGGCTTGTTTGGGAATCCATATGGGAGTTTTGACAGAAAGCAACCTCACGGGAAGCTGCAGATAGTGCCGTCCAAGTTACTAGGGCCAGGCGGTTTCTCAAGAGGGTAGAACAAAGAAAAGGCCAGTGATAAGCATATTGAGCCCTAGACAACGATTGCTAGACTCGACACACGTGTACCCAGTGCCTCCCCATCCTGTAGGAGGGTAGGCCTAGGATGTCACGGCGGAACATGTCACCCACGCCATTCTTTGCTGTTCTTCTCTATTTAAGACAGAAAGCGAGAAGAAGTCTTGGGCTTGACCGCCGCAAAGGCGACTCACCTGGTGGAGAGCTCTGTGCCTATCCGGGGACCACGTAAGGACTCTTTCTCTCGGTTGAAAGAATTCCCTGAGTATTTCGAGAAGCAACTGAAGCACTACAAGGGGCTTCCCGTCGGCAATGGGTGTCGTGAATGCGGAGATTGCAGCTGTCACCACATATAGCTTATGCTTTCTACGAGAGTCAGAGCCGTCTACGGGTAATAATACTTCCCAGGGCAACACAGAGGCGGATCCCGTATCAATATTGCCCCATCGAGGTATATATGGACCGTGTCATCAATAGTCTATTGAATAGAGATCAACACATTGGTTGTAAGGAGTTCTTGCGTAACTTGAATACATGTGACAAGCCTCGCAGAAGGGACGTCTAAGTTAGTTGGATGAATGGACTTGAAAGATGATTACGGCGTACCTGGACGACTTGACGAGAAGATTAGTTACCCCTCTTCATTTGATTCCGCGATCATAGACTAGACCGAATAGTAATCATCTGTTCACCTTACAAGCACGCCCGGAAGCTCAGTAGTAGTAGTAGTTGAGCGGTCGGTAAGCTACCTTCGTGGGACACCTAAGGCTCGAGTCATAGCTCCCCCTGGACCTGTCTCTCAACAAGTTGTGGTTCTGACTACACTAGAACCTGCGGCTTTCCGATATGCTACCAGACTATACAGTACCAAGCAGATTGCATGGCATGATCGCAAATGCGAATCTAACAAACAGGTATAGTAAGGAGATAGTATACATACAGTATTAAATACCTAAGAGTAGCAGTACTAAGCAAGGGCAAGCAATAATATAACTATATACCTATTCAGCGAAGAGAAAACTCCATGTCTGCTATATTCACTCTTGCGATGTTCTTGTACTGTCGAAAGGCCATGTCAGGGCTGGAGTGCCCCACCGGTTCCGGTAGACGGGAACTTGGAAAGGGTATCCTGGCTACCATTATAGGAGACTTTTGAATAGACGCGGAAGATGGAACCGGCGGCAAAGAAGGCAGATGGCATGGACTAAACGATCCTGCCTCGTCGGATTTTCTGGCCTCCTGTACTTCCCAAAGGGGGTAAGCTTGAGGCTCATCAAGGCCGGTTCGGGTAAGATAGAAGGATTCAGGGCGATGATTGCCATGCTGTCTGCAGTGGTACGGCGTAGGATGGATTGGCAGGAGAAGTGGCTCCGCGACTTCTCATCATCATGCGTGGTGCGACTTTGGCAACAAAAAAGCTACGGGGACGTACAGTTCGACTTCGGGAAATTTTACGTCTCGTTACATTTTGGGAAACATTGCTAAGTGGAATCACACGACGCATGCACGGCGGAGAATTACGCACCAATTGCTTGCCGTGTTTCTTCCCTTTCATAAGACCCTCTTGGATGATGGGCCATGTGCTCTGGTAGGACGAAGAGGTAGCCGGGTAGGGAAGAGACTACCCGGTCTTAACGTGGATAGACAACTCTAGCTTGCATGTATGTAGATGAGGTTGTAAATATACCTGGTTAATCTATCATCATCAAAGTTTCATGGCCTTCTTGGTGGTTGAATTGTGCTTTGACGAAACTAATACATAGTAAGTAAACGAGCGATAGACATCCGATTTAGGTTTTATAAATAGTAGATATATTCTAATAGTAGCTGTAGTAGTATTAGTAGTAGTAGTAATTTATTGAGAGGTACTTTGGTATTTGAAAGTAGTAGATCACCTTGATTGGGAGAAGTACTCTTATGTGAATACTTCATGAAGTTGGCAAGCTGCTACGGAAATGTGATTGATATGAGAGAGCTCAACTCATTTATATGTACCTACGTACCTAATTTTGGGTATCATCTGTGGCTAGTTTAATGTGGCTCGTGGATGTAAATGTTTGCTATGGATGTCCATGGATGAGGTCCTGCCGATATTTAGCCATGTCGGACGCGTTTGGGGCAACTGCCATTTTTCAGCCGTATTCTGGTATTACCACAACAGAGGTACCTATGTCTGTTACTACAACACTAAGTTCGTTAGCCTGTAACCGGAGCCCCACTTCATCGAGGGACGCGCGACTCCTAGTTATCAAATGAAAATAAATTGTTTACATGCAATAACACGACAACGAGCTAGGACGAGGTTGCTTTCCCTGTAACAACCCCCCCTTCTCTCATCACAAAAGGAGAAATTTCAAAACAACTGGCTTTTCCGTGATATTAACCCCCAACTTTTTTTTCTTCTTCTTATGAAATCCCTGCGCAGTTCAGGTCAATTGCGGCGCTCTTTTTATAATTCAACCATATCGAGTAAATCTCTACCCTCCTTCACATCATTCACGTCGCGTGTGAACGTATCACACCAAACACATCCATCATGGACTCCGACATTATGGAGGACTCGGCCTTTGACGACTTCAATAACGAGTCAGATAACTTCTCCCCAGAGCCGGTATGAGAAACAATGCCCTTGTCTTGGACTTTTCTCAATCTAAACAACATACTCACTTTTTACCTCTACCTATGCAGTACTAACGTTGCGCTCCTACAGAAACCTAAGGCCAAGGCCCCTGCAAAGAAGACAGCGGCAAAACCTGCAGCCAAGGCTGCATCAAAAAAAATGGTTCAGACAACCCTAAAGGCGACTAAGACTGCTCCTAAGAAACGCTCAAAGCCTGATAGCGACGACGACGGCGGCGATGATGACGATGTCTCGGGGTTCTCCAACACCCCCCCGAGTGCGAAGAAGCAGAGGAAGGCACCCGCCACCAAGAAGTCGAGTGGTGCACCCTTAGGCGAGATCGAGAACGACAGTATGGTGCTCGATGACCCGAAGCCAGCCAAGAAGAAGACGGCTACAGAGACTTACCAGAAGTTAACACAACTCGAGCACATTATCAAGCGACCTGATACATACATTGGCTCTGTTGAGCGCACTGAGCAGCAGATGTGGGTATTCAATAAGGAGGCTAACCAGATGGAACTACGATCCAAGGTTGGCTTCGTACCCGGTCTTTACAAAATCTTTGACGAAATTCTCGTCAACGCTGCAGACAACAAACAGCGGGACCCAAGTATGACATACATGAAGGTGACAATCAATCGTGAAGAAGGTCAGATCATAGTCGAGAACAACGGAAAAGGTATTCCAGTAGAGATTCACGATAAGGAGAAGGTTTATATCCCGGAATTGGTTTTTGGACACCTTCTTGCCGGTTCCAACTTTGATGACGACGAGAAAAAGACCGTAGGTGGTCGAAACGGTTACGGTGCTAAGCTTTGTAACGTCTTCAGTACAGAGTTCACTCTGGAGTGTCAAGACTCTAAGAATGGAAAGCGATACAAGCAGACGTGGAGGGACAACATGGGCAAGATGGACAAGGCAAAGATAACAAGCAGCAAATCTAGCGACTTTGTTCGTGTCAGCTTCAAACCGGATTGGAATAGGTTTGGTATGCCTGAAGGCATCGACGATGATCTTGAGTCGTTGCTTTACCGTCGAGTTTATGATATGGCTGGCACGGTGCGTGGCGTCAAGGTATACCTCAACGATACCCACATCAAGCTAGACTTCAAGAAGTACTGCGAAATGTACGCTAAATCCATTGCTCTTGAGCGAGGTGCCGAAGAGGGTACCGAACCTACCGCTACGGTCATCCTTGAGGACAACAAGGCCCATGCTCGGTGGGAGATCGCTTTTGCGGTCTCAGACGGTTCTTTCCAACAGGTCTCATTTGTGAACTCTATTGCTACTACTTCCGGTGGTACTCACGTCAACTACATTGCTGACCAAATCTGCGACTCACTTCTGAAGGCGTTGA